GCTGCTGCTGCTGCTGCTAACGTTCATTCCTTCTTCCGTGTTTAGGGGAGGGCCTAGTTTTCCTTTCTTTTTTTCCCCCCTCCTTGTCCCTCTTTTCTCCTCGTTTCTCCTCTCCGTCCGTAATTGCACTTAGGAAGCCAGCCCGCGTCAGGGTGTGAAGCTATCAAAGCCAGGGTAGTGAAGCTCGGCTTGGCCTGCATTGATCGCCGACTAGGAATGGACGCGCCAGACCGCTTCAAGCAAGGCGCGGCCTGCTGTCTCCGATCCTAGCGTCTGATTTCAGCCCTCTGCGACCGGGAGGGAGGCGCCGTGCCAAAACCCCCCCGCCGTCAGCTGGTGTGGTTTTTCGTCCCCTCCCGCCACAGCTTGGCCGGCCAAGGTGGACTGAGCTTCATGAGTGCCTGCTGCCAGCCAGCCCGACGCCGGTGACGTCGGCCAAACTTGCTTGCCGGACAGATGCGCACCAGCTCTTGCCCCATGCAATCGGCCGGGCCATCCTTTTGTGCTCTGCCGAAGCTTGACGTCTCTGGTGAGAATAGACTTTCAAACCTTAAGTTCACTTCGAGAGTGCATCGATGGACAGCCCTCGAAGGCAATCTGCTTGCCATCCTAGCATATGCTTGCCCGCATGTTCGGCTCGGATTAATAATCGAGAGCGCTCGGGAAGGAAATAGCCGCCTACCTGTTCGTTCCCTCCCTTTGGGTTCAAGCACTTGAGGTTTCTTGGCCATGTTGTGATTCTTTCGGCGGCTAATACCGTGAGCGCTGTCACGGACATGGCGGGTTTCTCTCCGCCCCTGCGCCCCTCCCGTACTGAGACCTTTCTGGTTCTTGTCTTGGTGCCTGCCAACATTGCAGGTGGTATTTGCTGAGCCACTAGCAACACATTTCAAACTGCTGGAAAGCCGTCCCGAGAAGTATTAGTTCCCGATCGTGCAGGCCAGCAGCCACGAAACATGAAGCCGTATCCTGCTGGCAGGACAAGAATGTCCTATTGACGCAGTGGCCGCCAAGTCAGCGTGATGGCTCGGGACAGTGCAATGGGCAAGCATGGCGTCTCAGTGACCACGGAGCTAAGGAGTGAAAGGCTTGCGGCCGCCTTTAGGCATGTCTCTGAGGACCGTTTGTTTCAGTCCTCATTTGACCTTTTTCTTCTCGTTTGTTTCTCTATTTTCCTTTTTATCTTTTAAAAAGTTTCTATCCTGCTCTGAGAACCTGCAGCGTGTTGAGAACCTACAAAGACAAAAGCGACGGGTGAATGCAGCTAGAAAAGCACTGAAAAAATCGTCTTGCTGCACGCGCGTCAACCTTTCAGCTTCGCAGGGTGCTCAGAAAGCAAAAGGCCCCCTCCCCTTCCAACACACCAACCAGTCGGCGGCCCCTGTCAGGCCGAAAAAGAAAAGAAAATAAGACCGGCGCCATACGATTCGAGGCAAAGTCTGGCTTGGCGATCTCTTGCAGATCGTTTCTTTTTTTTCGTTTCTTTTTTTTTTTTTACCTCCCCCCGGCCCCCGAAGAGCACCTGCTTTCTCTCAACCCTAACCCCGACGTTGGGTGCTCCGTGCTCCCTTTCACTCCGCAGCTTGCCTACGCCACGGCTGATCTACGCCCCTAGATGATTTGTGACTGCTCGTTTCTTTTTTGTTCATTTCTCTGGAATGCTGCGGCCGCCTATGTGCACCGGGTGCTGCAGCCTGCAGCCTGTGTTGAAAAAAAAAGTTTTTGCTTTTCACTTTCTTCTTGTGCCTTGGCATAGCGCAATGCGCAGGGGCTTGCATCCGGGTAATCTTGGACTTGCTCGATACGAAGTACGGGATACTCTTTCAGAATGGAGCTTCCTCTGTGCTAATTCTTTCCCCTTTGACCGGTCCGATAGGCATCTTTTCTTTGCCCCGGACGGCAGGCACTCGTTCAGTAGACACACGCCCTCCCCCCACCGCAGGACCGCTGCGCGAGAAAGCCGTTTCTCCGTGCCAGACAGATTTGCAAATGCGGCCCTTGGAAGAGGAAGGGCCGGGAGGATGTACATGTACGGGGGGGGGGGCGCTAGACTTTCATGGCGTGCTCTAAACAGTGGGCTAGCGGACATTTGAATGCTAGCTGGTCCACTCACGCTGCCCGCCCTATCGGGGGCAGACAATTCCTACCATCACACGTAGCTGGCTTCCTTTTTTCGTTGAACCGTTCGGGCTCGGGTGAAATTGCTCAACGTATCGACTGTAGTGTCCGTAGAGAGGCCGGAGATACGTATCCAGTCTCGCTGCATGTGAGTTTTTCCCCGGCCAAGCCGTCCCGGGCGACGATCAGCCCCCAAAAGAAGTGGCATTTTGATGTCTCGTGCACCTTCCTGGCCAACAATTCCTGTCTTGTCCGTCCACGAAACAACCCCACCGCAACCCCCCCCCCCCCCCCAAGAGGCATTCGTCACACCGTTGGGAAAGAACTGAGACCTTTTGGGCTCACCCTCGCTGCCCTTAGCGTGCTCCCCCGCCATTACTGCCTGCCTGTCGCCCGCCCGCCCGCCGCCAGCCCTGTCGAGGGACTGGGGAGCAAAAGCCCGGCCTGCCTGCCTCCCCCACTGCCCCATGCCCAGTGGCTCGCTCGGCGCCCCTATCCCGCCGTCGGCAGCACTCTTGCCTGACCGGATAGCCCCTCTTCCACTCTGCCCTGACCACACTGCTGGGTTAGGCAGGTACGTACTAGCCTGTCTATCCCAACGGCGCGCGCCGGTGGCGTGCGTGTGACAGTGGAGGTTTCCGGCTGTGACGTGTAAGAAAGGCAGGCACGAACAGCCTTTTGTTGTCGATCACTAATTGGAAGAAACAAAAATGTCATGATCTTTCTTGAGGCGGCTGCTACTACTGCCTGTTCTGCTTTGTTCTGCTCTGTTTGAGGCCTGGGTCTCAGAGCCCGCACGCCAGTCGCCCTGTTATCGGCCCGTGCCCCTATTCCGGCATTCCTCTCCTTTCGTCTGTCTCCCTTATCCGCGCGTGTCTGAGTTTCGGGGCAGCAGTTCTGCACATTGTGTTTTTTTTTTTTTTTTTTTTTTTTTTTTTTTTTTTGCCGGCGGGTTGGGGGGTCGGTGTGGTGTCTGGAATGTTTGTGTGTCAGACAGAGGAGAGAGACTGGACTGAGTCGGTCGGGGTCTTTCTGAAAAGTGGGTTTAATGGCGTTCTTGGTCGCGGAGTGGCGTCCTTGTCTTCCCAGCTGGAGGTGAGGTTCTTGTTTCTCGCAGAGGGCGGGCGAGACGAGACTTGAAAAGGGAGACAAGTGTGAGAACCATCTGAGACTGAACTCAACACGCGGTTTTTTTTGGGAGGTGAGTCTTTGCGGGGTTCTGGTTTCGAACGCCCGGGTTTTACTTTTTGTTGTCTGACTTCGATTGTTTTGAACCCTGTCTGTCTATGGGCTGCTTGGAATTGCGGAGGAAATATGAGAGACAAAGCACCGCGGCTACGTTGATTGTGTGTTTAATGTCCCCTAAGAACTAGTTAGGCGACTTGCTCTCAATGCCACGAATAACAATGATTCGATTATAGAATGGTTGGTATCGTTTCAAGCTGCATGTATTTAGTAGTTCTAGTTATTTGCGTCTGATCTGGAGCTTGTCGTAATTCTTCACCTGGATCTATCCCTAATGAAACTAGGTCCGAAAGCTTTCAACCTCTGGCTAATTAGGACTTTACGTGCCGTAATAATCACCTTGGGGCAGCGGTGTCGACTCCCCTCTCAATTTGGTGATAAGTCTAACTTGTGGAAGTCACTCATGGAGGGGAGAAAAGAATTAAATACCCATACACCTTAGAAGGAACTCTAGGGTATTTATTAGTCGTTCGCTGATTAAATTCGTGTCTATAATACTCTAACCGCCTTTAGTCTCGATAGTATCCGTTATGATAGCATTAAGATTTGTGAGAAATGCGTTCTTAATACCAAAATTTAATTTCATTTGTATTGGAGAGTGCATTGTTTAGACTGTTGAACTTCTCACTAATAGCAAGCTTGTCTTTTGAAGTCTTTCCACACGAAAGAAGGAATACGTATTGCATATCTGAATCGGACCTGAAACAAGGTCAACCTGTCCAACGCCCATCATCACAGCCGAACCAAACAACCCTCCCTAGTACTCTCGAGCTCTCAACCTAAGGCAGGCGTCAAGACTAGTGCTAGGGTTTGTCACTAAAGCTTGCTGATAAACGAAACCCGTAATAAAGCATGCCGGACTTGGTCTCTCGGTCAACAGAGTCCAGCAACTGGTGTAAATTTCCCGCCAGACTTCCACCGTGCAAGAAAACAAAGGGCCTTTAAAACATGCGCAGTCACCTCGGCAATGAACAGCCGAGAGCCCGAGGCGAGTCTGGCGCTCGGGAGGGAGGTCCACGGCCCAGCCCCGTTCATGGATTCACGGTGTAGACCCGCAGCCATCGGAGCAATGGCGACATACGAAATTCCCGTCCCTGCCATCTACTCGTCAGGGCTACAAAAACGCCGTGACAAAGTCGTAAGCTCGTTGGTCTTTTTGTAGCCGTGAGTGACGAGCACTCTCCCTCTACCACCCCTACCCCGGAAGTTTACACAGGGCGTCGAGCGGACTACAACGACTGGATGGCGGATGCCGAGCCTTCAACTTCAGTAACCAGAACGCGCTCAAAGTATCCCTACGCTGTGGCCTTGTTAGCGCGATTAGGTAGGCGCCTCCTGTCCCTTAATTCGACATTGCACATAATATCACGTATTACCATGAAGTTTGTAATGCAGGGGTGCCGAAAAGGGGGAATGAGAGGAAAAGAACGAACGACATTCACTAATACCATTCACGCACGGCGCTAACCACGTACACCTAGATGGCAACACAACCCAGTTGCATGGAACAGAATTCATATCAAGCTGCGACCTGGTTCTGACCTAGTTCCTTGTAGACCGAGCTTCTATATATCACAAGCTAATTATCCATCACAACCTTCCAAGTTCCAGCCAAGAGACCCAACCCCGATGAATTCCTACTTCAACCCCTCCAGCAACGCCTGCAGCTGCTCCCACCCTTGACTGCCCTCCCAGGCCTCCCTCGCCTTACCGAGCACGCTGCGGATAGCGCTCCGGGCCCTGCCCTTCCACCTGGTGCCGATCTCAGGAGCCTCGGGGCCGTAGTTCTCAAGCGCCGACACGAGCTCGTCGGTGCGCGCGACCACGGACAGCCAGGCCTCCTTGTCCTCGATCCAGTTCTTCCCGCTACTGCCGCCAGACGCCGGAAGAAGGCCGCCGCCGCCGCCGCCGGCACTGCCCACAGCGGCACGCCACGCGCGCTCGGCAGCGTCGATGACGCCGACGTAGTCGCGCTTCCAGACGCGCTCGCGGGCGACGAGCTCCCAAAGCTCTGAGCGCGCTGTGATTAGCGGCACGACCTCTTTCTCGATCAGCTCGCACACGGCGCGCTCTGTGGTGCCGCGCGGGGGCTCGAAGACGCCGGTGGCGCCGTCGGCGGTGTCACCCGGCTTAGGCTTTGAGAGCACGGCCTCGTTGAGCAGCAGCCGCAGCACGTCGACGTCAAGCGCGTCTTCGGAGCTGCGGATGCGGATGACGTTCTGCAGGGCCAGGACAATGTCGGACACGGCGGGCGGACGCAGCCGCGAGCCGAGCGTGATCACGTTGTCCCAGATGCGCCAGTTGTCGTGCGCCGCGGACGCGCCGCGTTTGTATGCCGCCAGTGACTGTGAGAGAAGCGTTGCCGGGTCCTGTCGCGGCGGTGTTGTCTGCGACACTAATATCGAGTCGTCAACTGCGTTGTTTGAATCTTCTTCCCGTTCGCCTTCCCTCTCCTGCTCGTCTTTCTCTTTCCTGGCTTCCTTCACACGCTCAATATATAAGCTGTAAAGCGCGCTGCCCAGGTTACTCCAGGTGCGGGAATCGTCGCCGCCCGCCGTATTATCCGAGGACGCGATAGCCCTCCCGAATGCGTCGGCTGCTTCTGAAAAGTTTCCGAGACGCAGATTGATATCACCGAGGCGGTTCCACATTTCAGAGCTAAGACGGTTTACGCCGATGGCTTTCTGGTAGGCTTCCCTAGCTTTCTCCAAATCTTGCTGCTTGATGTAGTACTCGCCCAGCGACCGCTGTGCCCGCGCGAACCGCTGTTTTGAAACATCCCAGGCACGCTCGTAGTGGGCCGGCTCATTGTTAATGTCACCTAGGATGCAAAAAAGCCGGGGCGCGTTGTGAGGCGGCGGGCGGCGCTCTGGGCCATGGTAGTCGGCCTCCCGGAGCTGCAAGATATCAATGTTCACGTCCAGCTCCTCGTCTGAGCTGGTCTGCTCTTGGGATGAGCCGGTCTTGCGGAAAAGCCGCCAGCGGAGGACGGCTTTAGCCCTGGCCTCGTCGCTGCTTCCCCGGCCGTCTTCTTCGCTTCTCGCTGCGCTGCTTGCCAAACACAGCGCAACCTCGGCCCATAGCCGTAACCGTTTGAAGATTTCGAGGGCAGAGATCAGAGACCCCACGCCGACCCAGGAGTACGCGAGCTCGGACTCCAGATGCCAACGGGGCGGCGAGCTCAACACATGAATGTACTGCAGCCTGACAGGAGCTGAGGCTGACTCGGACGGTTTCGGTGCGGGAAAGAACGAGGTTGGCTTGTTCACCACAGGAGCCGGCTCCTTTTTGCTCCCAGATTCGCCATCGGCTGTGACTTGAATCGACGGGATGGCAGTGTCGGACAAGGCGGGCGCGGTCTGGGCTCCCACTTCTGGCGCGGCCGCTGTTGTGTCAACGACGACTTGGTCCACGATGGCCTGCAGCTGCATTACACCCCTCTCGATAGTGCGGCTCCTGTGCATTTCGATTCTCGACCGGACCAGGAGCGCTTGCGTGTAGATTTGCCAGTTTGTTGACTTGTCGGATATGACACGGACGGCATACGGCAGAATCTCCTCCGATGTCAGCGAGTCAGCGGGCGAGAAGGAGTCTTTCAGCGTAGCCTCGGTGAGCAAGATGATCTGGTCCAGCGGCGAGAGCTGCGGCTGCTCGTCGGGGAGCAGATCCTTCAGGGCGGCGGGAAGTGCGCTCGTGTTTCCGACCTCCCCGGTCTCTGTCTCCTCCTTTGTGAACTGCAAACTCTCGAGCAGGGTGTCGTCGTTGAGGGCGAGAGCCTGGGGCTTCGCCTTCTGAGCTTCATCCGCCTCCTTTTGCCCGGCCTCGGCGTCGCGGCTCTTGGCCAGCACGACAAGCTGGCTTGTGCTACTCTGCTGGAACTTGGTCCGCTTTCCCAGGGCGCCGGACACGGCGTAGGCCAGGCCGCTCAGCTCGGTTGCCTGACGCAGGGTCTCTTTAGCCCTCAGGTCCTGGCCTAACATGATGCAGACGTTGGCCTTCTCAACCATGAGCTCGGCCTGCGAGCGGGTGCTCCATCGCGACCCGTCGGAGCCGGTGACGACCTCCTTTTCGACCGACGCGAGACCCTGCTCGATGGTGTCGTGCAGGCTGGGCAGATCGCTCCACTGGGCTCCCTTGGTAAAAACAGATCCCGGGCCGAGACTCGGCTGCGTCAAAAGCTTGTAGTGCCAGACGTGGATGCGCAGGGCAAGCCACTGCAGCGACGTTTCGGCACCCTCGACGGCGTTGTCAGCAGCGTCAATGCTTGAAACCAAGCCGGCAGTGAAGATGAAGCGCGCGAGGCAAAAGAGCTCAATGTGCGGGATGTGGGGATAGACCGACACACCGTCGACGTCGAGCGACGTGAGGCAGGCCCTGCGCAGGACCAGCAGCTGTGCCTCTCGTCCCTTGCTGCTCTTGCTGTCCTCGCTTTCCAGCCCGCTCTTCTGGGCGGCACTCAAAAAAGAGTCGTCGACGCGGTGCACGCCGGCAACATCCAACACAGGGCCAGTCACGTTGGCCTGCAGGAAGGCATTGAACACAGCCAGGCCGACGGCAACCCTGTCTTGCTGTGTGGTGGTGTTGTCAACGCCGGTATTGTGTGTTGGTCCTGTGCCTGTTGCTGTGCCTGTTGCTGTTGCTGTTGCTGTCGCTGCTGTTGTTGCAGAGGCTGAAGCCTTCTTTTGCTGCGACTCGGGCGTTAGCAATCCACCGACAAAGGCCGCGATCAGCGCCTGGGCGGGGTCGCTGCACAGCACGTCGAGGTACCTCCCCGCGCGCTGCTGGGTGCCCAAGCTCTGGCCAACAGTGCTGGGGCCGGAGCTGGTGGACGTCATCATTAAATGTGAAGATATGTATGCACGAGTGTTTCGATCAAGCTATCGACAAAGTGAGCTGCGTTTCAGAGCTGACAGGGCTATTTCCTTCAGGATTCTGCCCCAGCACGTAGTGGACAGACTCGTGGAGTCGCCATGGAAATTCACATTTTTTTAGGCACAAAATGGAAGCGGGGGTGGGGCAGCAATGAGCTGCAAAGGGCCATGACGCACACAGGGGCGCTTATGTAACCAAACGTTGCGGTCTCAATCTTTTCCAGAACAATAGGGACGAGACCTTTATGTCAAAATATCGAAACACAAGACAAAGGCAAATTGCAAGCCATATGTCGAAAGCACAGCACCGTACATTACTTATATTTGTAGAGAACGCATCGCAACCAGAGTTGGTAATGATACTGCGCTAGAGTACACTTGTTCTACTAAATACCTAACTACCACAATACACACAACACCACAATACACACGATGCCTCCTTCGGCTACACTAATTCCCCCGTCGTAGCTGATACAAGTTGGCCAAACACAAAGCCCCGAGACGTTTTCCCCCTCCAGATTCGATGGTGTAGAAATGGCTCCAACAAGGGCGCTCAACGCCATCGCTCGCTCCATCTGAAGCCAGTGAGCGCTTGTGCTTGGGGCAATTACTCGAAAGCGAAAAACAAACGAGCCGGAAACTTGTACAACGCGGGCCCAAGCCCAAGAACACCCGCACTCGCAGGTAGAATAAGGCGAGGCGCCGTCAAAGTCAAGCACCCGCCTACTTCTTGCCCTTCCCTTTCTTAGTCGTCACAACCTTAAAACCGGGGACGTTAGCATCTTCCTTCGGCGTGTTGCTGCTGCTGCCCTTCTTCGCCACCTCGCTCCAGCCACCGTTGTTGCTGTTCTTGCTCTCGACGGCCAGCGCAGCAACCGGGTCCTTTTCGATGATTCCCCTGTCTGCCTGCTTCTTCCGGCGGACAAATTCTTCGCCGAAATGACGACCGTCCATTGTAGTGCTGTACTGATACACTTGTTCTGCAAGGAGCAGAGCATCAAGAGGCAATTCCAGCAAGTTGGAAGCGAAGACGTCAACTAGAACAACACGGTTAACATCCGAATGCAAAAAGCCTCTAGCCAAGACAACCATGGCCAATCACAGTACACTTACTATTAGCGACACCATTAAGACCGCGAACAAGCTCTCGGTTGAGCCACCTCTTGAACTCCTCCAAAGCCACGCTCTTAGCGTCGCTCGATCCGATCGAGGCTTGTTTCGACGCAGACTTCAACACGGTCGGCGTGACCGACACCTTGACGCTGCTCGCACTGACTGTGCGGGACTGCGCGGCAGGTCCGGTAGGGATTTTAACCTTACCACCAGCCCCAACTGTCGACCATCCACCACTGGCCGCCGGGACGGCAGCGGCCAGGCCGGGCGGTGTTGAGCTCTTGCTTGCTAGGTCCGCATAGCGCTTACCCATAGAAGATGCTAAGGCGGCGCTGGACTGGACGGCAGCCGCCTCTCTGGCCCTTTGCTTTCGGGCTTCCTCCTCGCGCTGAATGTCGGCCAGCGTCTTTTTGGCAGCGGCGCTTGCTGAGGCGGTGCCAGCGGCAATGCCCTTGGCAACGGCGGGTTGCTTCCACGGACTGCCTGTAGCCGGAGCGCCGACTGGCGACCCCGTACCCCATGTGCTAGTGGGTGGCAATCCCGTGCCCACGGCCGCGGCCTTCTCTCGCTCACGGAGAGCGGCCGCTTCCTGTTCCATGGCAGCACGACGCAAGGCAGCAGCGGCCTCCTCTCTCTTAGCCGCCTTCTTAGCTTCGGCCTCCTGAATCTCCTTAAGGCTAGGTCCCCTGTGCGCTTCCGTTCCCGGCTGTGGCGCCCAGGGCGCCGTGGGAGGCGGGGCCAGTGCAGGCGCGTCAGAAGACGAATCGGGGGTTCCAGACGCAGACCGATCGTCGTACTGTATGGGGAGGCTTGACTGGGGCCGTTTGGCAAGTGGTGCCGGAATGGGGCTGCCGGACCGCAACGGTGGGGGAAACGGCATCGGAAGTCCCGAAGTGGACAGCTGCTGAACAGGTTTGGAATCCGCAGCAGCTGCGTCAGCCTGTGTTCGCCGGACCCGCTCAGTAAGCGAAAGTTCCGTCCGAGACTGAACGTCGCCCTTCTTGGTGATAGCAACTTCCGACGTCGTCTCAATGACCTGCTTGGCGGCGGTGGCACCAGCACCCGCCGAGGTGACATCAGTCTTGTCCTCCCTCACATCGGCGAGGCGCTCTTTGGCTGCGGCTTCCTCGGCATCGTGCTGCGCGCGCAGATCGTGGAACTCTTGAATCCTAGTGCTGAATCCCTGGGGGTCCCTCTGAAGTTGATCAATTCCTGGTAACTGACTGCGAAGTCCAGTGCCATCACCTCCAGTAGGCTGCAACGTAAAACCAACGCTCCCGCCTGACTGCATGTTTGCCAGCACCTGGCGCTCGCCGAAATTCAGATCCTGGGAGAATTGGTCTGGCGCGGGTCCGATACCAGGCTGGGACTGAACCTGTCCCATGCCCGCAGGTGCGTCAAAAAAAGACGCGTTTGGGGCAATGTTCCCGAGCTGGGGCTGTGGAGGCATGCCGATTGGCGAAGCCATGCTTCCGAAGCTCGGCTGGCTCTGAAGGCTGTGGGCGCTGGAGTGGTGCTGGAGCGAGCCGGGCACTCCTGGCTGCATCGGCAGTCTACCGAATGTCGTCTGGTGGTGATGATGGGCCATCTCGCGCGCTCTGGCGTGATAAAGCTGCTCTTCTTGTTTCCTGCGCTCCAGATCATTCTGTTGCTGGGCCGTCAGAGTCCTGCCAAACGACGGGAATGCGTTCTGCAGTGGGGGAATAGCCTCAGGCCCTCCGATAGGGAAAGAGCCTCCGGGAGGATTAGGCCCATGTGCGACCCCCATCTGAGGCACGAGGAAAGGCTCGCGCGAGTTCCCGATGCGTCTAATAAGCTGGCCAAGTGGTTCAAAATCTTGGTCTTCGACTCGCTTCACGCGAAGATCAGCCGTAAAGAAGTTTGCCTTGTACCAATCATTCATCTCCAGTCCGTTGAAGGGACCCTGCATGGTGCCTTGGGGATCCAGGTAGACCCATCTCATACGGTCGGGCATTACCATCATACGTGGGGCTGAAGGGTCCCCGGCTGACTGCGTGGACGGGAATGGAAGGCCGGCAGACGAAGTAGGGAGGAATGACTGCCCCTGAGATGTGGTTGTAAGGCCGGGTTGGGGTTGCTCAGAGGTCGCAAAAGGTGACCGGTTGGGGTCGTAAAGCTCATCAAAAGCGACTCTGCCCGACCGGACCGGACTACCGGTATCACGATGCTGTGAGCCGATAGGGCCTCGACCGATGGCACCCAGAGGGTTGCTTTGTCTCAAATCCGGCACAGAATCACTCAGATTCTCCTGGTCTTGACCTTGCATCTGAGCTTGCATCGCGGGGGTGAAGAGCGAGTTCAACTTGCTGCCTCGGCCGAGCCCGGCACTGGACGCGCTGAACATACTGCCTAAACCTCCCAGGCCGGGAGACGGAAGGCCTTCCAACGGGCTGAATAGGCTACCCCCAAAAGCATTGTGGAATTGACGCTCACGGTCCGGTGTGCCAGCAGACGGAACTGCCGGCCATCCAGTGAGGGGGTTTACTGAAGCAAATCCTTTCGCGCCAACACTAGAGGTCTGGCTTCGGTCGCTGCCGTCGAACGCATTGGCGCCGAAAGTTCTCGGGAGGGTGCCAAAATTATGCGGTGGGTCGGTAGACAATCCGGAATGGCCATGCTTCTCCGTATCGTCGTCATGCCCATCGTCGCCACGGTCCGCCAGCGGGCTCCGGTAAGGATTTGTCTCTGAGGGACTCGCAGGGCCGTTTGCTCCATGTCCGCCTAGGTTGAGTCCAGACATTCCAAAGTCGCCGGCATTCCCTTTGACTGAGGTGTCGAACAACCCGACACGCTGATGTTGAGAGCTCAAGGGTGGGCTGTTGTCCTGTGCTCCGCCAAGGATCGCGCTGCCCGAAACACTGGGTTCGCCGGTGCCGGCAAAGGGGTCAGTATCGGTGCGCTGCCGGGGTCGCCATCCACGATTCCCCTCGACATTAGCGGCTTCGCCTGCCTTTCCCGCCACGTTCTCTGCCGATTCCTTGGGAATCAGATGAGCAAGACGGCTCCCGGAAGCGCCGAATCGCTTATTATCCGCGATTGCAGACGAGTTCAGTGCAAAACTCCCAAAGGCGCCGATTCCTGCGGATACAGAGCCGGACGGGGTTCCCCAGAGCGAGGGAGCTCCGAACCCGGCAGTGGCAGCGGTATTGATACGCGGAAGACCAAAGGACTGGCCTCGAACAAGCGGTTCGCGTGTATTGACGTCCTCCTCGGGTTCGTCGGTAATCGACTCCTTCAGCTCGGTGCTCCGGCGCGGAAGCCATGCGTCATCTCTTGGCAGACGGCCAGTACCCGTGGGGGAGGCTAAGGCAGCAGTCGAAAACGGATTGGTATCGCCCGTCTCTCGTCGGCGAGTGCCAGGCCGCGAGGCAGTTGACGGGGATGAAGTCGGGTGATTCGCCGTGGTCCCAACGCTGATGGAGGTCTTACGTCCATTCGGGCCACCCCCGACACCTTGGTGACTACCTTCCTTAGCCTGCGGCTGCAAGGGCTTGAGCGGGGAATTGACATCGGTGGCAAACATCTCGCGCTCTTCCGCCGTCATTTCTTCCAGGCCAACAGGCCTTACATTGCCATCCTGGTCCCAGCAGACAGTCGGATCTTGAGGGACATGGGAAGAGTCGCCACTAGGTTTACCCCAGCCCCTCGAAGAACTGCCGTTCACCTGCGTCGGGTTCCAGTTCGGCATGAAGAGACTCGATGGGTTAATCTGCGACGAAGGCTCGGAGTTTTTGTATTTTTGGTAGATGTCCAACAATTCTTCCTTCGAATAGCGAAGCGCGTTCGGGTCGGATGTAGCAGGCTGGGAGTTTGCAGACAAGGGCGCTACATCACCAGCAGACTGTTGTGAATTGTCGGCCGGGTTTGCTGCGGCGGACGTGGTGAATGGTGTGGTGGAGGGGCGGCGAAAAGTCCTAGTTCCGTTGGCTCGTGGCCTGTCACAGTTATCACCGTCAGCTCTGGAAAACAGAAGTGCAGATCATTGCGCGGGCGGGCCATGGCGGTTGCGGGGGTGAGCCGGGAGGCAGAGGGTGTGCGGTGCAGCTCTCGTGCCCTCGCGTCGGGGTGCAAAGCCGGCCTGACGAAACGATGACCAGCTTCGCGCCCGAGGGAGGGTGGTAGGACGTTGCGACAGGGGCTTTAGAGGCAGGCTGGGACTATGACGGGGCGGGTTGAAGTTGGGAGGACGTGCGGGAGGACTCACCATTCACCGCTCCCCGATCCGCGAACGGCATCGCCTCTAGGGTTCCCTCGCGAATCTCGCATTTGACCAGCGGCAGCAGAGGCAAAGCTCGACGGTAGCTGGGAAGGCATGATAGGATTTGTGCAGTCAATTACTTGGCAAGGTAACCGACGATGAATAGCCGATCAAAGAAGCGCTGTTCAGGATTGCTAGTGTTGTGAATATTTCGTAGTGCGATTAGGACAAGGTCAGGACAACGCAGCGAGGTTGGGAGCTATCCTTTTTTTTTTTACAGTTTCGAATGAGGTAGTGGAAAGGCAGATGCCGAGCAGCGAGACCCACAACGCTAAAAACGTGATTTTTCTCGTGACTCTTTCGACGCAAAGGGCAGCCAAATCGGGCTTGGCAGGGAGTTCCACCGTGCGAACTCGGCTTATCTGGCCTGGCTGCATCCTCTTTGCACTGTACGCGTTTCATCTCCCCATTTTTCCCGCCTTCGCCATCGGCCACAAACCGCTGTCACGCGTCGAATTGCGGATTTGCTTTTTTTTTTTCTTTTCCTTTTCTTTCCTTTTTTTTCTTTCCTTTTTTCTTTTTTGAAGTTACTTTCACGTTTTCCTGAGGTAACTCGGGTTAGGGTACGCCCACCTTGCCAGGCGACTTATCTCCAGGCAGGTCACACCTTAAATCTTTGACACGCTACAAATTCACGGCGCACAGGTCTAGGGCGCAAAGGTCTAGGACGCAATAGTGTTGGCCCGGGCCCCGTTTTGAAGACCGTCGACGGAAGCCACTCGCAAAAGTGACGTGTGTCTCCCTGTGTCACCCCTCGACAGCCCCCGTTCTGCTATGGTCAAACCAATGCATATTAGAGTACCGCCCTGAATCTGAGGCACCTCTAAAGTAATGGATGTTCCCTTGCGTTGCGTCTAGATGGAAACCTAAGGCACATGTCTAGATTTCGGTGCAAGTTATTTTCTCTAATTGCAGCAAATGGGACGTCCAAGTGTCCAGACGCAAGGAATCTATCCCAGCGATGGGCCGCAAAGGAAACTGTCAATTATACGGAGTAAGGTAGAGTACAAGGAACTAACTAGCTTCGAAGCATATCGTAGCGGTAGCCAGCTAAGACTTGATGCAAGAGCAGCTGCAGAGATTTTACTCAATAAGGTACCTAGGTATTCTTTTGCTAAATCATCTGACAGGGACGGAAGGACCCTCTCGGACCTTGGGCTGCTCGCTCCCCTCCATGTTTACCGCTGCTGAGTTTTGACCGTTGTTGGTCTACGTTGCCATGGAGACTCCGGCATTCGACCACGCACAATGAATATCCCATGACCATACATGAGACGGATGCCGTACAGTGTTTGTACTCACCCCCAATCTTGGCACAACTTATCATCTGTCTACCTACTTTAATATTAAGAGTAGCAATTTATTTTTATTCCATGTATTTTTGCTTACCTGACGTTTTCATCTGTTAGGGACCTGCTTTTTACTCTGATCTAGTATGTTCGTTTGAGCTCTTTTATGTCGGGTCATTATTCAAGCGAAAGCATCTGAGATATTCGTGAAACTGAATTCATGTGCCGCAGCTATTAAATTTCTTAAAAGCTGAATTTAACATTTCCTACTGAACCTTATCCTTCAGCTCTCTCACTGAGAACTCGAGCATTTCATTCGACGGCACTGCGTTTTCATCACGCAGCTTGTGGGCTGTCTGGACACCAGCAACTGGCACGTGGAACTCAAACTGTTTACTGCCGTCGCCGCCTGCAATTCCCGAAATCGGATATGGAAATAGCAGATACTCGGGCAGTAGGCCCAGCTGGCGGAGCACGGTGCCCTGGTCCCAGGCAATGTGTTCGTGATAGAGGCGGTCGCCGCGGATGTTGACGATGGCAGTGAAGGGGATGCTCAGCGGCAGGAAAGTGGGCGGGATGCCAGGGATGCTGCACAGGCAATTGCGCACAGAGTCAGTAGAGTGCTGATCTGAATCAAAGTATCGGTAACGAATACCTACAGCCAGTCAATGACGCGGTCGTGGGTGCAGTTGAACAGGAACTCGTCGACAATGCGATCGACACCAACAGTCCTGCTGATCAGCTCCAGAGCAGCATCGTCGGAGTTGCTGAAGATGAAGTGGTCGCGGTAGAAGCCGGTCAGGCTCTGGCGGCCGATGCCGCCCGTCAGAGTGGGCACGTGGTTGACATAGGGCTCGGCCACCATGGTAGCCATGGTCTCTTCGACGCTGCGGTCGGCGAATTCATGATGCGTGTGGTCGTCCCAGATAGCCTCCAGGTCGAAATAGGGGCCGTTCATCAGGGGTTTCAGGAATGCCAACGACCGCGTATGCGCCACGGCTGCAGAGCCAGAGCGGTAGTCTGCATGAGTTGGGATACTGAACATGTCGCGGGATCCTGGGTACGTGTGAACGGCATGGCCCTCTTTGCGCAGCACCGGTTCATGAATGCCATGGCTGTTCCTGGCCAGGTGGCAGAGGACCGGGACAGGCACTTCCACATTCGGGCTACAACCGTAGAAAACGGCCGCAACGATCTCGGGATGTGCTTGGACAGCCTCTATGAGGCTTTCGCTGACTTTTCTGTGAATGACTTTAAATCTCAAATCACATCAGCCGCCTGCCGTAGAGCAATGGTTTAAAGCTACAAAGTTGAAAAGAGCCAGCATGAACTCAAAGCAGATATGGAACCTTGGACGTCGACAAACCAGAATCGGGTTAATCAACAACAAAGTGGTACCACGCACCAACAAGGCCGACCTTGTCCACAGAGGAACACTCGGGCAGCTTCGCAAGCTCGGCCAGGGCAACAGCCAGCTGGCCAGGCAGCGCGGAGGCGTGGTCGTCGACGCGGATCTGCGCGACGGCGTAGCCTTCCTCGGCCCACTTCTGCAGCGGTGGAGGGTCGAGCGTCTTGCCGTGGTGGCTCAAGTCGAGGTCGGCGGCGACAACGAGGATCAACCCGGGACCCGCGCCCCGCCACGAAAGCGGGGGTTGCATGGAGATTTCAGCCGTCACTTCGACGCATGACGCGCTAGGCCCAGCCAGGGGTGGCTTGGAGCTCATTGTTCTGACTGGAGCCTCGATGTGAATGAGGGGAGCTAGTTTGGGTGACAGCCTGATGGCTCGATGGGTGGTGGTGATATCGCGGGGTTTGTTGATGGCGGAGAGTGAGGAGGAGGCGGGTGGAGGATGATCACTAATGTCTTGGCCTGTCTCAACCTTTATTCAGACTTGGACATGTCTGGCCAGCCGCACTTCTGTGAGCAACTTGGAGATGATGCAACAAGGACATCCTGGTTTTGTTGGTGCAATGTGTGACTGCGATTCTTTGTCTATGGTAGTTTTGTCCAAGGTAGTCATCTACGGAAGCGCGAGTGCCCGTGTTCTTCTACATTCTAGTCGATACACAACATCCACTACAAGTAAACAAACACTGCAAGTACAGCATCCAGCCGACAACTTCGGCCTCTCCAATCCAACAGTTGGCAAGGGAATGGAGCCTCGGTGCGAGATAGTGGGCCTACCATGCGCTGTGGGTGCCGCACGTCAATGCTGCCGGATTCGCAACACGGCAGCTGACAGGAGGGAGGTATGGAGAGTTACCACGGCAACGACTATCGCTAGTCATCTATGCCGCTCTTGCGCAGGACGCAGAGTCTGGAGCTGGTTATGGTGGCCGAGTCCGAGGGGCTGGAGTTGGCGACTTTGAGGATCACAAAGGAATCCCAGCTTGTGGGAACAGGAGGTGTATGACGATCCGGGCAAGGCGGATATATAGTCTGCGAGCTAACTACGCCGTGGTGCTACCTGATCTCTTGGCTACTTGTCTTGGCTGCTTCATGCAGTGAGCTTCTCATAATCTGTCAAATAACGACCGCATCTTGGCATATGACTACGTCTCTAGGCCAGGTCCCGCACGTGTATTCAACTTCCACTCAGGGGGACACGAGGCTCGAGCACCGTGAAAAGCCCCGCCTCGTGGACTCGGCATTCAGACGGCCCACTCGGAGTATTCTGTTGTCTAACCGTTGGTGGTTCGAGGCTCCGGGCCCGGTCTCCGAAGGACTCGAAGGGTGGTGCAATCTCAAGAAACTAGAACAAGGCGAGGAATTGGACAAAGAAGAAGAAATCGCACAAGTCAACAAGCGAAGAAGGCCCTTGGAAAATAGGGCAGGTATTAGCCAACAATACTCCCCTGGCGTTGCATTGTTATTGGTGGCTATATGACTATACCAATACCAGGGCCTCCATATGTTACACGGCAGGCTCGGTTCTTCCCTCAGAACTATTCCAAACTAGCAGCAAGTCCACTCAGTAAGCGAGCCGAGCGGTGGTCGACTGACTGTGGCCGGGTCGAATCTCAAAATTCTCCACGAGAGATCGCGGGGAAGCATGTTCGTCTGGTGCTGAGCAGGTGCGTGTAGATCCAATATCCACATACGACATGACAGATCACATCAGCCCTGCTCCGTTGTCGAGTTTGCCCGTACCCACGGCTGGCGGACTCCCTTCACTTTTGTTCACGTCTACGACCAACGCCGAAGCTTGACCGACGTCTCTCCCCGTGCGAGACTTCGAGGCATCGTCTTACGCACAGGGGGTGCTCCCGAGCGCAACGGCAATATATTCAGGGCCCCGGGACTCGGCAATGGCGGCCGTCGCTTCTATGTCGCAGGTCGGTACCGGCGATGTCTTATGGCGCGTTCGTAAAATTTTTTGCCGTTGCGTGCAGCCCTGTGGCTTTCTCGGTAAATCCTTCGGCCAAGGTAGGGAGGTGGTGATGATGCAACGCCCCAAAACGCATCCAAACCGGGTGAGTATTTCCTCAAAGTGCCGTGTGTGACACTGCATCTGCGAGTAGTAAGCCGGCATCATACCTTCCAACTCGGCATCCGAGCTCACCTTACCGAGTGGGAAAGCTGTCAACTCAACTCTGAGCTGCCCAAACGAGAAAGAAGACGCAGGTTGTTCTATTTCACCCGCCCCCTAGGGTCGCATAATAGCCAAGACCACTAGGCTGGCGCTACCCGACGAGAACTAGGTGAATAAACGAGATCTCCAGGCCTATCGCACCCTCACTGCCACCGTTCGAGTACATGACCTTCCATCCGCATCTGCATTCGCTGCCCTCAGAGTCTGCTAGTGCGCGGCTAGGCTCCCAGCAAAACAGAAGAACGGCCTCGACCCAGCGCCAAGCCAGCACTGGATTGACCGAAGATACCAAACATCAAGGAAACAAAAAAGCAACCGGCCCGCGCCGTCTCTACTGGCCACTAAAGCGGCCCACGCCAGAACAAACTTGAAGTCGCGCAATGTGTATGGCGGGGTTGGAACGGCGACAGCAACCGGACTTTGCCCTAGACATGATAGTTCGGAAGCATGCGGGCGGCTCTAGCATGGATGCACCCTGCGTGCCATGTGTCTACCGTCTAGTAGTAGCACAGCCCGAGTCTCGGCAGCAGCCACCATCACCACCATCAACCGCTCCGCTAGCCGCGACAGCAGCAGAACTACTAACAGCGACAGCAGCAGAACCACTAGCAGCAACAGCAGCAGAACCACTAACAGCGACAGCAGCAGAACCACTAGCAGCGACAGCAGCAGAACCACTAGCAACAGCAGCAGAACCACTAACAGCAGCAGCATCAGCATCAGCATCAGTCCGCGAACGGTCCCCGCGCCACCGCAATCCACCGGCCGGGCTCGCAGGCCTTACCGCTTTCCGTCGTCGCCAACCATCAGGATGCGGCCCTCGACCTTGGGCGAGATGGCCTTGGTCCAGGCCACAGCCCCCTCGCCGTCGGGCAGGCTGTCGCAGGCCTGGCCCCGGACGCCCGCCAGGCGGCACCACTTGCCAAAGACGCGGCGCATGGTGCGCAGCTCCCGATCGACGTCACGCACGTCCTGGGCGTAGCTGCTGTCATCGCCAGCGTCCTCGTGGTCCGTGTCGTTGTCGGCGTTCTCGACCAGCGGCGTGACGCTGGACCGCCGGTCGCGCAGCTTGGTGGGCGTCCACTCGGCCCAGCTCTCGCGGCTGTCCCTGGTGTCGGTCCTGGACAGCCCAGGGCCGCCGGCGGGAGACGAGGGCGACTCCTCGACGACAGCGGCGGACGTCGGGTCGACGACGGGGTGGCTCTTGGCGACGCCGGACCCGACGCGGTGCCAGTGGCGGTCGAGCGACGGGCCCCAGCGCGACCACCGGTCCATGACACGCAGCGACATGAAGTACTGCCGCAGCATGGCCGAGATGAGCATGCCGTTCTCCTCCGACACCACCTCCTCGCACACGCCGCCCTCGGGCTGCACCAGGAGACTGTCGTAGCCGTCCTTGCCGCGCGCCATGTACCCGCGCGTGGCAAGGACGTAGATGCGCTCGGCGTCGAGAACTGCGCCGGCAATCTCGGCCCAGAGGATACGAGATCCGGGGGGCTTGGCGGGGTCGAACTTGAACCTGATGTTCGAGACCTGCGGGAACCGGCCTGCAGCAAACGGGTCAGCAAGCTAGAGCAAAAGTAAAAGGTCAAGTGGGAAGGCACCAGCCACTTACCCTCCAGGGCCGGGTACATGGACACGCCGTTCTCCAGGGCGTCCCATATGGCCTTGCCCGAGGCCTTGATGACGACGACGGGGTCTTCAAAGGGGAAGCAGTCGGTGATGTCCTTGACGCGGACGGGCCCGGGCGTGTAGATCTGGTCGCCGCGGATGGTGCCGGCCGCCATGAGCGCGCACTCGGCCTCGTAGTGATGGCGCATGATGTCGCAGACGAAGTTGCCCAGGTTGCTCTCGCGCAGCCGCACCGTCGTGAAGCGCGCGTCCAGCGGCGCTGCCGTCCAGCCGATGGGCTTTTCGAGGCTCTTCTTTAGCCGCGCCGTGAGCTTGTCGACGAGCGCAAGCGTCTCGCCGTCCTCAGGGATGGCCTTGACCACGTCGCGGCGCCAGATGTCTACGTCCCACCGCCTGTCAGATGACGTGGACCGGCGGAGCTCGAGGTAGCTAAGCTGCTTGAAGTCGCTGCCGGACCGCAGAACGTGGGTGCCGTTGATGAGGCTGTGGGCGTAGAAGTGGTCGTGGCCGCCCAGGATGATGTCTATAATGCCGCCCAAGTTCTCGGCGAGCTTGTCGTCGTTGGGCTCGCGCTGGTGCGTCAGGGCGATGACGACGTCGGCGCCGTCGGCACGTAGCTGCGGCACCAGCTCACGCGCAACCTCGCTGGCGGACCGGTAGATGAGGTTCGGCGGGAGCGAGTTGATGGTATCAAGCCACTCACGCTCGCCGAGACCGAGCAGCCCGATCTTGATGCCGTTCGACGCCGTGATCATGTGGGTGCGCTTGGCATTGCCGAGAGGGACGCCGTCTCCCAGCGCAGGGTCGAGCACGTTGGCCAGCAGCCAGGGGAAGTCGCACTTGGACGTCAGATGGCGGAACTGCATGACGCCAAAGTCGAGATCGTGGTTCTACATGCGATTGCGGCAAGTGATATGGCCAAGCTGTCAGCAACCCCCGTTCAAAGGTACAGGTCTATGACATGACATGGACGCCTGGCATCTGTCAGGCAAGTGATAGGAACTGACCTACCCCGACACAGGCACAGCGAGTCCCGATCTTGTTCAGAAGCGGGATCATGTGGGCACCTATAACCTCAAATTAGCTGGAGGAGGTGATACAGTAGGTACCAGTGCTATCACCGGCCATATGTACACACCTTTTGTCACGGAACTCTCCAAGCTCGGATTGAAGACATCGCCAGAAAAGAGCGTGACTAGCTCGGGTTGGCCGTGGAACTGCTCGCCGTCACGGTATTCGTTGCATAGAGACACGAAACGCGCAACGCCGCCGACCGGCTCCGAAGACGAGGGGTCGAGGTGGTAGACATCATTGAAGTGGAGTAGTCGCAAGTCGGGCGGCGGCGGCGGCGGCGGCGACTCTGGCGCGAGCCGGCCCGAGCTGAACGTCACCGTGGCCGTAGCGGACGGCTCGGCCGTCGTCTCCGAGGGTCCCATTACGAGCGGCGAACGGTATTGGTGGCAGGCACTTTTAATTAGAGAGCCGGGGCTAATGTCAAAAGACCGGGCTTTGAGAACTGAGTACGCTGGCTTTTCAAGACGCTGAAACTTTGAGCCCGAGGTGTGTGAAGTCAATGCAGCACATCAGCTCATTATCGAGATGTTGCTGTGCTACCAACTGGAGGCCGCTGCCAGTACCCACGGTGCGCTCAGTTGATGCTTCTCATTGGCCTGCAATGCACGGTACGGAGTAGGGAGCCAGTGGGTTACCTGAGTGAATCGTGTCTACAATCAGGGGGTCTTGGCTCGTGGCGGAAACCTCCAACTTCCCATCCAGCTTCCCATCCGGAAAGGCCAGCTAGGTTCTCGTGCTCGCAAACTGTATAATGGATACACTGCACCACTGCTGCAGGCCGAACAATGTGGAATAGATGCACGGAGAATGATCTCAGCTGAGTTGGTGCAAGCGAAGACGAGGCTCAAACACCAAGCTCTGGGCTGACGATTACCCGGGCGCTGCATCGAATTAATTCAAGGACGGCAGCCATGTGCGGGGGGATTGACCCCTTTGAAGCCCTTGGTTTCCAGGCTTGAGGGCGCCAAGCCAACCAACGAGCTGAGGAGCCCCCACATGTCACCAAAGAGATGAAATCCTGGTGATCGACGGTGAGCGGTTGGCCTCTCGAAGGTCAACTCAAAGTCTGGAATCCATCCAAATACTTCCATGGAGCACCCGCGCCTTCCAGTTCCTTCCTCTTGCCCTGACAAACTCGTCGGGCCCTCCCATGCACACGCAGTGGGTATGGACGCCCTTCTTATTACCGCCTGCAACTACCCCGCAACGCAACAACGATGTGGGCGGGTGCTGCGGGGCAATGCGCAAATACGCAAATCGCAGCAGGGAAATTTGGCACCCGCCCGGGTTGGCCGAGGAGAAAAGGACAATATATAGCTGCGTCGTGATCGAGAGAAGAGACGAAACCTCCATTCGGGATCAGCAGAAGACCAGAAGACGTGACATACGAAACACCAGCTCCAATGGCATCCAGCGGCCCCGTTGTCCGCCACGCGCGGCGAGAAGGTCTGTTCACGTTGCCCCCGGCGCTCCGACTCCCGAGGAAAAGGAAAGACCGCTCCTGCTAACATTCCGTCCCAAACCCTCAGACGTCCCCGCCATCCTGGACCTGATCCGCGAGCTGGCCGACTACGAGCACGAGCTGCACAGCGTCGAGGCCACCGAGGCCAAGCTCCTCGACACCATCGCCTTCGCGCCGTCGGCGGCGGATGAAGCCTCGGCGACCACGGCGGCGGCGCCAAAGGGCCTGCCCAACACGGAGCCCATCTCGCCGACCAAGCCGGCGCGGTGCCTGATCCTTCTGACGCCCGCCGGCGTACCCGCCGGCATTGCCCTCTACTTCTACAACTACAGCACGTGGCGTGCGCGGGCCGGCATCTACCTCGAGGACCTATACGTCAAGCAGAGCGAGCGCAAGCACGGTTACGGGAAGCGCCTGCTGGTCGAGCTGGCCAAGGAGGTGGTGGCCATGGAGGGCGGACGGCTTGAGTGGAGCGTGCTCAAGTGGAACACGCCGTCGATCCAGTTCTACGAGAGCATTGGCGCTCGCATGATGAGCGAATGGGTGGGCATGCGCGTCGATGGCGACGGCCTTACAAAGCTGGCCTCGCTGCTGGACTGAACGATCAACGAACGGCGTTCTCAAGATGGGGGCGGGGGCAAGGGAACGAGTCTGGTAAAACGTAGACGTGTATATCGAGGTAATGTGCCCCTGCCCATCGCACAGATGTCTGGCGGTTGGCGATAGACAAAAACAAAACAAAAGATCAGTCAAGGACCTTGGGCTCCATCTCCCTTTCACCTCGTTTATGGCGTCATTAGGTCCTCTTTGAGGCCTTGAGGCCAGTGGACCCTTCGCGTTTTGATATCCGACCTTAAGAGGACGGATCTTCGCCTCCAGCTTCGAGTCTTATCCTCTTCCGCTCTTTGCGCGAGAGGCCGGTTGAATCGAGTTTTTGGACTTGCGGTTTGTCGTCAAAAGAGATGCCCTCAAAGATCTCGGCACGGGCTTGATTCGCCACCGGGGGTTCAAATCTGATCTTCCCCCATTTAATGTCCCAGCCATCGCCAGTGGGCTTTTTCTCCATGTAAGACGACATCATGAACACATCCCCCACTACACTCCGCCAGGTCCGCGGCGTGAATTTTCCTTCGTGGATTGCCCGGGTGTCCCCCATCGGGGACGTATCGTCCACAGCACCGCTCAGCAATTTATTCCGCCGGCTCTTCTGTATATCAGCGAAGGCAACGCGCCTTGTGGCGTACAGCTTCCAGTCCCAGCGCTCGCCCTCTTTCGGCGAGCTGCTCTGCGCAACGGTACGGCGCGGCGGGGCCCACGGGTTCTTTGTCGTCTCGTTATTCCCGAGACTCAAGTCGCGAAGCATTTCCCATTCTTTTTTGGGCAGCGGAGGCATGACCCGCTCGAGCATATTCCTCCACCATTTCCGTAACCTGGAACGCGCAAGCTTGGGAGAAGGTGGCCTTCCCCAAATGGTTTCCTTGAGCACGACATTGGTCGGGTCTAGTGTCTTCCCAGCGACGCTCGGCCTCGGGGAATTGTCGAAGGGATTCAACGCCTGCGACTTGAGGAACGCTTGCAGCTTCTCCAAATTCCACCGGTCGAGCCAGTCAGAATGCCGGTTCAGTAGGTCCTGGCTTGCCAGCGTCTGCATAAATTCTTCTAGTTCTGCCTCATCGGCGGGAGGCTCCCGGGCAAAGATTTGATGTAAAAGCTGCCGTCGCCGAAAACCAAGGCGGCCAAAGATTTCGAACAGCACAAAACGCATGCGGGGGAAGTCACCGTTATTGGCGGCCCGGAGATACCGGAGCTTATGGTTGCCTTTCCGAAGGAGAGTCTTCAGGCGCTCGGGGTCTTTAGTGTTCCTGTGGCGGTCGAATCGTGATCTGATGCGTTCACGGGCGACGGGCTGCGCAAAGGGCGGCAGGTACGACGCCTCGCGAAGCAGGTGCCGAAATATGTGTAATGGGGTTTTGGGGGGTTGGTGGTGGAGCGGACGCGGCATCCTAGCTATTTGTAGACGACGGCGTCGCCTTCTAATACATCTCCAGACTAGGCCGGCAGCGTGTCGTGTCCGTCGTCATCCCAGATGCGCCGCTCACGTGTAGTCATCCAGCTGTTGCTAATGCCGAGCAAACACCCAAAACTTTGCCGGGTGGCGTGAGAGGCTTGGCGCGGATTATGCTGCGTTTTACCGTTATACCGTCGTGTTGCTAGGCTGCGCTAAGTGGGTGAATGAAAGCACGCGCACGCTGGCCCGTCTACCGTCTTTGGAAAGTTGCCTCCGTAGCTGAGGTGCCCGGTTTCCAAAGCGAAGTTTCACCAGGTGCTCACCCGACGGCGCTTGATTGGATGCAGCTCATTGAGTCTCTTGGTGGTCTGTGCTCCTGGCACGCGAAAACTCGGTTCGCTGTCTCCCCCGCCCGCGTTCCCCTCCAGTGAAGCGAGCCCCGCTGGGCCGTGCTGCTCATCTCACTCAGGACGCGCCCGTGCCAAAACCTGACACGGCCGCCAGAACACGAAAATCGCACGTCGCCATCCCAGCTTAATTGAAATTCCAAAAGGGGAACAGTCTTCGTTCGACATTCTGCGACAGGGTTCCTTGCTATCGAGCTGCGGTGTGCGAGTCAGATATCTCAACCTCGTGTGCTCTGCCTCTTGTTTATCACACACCTTGGTATCCGCACCGCGCCAACAATACCCTTTCTTCTGCGCTGCAGCGACTCGACTCGAGCTGCAAGCGCATCAACTAAGGTCACAACCTAGTTCACACGTCCCCTCCGCGGTCCACTGCAACGCACCATCCTCGCCTGCTCCTCTCGTCGTTGCAGGGGCCATCCTCTCTCGTTTTGCGCACACAGTTCGCCATCACCGCTTCCTTCATCCATCTTGGTCAGCGTTGTTGGAAGCCATCGTCGGATTTCCACTGGCGGCCGACCAAAACTATAACAAACTATTGTCGCTCTCTCTCTTCCCAACACCCAACACCCTGACCACACGCCTAGACGCCAACTCTTTCACGTGCCTCTGACTTGGATGGGCGACTGATGGCCTCGACAACGGTTACAACTTCGTCAACCGCCCCTTCCCCCCTCCATTCCCACCGCGCCTCCTTCTCCGGGAGCGCAACAACCAATTTAGTGCCCGTATCGCCGGTCCCTCAACCGGCCGCTGCCCCCAATCCGCCGACGTCGTCGTCGTCGTCGTCGTCAAACCCCTTCAACCCCAGCACCATGCCGCCGCCCCAAATGGCGGTTGCCTCGCAGCAGTCGCAACCATCTTCGCAGCAATCCTTTTCCATAAGCCAACCGTCTTCGCAGACCGCCAACGTTTCCGCATCAGTCTATCGCCAATACACTGACCCGCCTCCCAGACTACCGACCGATCCCGTCATGTCAATTTACTCGGTTGGTGCCGCCACATCCCTCCCGATGCGCAACGCCAATTGCCGTGCCGCAGCTTGAAACTAACGAGACCCTTCCAGGCCACGTACTCCGGCGTGAACGTGTATGAAATGGAGGTGAACTCCGTTGCCGTCATGCGGCGACAAAACGATGCGTGGCTCAACGCTACCCAGATCCTTAAGGTCGCCGGGGTTGACAAAGGCCGCCGCACGAAAATACTCGAAAAGGAGATTCAGACGGGCGAGCACGAGAAGGTGCAGGGCGGCTATGGTAAATACCAGGGCACGTGGATCCCGTTTGAGCGCGGTCTCGAAGTGTGTCGCCAATACGATGTCGAAGGGCTGTTAACAAAGCTCCTAACTCACAATCGTGGTGGACCAGAGGGGGGGGCGGGTGACGTTGATACGCCCACCAAGGAGCAGGCTATGGCGGCGCAAAGGAAGAGGATGTACAATGCCAGTTCCCAAGAAAATCGTGGGAATGGCTTAGCGGGGACGTTTTTTAAGAACATATCGTCCACAGCATCCCATGCCGTCGCTGCCATTAGCAAGGCCCGATTCGACTCTCCTGCGCCTAGAAATCGCAGTGGCCCAACTCGAGCGCCTAGCTTCAACCGCCAATCTTCAATGCAAGAGGCGAACGAGCTCCCAGCAAATTCGCAACAGAGCTTTGTTTCCGACTACGGGCAGAACACCGAGTCGGCATTTGGGTCCCAGACCACCCAGCCGCTCAACGGCGGCGACAGCTTGGAGCAACCTCCCCGGAAGCGCCAAAGGGTGCTTACTCCCGCAAACAGTTTCGGCGGGCTAACCCCGACATACCCGCCATTGGAGTCTTACGCCGCAAACTTTCCCGGTTCTCCGACTGAGCCGAACGAGTCGTTCATATACTCGCAGGCTGGCCTCAATAACGAGCCGGAGCCCCATTACGGGCCCGGCCCGCTCCGGCCCCTGCCATATGAGATGTCGCCCGAGGCTGAGGCAAAAAGAAGCATGCTAATGGGTCTTTTCATGGACCCCAACGGCCCGGACGAGTCAAAGCAAAACGTTCTGCGCAACATGACCCCCCAGCAGCTAGATGCGCCCATCGATACGCAGAGCCATACGGCCTTACACTGGGCTGCGACCCTATCCCGCATGCCTCTTTTGCGGTCCCTTATTGACGCTGGTGCAAGCCCATTTAGGGTGAATGCTTCGGGAGAAACTGCTCTGATGCGTGCCTGTGTGGTGACAAATTCTATGGACCTTAATACCTTCCCCGAGCTACTTGATGTGCTGGGTGGCACGATTGACGTCACCGACGACAAAGGGAGAACCGTGCTACACCACATTGCTGTTACCAGCGCCGTCAAGGGTCGGAGCATTGCCAGCAGATACTACCTCGACAGTCTTCTGGAATGGGTTGTGCGGCAAGGGAGTGCCCCCAGCAGCCAGAATATTCCCAACAGTAACGGTATCAGCGCGCCTGCGAGGATGGGCATCGGACGCTTCATTAGCGAGATTGTCAACGCCCAGGACCACAGCGGCGACACGGCCTTGAACATCGCCGCTCGCATTGGCATACGAAGCATCATCTCGCAGCTTCTCGAGGTTGGTGCGGACCCAAACATTGCAAACCGTGCCGGCCTTCGGCCCTTGGACTTTGGGATTGGAGCCGAAGCGGGTGAACAGGCCAATGGCGAGTCCAACTTGGAAAGAAACGGCGTTGCGCAAGGCTCAAGTCACAAGAGCAGGGAAAATAGCGACGACGTGGTAAATTGTGAGTGAATCGCCCTCCGCAACTCTTGTTTTTGCTCTTGTTAATATTTTGCCAAAAGCCATCACACACCTTATTGGCGAGACATCCTCGCTTTTCCAGGCCGAGCTAAAGCGGAAGCAAGACACGATTGCCTCTCTGCACAACTCGCTACGAACCACCTCGGGACAAGTTGGTGAAGCTCGCCGCACACTTGAAGCCCTGCAAGAAAAGCTGAACGCGCAACAACTTGCGCGCCAAATGGTGGTCAATCTCAAAAGAGCCTGTGACGAGGAAGAGTATCGGCTATTGCAGGTTGAACAGCGTCATGGACGGCTAGACGTGGCAAGTGCAAACGCTTGGGAAATGGAGCTTGAGGCGGCGCTCAAAGGCGCGTCGAACCCCCAAACGCAAGATACACCGGGGGTCAACGGCCACAGCCCGGGGCTCCCAAGTACTGCAGTACTCCGCGCTAGAATCAACGCCCTTCGCAGTAGCTCCACCCAAACACGACAGGCGGTGGCAGCTCTTCAGGCGAGGAGTAAAGAAAGAGAGCTCAAATATCGCCGCCTCGTATCGCTCTGTACACGGCAGCCAGAAACAGAGGTGGACACGCTGCTGGATACGCTGACGAGAGCGGTAGAGTCAGAAAAGGGCGAGTTGGAAATTTCCAGAGTCCGGAGGTTCTTGGGAGGAGTCGAGGGCGTCGTGCACTAGTAGTGGCCCGCCCTACTACTCCCCTTGTCTCTTTTGAACTCCTGTCTAAGGAGTTGTTCATCTTCATGTACCCTGCTTGACATTGCAGCAGCCTATTTTGCTTTTCACGCACGTCTCGGATCTCGGGCATGGGATGGATGGATGGACTGGACCGGGTGCGTCATGGCGTACTTGGAGTTTTTTGGTTGCTTGAAAGATCATGTTTTATTCCCCCGTGGTGCCTAATAAGCATGTCCTTGTTGCTTCAATACGGTTAAACATCTTGTGAGTTTCTTTACTGTATATAACTCCTTTATCGTAGCTGTTGTCGAATGCAAGTATACCACTTTGCTTTAGTGTTAGCTCCCAATAATAGGTTACTCGCACGATTGCTATATTAACAGGGACAATTATGATCAAAGCACGACGTTCACATGAGACGGGCGCCGTTGAATGAAAGTCGTTGACTTCTCTGTTTACATAAAACACATCTAGCTCACATCATACCTTGGCGTGGATAGAAGAACATTGGAGTTGCAACCCAGTGGTAAACGCGTAACACGTCCATACAATGACTGCGAGCCCGAGAGAGAGCTAGGATGGTATGTTACAAGTGTTTTGTATTATATGCCTCGGTTTTTACTAGCGCGGTAATTCTCTACACTCTGTAGTGTGTATGCAATCTGTCGGCCCATGGTATCAATCCGTCGAATGCTGCCCAACGCCCAAATCACATTTAAAAGGTGCCTAGGTAGGTGTTCAAGCACCGACACTAAACCCAAACGACCCGTCAAACACGTCCAGGCGGACCACGTCTGCGTTACCACGCATCGCCTTGAGCACGTCCAGCGACGGCACCCGGCCCGAAGGGTAGTAGCGCAGCAGGTTGTGCATGTCCTCTTCGGTCAGGCCGCACATCTCGTCGAAGGTGTAGGCGTCACTGACCTGCGTCATCCAGGCCATGCGCCGCGGCCCGTCCTCGGAGCGCGGCGCCAGCTGCCGCAGCTTGACGCGCAGCTGGCCGACCGTCTCGATGGCGCGGCCGGCGTCCCCCGGCAGCTGTCTCGCGATGAACTTGCGGATGGTGCTGGCCAGCCGCGGGCCCTTGCCGTTGGTGCTGACCATGATCTGCAGCGGGCCGTCGCGGTGCACGCTGCCAAAGTAGAAGTCGCACTCGGGCGGCACGTCGGCGATGTTGGCGGGGATGCGCCGCTCCTTGCACAGCTTCCAGATGGCCGTCGACGCCTGTGGGTCGTCAACCGCCACTAGCACCATGTCGGCGCCGTCGAGGTCCGACGGCTCGAACTTGCGGTCGATGTGGGCGACCTGCTTCTGCGCGACGCGGTGCGCGACCTCGGGGTTGAGGCCCGAGGCCGGGCCGACGACGGTCACGAGGGCGTCGGCATTGAGGCAGTTGAGGATGCGGCCGGCGGCAACCTAACGCGTTTTCGACGTTTCTGGTCAGTCTGGCGGTTGCAAGTCGAGATGAGACGGGGTTGTTCGATGCCCAATTGGGGAAAACAAAACAAGGAATAGCAGGGGAAAGGATGGAACTGACTTCGCCCCCGCCCACGACGAGAACCCTCTTGCCTTTGACCTGCCAGGCGACGATCAAGCTCCCGCCGCCTTGCACCTCGGGAAACTTCGTTTGTGTCTCAGCCATGGCTCGTGTCGCCGGCGGTTGTCAAGCTGGAATGGCTCGGTTGCCGCGAAGGTTGCAGGTGAATCATTTCGATTGGGGGAGGAACTGCACGAGAGGCTGGAGCTGGGATGACCTAAAAGAAAATGATGGTATTGGATGGGTGCCCTCGCTTCAGCTTTCTTTTTCCTGGAGGGCGATAACGATAACCAACCTTAAACTGGGACCTGTCCGGGTTCGTTACTCCATTATAAATCAGTGCGTACGCAATGCATACAGCACGTATTCTGTACACGGACTACGCACGCTCCTCAAAAAGACGCAATTCAACGCAATTGCCTTCGACCTTGCTGCGTGGTTGATGTGTACTAACTACCTATGTACAAACTGGCAAGTATTACAGTAATAATGTCCCCACCGGACCGCGTCACCGGAAGCGTGCCGACCTTGAACCCTTTAGACGGGAAGCCAGCGAGCCGGTGGTGGGCAGATCCCTGCAATTAATAAACCAACTAGGAAGGCACCCAAGGTATCCATAATTTACCTAAACCTTCGCACTGTCCTTGGCACTTCTCTAACGCAACCGCCGCAGCTCTGCCTGCTTCTGGACCCCTTGGAGCAGCCATGTCTTTGCCACAGCAATCGCAAGGAGGAGAATAGGCTGCACCAGCGAGTGCGGGCATTCTCTGCACAGTCCTCAATCAACGCGACAGCCCAAAGCCGGCATTTCCATCCCGTCATGTCGGGCCGGAAGCTTGGGGGAGGGAGGGTGCTAGGAAGCGGGAAGGGCCTCGCCCCGCCATCCTCGTCGCCAGCCCCAGTCTACTCTCCCAGAGCTGCGAGCCCCTTCGCGCCTTCGGATAGCACGTCCGTTTCTTTTCACTCGCGCAACTCGACCCAGAACTCGATATTGCCTTCGCCCTCGTCTAGCCCCATTCCCGACTTCGCACAAGACCTCACCTCCAACATCAGCCTTGCCGGCCCCTCCAATGGCGCTTCATCCAGCAACAGAATCGTGTGCCCCATATGCGAGGATGAGATGGTACGTTTCTTGTACCATGGGAGATGATGCTTTCTTGGTATCAACGGTCGGGTACGCCAACTAACAATATGCTTCAGGTAACGCTCCTACAACTCAACCGACATCTCGACGACATCCACCAAGAACTGCCCGAGGCAGAGCAAGACGAGGTCAAGACGTGGTTCGACAAGCAGGTCCTCAAGGCGAAACGGTTCCAGCCTCTCTCTCTGATAAACCAGAAGCTTCGAGGGCTGGATGTGTTCGAATCGAATGAGACGCAACCACTTCCCGTTCCCTCCGGCCCCGGAAGGCCGGTCGAGACTGTGATCGACCCGGAAGAGCTCGTGGCGCGAAAACACTGGCAGCGGCCTATGGGCAATGACACCTGCACGGATCCGCTGTGTGAGAGGAAGTTGGGCCCTCTGAATGGCAGCGTGAACTGCAGGAATTGCGGGCGCCTGTTTTGCGAGGACCATACAATGTACCAGATGAGGCTCTCGAGATCAGCCAGTCACGACCCCGTTCGCGGCGTCTGGTGCCGCGTATGTGAGACGTGCTACAAGTCCAGAGATGGATACAACGACCATTCCGGACTATCCCGCGACCATACGGCCGACTTCGCGGCAATACGCGACAAGAAAGTCGAGAGGCAGCGGCTAGAGGTCCAGAGGCTGGAGAAGAGGTTAACCAAGCTTACGAGGATGTTGGCCGAGATACCCTCAGATGCTGGCGCGAACTCTTCGAGCCTCTTGTCTCCGGTTGCGGCCTCGTTGTCGGGGCAGAAGAGTCAGAGGAAGATGATCGAACAATCCGTCGTGACATGGGAGGAAGACGCCGCCGTTTCGAGGTGTCCGTTTTGCAAGCAAGAGTTTGGCTCGTGGACATTTCGAAGACACCACTGCCGGATATGTGGCCGGGTGGTGTGTGCTGATCCCGAGACTGGCTGTTCAGGTGAGGTCGGATTGAACGTGTCAAGTCGTAAGAGCTCTCCGCCCATGACTCCTCTTCTTGCTTACACGGACTGACCGAGAGCAGCAGCATCAATACCTGTAACCGAGAAGCCGCCTTCCTCAGCCAATAGCCAACTCAGCGTCGATGTTCGGATGTGTCGCGACTGCAAGACCACCATCTTCTCTCATCGCGACTTTTCGGATTCAATTGCGCATAAACCGCCGGACCAGCGCGCCTATGAGACGCTGCGTCAGTTCCAGCGTGGCATTGAGATGCTGATGCCTTCATTCCAGAGGACCTTATTGGCCTTGCAGCCGCCAGGCGAAGGATCTGACGGCTTCGACAAGCCTCCTCCCAGCCATGCTCAGATCCAAGAGGCGGCCAAAATCCGCAAGCGACTTACCGACGCATTCGCCAAATACGACATTGCCGCGAGGCGCATCCGCGACATGAAGACTAAAAATCCCACACAGCTGCGACTCCAAAAGGCCATTTATTCTTCTGCCTCGAGCTTTCTCCACACCAATCTTATACCCTTAAAAAGCGTGCCCAAGATGCTCAAATCTCACGCCCCGAGCCATCGCCGCCTTCTCTCGGGCCTAAATGGCTCGGTTCAGCTTTCGCCGCTGCGAAATGGCGAGCTGGCAACCTTTGATGTGGAAACCTCTAGCCAAGGTGGTGCTAGCGAAACAAGCACAGCAGTATCGGCCTTGGAGGCCGAAGAAAAAGAAATTCGAGAGAAGCTTATCGTGCTGGAGGAGCAGCGATATATGGTCCAGAAGATGCTTAACAACTCCCGCGGCGCCCGAAGGTTCGAAGAGGTGGGCTCCTTGACGAGAAATCTCGAGGAGCTTGACAAGGAAATTGAAAGTTTGAACAAACAAGTCAGCGGCGTGGAAGAGAGATGGGAAGGCCTTTACTCGGCAGGCACCTGATGAATTCGACATCGGTGACCTGCAGACTCTCGGCCCGCAGATACCGACTTTTATGTTACCCCGTCGTACAATCACGATATTTATGATCGGGCCATGGTTAGCCAACGCATTGCGAGGAGTTTGGAATGTCATACACAGGGGCCGAGTTGGGGCTTCTGAATTTTTTTCATCTTTTTTTATATTCTTTCTCTTTTTCTTTTTGGAATAAGATATTCCGTAGGTCAGTGATGATGAATGAAGCACTGCAGCGAGTGGGGGTTAGCCGTACCGGTGACGGTTTACAGGACCACGACCGACATGTGATAATTAGCTAAAGTGCGTCTCCAACTTGAGTCTCGGAGTGGTTAAATTTCCATCTATGGATACATGGCATCATCTTATCTTTCCAGTGTGCCTCCTTTGACACTGTCGGGTGCGGTAGCCGGGACCAGCAACGAGACATCTGCCGCTGGCCGTCGGCATGCGTCGACTCTCTTTGAGCAGCGCGTCAGTACTGACGCTTCACGTCCCCTTGCCTGGAGTCAATTGCGCGCACTTTCCTTTCAAGGAGGTTTAGGCCTTGGGGGCTTCCGGTTCGCGCCTCTTTAGCAGTCTCCACGTGATGGGGGGCCGCCCGGCACCACGGCAACTCTTCAGACGCCACAGAGTTAAACTGACTCCGAATCGAGGGCAGACATCTTCTCTTCGGTCTGTCCCGTCACCAAAGTACGGGGTTCTCGGGACCGAAACCCTGTCAAAGTCTCTCACTGGACAACACAACAACCCAGTTCCCAGATATAACGATGTCTGTATCAATATTAGCCAAAGCAACGAAGGAGATACACGTCGGACTGTACACGCAGGACTGGGAGAGAGTATTACCGTCTTTATATTTAGCTGCGGCCGACAGCTGCAACGCTGAGGCTAGCGTGGCTATCACACAGAACCTCTCACGCAGGAATTAATCGAGAACTTGGATCCGGGGTCCCATTTTGCAGCTCGGAGCCGCTCACAGCACCTGCTTGCAAATCCACCATATCAGGTGGCTATATCGCCACCCCGAATCGACCATGCAGCAGCTACAGGTTGTCGCGGAGGTGATGGATGAGAATGGGCCGCAGCCCCAACAGCAGAACGGCCGCAACCCTGAACGGACGGGGTTCAGAGGTTCGTCCGTTTGGAAGGCGCTGGCCATCGGCGCCTTGGCCGGTTTCGGCGGCATCCTGTTCGGCTACGACACGGGCTACATCAACGGCGTCATGGCCATGGGGTATTTCGAGAACATGTACTTGTGAGTGATTCGCTACCCCTCCAAAAGAAAAAAACAGCACGTCGTCAGAGCTTTTATCTCTCAGGCTTCGTCCATCTCGTATCACGTCATTGCACTTTTGATGAGCGCGCGCTTTGTGTGCCTGAGTGCTCATGCGTTGCTGGGTTCCGCAGAGGATACAGTTACCGGCCGCAGGCTGTGACCGTCGTGAAGTGCAATGACGAGCCCATCCTGGACACGGCTGGAAACCAGATGCGCGGCCCGCTCTCCGTCGAGGAGCTGCATGCGCAGCTCGTACCCGGCTCCGACGACATGCTCGAGGCGTTCCGCTACGACAGCGCCAAGCCGCCGCCGTGGCTCAACCTCGACCGCGAGCAGCGGCCCTTTTGGATGGACGACAAGCTCGCCCCGGCCTGGTTCCACCTTCCCGGGCGCGACAAGTCGCTGATCGTCGGCCTGCTGTCGGCCGGGACATGCGTCGGCTCGCTGCTGGGCTCGGACGCCGCCGACTATCTCGGCCGGCGCGTGGCGCTGCTGCTGGGGTGTCTGGTCTTCATATGGGGCATCGTCGACCAGACGACGTCGGTGCACATGGACCTCCTGGGCCGCGGCCGCTTCGAGACGGGGCTCGGTATGGGCACGATCTCGACCGTCATCATCCTGTACCTGGCCGAGATCAGCCCCGCGTCCATCCGCGGCTTCATGGTCGCCTTTTACCAGTTCTGCATTACCATGGGCCTGCTCATCGCGTCGTGCGTCAACATGGGCACGCATGGCATGTGGAACATGGGCAGCTACCGCATCCCCGTCAGCCTGCAGCTCGTGTGGGCGCTGGCCCTCATCTTCTGGCTCCTGTTCCTGCCTGAGTCGCCGCGGTGGCATGTCAAGATGGGCAACCTCAGCAAGGCCAAGGTTGCGCTGGCGCAGCTGCGGTGTCTGCACGAGAACGACGAGTCGGTGCGCATGGAGCTGAACGACATGGTGCTCACCTGCCAGCACGAGCTGACCGTGACGCAGCCGGGGAGGTACTGGCAATCCTGGCTAAGCTGTTTCCGTGGCCCGTGGCGCGAGAGCGGCTCCAACGTGCGGAGGACAATGCTGGGCATCGCGATGCAGATGTTCCAGCAAATCACAGGTGTCAACTTCATCTTCTACTTTGGCACCGCCTTCTTCCAGCAGCAGGGGTTCGACAACGTTTTCGTTATCCTGGTGGCCATGAGCGCCGTCAACGTGGCGTCGACGATTGCATCCTTCTACGTCGTCAACAAACTGCGGCGGCGCTCGCTCCTCATGGCGGGCGCGGCCGTCATGGCGCTCTGCCAGTTCACCGTGGCCACCGTCGGCCTAATATGGCGAGGCCAGGGGTCGCCGCCCTCTCGGGGCGGGTTCCACGTCGGGCACGCGCCGACGCGCAACCTAGCGCCCATACCGGCGTGGCACTTCTGGACCACGATGGCGGGGGTCGGCATCTACCTGTTCTGCTACGCGACCACGTGGGGGCCGGGGGCGTGGATCCTAACGGGCGAGATCTTCCCGCTCAAAATCCGCGCGCGCGGGGTCGGCCTGTCGACGGCGACCAACTGGCTGTCGAACTCGGTCGTCAGCTTCGTCACGCCGGTGCTGATCGACGCCAACCAGTGGAATCTCGGGCCGGCCGTGTTCCTGATCTGGGGCTCCGCGTGCCTGCTGGCCTCCCTCTTCACGTACATCTTCGTGCCCGAGACCAAGGGCCTGACCCTGGAGCAGGTCGACCTCATGTTTGAGCTGTCGGCGAGGGGGTCGAGCCGGTGGGTGCCGCCTGAGGACGTGGCCAGGCTCTTCTCGTCGTATTCAAGGAGGCATTCGAGGACCAAGTGAATATCTGTAGACGAAGGGGGGGTGGGTACAAGGGCGATCGACATTTATCCGGGGTGGTCTCGTGGTTGCAGAACACAACCCACCTTTTAGCTGAGCGAGATGGCGGCCCATTCAAAATGTCGAGGTAGATGTGCAGCTTTATCGTATCATGTAATCGATCATGTAAACCACGATGGCCTCCAAAACACGCCGTAGGGTTAGGGTTATATAGCAATACCATCTTTGTTTTTTCAATACGTACCGTATTCGTTACTGTGGTATGATGGGTAAAAAAAGCCCCATGCCGAGTCAAAAACGCATAAAGTGTTTGCCCCACAGGTACCTGACAAGGGGGGTTTTATTTTTGCATGCGACCACAGTACATGGCTCAGTGGGCGGAATATGACCTGCCATCGGCTAGGAATTGAGGCTTTGAGCTTTGGAACCTCAATCCATCATATCAGCATGGCAAGCAGCGCGTCCGATTTGCATTCCGATTGCACACAACTCGACGCATCAAATTTCTATGTTGGTGTGTAACACGGAGATTGTCGCTGATTTCAGCCTCGAGATCCCCGTAAACAGACACATTGTCGACTTGCTACCCGTCAAACTTTGCCCCGCGCGCCGCATTCTCTGTCTCTCTCCAGAGTTGGTGTCGATCACGCACCTTCAGCCGACCGCGGCGCCCGTCGCGACTTTACGAACACCCAGATGGCTTCCCGGCAGCGCCAAGGTCGCCCGCCGGGCTCAGACCAGCGACGCGCTTCCGTCTCTCCTGACCAGCCCTCGCTGTCGCAGGCCGGATCCGACCACGATTCCTCCCTCTCGGACGCACCACAGTTCTACAACACAACCTTCTCCGTACACCGCGTCTCGCCCCTATACTTAGGCAAGGAGGCGCTCACGGCTGTACGGCTGCAGGCCCTCGCCCACCGCCTGCGCGACACGCTCGTGGGGGATGTCGTGCGCGGAGTCGAGGTGGGACTCGGCCACTTTGACGGCGAGGACGCCCTCATGGGCCGCGCCGGCGCGCTAGAGATAGTCGAGATGCGCTGGGCCACCGTGGCGTCGGTATTAGACATACCACCCCCCGACAGTGACGATGGCGTGCTTGGTGGCAGCGGTCCTGCTGCCATTCAGCACTGGTCAGCGGCTGATTGGTCGCGCAATCTCGCCGCGTCCGGCGCGCGGAATGCGTTGCACATTTCATTGCGCTACGAGGCTGCAGAATGCACTGCGCTGCTGCTGCCGCCGCTCACACGAACGGCATCGGGGACGGGAGATGGCGGTGACGCAGGGGCCCTGCCGGGAAACGAGGCATTGTTTTCGGTTGCCGGCACAGCAGGAGAACATGGCAAGCTCGCAGCCGACCCGCAACACTTCCTCGCCATGCCGCTGCTCCTGCTACGCATGCCGGCGCCGCTGAAAGGCGTTGTCGGCGACTTCCTCGCCACGACGTTCGACTGTCGCGTCAGCACTCTGCGGCTCGGCACGCGCAGCCTCGTGCGCAGCTGGGAGTCGTGGATCAAGACGGTCGGCACACCGTCTCGCGGGCCGCTTGCCAAGGACGTCGTGCTCAGCCTCGGTTTCCACCTCCCCTCGCCAGCCCCTGGCAGCGAGAAACCGCCCCCCGACGACCAGGCGGAGAACGGTGCCGCTGCGGCTCATCCGCTGGGCCTCAGGTCCGTCGACATCATTGTCCCTGCGTCAGAGCTGCGCAAGTTCGTGGATGCCGGCAGCGCTCGCGCAACGCCGGAGACGAAACGAAAGGTCCAGGCTGGCGCCGGGTGGGCATGGGAAGACGACCTGAAAAAGCGGAGGAAACTCGCGGGCCGCCTCCACGAGGAGGGCTGGGAGTGGCGGAAAACACCCGAACCGTCAGACACAGCCAAACCGGCGGCGGCGAACAGTGGTGCCGAAACCCAGCCGTTCACAGAAGCCCTGGGCTGCTACCTCGACCAGCATCTCGGGCTGAACCTGTTCTACCCGGGCGTCAGGGTCACCAAGATAGCCTGTGGCGGGTTTGTCATGTCCGAGGGCCGGCTGAAGGTGTTTCCGCCGCCTGCCGGCCCGGGCGATGCGGCAGCGGATGATGATGCGGAGACGCCCTCGCCTAGGAATGGCCAGATACGCGCCGCCTGGAGGTTGCTTAGGGACTTGGTGGAAAAGGCCGAGTTGAGGATTGCTTACACGTGATGCGTTCCGCAGAGGACATTGGGGTTCCGTGTGTTTACCGGATGGTAATGAGATGGGGAGGGCGTATCTGGCTTATTTTGATACCCATACGTTTAACGATTTTAATGACGTTATATCGGTTTGCTACTTCCCGTCCCGTCTGCGTTGAGGCGCGAGCATGGTCCACGAGGGCAGCCTTAGGCGCCTTGGCTTTTTTAGCCTCCGTCTGATCGTCGGTGGGCGCACCACGCGGTCGACTGGGTTTATAAGAAGTTTTTCAGCCTCTAACAGTAACCACAAATCTTCTCAGTGAAATTGACTCAGTAGTGTAGGCGGTTATCACGCGGGGTGGAAAAAGTGTTGGTGGGAGCCGGTCCTGAAGGCTGAAGGCCGTACCTCCGTAGACTCTGATACCGATAATTACCGTAGAACGTAATTACCCCCGTAACCACCCATCGATGACCGGCACACGATTGGACAATAGCGCGGCGGATACGATACTGAACGGCGGCCGGAAATAATAGGCGATTCCTTGCGGGCGGAAGCGAATACGGATACCTGCGACAAAACGTATCGACTTTCTAGAGTACGTCAAATTCACTTGCCACCCGAGAAGACCCCAGCCCGAATCCGGGCTAGGCCAAGATCGCAGAGAGATTTGTGGAGTATCTCTTTTTTTTACCCTTCAACACAACAACGTCGATCTAACTGCAATCTTTTCGGAGCTTCTTTTTGCCATTAATTGCTGTTACACTGGGTCACATTTGCAGCTGCAGAGGGCAATACTTTACCCCGCGACTTCGAGCTTACATCCCCTGATTTCTTTGACCTCTTGGCGCATCTCCGCGGAGATGTTTGACTGGCTCGCTCGCACTTCCCGCCTGTCAAAGCTGCCAGAGGATTAAGTAAGAATGCTGCAATGCTGCATCTTGATGAAACGCTCCGCATTGTTTGAGGATTTCCGGCATTTGTAATCTCATCGTCGGCAGGGCTGCTTACTACGTCGCTAGCTGGCGGGTTCTCGGCATTAGTTGGGATTTCCGAGAGTCGGTTAGCGAAGCATCACAGCTTAGCGAATGCCGAGAGCGGGTTAGCTAGGTCAGCATCCCGACCAGCGAGTAGGGGTACCCAGGGTAACGTGTATACCACTTACACCGAAAGATTTTGGAAGCTTCCTCGGAGCATTGACGCTGACAAACTGGCGATGATTAACATGGTGGGATTCTCAGTCTCGATGCCGACCCTCGCTTGTTGGAGTTGTGTATATATATATCGACCTTCAACACCATGACTGCCATGGAGTCTTGTTTTCTGTATCAGCTCTCAGAGAAAACGCATCATCAAACAACCAGTTGAGCCACCGCAGAATACTCTCTACCAATACTCAAAACATCGGCATCGCCCCTCACACAAGAGCCTCTTAGTCCGTCATAACTCCACAACTCCACGACCCCTCTCCAAAATGTCTAGAAAGATCGTCACCGTTGTCGGAGCCACTGGGCTTCAGGGCAAGGGCGCAGTTGCTGCCTTCATCGACAACCCAGCGTACCAAGTCCGCGCCATCACGCGCAACACGTCCAGCGCCGCCGCCCAGGCCCTCGCGGAAAGGGGTGCCGAGCTGGTGCAGGCCGATCTCGGCGATCTAGAGTCGCTCAAGCGCGCCTTCGCCGGCTCGCACATCGTCTACGCCGTGACCAACTTCTTCGAGCCCTTCACGGCCCTGCAGAGCCCCGAGCGCGCCACCGAGGTCGAGGTCCAGCAGGGCGTCAACCTCGCGCAGGCCGCCGCCTCGGCCCTGCCCACGCTCGAGCACTACATCTGGAGCACGCTACCCGACGCACGCACACTATCAGCCGGCAAGTACGTCGTCCCCCACTTCGACGGCAAGGCGCGCGTCGACGCCTACATCCGCACCCAGCAGCCCGCGCTGCTCGCCGTCACGACCTTCTTCTGGGTGACGTGGTACCACAACAACTACGTGTGGCCCGTGTTCACGCCGTACTGGATCGCGACGGCCAACGCGCACGTGCAGTTCGCCAACTACGCGCCCAGCACGCCCATCACGACGCTCGGCGACGTGACGGTCAACATCGCGCCGTTCGTGCGTGCCATCGTGGCGCAGCCGGCCAAGACGGCGCGCGGCAACGTCGTACTGGGCGCGCTCGCCACGCACACCGCCGACGAGCTGCTGCAGATGTGGGCGCGCGCCAGGGGCACGCGGGCGCGCTTCGTGCAGGTTGGTGGCGAAGACTTCCGCGCCCTGTGGCCGCTGTGGGGCGACGAGATGGGCGTCATGATGGAGTTCTGGGACGAGTTCCGCGACAAGAGCTGGACGGCGCCGGCCGCTGCCGCTGCCGAGCACAAGTACACGGTCCTGACTGGGGACGATATCGGCGTTGAGGGCCTCCAGGGGCTCGAGGAGGCGTATAAGGAGCTGGAGCTGTGAGGAGTGACGCTGGCGCTGGCGCTGGCGCTGAGGGAAAAGGGGGGTTTTACTTGGGCTGTTTATGGGACTGGGTAGGAGTTTACAGGTATATAAAAGAGTGCTATCGGTATCTGGGGTGCTGCTGAAAATTCCAGCTATTTACTTTTCTACTAAAAACACTATAAGTTTGTCTGCGGTCGTTTGGTTTATTTTTGTATTTCATGCCTCATAATGGAGATAATTACCAACCTAGACATATTTGGCTCTGAACTACTGCCTGTTGTGAAAAAGACCAAAAAATGCTCAGTTCCTAAGCTGAGAACCGGAAATGCTGAACAAAGAATGGCCGAGACTAAAATTTATCGACTCCATAATCGAGTCACATCGTTTCCTTTGTTTTTGGTAACTAGCGGATCTACAATTATTTACTAGGAAAAGTATTTCAATTAATTACCATGTAATTGTTCACTCAACTTCAATCTTCACCCCCTTATACTAATGAGGTATTTGCTGGTTTTCCATTGATCTCCGGGACTCCCATAGATATGGGTCTATTTAGTTACCTCAAGCCAAGTCACGGCTTAATTAGTGTTCGTGGTATTCCAGCCACGTAGGTGTTCCAACGGGTCAAAAAGTGGTAGTACTACCGGGGTGGGGGGGGGGTGTAAAGTTGTTCTGATTCATGTTCTGCTCTAGAAATCTATGGTGGGGGTCTTTGGCTTTGTACATGGCCGTGCGAGGGCCGTGCGGCGCACGTGCATCGCACCGACTCCCTTCCAGAGTAGAGTACGGTCACCAACATCGCTATTCCAACAATTAGAGTTCTAATATAATAGGAACCTTCGTAAATGGAGCGAGATAATTAGCTAAAAAGCAATGTATACGATACTGGCATTTTAGACAGGGATAGACTTCTCGAGTATCTGTATAGGTCTCACAGCTTTCTTACTCCTTTGTTTCGGTTTACTACTGACGGCTGGACACTCTACTTGGCCTACAAAGGCGCATCTTGTCTCGACGCGTAGTAAACGACCATGATTAAAGCAGATGCTCCAAACACAATCTTATTGTATGACGAGTCGAAGCTCAACAGATTTCTTGACGAAACACTCACGAGCCGCTCTTGCTATTTAATATATAAGCCCTGTGTGCTATATGAACAGTCATGTAATTACCAGTCCCAGACACTAGCAAAGTTTCCCACCACTTTCATCAGTGAAGTGGGCACGGACACACCAATCATGGTTTTTGGCAGCTGGAGCTTCTGCAATCTGGCGCCGGGCGCCGCTCCTTTGTCCAAAGCGACAGAAAAGACTATAAATCTTTCTCTGGAGACCTTGGCTCCAATTACCCGGGCCCCGAACCACTCGCAACGGCCCATCACTTTACCAAGGCTTTCTTTACTAGACCATCGGCCTCCCTCTGGATCAATCGACTTCTCGGGATTGCCATACTCGCAACTGCCCAGCCCTTTACCAAACCATCGACCTCCCTCTGGGTCAATCGACTTCTCGGGATTGCCCTACTTGCTACTGCCCAACCCTTTACGAAGACACCCTTTACCAAGGCACCCTTTACCAAAGCACCCTTTACCAAGGCACCCTTTACCAAGGCATCCTTTACCAAACCATCGGCCTCCCCCTGGGACGAATAGCTTCTCGGCACTGCCAGCTTCACGGGTTACCAATCCCGGGCCGCCGGTCATAATAGTCATCGACGACGATGACGACGACAATGTGGCCCTGAAGCGCGATCCGGATGCACACTCGGGTGACGAGGTGAACGGATTGTAGGAGAGTAGCCAGTGCGAGGCAGCTGGCTGCGTGGAACACAAATTGCCGGGCAAGAGATGTTGCGAATACCACACTATGAAATGCGCCAGGTTCGGGTGTGAGGAGCTTAGAGCCCGAGGAACAGGGTTTCGTTATTGCGAGGAGCACAAAGTAGCTAAACCTGCGGATGGAAATAGCTAGTGCGAGGTAGCTGGCTGCGTGGAATACAGATTGCTAGGTGAGGCATACTGTAAATACCACATTAAAAGTGCGTCTTGCCCGGGTGCGGGAAGCCTAGAATTCGACGAATGGGGTTTCATATGTGCGAGGAGCACAGAATAGGTGGACCTGTGCAGGGCGAGATACACCTCTGTAGTAGTCGGTACTGCGAGGAACCCGTGGCTGCAACGGAGAAGCCTGGGGGTTTGTGTGAAAAACACCTCACAAAATGCCGTCGCCCGAACTGCATGGAACCCGTGATTGCCACGGACGAGACTAGACGGTGGTGTAAAAGACACGTCGGGCAGTGCACTCGCCGGTGTTGCACGGAACCCCTGGCCGCAACGGAGAAGCCCGGGGGTCGTTGTGATACACACCTCGTAAAGTGTGAAGCGGTCAAATGTAAAGAGCCCCGGCACCCGGACGCATTTCTTTGTGACCTACATCTGAGAGTGCGACAACGCAAAGACAGTCGATTACGGAAGGAAAAGGCGGCAGGCGGAGAGTGTCGAACGTGCCCGGAACCTGTGCTACCAGGCTTTCCTTTTGTGCGAGACATCTTGAGATGCGCCGTGAAAGGAGCAGGATCGCCTTCATGAAAAAGAAGCAAGAAAAGCAACTTCTTGATGATAGTAGCGAGGGGGTATGTGGCATAGTAAAAAATGAGGTTGTTTAGGTCTACATACAACTATTAGGGGTGTATACCGCCAACCCATTTTAGTCTGGTATTCTTTTTTATTTATTTCTTAGCTAGTCACCTTATATACCGTAAGGTGGTTGGATCGCCCTCTTTAGTCTAACGTGGGGCATTTTTTTTTCGCTTTATCCTGGCTTTTTTTTTTTGGAAGAAATCTCCACCCTCTTCGCAATGATTCAAGTTTCCCGGTACTACGCACCAGCCTGTGTCTTTCCTTCGACATACCGACCAGCTAATATAATTATTCTATACCTATGAGGCTCGTCTTGTGTTTGTGTTGGTGGTGGAGCTTCCACCGTCTTAATAACCCAACGGCTGGTTTGGGCCGAACATGTAGTTTTCTATAGCGCCGACGAAATTAATGGACTTTAGAAAAGCGTACTAATATGATATCGTTGATGAATCGTGACTTTCCCTCTCCTGTTTTTGATAATATTAAATCGCGTAGCTCCCTAGGTACCCAAGGCAAGTAATTACAAGAGTCAACAAGTGACCCTAGAAAACCCTCCGAGAAATGACAACCCGGATATCCTCGACGGGCTTCTTCACTCCCGTCCCGGGCATCATGGCAGGCACCTTCCAGGTCCCGCCGACGGGGTTGATGTCCCACAGGGCAATGATTGTGGCGGCCAGGGCGAGGATCTCCTTCTCGGCAAACGTCCTCCCCTTGCAGATGCCCGGGCCGAAGCCCCACGGCCGCAGCCGGCCGTAGCGTGCCACCGTCTTGCCCGTCTCCTCGTCGACCTCGAGGAAGCGGTCGGGCACGAAGCGGTCGGGCTCGGCAAACACGTCTGGGTCGCGCTGGATGACGCTGTGCGGCACCGACACGTACATGCCTTGGCGCATGTCGTGCTTGCGCGCGCCGTCGTCGAGCTTGGCGTCGCGCGCCACGTAGCGGATCGACGTCGGGTCGCTGGCCAGCCGGTACGTCTCGAACAGCGCCGCCTTCATGCGCGGGCAGTCGCGCGACAGCACGCCCATGTCCAGCCCGGCGATCTCGCGCGGGCTGCCGTCGGTCAGCGTCATGCACGACGCTACCTCGCCCCGGCGCAGCTCCTCGACGAACCCCGGCGTCGAGTACAGATACGCCAGGTACCAGAACAGCATGGGCTGCGTGTTGCCGTTCTGGCCCCAGATGACGCCCATGTCGGCGTGGCCGCGCTCGCGCATGGTCCAGCCGTACTTGTCGTAGACGGCCTGGCGGCCGACGACGGCGTCGCCGGCGTCGGACATGTCGGCGCCAAAGTCGACGGGCTCGCCGCGCGAGTGCTGGCCGAGGCGGCGGTAGAAGGCCTCAAGCTCTTCGATCAAGCGCGTGCGCGACGCTTTCGCCTCGCGCATCGTGCGGAACGGCGCCCAGTCCGGGATCCCAATCATCAGCAGCGGGAACATGTCGTTGTCGAAGCGCCAGAAGTCCTCGAGCAGGGTCGTGTAGCGCGTCACAAAGTCGCGGCCGTACAGCAGCGAGATGGCCATGTGCGCACCAAAGTCGCGCGTCAGGCTCTGCAGGTTGGCTTCGACGGCGCCGGGCTTGCCGGGGGTGTCGGGGCGGACGACGCGGATGCCGGCCGACTTCTCCCAGGGCTGCGTGCGGGCGGGGTCGGCGGAGAAGGTGACGAAGGAGGCGGCGCGCTCGGCGATGGCGCCGCGCTCGAGGGTGGCTGTGGCGGCGGCGTCGTTGAGGAACATGCGCTCGACGGGGATGGTCAGCTGGCGCGCTGTCTCGTAGTACATGCGGTCCCACCGAGGCGAGTCGGGCCGCCCAAACACGCGGATCAGCAGCGTGTTGTGCATGGGCTCGGGCGTAAGCGAGTGCAGGCCCTGCGACATGAACTTCTCGACGCCTGACGTGTTGACCAGCACCTGGTGCGTCGACGAGATCCCGAACAGTGACCCGCCGAATCGGCTCAGAGCCGAGCTGTGGAACATGGCGCGGTCAGTTTCTTCTGGTCTGTCTTCTTTTTTCCTTTCTTTTTTAGTATGAGTACCACTCACTAGATGCGTTGAGCCAGCCCGCCCTTGTTGGAGACCACATAGCTCACGAGCGGAATCTCCAGCGTCGCCCAGACGGGGAATCTCGGCTGCGAGCTGCTGCTGGGCCGCGGCATCAGGCGGTACAGCAGCCAGCCGACGAGCGCAACGGCGACCACTGGGTACGCCGACAGTGAGGTGAGCAGCGAGGTCAGCAGCGAGGCCCGCGACGCCGCCGCGTCGTCGTGTCGTGGCAGAGCCATGCCGCTGGGTTTTCTTGTCTCCTTTTCAGTTTGCGGCCGGCGCTTCTAATTTTACATGCGACGGTTCACTGCAGGGATGCCCGGATGGCGGGGATGTGGTGTCGATGCACAGTAAGGTACAGTAAGGTGGGTAGTAATTTACGTATGCAGTTTAAGGTATCTTTTCTGCACCGGCACGTGGAGGTGAGATGACCTGGAGGGCAGGTAAGGTATTTATTGAGCTGAGGCTCGTTGTGGAACGTGAAACAGGCAGACGACGCGGCACCGCAACGGCGCAATCTTGCACAGTCGCCGGTGCATTCTTCCCACCAAACCGAAATAGAGCTGCTGATTTAAGGTAATTAATTACCTTCCCTAGCTTGATAAAACGTCAGCCCTAGGTAATTCAACCCCCTGTTCGTTCGGGTGGGTTGTGAACCGTGGTTGGTTAGTTGGTTGATCGGTTGCCTGTTTGGGCAGTCTTTCCATGGTTGGTTCTGAAGGTTGGGTGACTCAGTTAGGCGGTCGCCTGCGAAAATACGGATACGCGATGCAAATATCCACCGCCGCGCGTTTTAGAGTAGGACGAGCCCTGGCTGTCAGTGGCTTGCTCGCCAACCGGATCGAGTCCCAGCACTCCACCACTGTTCCATTGGAACTTGGAGGATGCGCTACCCGCCGACCAGCACGACTGCGCCATCAATCCTTCACTCCTAACAATGTGCCCTTGCAGCCCCACGTAATGCTATTCCGAATTGATGGTAATGCCTGTGACCAATCAAGGCTAGGTTTTTCTTGCACCCTCATTGCTGATTACAAAAGTTCAAATATGGTCACCGCCCCACGTTTTTGCCTTGCGGCAGCCCGGCCGAACTGGCCCACGTCGCTGTACGCCTCCCCCGGGTAATAAAGGTTAGCTCGTGAATTGGCTGGGGGTTAGCCAGGGTGTCAGCCAGCCACACAGGTAATTTTCTCCACAAGGTCACTTTTCTATCACTTTCTATTGCAAAATACTTCCATTCGAAAACCACGCTAAATCCACCCACAACTTCAATCCACCGCATCCACCGCCCACAATGGCCACACGCATCGCGATTACCGACATTCTTAACCCACACCCACACACACACACGCCGTCGCCGGAGCCACCTTCAACGCTGCATCGATGCCGGGACCTTCCGCGCGACGAAAAGGTCGAAATTAGGGCCTTACGCAAATACTGTCATTTTTCCTTTGAAGAGATCGCTCGGCTGACCAGACACCACATCGTCAGGTCCAAAAGGCCTGTGTTGGTCCCCTGACACCACAGAAATCGAAGGCTGGCCGTAAGCCCGGAATTCGGACCCCATATAGGCGGCAGCTTAAAGAGTGGCTCGAAGATAACGAAGAAGCCCGGTTCCTACCATGGGTTGACCTCCGATTCTTCCTGCCACCACTTCTCCCTGGCGTTGGCGAGACGGCTATAACGAATGCCTTACGCGCTCTCGGCTTCCGACGAGCAGTACGATCCCGACGGATTAAACGAACCGAAGCCAACAAGCGGGGCCGGGTGACCTGGTGTACAGAGCAGTTGCGTTTAAGGCCTAGGCCGGAAGACTGGGAATCGGTACTCGTGAGCGACGAAACCTGGGCCACTAATGACCCTATGTGGAAGAAGTGGGTTACCGTTCACGATACCGAAGATCCGGAAAGCTGGGCTCTGCTACGGAGGAAGCCACGGGTGGATGTTTCGGGGCTCCTTTGCCGGCGCCCGGAAAGATCCGCCTTTCTTTCGGGAGAAGGAATATAGCGGCATAACGGCTCATAATACATCTTCTTTATCCTTCCTTTGGTGGGCTTCTTCCATCGGGCCTGTCAACGCCAGGGCGAAGAAATCATCTTGCAACAAGATAACGCACCGAGCCATAGAGCCAAAATAACAAAACAAGCATTCCGGGGCTTAGGGATCCAAGTTCTGAACTAGCGGCCAATAGCCCAGATCTATCACCTATAGAGAATGTGTGGCCCTGGTTGAAGAATTGGGTAGAGAGCCACTACAATATTCAGTCCCTGAGCTCCTTGGAGCTCCGGGCAGCTGTTATGGCAGCGTGGGATGCAGTCCCAGAAGATTTTTTACTACGGCTTGCCCATAGTATGCCGAGGCGGCTGCAGATGGTCATCGAAGCGGGTGGTAATACAATAAACTTTTGATCAAAATGTAGTATTTGGGCTGTTTCTTTGACCCCCGAACCCCTGATTTTGCTGTGTGGCTATGGCTTAGATAGGTGGTAAATTGTGGTTACTTTAGCGCCTTGGCTGTACCACACTAACCTTTATTACCCCGGGGGGGGGGGGGGTAGAAGCTGTGCATATGGCGGGGCTTGGGCGCCTTAATTGACGCTAACTAGGCTCCGCTGCAGAATGGGGCCGGCAACTCGCGTCTCGCGCCAGTCACGCCCAACCAGGAGATGACATTTGCGGCCAACGATATTTTGCGCCATCTAGACCTGGTGTTTTCTCTCATCCAGGTCTTCCTGCAGCACATCGACTCAGAGTGTTCGGGGTTTGGTGCCATGGCGGAGCGGGCAAAGAGCGGCAGCTAGGTTCGTTGTAGCATGTGAGAGGCATCTTGGGTCATTTGTTCCGGTTGGCAGGATGAACATTCAACTGCGGTGGCAGCATCAGCCAGCGTCCCGAGTCTGGGCAAGGTCTGCAAGCGAAGTGGCAAGCAACTGATAATCACTCATGTTCACCAAGTATATCACATTTCTTTCACGTCCAATACAAGGAACACGTATGGCAGAGTACATAGTGATGTTTGTTGATTGGAAGCTCACCCAGCAGCGAAAAGTACATAAACTCGATATCCATATCCCCAGCTGGTTAAGCTACCGTGTTGACGTACGTACCGAGGGATACGTCAAGACCTCGACATCGGCGCTTGCCCCGTGTATGTGCCGTTCGATTCGAAAAAGTAGACGTGCGTCCACCAACCTCGTCCCATAGCTTCCATAACTTCCAAAAAGAGAGAACCCCGCTGGCAGCAAGAGATGGATCCCACCGGGCACCCAGAGCAGCCCATCTGCGCAGTGCTTATAGGCTATCCGGGTAGACGTTGCAGGTGATATCGCCGCTTGGCAGATGCCGTTTGAATTTGAGCTTTGTCCCTCGGGAACGTGTAGGCCTGTCCTTGAAAGGTTTCAAAAAAAGTCTGTAGCAGGCCCCAATGTGTTGTCATCCGTACGGAGGGGGTTCTTGCAGCTACCCTTCCTGTTGTCGTTGGGGCATTTGTCCCGACCCATGGCAAAGGTCGACTAGAAATTTATGGTGTTTCCTACATGCCACTGTCTATTGGAGTGTCAAAGATTAGTTCAGGGGCGAAGAAAAAACTCATTAAAATCACTAATATCAAACAAACAAGGCATAACCGAAGTCCCCGCGGGGTTCTTCCTCTGCTATACTTGTGTCTATTGTTTGTGTTGGAATAGCGACCGTGCTTCAGGTGAAGAAAGGAGGCGGCGTGAGCTACGTGTCTACTACGTGCCCGCTAGGACTAATGGACGACGTGATAGGGGAGCGAATGGCATTGTATCGATGACTGGCTCTCAAGGTGCGCGCGGATCGGCTCGCAGACACTTGCCAGACACTCATTGGACGGTAAGACCTGGACCAAGCAGATGCTGCCAGGCAGTCTTTGGCGGCGCCCATCAAACCTAAAGCTCGGGAGTTAACCACACACCATCAAAATTATTGGAAAGCACGAGTGACGAGGTGGGCCGCACTGGCAGCTTCTTTAAGTGTTTGGGTTGGGTTAGGCCGCGACTTCCTGCTCAACGTTTTAGCAGGTAATTAAGGCAAGTGCGGTAATTCCCCCAAGTCCAGAATCGCACCTTCCAGTTTCACTCCAGTGAAGACCACTTCACACAGACGTACCTGCGAATTTGTGTTTCTTCATTTTTCTTGCAAATCAGGCCAAACACCGCGAATTGATCACACAACCGCGTCAGCGATTAACATTGGCTAACTAAATATGGAGGAAGCAGTCGAGGAAACCCATGCAGGCGCGATCCGCAGCGACGGCGAAGGCACGATCCGCGGCAACGGCGACCTCATTTTGGTGATCGGTCCGGAACAGGTGCGCCTTATGGTGTGCTCGCAGGTCCTACGGTGCGCTTCCAAGGTTTTCGACGTCATGTTTGGCCCACACTGGTCCGAAGGGTGCGATCTGTCTAGCACATCGCCCAAAGAGATCCCGCTGGAGGAAGATAACGCCTCGGCCATGCGCACCATCTGTTGTGTTCTCCACCACCGGAACGACATGGTGTCAGACGAACCCACGCCAGACGAGATTCTGAAAATCGCCATCGAGGTGGACAAATATGACCTGGCCGTTGCGCTCAAGTTCCAGCTCGCCCAGTGGCTGCAGCCACCCAAGACCAACCCCAACCAGCCCCAGCTCGAAATGACAGATTTGGGACGCCTGATGGCAGCAGCATTCATTCTCAGGAAGAAAGACGAATTTGCGTCGTACACTCTCGATCTCGTCATGAACTATACGGGCTCCTACCTGGACCTCCTCGATGAGGACACAATGAATGAGTCAATCCCATTCAAGATAGTCTGTGAGTGACCTTTTCCGCTTCGCCTCTACAAGAGTCACGAATCAAGAAGGAAACTAACGTGTCTAGACCTACTGGAGGAGCGAAGAAATCAGATGCGAGCTGATCTCTGGAAGCTGTTGCTCGACGGCGTGAAGCTGGGTTGCACGCAACCATCTCGCTGCGCCTGGCGAGGAAGCCCCGTCGACTCGTGCAGAGAATTGCTAGACATGTTTGGCCCGTCCAAGCAGTTTAAAAATTCGATTTCGAGCATGGCCGAGAAGATAGGGGGCATCCATAAAGTGGAATCCTACCAGTGCGGTTACAAGCACCACGCAGAGTTCAAGGGCTATCGCGAGGATGTCGAGATGGCCAAGACATGGGCCACCATCTGCACCGACTGTGTGCAAAGCGGCAATTACCCGACGAAGTGCACTTTCAAGCATAAGTGAGACAGACTTTGCGACCGCCTTGTGTATACACGTATTAATTATATACAAGGCCGCTCTGAAAGGCAGATGATGAATTGAGAGGAAGAACTTGCGCCAAAGGCGGATAATCGCGTTCAAGGCTTGATGTGGAATGCCAAAGCCCAGCCTCCTTTTCACAAACGCCCCAGGAGGTCTAAAAGCTTTTTACAGGCCAGGTTCATCCTAATGCGTCGGATTTTCCATTTCTTTCCATCATTTTAGGTACCTAATCATCACCACTGCCACCCCGTCCCCGTCGTCCTCCCTCAGTGTCGTCTGGAATTGACCCACTTTTCATGGAATTGGACAGGCCCTGGTTGACATGCCTTTGAGCTTCCTTCATTCTTTGTTATTTCCTTCATTCTTGACTCGGAATGTCCTCATTTCATTCGGAATGCCCTCTTTCGGGCTGATTACAACGCCTCCCTTGCCTTCTCTCCAGAGTATAAGGAAGCGTTCTTTTCTGTACTTTTAGACCTATTGAGCAGACAATTCAATGCGCTGTCAACTTCGATCGCGTGCAACACTCAGATATGCTTGTCACCTCAATACTCCACCGTGTAACTAGCCCCGTCCCGACAACAGGAGCCACGGAAGAGGATATTGCAGCGAGCCACTTGGTAGCGATTTTATCGCGCAGAGGCCGAACTACTGTTGGCCGAGCTGATGGAACCGGCTAGAGCATGGCAGCAGCCCATTTAGTCTACTATACCATAATCTGGCGTCCCCGTAATTAGCTGTTTACTGAGTCCCTTGCCGTTAGAGTGGAAGCAGCAACCAAGTTATTATCCCGTGTTCGTCATCCATGACCCCCACACAAAGTTCCAGGTAGGCTTTTCTGTGCTTGATTGGCTGGCTTGGCCCAAAGTAGAAGCCGCCTACCCCGGGTGGACTGCTTCAGCGGAACTGTGCCGAGTTTTACCCCGGGTCGTGTGTAACTCCGTCCCGGACTTGAGATGAGTTTTTGCCAGGGTCGCAGGTTGCGTAATGCTGGGTTTGCATGGTTCGCCAGGGGGCTCTGTTCCGTCTTGGGAAGCCCACCTAGCTTCCCGATGCAGTACGTAATTATCTCGAAGCGGCAACGCACATAGATCTTGGCTGTTTGCTGGCCCAAAGCGTCCCGGGTACCGTATCCCCCAACGAACTCCGTACCGGACTAAAGGTGCGGATAGAGAGTGGCAAATCGCCACAAGTCTGGTGTGGCTGAATAACGGTTTGTTTTACTGAAACTAAAGAAATATGGGACAAAAAGTCGGGTTTCTGGCAGACGCGGGGAACAGTTGGGAGGCAGCCTCTAATTATGCCACTGGCGGATGGAAACCCCGACTTTCCCGCGCGCGGCAGGTGCTGCAGGGTTGTTCAGTCTCTCAAGATGCAGGATTGGGAAGGGTTGTGCCTTCTCTCTCTAGATGTCGGGAGATGGCGACAAGTTGTAATTAAAATGAGAAACCTCTCGGCCCAGCTTTGTCCTGGATTCGGCAAGTCACAACTTCAAACACACTTGGCTGCACGGCAGCAGATAAAGGACCATGTTCGCAGCTTCCTAGCAAAGCCTTTTGGCTCTCCATTACTCTACACGGGCTGCAACAAGCGCAGATTGAGAAACACTGCCATTGTCTCTGTATTTTGAGGTGCTGACCATGTCAAGCTCACTCAGCACCTACCTCTTGTCGACAAAAACATCCATGTTCGCCTGCCTCACAAACCAGCCGCACACGAGATCCCAGTCGCGCAGCGGCTCGACCAGCTCGAAGCGGAACTTCATCAGTAGGCTCGGCACCAGCTTGGCGATCTGGACGGCGGCGAGGTGGCGGCCCATGCACATGCGCGAGCCGGCGCCGAACGCCAGCATGGTGCGCTTCATTGCAGCCACCCTCTCGGCATGCGCCTCGGCCGACTCGCCGGCGGCGCGCAGCCAGCGCTCGGGGCGGAACTGCTTGGGCTCGGGGCCCCACACGGGGTCGAGCAGGTGGATGGGCCAGGCGTGGCAGCCAACCTGCACGCCGGCCGGCACGCGCGAGCCGTCGCGCATGGTCAGCCCCGCGGCCGGCACCACGCGCTCCAGCGGCAGCCCCACGGGCGGGTGGATGCGCAGGCTCTCCTGGATGACGGCGTCGAGGTACGGCAGCCGCTGGCTCTGCTCCCACGACACGGGGAAGGTAAGACCAGGGGCCGCGGCGTCGAGCTCGGCCAGTAGCCGCGCGCGCACGCCCGCGTGCCGCAGCACCATGTAGAATAGGGTGCGCAGGGCGATGGCGACCGTGTCGGAGCCGGCCATGATGTTGGTGGTGGTGTAGATGACGACAGTGCGCGAGTCGACGACGGCCGGGTGCGTCTCCTGCGCGTCGAGGAAGTGGTCGATGAAGAGCCGCGGCGACGGCGCCTTCTTTTCCGCGTCCTCCGATGATGAGGTTGCGATCAGCGCCGCCTGCCGGTCGCGGATCAGCGAGGCCGCGATGGTCGCGAACGGGTTCGTCCGGTCGCGGAAGATGTTGACGACCCAGTTCTTGCGCTGCAGCCAGTCCAGCCAGGGCATTTGCGATTCCTGCCGCAGTTGACGGTTAGTGGATTAGATAGAATTGGGGGGCCGGCAAGAGAACATACGGGCGAGATGACGTCGAGCCGGGCGTCGAGCCGGGCGATCATGTGGTTGACGTCCTCGCCGCGCTCGAGAAAGCCGAACGCCTTGCCGTAGGTCATGATGGCCATGACGTCAAAGGCATCTGACCCAGAAGTTAGCCGCCATCAACAAACACAGAACCATTGGGGAAGGAGACACGCACAGTACTGCATCCAGCCAGCCAGATCGCAGGCCTTCCTCACCTTGGCCTGCACGATCAGCTCGTCGATGCGGCGGACCATGGTCTCGATGCACTGGTCGACAATAGGCTCAAACTCGAGCGCCGACTTGAAGCCGTAGGCGGCGGCTACGGGCTGCTTCAGCGCCGCATGGTACGCCGGGTCGCGCGTCGTGAACAGGTTGTACCCGATCTTCTCGCCGACCCAGCCCTCGAAGGGCTGGTAGAAGGGGCTCTGCAGCCAAGACAGTCAGCACCAGGGTCAAGTTGACTGTCAAAAATCTGTGAGCGCAGGTAAGTACCGACCTTGAGGAAGCCCTGGCCGGGGCCGTAGATCTTGGGGATGTAGGCCGGGTCGGCGATGCTGAGCATGTTGGGGCCGACGCGCACCACGGGGCCGTGCCGCTCGTGCAGAGCCACGCGCGTGAGGTGGCTCCGGCGGCTGCGCACGTCGCGGAACCGCCAGTAGTCGGTGAGCTTGGCGAGCAGCGGGCCTGGGTACCGGCTCAGGGGGTGCAGGAAGATCTGGTAGAGCGGATACAGCAGCGCCGCGAGGGCCGCCACGCCGACCAGCGGCCAGTTGTCCATGATTGTGTCCATCATCATTGATTGCCGTTTGGAACAGCTTGTTAACACACGACTGCTGCTTGGGCTGGAATGCAGTTGTAATGGTGGGCAGCAGTGACTGATTTGACCGCTCTATCAATATCTATCTAGAACTAGGTGCCCCTCCCGAGACTGACTCTCGGTGACCAGACCGGCTGCCGTGGATCAGCATATTAATCCTAGCTCCAGCGTTTTACTCGGTGTCGGGTGGTCTCACGCCTCTCGGCCCCCGAGGACCACTCCTCCCGCGCGAATGCTACCCTAACCCTCTCATTTTTTGCTCGCTATGCACGACGGGAGGCAGCGGACAGCAGATGCGAGTATTCCAGCTGCTAGTTCTGGACTTATCATGGTGTTTCAGTGCCTGCACCGTATCAGAGATGCATCGTCAGTAATACGCACAGCCGGATGACTCGGGGACGGGACGGGCACACTCCTACGTACATTCACAGTTCTGACTGGGTGCGATGATACGTAGAGTGCGTCAAGATCAGGGATTACGGAGGCCTTGCGGAGGAATTTGATTAGTGAGTGTAAATGGAGTGGTGTGGCAACCTCTTGGCTATAAGGCCGCGGTTGACAACCACTCCCGCAGCAAATATCGAGTAGAGAAAGAAGAACAAAGGCAATCATTACTTTTAGTACGGCCTGCACGAGAGAAGCAGCTGCCCCTCTCCCACCAAGTACGGTTCCGTCTTCACCCTAGCCCAGCCCCAACCCTCAACTAATTACGACTCTTGATTGCATCCGCCAGCTTCTCCGCAAGCATGTCTATCAAACTCATGTCAGCCTTGCCTCACCACACAGCGAGCCAAGAGGTAAGGAACTACTCACAGATGTGCGTCTGCGGGCCCGGTCCGGGCAACAAGAAGGGGAACGACGCAGAGTCGATAACACGCACTGCGGGCACACGCCGAGGTCAGTCCAACCACTCTCACACAGACACAGGGGGCGGGCACGCTCACGATTCTTGACACCGTACACCTTGCCCGTGGGCCCGACGACGGCACTGGGGTCGCTCGCCTTGCCCATCTTGCACGTGGCGTGGCCGTGGTGGATGGAGGTGGCGGCGAGCTTGAAGTACTCGAGGATCTGGGCGTCGGTCTGCAGCTGGGCGCCGGGGAGGAACTCGCCCTGGACGACGGGGGCCATGGCGGAGGACGCGGCGAAGGCGCGGATGCGCTTGAAGCCGGCCAGCAGCACGTCGATGTCGGCCTGCGCCGTCAGCCAGTTGGGGTTGATGACGGGCGCGTCGGCCATGCTAGCGCTGACGATGCCCACCGTGCCCACGCTCTGCGGCGCCTGCAGCACCACAAACAAGCTCGAGTACCCCTGCCCCGGCGTCGCCCCCGGCGACACGGCGAACGGGCTGATCAGGTACTCGACCTCGGGCCAGTCGGCCGGCAGCGCCGCGAGCGTGGCCGTGGTCGACGCCGAGAAGTTGGTGCGGAACGCCGCGGGGATCTTCTCGAGCGCCGCGAAGTCGCCGCCCGGGTTGGTCAGCGGGCCTGTCTCGGCCGTGTTGAAGGCGTTGACCGACGCGGGGCTCGCCGTGTCCGGGATGGCCAGATTGGTCTTCCAGGTGAGGGGGATCAGGATGTGGTCGACCAGACCCTGACCCACGCCCGGCCGGTCCGCCACCACGGTGATGTTGTACTGCGCCAGCGCCGCGGCCGGACCCACACCCGACACCATGAGCAGCTGTGGCGACTGGATGACACCGGCCGAAAGTATGACTTCTTTCCTGGCCGAGAGGGTGAAGGCCGCGGGGCACTTTGTGCTGCTGACACTGACGCCCGTGGCCGTCTTGCTCGAGTCGAACAGCACGCGCTCGGCCAGCGTCCCGTCGAAGAGGACCAGGTTGTTACGGCTCAGCACCGGACGCAGGAAGGCCGTGTCGGACGAAGCACGGTGGCCGGTCCGCGGGTTGAGGGTCAGCACCTGGAACGTGTTCCCGTTGAGCGTGCCCGTAATGAAGGCGCCGGCCCGCGGGAGGCCGGCGGCTGTCAGGCCCCGAGCGACCCACGTGCCCCAGGCCTCGCCGTAGGCCGGGTAGGTGACGTCCAGGGGCCCTCTGCGGGCCGTGTAGGCGGGGTCGTAGCTTGGCGTGGCGTTGGGGAAGCGAGTCGCGCTGTTGGGCGGCGTGAAGAGCATGCTCTTCTTGTAGTATGGCAGCACGTTGTCCCACGTGTACGACTGGTCGCCTACCGCGTCGGCAAACTTCTGCAGCGAGCCCTTGGACGCGCGCGAGTAGGCCGCGAAGTTGATGGAGCTGCAGCCGCCGAGCTGGACAGGTACACGCATTAGCTCGTACGGAGTCGTGGGCGTGGGTGAGTGCCAGTGGCAACGGAGTGTGAATACATACCAGCTTGGCCCGCACAAATGGGGCGACGGTACCTCCTAGACCCTACAGCAGACTCCAGTGTCAGCATCTTCAGACTTTAGGGCACAAGCCTAGCGGAAATTCACGAACCGGCTGCGGTGCCGTCCGGAAGCCCCAGCCCGCGGACAAGTTCGTCTCGGCCAAGGCCTCCAGCCTACCAGCGTAGGCGGGCACGGCGCTGAGGTTGCCCACGACGTTCTCGGGGAAGGTGCCGGCCTCAATGATGGCAACGGTGACGCCAGGCGTCTCGCTCAGCCGGTTGGCCAGCGTCAGGCCCGACGTTCCTCCGCCGACAATGACATAGTCGAACGAGGCAGACCGGCATGGGTCCGTCGCGTGGGAGACGGCGGCTGCCCACACCTGGGCGGGAGCTAGGCACACGGCGAGACTGAGGATGAGGCGCGGGAGAGCCATTCTGGGTAGGCTCGCGGGAGTATTGACACTGGACAGCACACAGACGGACACGAACACAGACACAGAACACGAAACAGGGGTGAACCGTGACGTGAACAGGAGTGATGAAGAGGGCCGAGGACTGAAGGACGAGGAGAGCGGGATCAGCTGGGATGGTAAAGAGCAAAGTCAGCCCCGACTGTTCGTCGCGGACAGACAGAGACAATATTAAAGGCCCCGACGATGGACATTAGAATCTCGGCGCGTCGCGTCGATCGTGATGAGTGTGAAGAAAATAAAAACAGCCCATATTCCGTATTGCTCACTCAGTACCTGGCTGCCCCTGCACGCTGCATACGACCTCGTTCCTAATTCCCGGGGCCGGGGTAGCGGATCCTGCTGCAGAACCGCGGACCGCAGACCGCAGACCGCAGACCGCAGACCGCAGCAGCAGTGCAAGTGCAGCAATGCAGGCAGCTCGTTTACTCGCACGAGGCAGACTGCCTGCGAAAGCTACGCTGGCTCCTCTTGCCAAGACGTGCGCTGCGAACCAATACTCGGTGCCTTGGGTTGCGCGCCCCCACTCGGGGTCGCTGGTTCTGGTCTGGGTCTGGGGGGCGTGGCCGAGTATGGCCGCCGGGCTGAAGGACACCAAGTAAGGCTGTCCGAGGGCGGCGTAGACGGCCGATGCAGCGCCGAAAGCGTCCAGGTCTGCAACTCGAGCTGACCTCGGGCATATATCACCGACTCTGGGCATTCTCATGCCAGGTGAGCGACTAGTAAACAAAATTATGTGAGTAATCAATCAAAACTCTGAGCCCCCTTTTTTGTTTGCATGCAGGAGAGTCTCGACACCATGACACGTAACTCGACGACGACGACGACAACGACGACGGGCAATGGCTCGCCCGCCCAGGAAGGCGCCCCGGGCAGTGCCGCCCCCATCGCCATCGTCGGAATGAGCTGCAGATTTGCCGGCGACGCCACAAGCCCGTCCAAGCTATGGGATCTTTGCGCCAAAGCCGGAGACGCGTGGTCACCGGTGCCCCACGAGCGCTTCGACTCCGCCGGTCTGTACGATAAGCGGAAAGCAACGCGCGGCCGGGTATGTCCAGTGTCCCATGTCCCCAGTTCTGATTAGTCTAACTCACCTCGCTGTGCAGTTCGCGGTTCAGGGCGGCTACTTTCTCAAAGACATTGCGCTGTTCGACTCGGCGTTTTACAACTACACCACCGACACAGCAAATGTGGGCACCTACCATGGGGTATCCCTGATTCTCGGCTCGAGATGGCGAGACTGACCGTGTCCCAAACCACTGCAGGCCATGGACCCCCAGATCCGCATGCTCCTCGAGAGCGTGTACGAGAGCATGGAAGACGGTGAGTGCCAGGCCCGCCTTGGCCAAGTCTGAAAGTTCCTCGAGAGTGAGTCGAGACTGACGCGTGCAAACCACCCCGCGCTCAGCCGGGATCCCGATCCAGACCCTGGCCGGGTCCAACACGTCCGTGTACGCGGGCAGCTTCAGCACCGACTACTCGGACATATCGCTCAAGGACCCGTACATCATGCACGAGACGTACAAGACGGGCAACGGCATCGCTATGCTGTCTAACCGCATCTCACACTTCTACGACTTCCAGGGCCCCAGCATGACCATCGATGTGGGCTGCTCAACCAGCCTGACCGCCCTGCATCAGGCCGTGCAGTCGCTGCGGTCCGGCGAGAGTGACCACGCCGTCGTCGGCTCGTCGCTCATCTGCCTGTCTCCCGACATGTTTATCGCCATGGCGAACTCGAGGTAATTACAGCAGCTAGTCTCTCATCATGGGACATCTACTCACCGCGGTGTCTCGTTATCTAGTGTCCTCGGCCCGACAGGTAAGTGCTTCGCCTGGGACGAGCGCGCCGAAGGCTACGGCCGCGGCGAGGGCGTGGCGTCCATCCTCCTCAAGCCGCTCGCGGCGGCGCTGCGCGACGGCGACCGCGTGCACGCCGTGGTGCGCGAGACGGGGCTCAACCAGGATGGCAAGACGCCGACCATCACGTCGCCGTCGTTTGAGGCGCAGGTCAAGCTGATCCGCGACGTGTACCGGCGCGCGGGGCTGGACCCGTCGGCCGACACGGGCTACGTCGAGGCGCACATGACGGGCACTCCGACGGGCGACCCCATTGAGGCTGAGGCGCTGGCCCGCACGTTCGGCGCCGGCCGCGCCGCCGGAGACCCCGTGCTAGTCGGGTCCGTGAAGCCCAACCTCGGCCACACGGAGCCCGTGAGCGGGCTGGCGGCCCTCATCAAGACCATCTTTGTGCTGCGGGAGGGCGTCATCCCGCCCAATGCCAACTACGACAAGACGAATCCCAAGATCCCGCTCGAGCAGTGGAAGCTCAAGGTCCCCCGCACCCTGACGTCCTGGCCAGCTGACAAGCCGAGGCGAGCGTCGATTAACAACTTTGGATACGGTGGCACCAACGCCCACGTCATTCTCGAACTGCCCCCGGCAGAGGCAAGAACGGAAAAGCCCAAAGGCGTGGTATCCTATGCCAATGGGACCGACGGAGCCACCAACGGAGCCGCCAACGGAGCCACGAATGGCCACGCCAATGGCCACGCAAATGGACATGCCAATGGGACCACGATCGGAACAAATGGCCACACGAATGGCTACGCAAATGGCAGCACCAACGGCCACTCGAATGGTGTCGCGAACGGTCATACAAACGGTACCACCAACGGGCACACAAACGGGCACACCAACGGCCACAGCAACAGCGAGCTCGGCTCCAAGGTTTACATCCTCAGCGCCAAGGACTCGGCGGGCGCGGTGCAGATGAACAAGAACCTGGCCGCGTACCTGCGAGAGCCGCCTTCAGCGCTGCCGAGCGCCACGGACCTGGCCTTCACGCTGGCGGAGCGCAAGTCGCGGTTCCCGTGGACGACGGTGGTGCGTGCGACCAGCCTGACGGAGCTGGCCGACAAGCTCGGCGACGCGGACCGCGTGCCGGCGCGGGCGTCGCGCGTGCCGCGGCTGGGCTTCGTCTTCAACGGCCAGGGCGCGCAGTGGCACGCCATGGGCCGCGAGCTGATCACCGCATATCCCGCCTTCCGCCGCTCGCTGCTGGCCGCCGACGAGATCCTCAAGGACTACGGCGCTACGTGGTCGCTGCATGGTACTGTACCCCCTCGCCCCGTTTCTCTTTAGTTTTTAGCTTCTTTCTCTTGCTTCGTGAAGTCTCGTCCACGATAGCTACTTGGCCCAGAACAGCTAGCTAACACCAAAACACAGAGGAGCTGCTCCGCGACGAAAAGACGACGCGGGTGCACGAGATCCGCCTCAGCCAGCCGCTCAGCGTGGCGCTGCAGCTGTGCCTCGTGGACCTGCTGACCGACTGGGGCGTGACGCCGGCGGCGGTGACGAGCCACTCGAGCGGCGAGATCGCGGCCGCGTACGCCGTGGGCGCGCTGAGCTTCCGACAGGCGCTGGGCGTGGTCTACTTCCGCGGCGAGCTGGCGCAGAAGCACAAGGGCGTGGCCGAGGGCGCCATGCTGGCTGCCGGGCTGGGCGCCGAGGCGGCGGCCGCGTACGTCAAGGACACCAAGACGGGCAAGGCCGTGATAGCGTGCCACAACAGCCCCGACAGCGTCACCATCTCAGGCGACGCGACGGCCGTCGACGAGGTGTCGGCGCGCCTGTCGGCTGACGGCATCTTTGCGCGCCGCCTCAACGTGCCGCTGGCGTACCACTCGCACCACATGCAGGCCATGGCGGCCGACTACACGGACGCGCTGCGCGAGGTCATGATGCCGGCCGAGGGTCGTTGGAGCGGCGCGCTGTTCGCGTCGCCCGTCACGGGCGGGCTCGTGTCGACTCCCAAGGCCCTGACGCCCGAGCACTTTGTGCGTAACCTCGTCAGCCCGGTGCTGTTCTCGCAGGCCTTCGACCAGATGTGCTTCGGCTCGCTCGACGGGCAGGCCAGAGAGGGAGACGAGGCCGTGGCCAACGTCGACGTCATCGTCGAGATCGGCGCGCACGGCACGCTGGCCGGCCCGATCCGCCAGATCCTCAAGGACCGCAAGACCAAGCCCGCGTACGTGTCGCTGCTCAAGCGCCAGGCCGACGCCGTGCAAACGGTGCAGGACGCCGCGTGCGCGCTGGTGGCGCAGGGCTGGCCCGTGTCCCTGGCCGGCGTCAACTTGCACGCCGACGGCGCCTTCGTCGCGGACCTGCCGGGCTATGCCTGGAACCACGCGACGCCGTGCTGGGCCGAGTCGCGGCTGTCACGCGAGTACCGCCACAAGCGCTTCAACCCGCATGAGCTGCTGGGAAGCCCCATCGCGGGCACCAACCGACAGACGCCGACGTGGCGCAGCTTCCTGCGCGCGATTGACGTGCCGTGGCTGGCCGACCACAAGCTGGGCAGCGACGTCGTGCTGCCCGGTGCCGGCTACGTGGCCATGGCCATCGAGGCGGTGCGGCTGTTGGCCGACGACCCGACCGAGGAGACCATCGCTGGGTACCGCCTGCGCGAGATCGAGTTTGTCAACGCGCTGACGATCCCCGACACTGTGCTCGGCGTCGAGGTGCAGATCGTGCTGTCGCCCAGCAGCGACAAGGAGCTCGAGTCCAAGGGCTGGTACAACTTCGAGGTGTGGTCCGTCTCGCTCACCGACGACAGCTGGATCCAGCACTGCAAGGGCAGCGTCACGGCCGAGACGGTCGTCAAGACCAAGGAGGCGTCCACCAAGTTCACCACCCCGGCTCCGCTGGCCAAGTCCTTCTTCGCGCTAGACTCGAAGCAGCCGATCCGCGAGGTCACGCCCGAAGCCATCTTCGCCGGCCTCCGCGCCATGAATCTGTTCCACGGGCCCGTCTTCCAAAACCTCCGTGCCAGTTACACGGCGGCGAACAAGTCGATCACGTCGCTGGTCGTGTCGCCCGCCGCAGAGCCGGGCGACAACATGGTTGGGGAGCGTCCGTACGTGCTGCACCCGACCACGCTGGACTCGCTCATCCAGGCCGCCTTCGTGTCCATCCCCGACTCGACGCGGCAGGGCGCCATGGCGGTGCCGCGGTCACTGCGCCACCTGTACGTTCCCCGGACACTGAACCGCGGCGTCGGCGAGGGCCTGACGGCTTTTGTCGAGCTCGAGCGCGCGGACCGCCGCGGCGCCACCGTCAGCGCCGTGGCCGTCAATGGCGAAGGTGACGACACGGCTGCCGAGCGGCTGGAAATTGACGGGCTGTACTGCCAGGCCGTGCCGCTCGACACGGGTGATGCTGAGGGACAGGCATCGGCGGCCATCTGCTCCGAGATGCGCTGGGAGGTCGACGTCGCCAAGGGCCCGGTGCCGGCGCCCTTCAGGGATTCGCTGCAGCAGCAGGTCGTCTTTGACGACGAGAGCCGCGGCTTCGAGAGGAAGCTTGACAGAGTAACGTTCAACTTTGTCGCGGACGCCATCAAGCAGCTCGCTGGCGACAGCGAGACGGCCAGAGCCCCGCATCTCCAGCGATTGTACGCCTGGATGCAGACTGTCGTCGCCAAGGGGCAGGCGGGCGAGCTCGGACCGGGCAGCCGCGTGTGGGCCAGGGCCGGCGCCGGAGTCAAGCAGAAGCTGGCCGACGACTTGGAGGCCGAAAACGCGGCGGGAAGGCTGCTCTCGCGCGTGGGGCCGCAGCTGGCTGGCATCGTGAGGGGTGCTGTCGACGCCGAGGCCCTGCTGAAGCAGGACGACCTGCTCGACCTGTACTACGAGGCGCTGCCGCGGCTGAGCCAGCGCAGCTTGGCCCATCTGCAGGGCTTCGTGGCACAGTTCGCCGTCGCGCAGCCCGGGGCCAACGTTCTCGAGATCGGCGGACGATCTGGAGCCGTCACTACGTGGGTCATGAAAGCCTTCGAAGCCAAGGCCACCGAGGGAGAATCGGGCACGCTGCTGGGACAATATGACTTCACCGATGTTGTGGCCGACAGGTTCGAGCTGGCCAAACAGAAGCTCGAGCAATGGACGGCTTCATTGGCCTTCAAGACGCTCGATCTCCGCAGCGACCCCATCGCGCAGGGCTTCGCCGAGAGCAGCTATGACCTCGTGGTAGTGTCGCCAGGCGCATTGCTTGGTTTAGCAAGTGGCACACCCGACGAGCTGTCGCGGTCGCTCGCCAATGCTCGTCGCTTGCTGAAGGCCGGCGGCAAGCTAGCGATGGTCGAGACTACCAGCGCGCGTATGGACACGCACTTGGTCTTTGGCGGCCTGCCCAACTGGTGGCAGAGTGGGCTGAGCAGTGAGGACGGCTCGGTCGTTTCGCTCAAGCGCTGGAGCGAGGTCCTCAGCCAGGCAGGTTTCGCCGGGGCCGAGGTCGAGATCGGCGACAGCGAGGACGCCCAGTACCGCTCCAGCAGCGCCATCTTCACTACTGCTGTCGAGGCGTCCGCTTCCGCCTATCCGACAGCTGTGTCCGTCATCCACACGCGCGACGCCGCGCCGACGCAGAAGTGGCTGGAGGGGGTCCAAACTGCCATCGCGGTGGAGACGGGCGCCTCTGTCCAAGTCGAGCGCCTCAGCGAGGTCGAAGCCAAGCCCGATGTCGTGTACATCTTCACGCCCGACATGGCAAGGCCATTCCTGAACACCATGGACGAGGCCGAGTTCGAACAGCTCAAGACGCTGGTGGTCCAGGGCCAAGGCCTACTGTGGCTCAGCCGCGGCAGCGCGACCACTTCGGAGCAGCCACTTTATGCTCAGTCGGCCGGCCTCCTGCGCGCCGCCAAGCAAGAAGACACCACCAAGCGCTACGTGTTGCTCGACTTTGAGATCACTCCCGGCTCTGCCAAGGGCGCTTCGTGGTCGGCTGACACAGTCCCGCATATCGTGCAGGCCTTGAAGCAGAGCTTCGACACGCGCGTCGACACGGCCGAGATAGAGTGGGAGTACGCCGTCAAGGATGGCATGTTGCACGTGCCTCGCTTCTACCCCAGCCTGGCCGAAGACCGCGCGTCCAGCGAGACACCGGTCGACGCGACACCGGTTGAACAGCCGCTGTGGCAGCCTAACCGGCCGCTGCTGTGGGAGACGGTGCAGACGGTAGGCACGCTAAGCAACCTGTACTTTACCGACGACCCGAAGGCGGGCGAGCCGTCACTGCCGTCGGGCTACGTCGAGATCAAGACGCAGGCGCTGGGGCTCAACTTCCGTGACGTGCTGGTCGCTTTGGGCCAGATCGACGAGTCGCGCTACATGCACGACGCCGCCGGCATCGTCACGCGGCTGGGGCCTGACACCGAGGCAAGTGGCCTGAAGGTGGGCGACCGCGTCGCCGGTGCGCTCGAGGGGCGCTTTGCTACGCACCCGCGCGCGCTGTGGACCGGCTTCGCCAAGATTCCCGACAACATGTCGTGGGAGGAGGCTGCTTCGCTGCCGTGTATCTTCTTGACCACTTACCTCTGCCTGTTTGACGTCGCGCGCCTCCAGCCCGGCGAGCGCGTGCTGATCCACGCCGGCAGCGGCGGTGTCGGCCAGTCGGCCATCATGCTGGCCCTGCATGCGGGCGCCGAGGTGTTTGCGACGTGCAGCAGCGAGTCAAAGAAGGAGCTGCTGATGGAGCAGTACGGGCTGGACGCGGACCACATCCTCTCCAGTCGCGACGCGTCTTTCGCGGCAGCCATCAACGCGCGCACCAGCGGCGCCGGCGTCGACGTCGTCATCAACTCGCTGTCGGGCCCGCTCCTCAAGGCGACGTGGGACTGCATGGCGCGCTTTGGCCGCTTCGTCGAGATCGGCAAGGTGGACATGGAAGCAGGCCGCCGTCTCGACCTGACACCGCTGACGCGCAATGCCACCATCGTGGGCTTCGACCTGATCCAGTGGTGCATGTACAACGGGAAAGCCGTGCACGGCGCGTGGCAGTCTCTGATGAAGCTGTGGAACGAGAAGGCCATCCGCGCCGTGCACCCCATCGTCACGTACCCCATCGGGGAGATGGAGACGGCCATGCGTCGCATGCAGCGCGGCGCGCACGTCGGCAAGCTGGTGCTGGTGCCTGCGCCCGACTCCCGCTTCAAGGTCCTGACGCGCACTTCCAGCTTCGCCAGCCTGGACGACCCCGACGCGACCTATCTGATCGCGGGTGGTCTCGGCGGCATCGGCCGTGCCCTGGCCGAGTGGATGATGGAGCGCGGGGCACGGAACATCCTGGTGGTGTCGCGTCGCGCCGAGTCGCACGCGGCAGCGGAGCCGTTGGTCTCGCGCGGGCGGACCCGGGAATGCAACGTGGTGGTGCGCAACTGCGATATCGCCAAGGCGGACCAGCTCGTCGCGCTGCTGGCAGAGGTGGCAAAGACGATGCCGCCCATCCGCGGCGTGGTGCAGGCGGCCATGGCTCTGCACGACACAATCATCCAGCGCATGACGTTTGAGCAGTGGCAGTCCAGCACCCGGCCCAAGGTTGTCGGCTCCCTCAACCTGCACGACCACCTGCCCAAAGACCTGCGCTTCTTCGTCATGCTGTCGTCGGCGTCGGGCGTGGTGGGCTTGGTGTCCCAGGCCAACTATGCCGCCGGCAACACCTTCCAGGACGCACTGGCGCGGCACCGGGCGGCGCAAGGGCTGGCGGCCGTTGCCATCGATTTGCCGGCCGTGGCCGATGTGGGCGTCGTGACCGAATCGAGCGACACGCTGATGCGGGCGCGCCTCGAGCGAACACTCGGGTCCGGGTCCATTTCCATCGGGCGCGTGCTGCGGCTGATTGAGGCTGCCGTGGTGACGCCGTCGCGGTCCGGCAACGTAAACACTGCGCAGGTTGTCACGGGCATCGTTGCATGGGACCGCATCACGACAGGGGCCAATCCCAAGCGCGACCGGCGGTTCTGGACGATGCGGCTGGCCAACAGCGGCAAGGGGGCGGGAAGCGGCGGGTCCGGAGGAGCCAAGAACCCCGACGAGATATTGAAGCAGGAGCTGGCGGGGGCGTCGAGCGACGATGCGCTCGGGCTGGTCATGGGCGCGCTGGTGCGCAAGGTGGCTGCCCTGTTCAACCTGGTGGCGGCCGAGATCGACACCAGCTCGGGCCTGAGCGCTGTGGGTGTCGACTCGCTGGTGGCCGTCGAGCTGCGCAACTGGCTGAGCAGTGTGGTCCAGGCCAAGGTCACCGTTTTCGAGATTCTGCAGACGGCCACCATGCGCGAGTTTTCCAAGCTGGTCGTCGGAAGGAGTGCCCTGGTTGTCTAGGTCTAGTTCTTAGGATTGAACGGGAGGGGTTTGGTAACGGAAGACTGGGTGCTGGAAGACGGTGATTTTTCAGAGGCGCAATTTTGTTGGCATTTCTCTTTCGCTCTCCTTGGGATGCGCTGTACTAGCTGTCGCGCTGTACTAGCTGTCTGTTCTGCTGAAGTTGGTCAGATTATTTTGTAGTTCCAAGTCGAGATCGCGCGTGGTTCAATTGATGTTGCGTTCAAAAGGTCCGACCTAGACTACTAGAAATGGACTACTAGAAATACAGCGGAGTGCCTTCCATTCAGAGTTGGTGGGTACGTTTGGTGGGTACGGTACGGGAGCTCGGTGGACCCACAGCGCTTCCCCTGGTGACTGTGGCCAATCAGAACATGGGGAGCAAACGCAAGCCACTGGAAAATGACGGGGACGTGAATCCACAAAAACAGGGCGGCTTGAGCTTCCATCCAGAGCCCCAGACAGGCAGCCGACAGGACCACGTTGACGATTGGCATGACCCAAATGAATACTAGTCGTGACAGGTAACGGGCCATACGATGACGACACACCCCGCAGAGCACGTCTCGCACAGAGATAGGAATCCGTGAGATTAATTTTAATTCTTTCATCCACCAGCACCTTTGTCGTCTCTCCAGTTTCCCGTGACAATACGTCCTCATGCAGGCGGCAAGTGACCGCTCTTACTGCTGCAGGCCATCATGCAACCTCCAGTTGTCCGGCTCCAGGAACCTGGGACCATCTCGCCTACTCTGTCTGTCCAAGTACCTGCGCTGGGGTCAATCGGAAGTACGTAGGTGCTTTAAGAAACCAAGAAGAGAGTTAAAAATTTTACAAAACGCCGTCTGGATTCTTCTTCTTGATACGCTCCGATTTGCACCCAACATCTCCGCCGAGAGACACCAGACGCATCACCCAAGGGCCCGTTGGTCCAAGGCGAAGCCAATGTATACCGTAAAGGCCCTCATAAAGTCGAATACCCCTAGGGAGCGTCTGCGCCGTCTATTCGTCAGGATGCCGAACAGCCAATCCCGGCATGGCCCATCGCAACAGACGCAGACTGCAACCCCCAGCTCGGCTCGTGTCTCTTCCGACAGCTCCGCGACATTCTCTTCGAGATCTTGGACCACCTGCCGCCCGAGGGCCTGCTCTGCCTCTCCCTGACACGCAAGGTCTTGTCCAACCTTTTTGGCGAGGCCGCCGCGAGACGCGTCAGGACCAGTCCCGAGAGCAAGAAGGCCCTCCTCCTGCTACTCGAGGGAGAAGTTGCAGACTGGTGCCTCTTCTGCCACGACTGTATCGCACTGCACAGGATCAACATTCGGCCGAGGCAGCGGTGGCGAGGGCGAGGGCGAGGGCAAGGGCGAGGGCGAGGGCAAGGGCGAGGGCAAGGGCAAGGGCGAGGGCGAACTCACCCCAACAGCGTCCACATGGCTGGCTGCTCGTCCAGGACGCTTTATTGCCACGGTTTCAACTTCGGGAGCCCGCTGCGGTTCAACTTCCACCATGCCCGGGCGGCCACAAACAAACACCACTTCGGCGCCGACGCCGGGCTGCCCGTTGACGTCTTCCGCGTCGACAACGCGGCGATACGTCTTAGACTATGGAGCTACTTAACGTTTCGCCACGGTAGCCTGTTCAAGGCTCATCCCCTTAGCTTTCCCACATGGACGCAGAGCTGGTCGGCCAAGGTCGTCGACGACAGCCAGCTGCTCCTCCGGTCCGTGTCCACCCTGGCCAAATGGATGTCCGGGTGGGGCTGTGGAACAGGTCTGGCTAGCAGTGCCTGGGGCTGTGGAACAGGTCTGGCTAGCAGTGCCTGGAGCGTGATGGGCTGCCGGAAGGACTCGGGCCGGGAGACCGGGTTGAGACTTGTGTGCTCTGGCCGGGGATTTCAAAAAGCGGAAGTGTGGGGGTTGCGAGGGAGGGCTAAACACATAAGAATAGCATGCATGCGACGACCTAGGTACGGTAGGCACCTAGGTAGCCATCTCGCCCAACTCAGGCGAGGATAATTATACATGCATAATTACATGCATAATTACATGCGTAATTACATGCGTAATTACATGCGTAATTACACTACTTCCTAGTATGAAACAAGATCAAGAAAGAAGTGCCGAATACCACCTTCTTCTTCGAGACCATGGATTAACCTACCTTGCAGGTCGAACCAAAAAGATAATTAATAGCCAGATTCAGCATTAAAAATAACTAGCTCAAGTAATTCGAATTGGCACCGGAAATGGTTAAGCGATAACCTATTTGGATTCGGTCAAAAGACGGCTCTTAGCACCCTAGAAATATAGGGGTTCAACAAGGTAACTAGTGTTTAGCAATCACATCCCTGGGGACGACATGGAGAGCGTGGACAGCACCTACCTAGCTTCAACAAAGAGTGCGAGTAAGGGCGTATCAGAAAGAGACCTTGGAATACGTATTAAATGCTTCTATGACACTACCCGGCCTAAGGAATCTTTGAACCAACCAATTCCAAAGAGATTGACATAAAACGTGCCAGAGTAAATATCTAACCTGCCTACCTTTGTTCAAGAAGCGTGTCGACGAATCAATACGTAGGCCCAGTCTCATACCCCGTCTCCTCGATGTAAGTATCCCACGTAGCCTAAATATCCAGTCAGTCTCCGGTTTCACCTCATCAGGGCACGCGGGAGTGGGGGAGAGAGGAGACCAACCCAGTCAAAATCCATCTCGAACGAGAAACTGCCCGGAATAGCAGCATCGAAAGGCGGGCTGCCGCCACCAGCAAGTCCCGAAAACAGCAGCTGGTCCGCCGGCACTTCGACGGCCGACGCCGTCGCTGCCGCCGCCGTCTCGGTCCGAAAGCTCGACAGCAGCCCGATGAGAAACTGGTGCACCCTCCGGGCCTCCTCGCACACGTCCATGGCCTTCTCGAGGAGGACACACGACCTCTCGAGCGCGGCCAGCAGAGCCGCGCTGCTCGGGCTCCCGTCGCCTTCATCGCGCCGCTGTAGCAGCGGCGACATGTTGGCATTGCTGTTGGCATTCTTCCGCCGCAGCGCCAGCTCGAGAAACAGCACCATGGCGCCGAGCATGAGCATCTGGCGCGTCTGTGAGATGCGGTAAAAGGCCGGCTCCAGCAGCTCCTGGAAGGCCAGCAGGCCGAGCGCCGAGGCAACGCAGCGGTCGCGCGACAGCCGGAACCGCTCGCCGCTGCCGCTGCCGCTGCCGCCGCCGTCGCCGCCTTCGTGGTGCTGGTTGTGCGCCTTGGCCAGGAACTTGCGGTGCAGCGTGCACATGCCGCGGTGGTACATGCCCACGAGGCTCATGTTGGAGAAGTTGGCCGGGCTGCTGCTGCGCGCCGCCGAAGCGGCACCGGCAGACGCTGCGGTGGGTGGCGGCGTGGCAAGGGGCGCCGACGCCAGCGTCGGCGCCGACACCTTCATGTACGGCGGGAAGGTGTCGTAGACGGCGGCGAGCGCGCAGTCGATCTCGAGCACCGTGTCGTACGAGCCCAGCGTCGGGGTGCTGTTGAAGTCGGCGACGCGGCCGAGCTCGCGGAACAGGCGGCCCTTGACGATCAGGTACGTGGCGGCCGTGGTGTCGGCCAGCGGGCGCGACGGCGGCAGCGCCACCATGTCCTCGGCCAGCTCCCAGTCGTGCACGTTGCGCGGCTCCGGGGCGTCGGCGTACAGCGCCGACATGGTGCGCGGAAAGCCGCCGAGGAACGACGCCATGTCGTCCATGCTGACGACTGACGACCACACGCGCCGGCGGTACTCGGCCTGCAGCATGCTGATGCCGCCCGACGAGGGCGATGGATACGAGCCGGGGTCGCGGTGGTAGCCCATGTTGACGGCGGCGCGGACCACGACGCCCGTCATGATCCACAGGCCGCGGCGGTTGTCGTCGCGGCGGTTGAGCTCGGCCGTGGCGTTGAACCGCAGCGTCTCGACCGTGTAGGGCAGGCACTTGGCCACGTCGCCGTTGAGCAGGCACTGGGCGGTGCGCATGCGGTAGAGCTGGAAGAAGGACTCGGACAGGCCCTCGTACTCGGGCGGCTCGCCGTACTGTAAGAATGCCAGCATGGTGATGCCGAGGATGGAGAAGACCAGGCCGAGCCAGATGAAGTCGGTGCTGGACGGGTCTTTCCAGTGCGCCGCGTACTCGCGCATAAAGGTCGGTTCGTGGAGGATGGCTGGACTCGTGTGAGGGCTGCGTGGGAACACCCGTGTTTGTTGCGGTTGGACAGGGAGTACTTACGGGGAATGGCGATGGGAAAGTTTTGGCGGTCGAAGAATTGGCCGATGAGCCAGTCGACCTCGTGCTTGGGCGGCAGGCTGGAGAGGATGCTTATCCGGTCGAGCGGCTTCACCTGGTCGTACAGCAGGCTTGAGCCGTCGACTGTGTGTGAGGGAGCGGATCGGAGGTTGTGGTCGCCGAACATGTCGTCTTGCTCATGCTGGCTCCACGTCCTCTTGAGCTCGTTGATCTAGGCCGGTTAGCAAGCGTGCAGCAGAGACGTGTTGGTTGCTATTTAGCAAAACTAGGGGGGGCTTGCTTCCTGGAGCACGACCGACAAGTCGTCCCCGCCAATGTATACGGAACGGGCTCCATCCATGACCGTTTTGCCCGTGGCCGCCGTGGGCAAGTCGTCGGAGCTGGCAGCATCGGACGAGTCGGTTCCGGGCGTCTTCTCGGGCGTCTTCTCGGGAGTAGAGATGGAAGCTCCAGTGCTGCTCTGGGGCGGCGACAAGGGAAGCGGGCGCTCCGCGATGAGCCTCCTGACCAGGTCCTCCAAGTGGACGATGCGCTGGCGCATCGACTCGCCGTTTATGCCGGCATCGCTGCGGTAGCCGGCGAAATTGGAGCTGGCATCGGACCGGTCTCCGCCAACCAGGGATTGGGCCGGGCTTGCCCCGCGAAGTGCCGTCTGGGAATTGATATTTCCGGCACTTCCGGCACTTCCGGCAGCAGCGCTCAGGGGTCGGCGGAACTTGCACGTCACCTGCTCGTTTCGGGCCGTGCAGTTCTGGCACGGCTTCTCCCGATTACACTTGAGTCTATCTCACTCGCATCGTGGTCAGCATCAGCATCAGCATCAGCATCATCAGCATCATCAGCATCATCAGCATCATCAGCATCATCAGCATCATCAGCATCATCAAGCCGTGCTCCGTCACGAAGAGAACCGGGTGGGTGGGGGCAGTGGGTGCGGGTAATGGCACACTTTCTGGACCTGCAGGGGTCGCAGGACAGGGGAACACGGGAGCGCCGGTGTGCTTTGCGGAGTTCCAGCTGCTGGGACTGCATGGCCGTCGTATGGCGTGTTGCCGAGTGTTTTTTGGGGGTTTTTTGGGTAATTGGTTAAATCCAGTTGTTGAGTTGCAGCGAAGGTCGTGTGCGAGTCATGTCATGCCCACGGACGCTTATGTGCCGTGGGAGAGTGTTGTGGGATGTTTCCAGGAATCCGGGCTGAGGAACCCACGCTACTAATCCACCCTCGGGCGTCAAAGGCCTCGCCTCACGAGGCACCACTGACGGTCCTTCACCCGCCTTGGCCCGACGAGCCAAGCACTCCTCGGACTTGGCTTTGGACACTTGTTGGACGCTGTGGCGGCGTGCGTGCGTGGCAAGCAGGCGGCAAGAGGCAGAGTCGTGTCACATGATCACTGGCCTGGCTCGGCCGCAATTTAATTATCAGATAAAGGGCTAGGCCAGGTGCCAGGTAAAACCGCAAAATCCGCGGACTTAACACGTGCCTGGCGTAAGTGTCTCATCTTCGCCCCTCCCTGTGCTGCTGTGCTGCTGTATCTCCATGGCGCGCTTCGAAACAGGCACAGAGAGACAGACACATAAATATAGCAATCGAATTGCCGTTCTTGGAATTTGGCGTTGTTCACTCTCCGCACTTCCTGACTCCCTACGTGCCGCGTGCCCACCTGCTTGCTTGCCCACCAGCTCCCTGCCTGCCAAATCCGCCTTTCCTACTCACCAGTGACCAGCCAAAAAACCAAAGCAAAAAAACAGAAAAACAGAAAAACAGAAAAAAAAAAAAAAAGCAAAAAAACAAAGAACAAAAAAAAACCAGGACTTCCGACCCAACACGATGCCTTCCTTCAAGGACTTTGTCCACACGCAATTCCTGCTCAAGATCCCTGAGCCCACCACGTCCTTCGAGTCCAAGACCGTCATCGTGACCGGCGCGAACGGAGGCCTCGGCCAGGAGATCATCAAGCACATTGTCCGCCTTGGTGCCGGCAGGATCATCTGCGCCTGCCGCAGCCTGTCGCGCGGCGCCGAGGCCAAGAAGGCCATCGAGGCCGTGACCAGCTGCAAGCCCGACCTTATCGAAGTGTGGGAGCTCGACCTCGAATCACCCCCCTCCATCAAGAGCTTCGTCGAGCGCGCCAATGGCCTGCCGCGCCTAGACACCGTCATCCACCTCGCTGGCATCCGCGCATTTGATTTCGGGGTTATCTACGACACCGAGCGCACCCTGGCCGTCAACAACATCGGCACCTTCCTCGTGGGGCTGCCGCTGATCCCTAAGCTGAAGGAGACGGCCCGCACCTACAACACCACTCCCGTCATGACCATCGTCGGGTCCGCGCTGTACGACATCGCCAAGTACCCCAAAGACCCGGGCGAGGACATATTCACCTACTTCACCGACAAGACCAAGGTGAACCCATGGAACCAGTTAAGCCCGCCCGCCCCGTCCTCGGTCCACCTGGTCCGGATAGCTAACCCGAACCGCCAAAACAGATACAACCTGTCCAAGCTGATACAGCTCTACACGCTGATCAAACTGGCGACGCTGGTGGACCCGCTCGACGGCGCCGAGCCGCACCCCATCGTGGTCAACTCGGTCGACCCGTGCTTCTGCGAGACGGGGCTCTCGCGCGAGGTGACAGGGCTGACGCGCGTCGTCACCAAGACGTTCGCCGCCATCGCCGCCCGGCCCGCCGACGACGGCGCCCGCCAGATCGTGCACGCCGCCTCCACCGGCCGCGAGACCCACGGCCTGTACATGCGCGCCGGCGCCATCCAGGCCTACAAGCCCATCGCCTCCGACCCCGCCAAGACCGAGTACCTGTGGGAGGTCTTGTCCAAGCGGCTCGTCAAGCTGGTGAGTTTTGTTTCTCCTTACTTTTCCTTCTCGGAAGAGAAGGGCCAAGCAACTACTGACGCATTTGGATGCAGGACCCGACTATCCTGGAGAACCTAAAGTGACGGGATCATGAACGGGGATCATGGACGGGTAGATGGATAGATGGATGTTCTCGCTAGATACCAACACACCAGTCTTTTCTCTTTCTCTTTCTTTTGTCACGGAGGCTGCTAAAGGGACAGCACTTGTTTTAGTAGCTCAGGGTTCAGCTAATAACCAGGAAAGGGATCAGCAAACAGCTGCGGAGGGGATAATTAGTTTTAGCCAAACCAGGCAATTCGGATTTTGTCACTTAAAACAAGGGGACAGCACTTGTTTTAGTAGCTCAGGGTTCAGATAATAACCAGGAAAGGGATCAGCAAACAGCTGCGGAGGGGATAATTAGTTTTGGCCGAACCAGACAATTCGGATTTTTTCACTTAAAACAAAGGTTCAGAAAGTTGATAGATGCTTCTCATTCTTATTCACAGGGGGGCAGGAAACTATTATTTGTAATCAGTTAAATATGTAAACCTTGGCTTTTTTGGCATTCGAGACTTGTCATTGACGGCAGTTACCTCGCCATGGCCAACACCACTGGGAATCTACATTGGAAGCCGGCGATCTGCGTGGCAACCTTGTTGAAGTATTCCAAGATCGGTGCATTTCCTCCCGAGTTAGAACGACAGTAATCACGATGTTCTGATCGGGTTAGCAGAAACCACCAACATCAGAACATGCTCTAGGCCGTGACGTATAGTTAGGGTTACTCGGGGCCGTCTCACTTCGTCCTTGCATTGCATTCTACCGCGAGCTTAAAACTTCAACTCGGACACGGAACCTAGGCCCAGAGCGGTTGATCAAGGAGGTGAGAGCACTTGAGAGCTTGTCATATAGGTTGTGGGGAAACTCCATTTTACATATTTATTTTGTCTGCTCGATGAGGCTCTGCTGAAGGAGGGGCTTTGACAGCTCTGTTTTACATATATCACCCGTCCATAGAGACTAGGTGTATTCTTCTGAACAAATGTAGCTTTTGAGAAAAGTTCCACAGTCACATCCTGTCAAACAATCGAAAGAGACACAAGGGCCACCTTCGATTTTCAAATGGGTCGTCCACTTTCGTGCATGCGCTTTTGGCGTCTTCTATTAACCCGCAAAATCTAATCTAACAGCTGGTCTTAAATTGAAATAAAAAAAATACGAGGTTTTTATGTAGCTTCGTCTTCACGCACAAATCAAGGGCCGCGACGATGCCAATAACGATTAAAATTGCTGTATATATTAAAAAAGTGGTATAAGGCTGATATGCACCGCCACTGAAACCACAATAAATTTAATCTCAAGACTAATGACGAGCGCTGCTACCCATTCACTCGGCAGCCGGTTCGACCGGCTTCGACTCTGGCTTCGACTCTGGCTTCGGCGCCGCCTTGGCCGGAGGTGGCAACCTCACCCACCCCATGCACAGGGCCGTCACGAAAGCGGCGCTCGCCGATCCGGTAGCTAGATATAAGACGTGGTTAAAGGTGTCGCTGTACGCCTGCTTGACGGGCTCCAGCAGCGCCTCAGGGACGGCCTGCCTGATCTGGGCGGCCGCGGCGCCGGCGGCGACAATGAGGTCGACGTTGGCCGACGGCGCGTACTGGGTCAGGAACCGGCGCAGCTCGGTGCTGAAGACGACCTCGCCCAGCGATAGGAAGACGGAAGCGCTGAGGTTCTGGGCTAGCACCACCAGCGCGCTGGCCACGGACTGCTCCTCGCGGCGCACGCCGTTCTGCACCGCCAGTACGGGCACCTGGAAGCCGAACCCTTGCAGACCGAGCAGGATCTGGAAGCCGATGCGGCGCGAGCGGCTCGACGTGGGCGTCAGCGTCGTCGACAGGCCCGCGCCCAGCGCCGTGAAGAGGCCGCTGGCGAGCGCGAAGGGCGTGTAGTAGCCGATGCGGCCGATCAGGCCGCCCGTGATCATGGTGACGACGGTGTTGGTGCCGATGATGGGCAGCATGTCGACGCCGCTCTGAACGGGCGTGGCGTCCTGCACGCTCTGGAACCAGATGGGGAAGTAGTAGGCCGTGGTCATGGTGCAGCCGATGAGGAAGGCCATGTTTAGGCATCCCGTCCACACGACGCGCCGCCGCAGCAGCCCCAGCGGGATCAGCGCGCCGGCGCCCACGCGGTACTCCCACGCCAGGAACACGAGCAGGTTGCCAAAGGACCCGCAGAACAGCCCGATGACGGTCGCGCTGGACCACGCGTACCGCACGCCGCCCCACTGCAGCGCGAGGATCAGCATGATCACGGTCGGCGCGAAGAGGGCAAAGCCGGCGAGGTCAAATTTGTTGATGCGCTCGAGCACGGTCTGCTTGCCGTCGCCGGCCACGCGGTAGTTTGGGATTGGCACGATGATGATGAACAGGGCGATCACGGCGCCGATGGGGAGATTGATATAGAAGCCTGGTGTGTTCTTGTCAGCTCCTGTCTTTCGCACCTCTCGTGGTGGCCTCTGGGAGAGAGGCTGCCAGAGGCCTGGGATTGCAAGGATTGCTGCTGGTCACTTACACCACCGCCAAGTTGCGTTCGACGTGAAAGCGCCGCCGATGAGCGGCCCCGCGAGCAGGCCGAAGAATGCCAAGCCTATCAGCACGCCTCTGAGTGCTGTTCCCCCCTCGGGCATTAGATTGCAGTTCAATTCTCCCTTTTGTTCGCGGGAAACGGGGCAATGCTTACCGGCCTGTCTGGCAGGCGGCACGACCAGTGCAAGGACGGTGTAGCCGCCGTTGAGCAGCCCAGACGCCCCTATGCCTGCGATTGCGCGGCCACCAATGAGCATTGGCGAGGACTGGGCGGCTCCGCAAATGGCAGAGCCGACTTCGAAAATGAAGAAAAAGGAGAGAAACGTCCACTGCGTGATGGCAAGTCAGGGCCGTATTCCAGAGACAGGCGATGAGCAGCAGCTAAATGCCTACCTTGACGTTGAAGTAGCTGTAGATCTTCCCGCTGAGCGGCTGGCACGCGCAGCTGTTGGAGACAGCGTTAGCGGCTCTCCTGCACACGGGGTTCTCTCGCTCGTTGTTTTGATGCAACGGCCAAAGTCACTAATGAGACTCAAACTCGAGCTCAAACTCACTTGGTCATGAGGTACGCCGTGCCATACCAGCCGATGTCGTTCAAAGAATGAAACTCGCTAGTGATCGTCGGGACAGCCTGTCAAAAGTCAGTAATGCGCCAGAAATGAATTAGATGTCAATTCCTCAAGACTCACCGTCGCCACGATGGAGGCGTCCAAGAGCATAAGAAAGACGGCAAATGTCAAACCCGCCAAGACCAGAACCAGCTTCACCCCCGAAAGATACTCATGATCCCCGAACTGATCCTCGGGGTCTTCGGGCACATCCGAGCCTTGCTCCTTGGCCTCCGTCTTCTCGGGCGCGTCGTCTGAGATGGCGGCGCCGTCGTTCTGGTCGCGGGACGGTCGCTCTGCCATGGTGGGCGGTTATCTTTTCCGGCGAAGCAGCGCAGAGACGGGCCAAAAGTCGGGGTACGCGAGCCGGGTGGTTCCAACGGTGTTATTACTGGTGTGTGAGTGATGGGCAGAGCAGCGCAAGGTGATAGCGATGGATCACTGATGCAGAGACTGCCAAGGGCCAAGACTGTTGTTTATTGCGAGACGAACTGCAGACACTTTGCGGGTTTGACTGATTAATTGCCAAGCTGTCCCAGAGACCCAGACCCTGGGTCCGACACGACACAGCAAGCGCAGCCTTGGGTGATGCTGGAAATGCTGGGACCCGGAATGCTCCCGTTCTTTTTTCCCCTTTTTTGCCAATTCGGGTACACACATAATGTACCCCGAGTAAGGGAGTCCCAAAGGGGATAGTCGTCTAAACGCCGCGGATTTAACGTGCCAACCAGAGGCGTAGAACGAAATGATGCGATGAGCGAGCCGGCCCACAGTAGCACGCGCGACCGTGCGTTTCCCGGTTGCCGCGGGTCGCGGGTCTGTGCAATTTTATGAGTTATGACCAGACAGACCACCTGCACCCTGCAGCAGATGGCAGGCTGTTGGTTAGATTGGCGGGTTACATATCATCGACAACTAAGGCAACCTTAAATCCACGGAGGTAAAACTACCCCCCCTCCACGGACCATGGAAGAGGTGGAAAGCTTGTCTTGCACGGGCAACACGTGTATCCTTGTTGCAATCCTGCAGGGCTGAGGCGACAAAATTCCCGATGGGAGATGGTCTCCCCTAAATGTGGGGTATCTAGCCCCGAACCCTACCTTGCCTTGGGTGCTTGTCCCTGTTCCCTGTAGGTACCTTACCTCAACGACTCCTTACTGTGGTAGAGCCCTGACTAATTTCCTATATTTTGCACCGTTCAAGTGCGGGGTTCCCAAAGCTCGGACAAAGTTGCAACCACAAAGGGGCTCAGTCATCATCCCACCATCAAGCCACGCAATGCACGGTTCAGATAAGGTACGCAAGCCATTGGGCAGGAATCAGACCCCTCATTATTCTAGCAGCGCTGCGGGTTGGCGTATCTGGGAGGTGTATTTTGGTGGATGCGCCACCGCGGATGGCGCCGGGCCTTTATGTCAATCCTTCTCTAGCGCCCAGTGATCGGCTCGACTTTCCCGGCACCAATCCGCTCTCAGGAAAAAAATCTTCAATCGGCATGTCTCACATTCAGCTCTCGATGGGTAGTTGGTCGGCCTCGGCCATTCAGTCGGTCTCGCGTCGTACTCGGCCTCGGGCGCATTCAGTTCGGCCGACGATCTCCGCTGAGATCGTCCCTTATCAATTACGGAGTACAGCGCTTCAAATCAGGCCGCGAATCGCTGGTCGCCTCGAAAAACAATTTCTCGTCACAATCCCGATGGTTTGAGGGCGTTTCCCCATTATCGAAAATCGGTGAAGTAGTGGTGTGGGAGGAAATCGGTTTGTTGCTTCGGGTGGACCCCCCTCCCCCCGGGCTGACCGGCAGGAATTGGTGTGTGAGGTTTTCAAGCAGTCCATCCATGGATTTTATGGGCTCAGTGCATCGGGTTGCTTAGATCCCCGCGGACTTAACTGCGGCCCGTTTCCAGGGGTACGAGGGCAGCTGGAATCCTATCGCATCCACGTTTCTTCGACTCGGATCCCCCCCCCCCCCCTGCGCCGCTAAGCGACTGGAGGGTAGATGGGGTCCGGCGCTCTTACTGGCGGAGCTGTGAGGTACGCGTTAGTATTATTGAATGTTTGGCTGAGGCGAAGCAAGCTGTCGGGGGAAGCATGCAGGACGTAATCGATCCTATGGGAAGGCTCGTATTCCCTTCCTATACGTGGAATATAATATTCAGTATATTTTCTGACACTGAGTAAATCCTGCTGGCGCTGCGGCAGGCTCGCTTGGGGCAACCTGCCTATTTGTGCCTGTAGATTCGTGGGTAGGACGCGAATACTATTTCGTTACTGCTCGGATGGCTGACAGTCTGACACGGCCGAACAATCTTGCCGCCGTGGCATCGCCTGCAGGTGCCAGGAAGCGAAATCGGGATTGGACAACGCACTCAAAGTCGTGAGCATTCCACGCGAATCAAGTAGGAACGCGGGCGCAACAACCAGCGCAAGTACCTATCTTGACATCCATCGTACAAAACACGCAATCAGACGTCGTCTATCTCTCCAACGCCCTGACGAGGCAGTGATAGCGTTGAGGATTTCTCACCTCTCGACCATTGGCCACGATTGGAATTTCGGAATTCACTGGTCGCCCGACCTGCAGCTGCCTGCAGGCCCATCATAACCCCTCTTTTTGCCGAGCAAGCAGCTTCGGGCTCAAAGTCGCTGCCGTGACACTTTGGGACGAGCTCAGCCAGTCAGCCAACCAGCCAGCCAGCCAACCAGCCAGCCTTATGCCCTGTCCCTGTCCATGTCCCGTGTGCAGTTTCCAGTGTCCATCAGGCAAGTGCCTAAAACAACTCCCCCCCTTCCCCCCCATTAGGTTATCACTGGTTAGCAAGTACAGCAATTGCTTGGTAAAGGTGTGGCATTTCCGGGCGCTGCAGTGCTGTATTCTGACGCCCAGACTCGTAAATGTGGGTTAGTGACCAACAGTGCACTGGTGCAGCACCCTCACGCTTCATCAAGGTAGCCAAGATGGCGAGCTTATTATTTTTCACACCACCAACGTGCAGGTTGGTTGCAATATTCTTGCCGTATCGGGTGGCTTGGGTCTCTGGGCGCTGTGGGTTTACTCTGACGTAAGGTTTCGGGAAGCTGAACGGCGAATGGGACCTACGGCTGGGAGGTGCCCGGCTGGCAAGCACGCAGCAGGAGGAGTAGGACTGAGGCTTGGCTGGCCCGTCCTCTCTGTGTTCCACGTTACATACAATCAGACGGTTACATTGACCCGAACATGGCATACCCATGGTGCATTTGCATGCCAACAGATAGGTAGGTAGGTAGTTAGGTAAGTAGGTAGGTAGTAGGCAGGTAGGCAGGTAGGCAGGTAGCTAGGTAGCTGCAGCTCGGATGCATGCCGTCTCACACTAGCTATCCCACGCGTTCCGTTGCAGAGCTCATGCCTATCTACCAAGCTCCTGATCCGCAGTAGCGTAGAGCTCCGAATCTGGCTAACGGCCACCTACCTACCTCGGTGTCGTGGCCGAATATAAATGAAACATAGCAGCAGCCCTGCGGTGTGATCCAGACGGGAGAAGTACAGGCTAATATATAATAAGATTTCCAGTGCGTCCTCTCCGTCCGTACCCGTACCCCGTGTATCCCGCCGTGGCCGCTACCCTGAGTCAGAAGCCAAGTCGTTGCTGCGATGCCAGATGGCAGAGTCACCTGGTAGGGTCGCTGTTTATGCCATTTCCATGTACTGCAAGGCGCTTTGATGGAGAGTCGCGTCAGGAGAAGCTGGACGGCAAAGGAGGATGCGTTGCTTCGCAGGTCGGTGCAGAAAGGTGAGTGACGTTGCGCGTGCGCTACTCTGCTTCTAGATGCAACAGCGAGTGCCCTTATGTCCGCGGACGAATTGCTCACAGTAAGCTCCGTGAAGAACTGGACAACAAACGGCCCCTCCTCTGGCGCGAACTGGCCAAGCACATCCCCGGCCGGTCCAACAAGGACTGCCGCAAGCGGTGGTGGAACAGCCTGGCCGGATCGACGGCAAAGGGGGCCTGGTCGCCAGAGGAAGACAGGCGGCTGATTGAGGCCGTGGAGAAGTATGGCACCAACAACTGGATGAAGGTGGCCGGGGCCGTCGGCACCCGCTGCGGCGACCAGTGCTCGGGTCACTGGCGGCATGTCTTGAACCCCAACATCAACTACTGTGATTGGACGCCCGAAGAGGTGAGTCGGCAGCGACCAGCATACCCCTCCCCGAGCAGTGGGGGAAAAAACGTTGCCGTGACCGCCACCCGCCTGTCCACACCGCTAACCACCGACGGCGCCAGGACAAACGGCTGCTGGATGCAATCCGCATCTACGGCACCAACTGGTCTACCATTGCGTCGTTCCACACCCCGGAGCGGACGACGCTGGCACTTAAAAACCAGTACTGGAAGCTGCGGCAGCGCAGCCAAAAGGCGGGCAAGGCATGCCCCGCCAGGCCCGACGGCTCCGAGTCGTCGCCCAGCGGCACCGAGACCCCCGCGGCAGCAACGGGGGCGCAAACGGCAGACAAGACGATTCAGACGCCATCTGTCTCTAGCAACGACGACGACGACGACGACGAGAACGTGCAGGCAGCAAACCCAAACGACCAGAGCGAGACCGAGGGGCCAGACGCCGACGTGGACATGCACGCCAATGAGTACGAGCAGCAGGCAGATCCCAACTGCTGGCTCGGCGACTGGCCAGGGCAAAAGCTGGTATCGTCCAAATCCTTAGTACCACTCACACCCTTGTGGACAGGATACCATGCAAAGACGGGCCGCATCAAGAGCGGTGAGACGTGGATGGAGGGCCTGGACGAGGAGGGACTGGACGATGGCGGCCTTAGCGGAGACAGCAGTGCGACACCGCTGTACGCGGTCGCAGGCGAGCAGTATGCGAGCGGGCCGCTCGAGAATCAGAGGCCAGACCAGCTTGCCCACCACACTCACAGTCACACCCACACGCACAGTCACTCGGCCGCAGACGACGACGCCATGTACCTGTATCTAGCGAACCTGGATGACAGCTTCCCGCAGTACAGCCCAGCGCACCTGGCAATGCCACCACTGCCACCAATCACCACCACTGCGGCGCCGCTGGCGGCTGAAGGGGAAATGCCGATGTCGATCAACCTGAGCCCGGTCAGCCTGGCCCTGGACCCCATGTTGGGGATCACTCATAGTCACACTCACGGCCACGGCCACGGCCACACCGCATCTGTGTCTTCTACGGGGGACGACAACGGCGGCAGGGCCTCCACTCCGTCGTCGGCGCGCAACAAGAGCAACAAGACGGCGCAGGGCGGCGGCGAGACGGCCGATACGCTCTCGCATAGCGTGTCCATCAAGTTCTCGTGCACTACGGGTCAGCTGAGCAACATCATGTCGCTACTGGCTAGCACGGGCCTGCCTGTGAACATGAAGATCGACACGGAATAGTCTGCCTAGTTAATAGGCCAGACTTAAAATTTCTTGTCCCTGATAGATAGAGTATCACGACGATGACGATCGAGTAGATGATGATGATCAGACCAGTCTCCAATCTAGACGTACATTTGAATTCGTTGCCTTCCTCGAGTTCCAGTCCAGTGCCATTTGCAGATCTGAACCGCGCCTGCACGGCCATGTCGTGTCTGACTCTGCCGCCTCTTGGCTGTCCGGTTCCTTGGCGGTAGTTGAAAGTCGCTCGGAAGCCGCCCGAAATTCGTGTCGGTACCTGAAATTGGCGTGCTTGGCTGGTGCTTGGCGCAAGGTTGGTGGAGAGCCGCACGCTAACCTTGAATATGGATAAAATTGCCGTCTCTTCCAACATCCATGTATCCTCAAAGGCTTGGCACCTCCAGATTTGCTGAGGGGCGGTGGGAAAGTAAGCAGAGTGGGCGGTGGGAAAGTGCTTTCCCTCCCCCGACGCCACCAACAAACTTGCGTCGGGTCGCTCCTGCATCTCCAAGCCACGGATCCTTGGCACCTTCACACCGTCCCCGACTCCCTCGCTCCTGCCCTCCACACTGGCACATTGCAACTCCGGCCAGATCTCCCCCGCCGATCTCCAGGCTCCAGCACACCCACTAAGATAACCTAATCTCGGCCTCCCTTCTAGCCCACCCACACTTGCCAACACCCTCCCCAACGCCTCCACCTGCATGAACCTCTCCACCTTCAATCTTCCCAATTCGGGCCCCGGCCCTACTCTTGCACGTCGATCGCGCCCCCAAAATCTTTGCAGAACAGCCACCTGGTCTCGGACCCCAGCCCTCTTGCCCGCCACCCATTGATTTCGCGCGGAAACAGGTCGATGCGGCCGAGAATCGACTCGTCGTGAGCCAAAATCACAAACACATTGTCCGCCGCGTCCATCTCGGCAATCTTGCGCACTGTCTCCATGGCCGCCGGCCGGTCTGGGAACAGCACCGGCGACACCACGAAGAAGGGCTCGGCCGCGTCGCCGTTGCGCTGCACACGCTGAAACGCCTCGCCCGGACACGCGCAGACGCCGCTGCGGCTACTCGCGGTCGCCGCCGCTGTCGGTTGCTTCTGCGCCATGTCCAATTCCATTTGCACCGGCAGCGGCAGGTACGCACTCGGTCGCAGCACCCCCGGGTGGTGACAAGCGTCGGCGCCCATGAAGACGAACGAGTCCTCGCCGTCTCCTGCTGTCACGCGCGCCAGCGCCGTGATGTGGCCAACGCTATGGCCCGGCGCGTCGAGCAGGTAGAAGGACCCGTCGCCAAAGTAGTCAAAGGCGTCGAAGCGGCCGACTCGCAGCGGGTGCGCCGAGAAGTCAATCTCGCGCACCTCGCGCCCCGCAATGTCGGCGTCGAGTACCATGGCCTCCGGATTGCGCGGGTATCCCGGCCAGCACACCTCCGGCACGCCCGGTCCGACGACGAGCGCCGTCGACGCCGGGAAGGTGGACGGGTCGCCGATGTGGTCGAAGTGGTGGTGCGACCAGATGACGGCCTCGATGTCGGTGCTGCGGACCGCGGCGGCGGCGGCGGCGGCGGCGGCGTCGGTGTCGACGGCATTGGCGTGCGCGTCCAGGATCTCGGACACGTTCTTCTCAGCGTGGCATTGCGTTGTGCGGCGGATCAGGTCGACCGTCTTGGGGGCGTAGTTGTCCCAGTCGCGCCGGACGCCCAGGTCGAACAGCACGTGGCGGTCGCCGTGCGAGACGAGGAAGCAGTAGATGGGCACGTGGATTCCGTCGAACCCTTTCATCGCCGGGCGCCAGAACAAGGGCGGGTCGAGGAACAGCGACGTCGTTCTAAGGCCCCGGGTGAGCTCTACCAGACGCGAGATCACAAAAATGTGTCGGTAACTTACGAGTCGATCACCTTCACCGTCACCGTCGCGGACGAGGACGGGATGTTCAGCGGTGGAGGCGTCTTGGGACGTGTCAGGCACGCGGAGGAGGCCATGGTCATGGATGTATGTCGTCACGAATTTTGCAATTGTTGGATTGCTCGTGATGCTGCCAAGATGCCAAGACCAGAGTCTCACCAAATCACTAACACAGCGGTCGGGGATGGCTTATATACGGTCACCAAGGTACCTGCACCTACAACAGCCCCCAGCGGCACGGTCTAGTCACCCGGGGTATAGTCCTGTCAGCCTACCCAGGGTTTCAGCTAAGGCCCAGAGTTGGCAACAAAGTCACGCCCGACCCTTGCATCCACGAAACACGACTCACTCAGACTCAGGGCCGCACGAAGTGTCCGATTGCATGTCATTTCAGAAATCTCCCCTTTTTTTTTAAGACTGAGTACCTAGGTAACTACATCCCATCATTTCCCCAAGTTCCTCATGCTCGCAGTCACCATTACGCAGAGACCAGGATCGTCTTCTTTTCAGATTCGGCCTCTACGCGTCTCCGTGCCTTCACATCAATGCCGTACTGGCGGAAGAACCAGTGGTTCTCTACCACATACCTCTTGTGGTCGATGAGGTCAAACTGGAGGGTGTTAGAGTCACTGCAATGCCCAAATGTAGCTCGTTCACGTACCTCGTATCGCAGCACCAAGGCTGGGACGATCTTCTTCAGCTCCAACATGGCAATGTGCCGTCCGAGGCAGACTCGTCTCCCAGCGCCGAACTAGATAATTGCCACACCGGTCAGTCGCGACGTGTTTCAAACCTGGAATTTGATTGTGAAGACTCTCAGGGTTGCGTCAGAATGATTGTCTCGAGACTCACCGACATGATGGCCGCCTCGCGCCTCTGGCGCAGCTCCTTGGGCACCATCCAGCGGTCGGGGTTCCAGATCTCGGCATCCTCGCCGAACGTGGGAACGTGCCTGTTGGCTACGTACGGGCTCATTCCGAGCACGGTGCCCTCGGGGAAGAAGTTTCCGCCGATGGCGATACCACCCTTGGGCACTACACGCTCGAGCGGCAGGCAGAAGGGCGGGTGCATGCGCAGGCCCTCCTGGATGACGGCGTCGAGATACGGCAGGTCGCAGACGTCTTTCCACGACGGGTACGGCTTGGTCAGACCGCCCTCGGCCGCGCGGTCGGCCTCGAGTAGCTCTGCCCGCAGTCGGTTCAGCGTGTCCGGGTACGCAAGCAGGTTGAACCAGACCGTCTTCATGATGATGGCGGTTGAGTCGGAGCCGGCGATGACGTTGGAGAAGGTCCACGCCGTGACGCACCACGGCGGCAGGCTCGCGTTGTTGGTCGTGAGCTCAAAGAACTGCGAGAGCATATCGCGGTCGCCCCGGCCGTGGTCAGCGCCCTTCCCGGTGATGCGCGCCGCTTTCCGATCGGCAATGTGCTTGGCGACGAGACCCAGAATGGTGAATCCCGACGCCGAGCGAAACATGGCCATGAAGTTGGTCTTGTTCCAGATATCGTCGAACCAGGGGATTTGCGTATACTGCCGTTCTTGTCAGCTTGTACGAAATCAACATGTAATTGTCTTGCTGAATCAATGCTCACCGGCGCGGCTCTCTTCATATACTGCCAGATGGTGCTCAGCATGCTATTCACATCCCTGCCCTCTTCCAGAAAGCCGTAGCGCTTGGAAAAGGTCAGGGTGCCCATGACGTCGAAGGCAAAGTACTGCAGCCACTCTGAGAGGTCAAAGACGGCGCCCGAGTCGACAAAGCGCTTGTCCAGCTGCTCCATCATGACGGAGATGGTCTTGTCTACAAAGACCTCGAGCGGTAGCGTGTTGGACAAGGAGAAGAGCGGCGCGATGGGTGACTTGATCTTCTTGTGCAGCTCCTCGTCGCGCGTGTTGAACACGGCCGGAAGAGCGCCGCCCGTACGCGTGAACGGCATCAAGACACGGTAGAAGTCGCTCTGTTCACAGACAAACCAAAAACACACATCATCGTCTCAGTTACCGAGTTCTACTGCGATTCTCTTTGATTTCTTTCTCTTTGGTACGAGTGTCTCTCACCTTGGGAAACCCCGGGCGTATGGGATACAGCTGCGGGATCCAGGCTGGGTTGCCCAGCGACACCATGTTGGGAGCGAACCGCACGACCTCGCCATACTTGGTGTGCATGTCGCGGTGGATCTCGTGCGAGCGGCCCGTCGTCACCCACAGCACGCGCTGAATGTTTGTGAAGTTTGCCCAGATCGGGCCCGGGACATGGCGCAGCCGCCACCAGGTGCGAAAGAGGTGCAGCGCGATGCCCGACGCCGCGAGGGTCAGGAGCAGCGGCACGATGGGGAGGCCGCGGAGCTGCGGCGGCAGCGACAGCGGCGGGAGCTGTATCCCATGGGCCGCTGGCATACCGGAGGACGAATCCATGCCCATTTGCGATTTTATGGGTGACAATGGTATTGTGGTTGTGAGAAATGTTCACCAAGCTTGGTGTTCAGTGAGTTCAAAGTTGAAGCGAGTTGGATTCAGCGCTTCGGCGACCAGGACATGCCCAAAGTGTGGCACTTGTGAAGATCAAAACGCTAATCCAAAGAGTTTTTGAAGCCCAGTTCTCTATTTTCCTCCAGTCAGTCTCGACGTGAGACGGAGGCTGTCGGGGGGGGCGACACCGAGTATTATTCCGTGGTGGCCTGTTCGGCGGGTCCCGAGTGTAGGGTTGAGGTGGCCAAGTGAGCCGACCAAAGCCCCGAGTAGACCCAATGGGATCTACTCGCAGTCAGCCCTGTCTTACCAAGCGGCTGAAGGAAAGGCGCTCCAGAGTCGAAACACGCGTTGCTGTGCCAAAACGCCGGGTGCAGTCGCTGAAGTATATTCAGGCCGGCTTGTCTCTGCTGACGACGTTCGAGCCGGATACTGTGGCATGCTGTGCCATTATCGAACCACTTCTCTGATTTTTCAACAAAACATCTGTTCAAGATGTCTGCTGCAAACGGCTCCCTGCTACGGGATGCTTTAGTGGTGGTGGGCCCAAAGCGGTCGAGGTTCACGCCCAAGGCTCTCTCAGAACTCCGTTCGGCAATCACACGCAGCCCAGACCTAGGCTTCCTCCACGAGGCCATCACGGGACTCGAGTCCCTGTGGCCAGCCATTGTCGTCGCCCATCCAGCATTGAAGCAAGTCGACGGAAAACAGAGCCTCCACAGCCTTGGCCAGTTTCTCAAGACGGGGGAGCTGGACACTCTCACCCAGACGGGATCCCGCCACGATAACATCCTGCTAGACGTGGTCACGGTGCTGTCCCAGATTGTCGACTTCTGGCGCCTGGCCACGACCAAAATACAGAATGGGATTTTCACGCCCCTCAAGTCCGACGACGCGGGCCGCCACCACCTGTACAACATCCAAGGCTTCTGTCTTGGCTTCTTGGCCGCTGCAGCCGTGGCCAGCGCCAAGAACAAGGCTGAGTTTGAGACAAATGCCGCTGCAGCCCTACGTATCGCAGTCTGCACCGGCGCCCTCGTGGAAGCCGACGTCGTGGAGCTGGGCAAGTCGGGCGCAAAGCCGGCATCTCTGTCGGTGGGGTGGAGCTCGCAGAGTGACTATGAGGGGCTCGGCGACGTCTTGAAGTCGTACCCGAATGTGAGTTTCATCGTCGAAGCCAGACACAAAACACGAGGTCCTCGCTGACAGTGAATCACACGTGAATAGGGATACATTGCCTGCATGACGGACGCCACCCGCGCCACGGTAACCCTTCTCGGCCACGATGTAGATCCCGTTAAGCAACAACTTTCGGCACTCGGCCTGACAGTCCAGTCCATTCCCCTTGAGGGTCGGTACCACTACCGTCCGGCCTATGAGGACGGTGCTCGCTCGCTCAAGGCTCTGTTCCAGCGGGACGCGCGATTCCAGCTGCCCAATGCCGCAGCGCTAGTCCTGCCGCTGCGGTCAAATGCCGACGGCGGCATCATTGCCGAAGGCGCCCTGCACGAGATCGCGCTCGAGTCCATCCTGCTGCGCCAATGCCGGTGGTATGAGACGGTGCGCTACGCAGCCTCGCGCAGTCGCATCCCAGCCGACGACATTTTCCAAGTCGGCGCTGAGCCGGCCGTGCCTCGCTCACTGAGCAAGGCATCGTCCTCGTCGTCCTCGCGGTCGTCCTCTTCCGGTCAAGACGACGAGGCCACACAAGACAGTTCCACGCAGGACGACGCCTCGGCCGTCGCCATCATCGGCATGTCGTGCCGCTACCCCGACGCCGACTCGCTCGAGGAGTTCTGGGACCTCCTCCGGGACGGCAAGTCGGCGGTCCGGCCGCTGCCCTCCGACCGGTTCGACATCTCCGAGATAACTCGCGAGCCCAAGGGCGGCGCCTTCTGGGGTAACTTCCTGCGCCGCCCAGACTTGTTTGACCACCGCTTTTTTGGTCTCTCGGGGCGCGAAGCCAAGTACATGGACCCGCAGCAGCGACTGACGCTGCAGGTGGCATACGAGGTGCTCGAGTCGGCCGGCTACTTTGGCGTCGGTGCGTCGTCGGACAGGTTTCCGGGCGACATCGGCTGCTATCTGGGAGTTGGCGCCGTCGACTACGGCGACAACATTGCCTGCCACGATGCCACGGCGTTTTCGGCGCTGGGCACCCTGCGGGCTTTCATCAGTGGCAGAGTGAGCCACCATTTCGGCTGGAGCGGGCCGTCGATCACGTACGACACGGCCTGCTCGTCTGGTGCCGTGGCGATACACTCCGCCGTGACGGTAACGACGCCTCTCTTATCCCCGCTCTCTACATTGACTCGCCTGCACGCAATCTGAGACACTACTGACAGAAAAAAATAGGCGATACGGAGCGGAGAATGCTCGCTGGCCCTGGCAGGCGGCGTCAATGTTATGACTAGCCCGGCTCTGTCCCAGAACCTTGCTGCTGCGTCTTTCTTGAGCCCGACAGGCGCGTCCAAGGCTTTTGATGCCAGCGCTAACGGATACTGCCGGGGTGAAGGCGCCGGCCTCGTGCTCCTGAAGTCGCTGGCGCGTGCCCGTGCTGATGGAGACTCTATCCTGGCTGTCATCACCGGTTCTGCCGTCAACCACGGCGCAAACTGCTCCCCTATTAGTGTGCCAGTCTCGGCGTCGCAGAGCGCGTTGTACAAGAAGGCATTGTCTATCTCCGGGACTAATCCCAAGCATGTCAGCTTTGTCGAGGCCCATGGTACAGGTAGATCTCTCTTCCTCCGACTCCTGGATATGGGGTCCGGCCAAAAAGCTAACCCAGTCTGTCTACAGGCACGCCTGTTGGTGATCCCATCGAGTGCGAGAGCATCCGGCGCACCTTTGGCGGCTCGGATCGCGCGCAGGAACTGTTCCTTGGCTCCGTCAAGGACAACGTCGGGCACACTGAAGCGGCGTCAGGTGCTGCCGCGCTGATCAAGACGGTGCTGATGATGCAGAAGCGCGCCATCCCGAAGCAGGCCGGCTTCACGCACCTCAACCCCAAGATTCCGCCCCTGGAGCCGGACCGCATCGCTGTCCCTCGCCAAACACGGCCTTGGACTGCGGAGCGCCGCATCGCCGTGGTCAACAACTATGGCGCCGCCGGTAGCAACGCCGCCATTGTCGTAGAGGACGCAGGCCAGACGTACGCCGCCCCAGTTGCCGCAACGAATGGTCGTGGTCCAGTCTTGGCAGCGTCCGAGCTGCCATTCTTCATCTCTGCCAAGACGCCCGACAGCCTGAGAGACTACTGCAAAGTCCTCAAGACTAGTTTGGCCGACATCAAGAAGGAGCACGGCGCCTCTGCGGTGTTGAACTTGGCGTACAATCTCTCCGCCAAGCAAGCCCGCGGCTTCGAATACAGCTACAGCTTCACGGCATCTAGCCTGGAAGAGGTGGCTGCGAACCTCGACCGCGCGCAGTCCGTCGCCCTTAGCAAGACGCCGATCCACCAACGGCGCCCAGTCGTGTTCTGCATCGGCGGCCAAACTGGCCGGACGGTGCATCTCGACGAGGATCTATTCCGCAACAGCAAGCTCCTCCAGAAACACGTCGTGAGTACTCCTAGACATTCAGCCTTGTGCATCTGACCCTAGCTGACCCTCTCTCCTCCAGAACACGTGCGAAAGAGCATGCCAGACCCTCGGACTCGCAAGCCTGTACCCAACCATTTTCAGCCCAGAGCCGGTCGACGATCTGGTCAGCCTGCACAGCCAGCTCTTCTCGCTGCAGTACGCTAGCGCGCGGGCGTGGCTGGACAGCGGCCTGAGAGTCGACACCATCATCGGCCACAGCTTCGGCCAACTCACGGCCCTGGTCGTGGCCGGCGCGCTGTCGGTCGAGGATGGGCTGCGCTTCGTCACGGAGCGCGCACGCCTGATCCAGGAGTCCTGGGGCCACAACACGGGCGCAATGATATCGGTGCAGGGCGCCAGAGATGACGTGCACCGTCTCCTTGACAGAACAAAACTGCAGTATTCGGCCTTGGCCGTCGAGGTCGCCTCCTACAACGGCCCGCAGCTGGTTGTCATGGCGGGCGACCACGCGTCGGTTGATGCTGTGGAGGACGTCGCGAGGGCCGCCAGTCCAGGCGACTTTGGCGGGCCAGTCAAGGTGGTCAAGCTGAAGACCACACACGCCTTCCACTCGAGACTGGTAGACGGCATCCTGCCGCGTCTTGCCGAGGTTGCCGCCACGCTCAAGTTCCGGAGCCCGTCCATCCCCATCGAGGCGTGCTCGCGGGAACCTCAAGACTGGACAGTGGCGATCGACGCCGAAACCCTGGTGCAGCACAGCCGCAGGCCCGTTCATTTCAATGACGCGATTCACCGCATCGAGGCTCGCCTGGGCGCCTGTGTGTTCCTCGAAGCCGGCTCGGCGTCCGGCATCGTTCAAATGGCCCAACGGGCCCTGGTCAGCAAAGCCGGCAGTGAGCACGTCTTCCAACCCATCGACATCGGCCCGTCCGACTCTCTTGACACCCTGGCCCAAGCCACCAGCAACCTGTGGGCGGCCAGCGTGAGCGTGCAGTACTGGCCCTTCAACCGCAGCCAGAAGGACGGCTTTGCGTGGATCAACCTGCCGCCGTACCAGTTCCAGAAGAACTCGCACTGGATTGAGTACATGACGCCCAAGCCAACCATCGTGATTCAAGAGGCCGCGCAGCCGGCTGTCAAGGAGAACAACGTTGCGCCGCAGCCCCTGCAGCTGCTTGACCCGCTCGAACGCGACGCCAGTGGCAGCTCTACATTCCGCATCAACACAGCGCACGACATGTTCACGTACTGCACCCAAGGCCACGCCGTGCTGGGGCAGTCTCTGTGTCCCGCATCGCTGTACGTCGAGATGGCCGTGCGCGCAGCTACCGCCCTCAGCTCGAGCGCTACCCCCCCTGAGTCGACTCTAGCGCCCTGCGTCAGAGACCTCAAGATCTCGGCGCCCCTCTCCATATCGTCTACCCGCAGCGTCTTCCTTCAGCTTTCCCCTGCCAGCAACCCCAGCACTCTGGCCTTCACCGTCCTCAGCCGCAGCAGCCCAACAGCAACCGCGTCGACCAAGCACGCGACGGGCACGGTGTCCCTGCTAGCGCCCGGCACGTACCTGGACGCGCCGCGCCTGCAACTCATCCGCCGCCTCACGGGCAGCCACGGTAAGCACGGCGACGGCAAGCTGGCGGCGGCGCCCGGGGCGCACGTGCTCAGCGGCAGCATCGTGTACCAGGTGTTCGACCAGGTGGTAGACTACAAGCCGTACTACCACGGCGTGGAGCGCATCGTGGCCAGCGGGCACGAGGCCGTCGGGGTCGTGCGCGTGCCGCCCGGCGGCGGCGGCGAGGGCGCTCAGAAGCAGCACCCCGTCATGCGCGAGGCCAGCTGCGACCCCATCGCGCTCGACAACTTCCTGCAGGTGGCCGGCATCCACGTCAACTGCCTGTCGGAGCGCAGTGCCGACGACGTCTACGTGTGCACGGAGCTGGCCGAGATGTTCATCGGCGACGGCTTCCTGGCCAAGCGCGGCGACGTGGCCGAGTACCGCGTGTACACGTCGTTTGAGCAGGGTGCCGGCAAGACGCTGGTCAACGACATCCTCGTGTTTGACCCCGAGACGGGCGACGTGGTCGTGCTGTTCCTCGGTGCCGTGTTCCAGGGCGTGCCCATGAAGAGCCTAGCGAGGACGCTAGCGAGGCTGAACGGCAGCGATGCGGCCGAGACTGAGACTCGGCGCAGCGCTGCTGCCGTCTCACCGGCGGTGCAGGGTCCCGTTGTGCAGAAGCCGTCTAGCTATGCGAGCACGCCTACCCCTGTTGCCGCTGTTCGTGCTCCGCTTGTATCGACTACCCCGACACCGGTGTTGGCCCAACAGCCCAGGGCGCCGGCCAAGACAAATGGAGTATCGGCTCCGGCCAATGCAGAGGCCGACTCGGCCCTTGTGTTGCGGCAGGTCCGCGAGCTTCTTAGTCGCGTCATCGAGATACCTCTCGACGAGGTGAAGCCGAGCGTGTCATTAGCCGACCTCGGTGTCGACTCGCTGATGAGCACTGAGGTCTTGAATGACATCAAGACTCAGTTTGACCTTGTCATCGCAGCCGAGCAGTTCCTAGCGCTCGACGACGTGCAGTCGCTTGCCCGGCTAGTCAGCTCCGTTACGAGCAATGACGACGAAGCTGCTCTTCCGGTTCCACAGCTGCACCAACAGGTACAGCAGCAGCAGGACGCCATCGCGGCTATTCCGCAGTCCGCAGTGCCACGGGGGCCGAGTGTCAACGGCTTGTCTTCTTCGTTTGCTCAGATCCAAGAGTTCCTGAGTAGCCTGCTCGACATTCCCGCCGACGAGATCGCTGCCGACACGTCTCTCGACGATCTCGGCATCGACTCCCTGATGGCGACCGAGGTGCTCAGCGAGATCAAGAAGCGGTTCGGCGTGACGATCCTGGCCGATGAGTTCCAGGAGTTCCAAGACGTGCTCGCCATCGCCTCGCGCTTGCAGGCGTCGTCCGGTGCCTTCACGCCGCCACTGACGCAGGGCGAGATGAACACCCCCGTCCAGGTCAACGGGCACGCGACAAATGGCCAGACAACTAACGGACACACAAACGGGCATGCAGCTAGTGGGTATACCAATGGGTATACTAACGGGCATACGAACGAACATACAAATGGAGAGCATGATATCAGCGACTCCGAGTCTGAGTCCGACTCGTCGGCAGCGGTCGCTCACCGCAGCTTCGACAGCGTCAAGCGCGAGTTCGATCCCATCAGCCGCGACGTCGAGTTTGCCGATTTTTATGCCAAGGTCTACCCTGGGCAGATGCAGCTCGTCGTTACTTACATTGTCGAGGCCTTCCGCGACATGGACTGCTCGCTCGACGCGCTCCGCCCCGGCGACAGGGTCGGCGACATCCCAGTCCTCGCGAAGCACCACAAGGTCAAACGCCGCATCTACGAGATCCTCGAAGTCGGCGGCCTCGTCAAGCAAGACGCGTCGGGTGCTTTTGTCCGCACCGCTGTCCCCGTCCCGACTACTCCATCATCGCAGCTCCACCCTCCCCTCGTGGCCGAGTTCCCGCAGCACGCCTATGAGCACAACCTGCTGGCCTCGACCGGTTCCAAGCTGGCCGACTGCCTCACCGGCCGCACCGACCCTCTGGCCATCCTGTTCGGCAGCGCCGCGGCACGCACTCTCATGGAGAACGTCTACACACACGCGCCCATGTTCAAGGCCGGCACCGTGAACCTGGCCCGCTATCTGGTGCAGGTCTTCAACCGCTTCTCCTCGGAGCGGCCGATCCGCGTGCTCGAGCTCGGTGCCGGCACCGGTGGCACGACCAAGTACCTGCTCGAGAGCCTGCTCGGCACCGGCCGCGCGTTCGAGTACACCTTCACCGACATCTCGCCGTCGCTGGTGGCGGCGGCCCGCAAGAAGTTTGCCCAGCACGACTGCATGCGCTACGCCGTCCTGAATATTGAGCAACCGCCCCCCGTGCAGTTCTCAGGACAGTACGACATCGTGCTCTCGACCAACTGCATCCACGCTACCAAGAACCTGACAAACTCGTGCACCAACATCCGCGCCTGCCTGAGGCCCGACGACGGCGTACTGTGCCTCGTCGAGCTAACGCGCAACTTGTTCTGGTTCGATCTCGTCTTTGGCCTACTTGAGGGCTGGTGGCTGTTTGACGACGGCCGCCAGCACGCCCTCGCCAGCGAGACACTATGGCGTGAGCACCTGGTGCGCGCCGGCTACCGCTGGATCGACTGGACCGTGGGCGCCTCGGACGAATCCAGTGTGCTGCGCGTCATCACCGCGTCGCCCGCCGACCTCTCGTCCCTGTCCGACACAGACACGCCGGTGTCGACGGAGACGGTCGTCTTCAAGACGGTTGGCGACCTCGACCTCAACGCCGACATCTACTACCCCTCGAAGAAGCAGAGGGGAGGCGTCCAGGTCCGCCCGGTCGGTGAGCACCCTCGCCCGTCCGTGATCAGCATCACCGCCCTCTAGCAGCCGCGCCGCTGACACCCCTCTCCTCTCAAGCCCTCATGATCCACGGCGGCGGCCACGTCATGCTCTCGCGCAAAGACATCAGACCAGCCGGCACCGCCACCCTGCTCGCCGCCGGCTTCCTCCCCGTCAGCATCGACTACCGCCTGTGCCCCGAAACCACGCTGCCGGCGGGCCCAATAACCGACGCCCGCGACGCGCTGGCCTGGGCACGCAACACCCTCCCCCACCTACGCCTCCGCCGCCGAGATATCCGCGCCGACGGCTCCCGCGTCGTCGCCATCGGCTGGTCCACAGGCGGCCATCTGGCCCTAACCCTCGGCTTCACCGCGGCGGCGGCCGGCATCCGGCCGCCCAACGCCACGCTGGCCTTCTACTGCCCGTCCGACTACGAGGACGCCTTCTGGCAGCAACCTAACCTGCCGTTCGGCCAGAGCCGCGACTCCCTCGCGAGCTACGACCTGCTCGAGGGCGTGCGCGCCCGGCCCATCGCCGCGTACAACCCGCCGCCCACCAAGCGCGCGCTCGGCGGCTGGATGAGCGCCGACGACGCCCGGTCGCGCATCGCGCTGCACATGAACTGGACCGGCCGCTACTTGCGCGTGCTGCTCAACGGGCTGTCGCCATCGTCGGGCAAGACAATCGGGACGGACCCGACGGACGCGCTGCCCGAGCCGAGCGCCGAGGCCGTGCGTGCCGTCAGCCCGCTGGCGCAGATCCGCGCCGGCCGCTACGCCGTGCCCACCTTCATCGTGCACGGCACGCGCGACGACCTGATCCCCTGGCAGCAGGCGCGCCGGACGTACGAGGCGCTGCGCGAGCGCGGCATCGAAGCTGAGATTCGCATTCTGGAGGGTGCGGTGCATTTGTTTGATCTATACAGGGCTTACGAGACGGATGAGGCGGCGCAGCGGGCTGTTGCTGAGGGCTATGAGATGCTGGCGAGGTGGGTCATGTGAGAGCTGAGAGCTGAGAGCTGAGGGGTGTATTGAGACAATTAGAGGGGGATGCATTGTTTTGTTTATTATTTGATTTTTACTACCATGTATTTTCGCCTGGCACAGGCTTGTTGTTTTACAGATTACAGATTGATCACACTGGCCATTGATCTTTTTATTACCCCCACTGGCCAGTCTATGTTAATGCTAGCGAGCGTTTATCAATTTAGGAAATCACTTGATATATCAAGAGACAGTCTATTTACATGATAGAAAGCGTCTTTCTATTGTCGTTTGTCTCTCCAAACTTGGCATGTCGTGAGGAGTGGGGATTGCGGAGTAGGGCATTCTCAATTGGGGAACATCATTTGCGTTGGAGTTTTTGGGCCTTCGGCCTGCTAACTTGGAAAAGGCAACACGTTCCTATGAGCTGTTTATTCCTATGAGCTGTTTACAGGTCTCCGTAACCTTTATTGTCACCTCTTTACTCATGACTAGCGCCAACAAGCCTGTCCAAGGTTTTGCTCGGAATCTTTACTCGTCTTTGATCTCATACACCAAGAAGTTTTTCCCAAAGAGGTGTCCTGTGTCTGCTGGCTATAACCACTTGGAACTAAACGTAATTCACCTCGTTCTACTACAGGACTAAAAAAGTCCGCCTTTTGCTGTGCCTTGTTCGGATGGCTACATAAATCCGCCCGAGCCCGACACACCTCTTTCATCATTGCTGTTTCCCTTCAGTCAGCAACCCGCTCGCCGTCATGTCATCCAAGTCCTCTCCATCTCGGCGCTGTTTACAGCGATCAAGGAGGAGAAGCGACAATACCAGCGACTCGAAGCACCAGGGGTAGCGAGCCAGTTGGGGTGGCAGCTACAGACACAGACAGTGACAAGCGACAGCGACCCAGCAGCTCCCGCCCTCGGCACCCCGCCTAGGCTCACCTTTTGCCGTGAAATTAGGCCAGACGGCCAAGTCGTATTTTACACGATTGAGCCGACCGACGACGAGCTCGAGCCCTATCGCCGGGCTGCCAGGATTGAAGAGCTGCGCCGCTCTCTCCAAGTGAACGAGCGTCCCGACCTACGCGTAAATTACGAAGTCATTCTCCGGTACTACTAAGAAGGTGGCCGTCTTCCCCGCAGTTAAGAAGAGCTGCGGGCCGTCCATGGCGAATTGTCTTGGGGCGAGCGCTGGATGGTGGCAGTCAACTTCCCCCCCGGCAGCGTGTCGAGGTTCTGTGAGGCAAGTGATGGCTAGAACAGCAAATCACCCCTACCACGCACTTCTATTGTTGTCGCTAACGTCAGACGTAGACAGTCAAGTGGCGCCAGACCTGATAGTAACTCAAATTAAAAAAAAAATCAAAAATCAGATAATTTGTTATGAATCACATCATCCAGTGCTACTACTCGCTTTAGAAGCTCAGAACAAGCCCTTGCCAGAGCGGCTTTGGTGGGGGCAAAGTGGTGGCCTTAAGCTGGCTAACAACCAGCTGAAACACTATCATGCAAGCGTCCGGGAAAGTTCTGGGATAACCAATTCGCTCGAATCCGAGGTCTTTTGCCACTAACGACTGCGGGGGTTTGATAGCTCCGTCGTTCGCTATGGAACGATTTGGATTCGTTCCACCAGCACTCCAGATGCAGCTGAGCCTCCACATGGAAGAACATCGGGTAGATGCGGCATGGACCGTAGTGTGAACTACTCTCCCACTCTCAAGTTCTTACTTGGCTAGCCGAGATAGATAAGCAATGACCAGCCGACGCTTCTTCCAGTGATTAAACAAAGACCAGCCGACGCTTCTTCCAGTAATTAGAGGCAAAATGCAGGCTGTTCGTACGCGCATTCTGGGCAGCGGGCATTTCAAGTTCGAGAAACCTCTTCCCCTCGCCATGATACATCGCCCTCCGCCACAGCTGTAGTTCATCCTATTTATACTAGCTTTGCTGTGGGCCGCTGGCCCAATTCACTCCCTCTCCGGAGGCTCCCTCACCACCCGGGGCTCCATTTAATGTCAAGCGGACTAGCCAGGAAAACTTGCCAGGGCACCTTCTCGAGCGGACGTGAACTGCCAAAGCTCGATCGAGGGCCCGCCTTCAAGGCATCGACATCTTATCAATATCAAGTCTCACTAACCGTGGCATCTCACGCCTCGGACTTTTCGTCGGACCTTGCAGACCCAGCGAGTGAGGTTCTCAATGCCACGGTCGGAGGCGTCCTAGCGGTGAAAACGTGGCCGCTGGACTAGTCACCCGAGGCCAATACCCTCATCTTCTAGGCTACGCTCAACATCACGTAGTGTAACGCGGGTCAGAATGCCTCGGCCACCAGCCACCAGGATCCCCTCTCCGACTGCAACGTGCCCGCCATCCCAGACGGCCTTGAGCCGCTCATATGCGTCACGCAGGACCTGAAGAGCGGCGAATTTGTCAACGTCTACTGGAACTAGTCCACCACGGCAACTGCACCCGATAACGGCTAGGACCCGGCCGCCTTTCCCAAGCTCGTTGTTGACGTTCGTACTCTACAAGTCTTTTGCGCTACCTAGCAGGACAGTTACGTGGTCAGCCGACCGAACCGCATGGGCAGTCTTCGGAACGAAACCTACATCTATATCGGCACGGTACAAGGATCGCAACAACGCAAACGTAACAACTCAAATTAAATTAAGTCAAATACAAGCCACTCAAATAAGCCTAATAACTCGTCAAATCATTTCAAATATGAAGGCGTAAATATTTGACTACATTTGAATTATTTGACTGAAGTGGACCTGTGTTTCTTGTGCCTTTTTCACCCTAGCTCACCGTATTGAGGGAAAGTTTTGTAAATTATTCTATATCTAGTCTAAATGGAGCGAAATCTATAAAAAAGTCGACTTCTGTTTTGGCCGGGCCGGATTAATAATTCCCAGAGCCGATTCAAATCAAGTCAAATCAAATCAAGTCAAATACGCAAATCAACTCAAATACGGGGTTTTCGGGTTCAAATATGACTTGTTAACTTCAAATTAACTCAAATAGGGACCTAATATTTGATTTGTTTGCATTGTTGCGATCCTTAGCACAGTATGTACACGCCCAGGCTTGTTCATTATTCTTTGAGATGTGAACCCTAATTGCTGGAATTCTTGCTACACGAAGCTTGTGGGCACAGATGATCCGTGCTACTCGATCTCGGCCGAGAGCATGCAAGGCGACAAGTGGGAGTTATATGCTAAGGGGATTTGCTACAGTAACAACAACGGCGGCGTGTCGCTCTCTGAGACTTTCGACTATGCTTGAATCGGGACCGATAAAGCACCCAATCTCCTACCTATAACCTCGGTTACCATCTCGGACTGGATCACCATCTTGAGCGAAACCAATGAGGTGGACATGCACCAAGACACCAAGACGGTATTCGCTGTGGATTTCACAGGCGTCATCTGGGGGTACATGGTGGGTTCAAATGATATACCGTCGCCATGGTATAACTTTGCCGACATGTTCCTGGTATCTGCCGGAGACGAAGTGGTAGACGTGAGTCGAATCTTTTTCGACCATTTAGCTTCTTCCTCGGCTGAAAACTGGGAAAATGTTCATGCCGTGGTCTAACACTAAGTACGACCCACAATGGCCGCAAATCTTTGGCTTCTGGGTTTGGACAAATGACCAGGGATACGTCAACTTTCGACCGAAATGCGTCAAATTATTTGGCGAGCTAAATGACGATCGTACCGATACCATAGTTTCTACGGCGGTTCCGAGTCCCGATGGAGTCACCCATGGCCAAGCCATCACACAGCTGCAGCCTATCGGGGTGAGATGGCCCATGCCGCATTTGGCAGCCGTGTCGGACGAGGGCCAGCTCTTATGGAGTATCAACGACTAGTCATTGGCTATTGACGCGTCCGGCGGTTACGGAGACTGGCAAGTCATAGACTTAGGGAGCAACGTGGTGTCGGTAATTTCTACACGGGTTGATACTCGTTATTGGTTGAACCACTACCTATTTGATACTGGCAATCTGCTGGCAGCTAACCTAGGGTGACGGTACTAGATCGGGCCTTACTACTTTCCTGCCCACTACAATCTATCCAGCAATGTTACTCTCCCGGCCGATGAGGATGGTCTCTTCGTCGTGCTTTCCAACTCGTCGATTGTAACCATTAAAGCCCAAGAGTCGCCTAGCACTCCATTAGTCATAAGGCTAATAATACATTATGACAAGCCTCTGATAGATGCAGCAAGGGTAATTGAATTTCGTCTCTTCACTTACGTTTTGCTATGATCTACTAACGACTCGGATTAAAGGTTACCTTTGACCCTACTGTTGCGGCATTCCGATGGGCTCAGAGTCATGCAGTCATCACCCCACTGGGAGACAGACCTGTTCTGGGTTTGGGATATCTCGGCGATGGCGCTTGGACGCTCATCCCTGGGTTTGCTCCACCCTCTCGCTCAGTGTTGACGACGCCTGATTCCTGAAGAAGAAAGAAGATGCCGGATATCCCACAGTGAGCGGTGAGTCGATCCATCGCTCTCATCCACGTGTTTATTCCCAATCGTAATATAATATATGTATTCTTCACAGGCGTAGCAGCCTCTGACGCTTCTATGATCTTGAACTCGATTTGGATTCCTCCACAGCTCATAGCTTTGCAGGGCCTGCAAAAGACTGGATTTGACGACCGCTTCTGGTGGACCGAGCTTGGTCAAGATTGTACTGTGTCCGGTAAGAGACCATGACGGGCAAATGGTCCACGCACAGATTAGTCTAGATTGAAAGGTCTGACTTCGTCATAAAAATAGCTACTGCCGTCGCGGCGTTTTTTGCTAGTCCCGAAGACACTGGCCAGCTGCTCACATTTCGTAGATTCTTTTCTAGATGCAGCGCACCGTCCATCGATAACGTCTGGGAAGGCATTCGAATAGGCGGGATCAAAATCTCCAACGAGCTAAACGCATCATCGCTGTTCAGTACGGTATATAGTTATCGCGTCTCCGAGTCTACCGCTGCTAATATGAGCGACATCATGTTGGGCAAGACGGGGCCCATAACCAATCTCGAGGTACGGATCAGCGCCGCCACTCAGTCACCTGCGCTTCCGTGTTTGCCGCCACTCAGTCGCCTGCGCTTCCGTGTTTACCTGCTGTATTCCACAGAGCCCTAGAGACGCTCGTAAATGACACGTCTGTAAATGTATTGCTCTCGAGTGCGGCGAGCAACACACTAGCCGCATGCGTGGGTAGGCCGGCGTGCGACTTTGAACCCGAGCACCACATCCCGGCTCATGACCGGACCTTCAGCAGATTTCTTCATTCTGTTAGCAATGCGGCCGAGACAATGAAGTGCTATCCGTGGTGCATGGTCTGGCAAACACGCGCCATCCAGAAGTCATTGATACAGCGCAAGAACTTCTCGCCCACAACCTACCCAGCGTGCGAATCGGCGCCATCCGTGCTATTGCCAACGTTCCCTCGGTAGGGAATAACCCCTTCCACTTTCCCATCCAGGCTGGTGGAAGTAGTGGTAATCTTCCACGACGCTCCAGACGTTCCAATCCTTCAATACTGCTATCATCTGGATCCTACGCGACCCCCCTGGGCGAGGTGACAAGTTATGCGTGGCGTTTGGGTGTCCGCTAGCACTTGTCATCCGCCCAAGGGAAGCTCGGGGGAGACGGCATGAGCTTTTGGGCGGCTGTTATTCCTAAGGCTACATGCAAGGCGAAGCAATCTAGCGATGGAAGGATGGGTTGTACGAGGCCGAGAGGATATCGTTGGCTTAGCACTGGATAATAGTTTTCGAGATTTCCAACCATGCTCTGTACGAATTTTGCCACGAGAAAGCCCGAGGGTAGTAGAAAAATGCGCGTCTTGAAGTTACATATGCGCGACGAGACGCCCTACCACTCAACTTCCAGCAAATGTCCCTACCACTCAGCTTTCAGCACTGTCCCTACCACTCAGCTTCCAGCACTGTCCCTACCACTCAGCTTCCAGCACTGTCCCTACCACTCAGCTTCCAGCACGTGTCCCTACCACTCAACTTCCAGCACTGTCCCTACCACTCAGCTTCCAGCACATGTCCCTACCACTCAACTTCCAGCACATGTCCCTCGATCTCGGCGTTGAACCACTCGACAATCTCAATCTTGTCTTTGCACGTCCTCGCGCCCTCGAGCACCCCGCTAGCCACTACCTCACGCACAACCAAGTACAGCTGCCAGTTGGCGAGGTTGCGGCCCAGACAGGCGCGCCCGCCAAGTCCGTAGGCAAAATGGTCCCTGACGCCGGCGCCACGGCCCTCGCCGGCCAACCACCGCTCGGGGCGGAAGGCAAACGGCTCCGGGTACGTGGCGTCGTCGTGGTGGAAGACGTAGGCGGCGGCGCCGACCTTGGTGCCGGGGGGCAGCGCGAAGCCGCTGACGGCCAGGCCGGCGGCGCCGACCTCGCGCGTCAGCCGCGTCGGGTTGGCCATGCCGACGCGCAGGCCCTCGCGCACCACGGCGCGCAGGTACGGCAGCGTCTGCGGATCCGCGCCCGGGTTCGCCGCGACCTCGTCGGCCAGCCGCCGCCGCACCGCATCCTGCTGCACCAGATGGAACATGATCGTCGCCAGCATCACCGCCGTCGAGTCGGCGCCCGCGAACACGACGCCTTTGCACTGCACCAGCGTCTCGGCCCGCGAGACCCCCGCCCGCAGAAGCCGCGACTGGTACGTGTCGGCGTCGGTCTCGGCCGTGCTGGCCGTCTTGTTGTTGTTGTTGCTGCTGCTGCTGCCGCTGCTGCTGTCGCTGCCGTCCGCCGCGACGACGCCGTCGAGAAAGTGCGACACGGTGCGCACCGACGCGTTGACCTCGTCGTCGGCGAGCACGCGGTTGATGAGCGACGAGAAGATGAAGGTGAACAGCCAGTTGGGCAGCAGTGAGAAGCGGCTAAAGGCCACGATAGCCAGCACAAACGGCGTGGCCGAGAGCTTGTCGGCGTACTTGAGCCGCTTGGCCGCCGCCGGGTCCGTCTTGGCCGTGGGCGGCTCGTCCAGGCCGCCGTAGACGCGGTGGAACAGGTAGCCCGTCAGAATGTCGATGGACAGGCGCGACGACAGGTCGAGGATGTCGGCCCTCGCGCCAGGCCCCTTGGCCTTTTCTTCGTGCAGCCGCGCGATGAACTTGCGCACGAGCGGGGCCAGGCCGCCGGCGCCGTCGCGCTCGTAGGCGGCCTGGATCCTTGCGGGTGCGAACAGCGGCAGCACGGCCTTGGCGCGGCGGTCGCGGAACTCCTGGTCGAGCGACGAGAAGATGGTATCGTGGCCCTCGATGCGGAAGTTGCTGTAGCGGGCGTCCTTGGGCAGCCCGCCGCCGGCCACGTAGGTCGCGTGCAGCGCGTCGCCGTCCGACAGCGACACGGCGTCGGGCGCGATACGCAGCACCGGCGTCGAGTACCTCTTGTGGTAGTGCAGCAGCACGCGGCCCTCGACGCCCAAGTAGCAGATGAGGTAGAGGAACAGCGGCGATATGCCCGCGAACCACGGCCCCGGCACGTGGGCCAGCGGGTGCACGTAGAGCCTATACAACGCTGCCGAGACAAGCACGACGGCGAGCGCCCGCGGGATGTCGGATAGGCTCAGCAGCGAGAGCTTGGGGAGGAGCAGGTCTTGGAAGATACCCATGTTGACGATCTTGTGCCGGCGCTGCTAGAGGATGCTGCGAATCGTTGCTATCCGTCCTCTCACGAGACTATGGTGACGTCAATCCGGTTAATTTCCTCTTCTTTAAAGGGATCTACTACTTGTCACTAGGTACCTACCTACCTACTCTGAGCAGCCAAGTTGCGCAGTTTTAAACCCCGGAAAGACGAGCGGCGTATCCTCTCGGCCATGTCACACAATGGACAGGAACACGGTGGTGCTATTAAACCGACTGCCAACATGCGATGCCCGGAGAGATCCGTTCCCAGGCCCCCAGTGGACTGGGTAGACGGTGCCGTGGTCGTCCCCAGCTGAATTCCGGTTTACTCGGGTCCGCCACAGTTGCGAGCACCACCCACCGTTGCGAGCCCACCCACCGTTGCCAGCACCACCCACCGTTGCGAGCCCACCCACCGTTGTGAGCCCACCCACCGTTGTTGAGGTGCCCCTTGCGGCCTTTATACTTTATTTCGAATGGAAATTCTCCTTCATTGGCTAAATGGCATATGCACAATGCGGGATGGCGCTCCAGCGGGCGGATGTTGGGAACGTGCATCAAGTTAGAACCGTGGTTCTCTTCAACGCAACTAACGTTACTTGATACTTCAACGGTTTTCGCCCCTGGCCAGCTAACCTGGGGCTAGATGCTCCAGACTGTGAGAAACTAGTATATCTACCTAGTGTGTGTGTGTTGGGCACTGCGGCACTTGGCTCTTCAAAGACAGAAAAACAAATAAATGAGCAATTCGTAGAGTCTATGCCGACGAGAACCCGCTACTCGGGCCGGCACAAGCACAGCGCATAACGCGTAAAATCCTCGTCCGCCATCAGCGAGTCCAGCTCCTCGTCGTAGAGGCCGACCAGGACCTCGACGCCGGCGTTCTTGTTGCGCGGCAGCACCAGGCAAGTGCGGGTGAAGCTGTTGGAGGCGTCCATCAGCAGGCGCGAGGCCTCGGGGCAGCCCTTGTTGCCCAGGACGGCGCCGTCGCCGAAGCACACGGCGTCGAGCGGGATGTGCATCAGCGACGACACCTGCATGTTGTTGCCGTCGATCATGGGCATGCGCCGGCGCTTCTTCTTGATCAGCTCGTCGTAGCTGGGCATGTGGTCGAGCAGGTTGTACAGGTTGAGCAGGTTCTCCTGGTCGCCGTGGCCCGCGTTCTTGCGCAGCAGCAGCGTGATGGGCCCCAGCGAGCTCTCGGGCCCGACCAGCTGGCTCAGCGGCATCTCGGAGAAGATGTTGAAGGTGATGTTGCCCAGGTACGTCGGCGGCAGGGCTGACGAATACGTGGCGCGCCCGTCGTAGATGAGGTTCAGCTTGGTGATGGCCGACTCCGAGTCGTCCTCGGGAGAGCTGAAGCCGCGCGCCCGCCGCGTGGCCACGCGCGCCCGGATGAAGCACCGCCAGATCAGCGCGCACACGGCGTCGTTGGTCCCCACGCTGCTGGAGTCTCCCAGCTCATCCGCCACCGCCTTGCACAGCGCGGCCAGGCGCGCCGTCGGCAGGTAGAAGACGGCCGTCTTGAGCTTGCGTCCGCCCGGCAGCTTGGGCGGGCCAGTCGCGCCCGTCTCGGTAGCCCACACGGACCCTCCGTCCTCGTTGGGCGGCGCCTCGCCCTGCTTGAGCACGCGCATGTCCTTGGGGTCCAGGCCGACCAGGCGCCACGTCTCGGGATTGACGTCCTCGGCGGCCAGCCCGGGCGTCTCGCGGGTCCAGATCTCGTGCAGGAGCGCGTGGCTGTCGCTGCCGGCAGCAAAGGCCTCGGGCGGGCCGCCGCCCTCCTGCAGCGCGGCGCACTGGGCGGCCCACATGCGCACAATGTGGTAGTAGCCGACCGTGTCGCTGGCCGAGTGGTGCAGCGCGCTGACGAGCAGGCACCCGCCCTCGACGAAGTTGGCCTGCGCAGCGAACACGGGCCCCGACGCTACCTTGGGGTCGGCGAAGAAGCCCGTCGGCGGCATGATGTCGTCGTCGCGGAACGCGTCGGGCGCAAACCCGAGCTCCCGCAACGAGGCGAAGTCGAGGTCCGTGTCGAGTTCATTGTACCTGAGCTGCGGCGGCAGGGGGTCGGTCGGGGTGAGCGGTCGGTAGCGGATCTCGAGCTGGCCCGGCCGCCAGCCCGCCGTCGTGGGCTGCTGCAGGTGCACGTCGCCGTTGAGCCACGGAATCTGGACGAAGAGCTGGCGCAGGCCCTCGTGGAAGAGGTCGAAGGCCCTGCCATACGAGACGCCCGTCTTCAGGGGTAGGTAGACGCAGCCATAGTAGTAGGCGCGCGGGACGCAGTGGTCAAACGGCGTGAGCTTGATGTGGGTCTCGGGGATGTCCTTGACAGCCATGATGATGATGGATAAGACGATAATGCTTGCGCATGCGAGTGCTGGCGAGTTTCCAGTCTAGCGTGTCAGGTTCAATGCGAGATATACCGGGGACATGCTGTAAGCTTCTATGCTCCAGGTATACTCGGGTCCAGTTTGGGACTTGCAGTTTACTTGGGGCATAAGCGCCGCACCAACTTGGGACTTGGGCCTCCCCGTCGAGTGGAACGGCCTGGCCAAAGTAGCCACGGCCAAAAGAAAGAACTTAAGAAAGGCAGAAAATGATAACAAAAAATAGTTAGTTGCTAGGCTGAGTGGATTCCAAGTGACGCATCGGCTCCGTTCCGTGCTACGCAGGCCATGGTGTAGCTATTTTGTCGCGTGCATATGCCAGATCGGCGGGCGGCCATGCGGGGGCTTTCACCTTCACCCGCCTGAGCATGGAGATGATGCTACCTACCGACAAGAATTCTAATCAGCTGAACGGAGCCACCCAAGCCACCGTAGGCGAGCTTGCAAGCCGGACTCGGAGGACTGGTCGATCGGATAATCCTCGGACGTGTTAAGCCATCAAATGCCGCTTCGCTGTCGTGAGGTAGAATGGCTGTCAATCCGTCCGTGCGGTACCTTCAACTCTCTACCCAGCTCCCCTCCCCCAAAATAAACCACTTTCTTCCTCAATCTTGCAATTCAACCTCAGTCAATCGCACGTACGATTTATCGCTTTCCGGCTATGGACAGGCACGCCGAATACTTTACGATTATGACCCTATTAATCCCTACTAATTTATCAATAGGAACGCGTGTTTTTCGAGCCGCAGCCCCCACCGCCCGATGCGCCAAATCCAAGCGCGCTGGCCAGCCTCCCGACCGCCCGATCCTCCCTATAACTAAAGAGACGCCGAACGACCAGATTCCTCCCAATACAAGAGATGCCGTGAGTATAACTTGGCCAAACATAAATAGCACCCCTCGGCCAGTACCCCTCGGCCAGCCACCCACTCCCTCGAGCGAAGCGAGGACAGCTCGCCGCAGGCGCCGCCGGAGGCAAAAAACAAGAAAAAAAGAGGCTCCGTTCAGCTGACCCCTTCCTGACCCGTCAGGTAACCTATTTTTAGAATCATAAATGACTGCATAGCCTAGACAAGGGCGCCATATCGAGGTTGGTGCTCGCTCTGTGTCTAGATACCGAAGTACAAATAATCTAGACTAGGGCGCGAGAACGTGAAACTCCGCAAGCCAGGGCGTTTCGGTATCGACGACGGCGTGTTTGCCCACCCGCAGCGGTTCCAGACGATAACCCCGCGGCGGTTCCAGACGATAGCCCCGTCAGCTTTAATTCGACAAGATCACGAGATGGAGGCCAACACAAACGTCAAACATTATCGCTGCTGAGAACTTTTCGCAGCACTCGAGACACGAGTGTCTCGTAGCAAACAAAGTGACTCACATAGACCTAGTTATTTTACACTGTGTATTAATCAGAATGGTGCTGATACTGGGATAATAAACTCCCCAGCTCCTAAGAGTGCCGTGATAACCAAGGTATTAACTCCCGCTTTCATTCTGAAGAAGCAAACTTAAACCCAAGATTCCGATTCTAACCAGATGTAGGACCCAAAAGAAAACGATAACCAAAGTCTAAACTCCGCAGTCGAAAATTTCCAAGACCGTGCCAGTAACACCATGGCCTGATATCCCCCCGTATCCTCCGCGACAGTTGATGCGATTGTCGTAATATCGTAACAATGGTCGGTGTTTCTTTCGGCGTGCCGTAGGGCGTGGAGCAGCTCCGCTCAGTTTGTGTACTTGCAGCCCTTCTTCTTGCCCTCCTCCCAGCAGTTCTCATGGCCGCAGTAGTAGCATTTCTTCTTTTCCTTGGAGTGCACTTTGTCGCACCCGCAGCAGGCCCATCGCTCCGAGTTGTCGGGTGTCAGGGGCGGCAGAGCATCAGGCATTTTCGATCTTGAAGCGGTGGCTGCGCGGGCAGAAGTTGACGGGCGTGGGGGCTTTTGGCTGCACGATGGCGCGGAAACTGTGCGTGCTGCCGTGTTCTGGTGTTTATTCTTGCGTGCAGTTGCGATGTTGGCGATGTTGGCTTCGAGGACTCGCGAGTCAACATCTTCTTGAGATTTACGGCGGCGTGATTTGAACATTTTGAAAAGTGAGAGAAGTCGAAGCATTGTTACCTACCTTTTTGGGGGTCGCTGCAAAATATGGGGGTGCTTACCTGTACTATTTTTGACCGTGCCGTGTGACTCTTGCTCGGGTATGCCGGGGTTCAAAGTGCGCAGCAGGCGTGGAAGAGAATTTATACTTTGCTCAAGCTTTTGCATCGCCACGGTCACGCCGCGTCAAGATTGTTTGCTCTTCGCAAATAGACTCCTAGGTAGTTTACCGTTTCCTTGCTGAACCTTCAAGGTGAAGCTTAAATTCTTCCGAGTCGCCTGACAGCGGTGTTACTCCGCAAACATGGTAAATCGGGCGGGGCGTCGCGAGGTTTCAGTCCAGACGGGTCTTGGAATTATTGCCTGTCACGCATCTATCAGGTCACCCTCCAAGACTTTGTGACGATGCATGGTTCAGAGTCAGGTTCTCCCATTGAGCCCCGGTACATGCTACGACAATACCGAAACGCCTCCGTAGCAATTGACACTATAGAGATTACTCCCTCCCCATCCGATTTACGAACATTCGCCTCTTTCACCTTTAGAAGGCGGAGAGAGATGATGTGGACCTCAAATTTGGTATTTTAGCGATATGTGAGCGCTTCACGAGCTCGGCTTGGACTGTCTGTATCGAGAGTGTTTGAATGGATGAAGTACGCAACGTAATTCCCTTTGCTAAGGCTCGGGTGCATGTTGCTCGCTTGCTGTTCCCCACACCACGGCGGCCTGGGATGTATGACATGTTCCTAATGGGCGAAGGTTGGAGATGGCTCGGACGTTCGAACCTCTCGATCCTCATCCACGATTCAACAAAGCAAAAAGAAACCAGCAGGCTACACCGTAGAACATTTTCCTTTCTTATTCCACGCTAGCTGTGATGCATTCAACCACGGCTTGCACTTGGAGCAACGTCGGTCTGTCGTCCGGCCTCTCGCGCATGGGACAACAGGTGAGCCACCGTTCCTTGACAAGTCTCTCGTTAAGCATCGTACTCACGTGTGGCAAATAGCACTCGAGGTCTGGACTCGGCGAGCACCCTCAAATTCGTACAGGCGCTGCAGACATCGGCTGATGCAGAGAGACAATGCCATCTTGTCGCCATGTACCAGGCCAGCTAAGCCATCTACGACCTCTTCGACAAAGCCACAGTGCTTTACGAGGGTCGGCAGATATACCTGAGACCCGCCAACATCGCCAGAGCCTTCTTTGAGCACCAGGAATGGCCCTTCCCCGCGCGTCAGACGCCTGGAGACTTCTTGACGTCGGCCACAAACCTCCTGCGCACCCCCGACGAATTCCAGCAGTACTAGCGCGACTCTCCCAAGTTCAAGGCCCTGCAGGACGAGATATAGCGCTACGATAGCGAGTTCGAGGGAGAGCGCTAGGTCGACAGCATCGCGGGAATGTGGCAGCAAAAGAAGCACGTGCAAGCCAAATACGTCCGCCCCAGGTCCCCCTACACAGTCAGCATCGGCATGTAGATCAAGCTGAACACAAAGAGGGCCTACTAGTGCATCTGGAACGACAAGTCGGCCACACTCGCGATGATGGGCGCCAACCTGGTCCTCGCCCTCATCATCGGGTCCACCTTCTACGACCCTCCATCTTCTACGACCCCACGAGCCCCACCAACGAGGCGACAGCCGGCTTTGCCGCCAAGGGCTCGGCTCTGTTCATGGCAATTCTCCTCAACGCCCTCACAGCCATCTCGGAAATCGAGGCGCTCTAAGCCCAGCGGCCCATCGTCGAGAAGCACGCGTCGTAAGCCTTCTACCACCCTGCCACGGAGGCTGCGGCCGGCATCGTCGCCGACATCCCCGTCAAGTTCGGAGCGGCCGTCGTGTTCAACCTGCTGCTCTACTTCCTCGCCGGGCTGCGGCGGGAGCCCGGGTAGTTCTTCATCTACTTCCTCATTTCGTACGTCAGCACCTTCGTCATGAGCGCCATGTTCTGGGCGCTGGTGGGCGTGCTGCGCCTGGCGCTGGTGCAGTACACGGGCTTCATCATCGCCGTGCTGCAGATGCACTCGTGGTTTGGCTGGATCCGGTGGATCAACCCCGCGAATTTGTATGATCCGACATCATGCCGCCTACTCGCCCCTGGTTGGCGACTCATGGATCTGCGCTAGCGTCGGAGCTGTCGCTGGTCGGCCTAGTCAAGCTCGGCCGAGTCCAAGGATGGGCGTCGCTGCCTGCTGGATCAGGTCGGTGGGTGGGTCAAGCCCGGTACGCTAACGGCCCTGATGGGTGCTTCGGGGGCCGGAAAGGCCACTCTTTTGGATGTCCTTGCCCAGCGCACAACTGTTGGCGTCGTCACAGGCGACATGCTCGTTAATGGAAGCCTATCGGGTGCCGACCAGCGCTTCACTCAGATCAGATATATCTGACAGATCGATCAAACAGATCAAACAGATCGGGCCCGTTGAGGGATCAAACAAATCAGATATTAGGGCCCGATCTGTTTGACTATCTGACAGATAAATGAGGGTATTTAGAGCCAGGATTTACTAATTATTCCGTTCCGAGTGGTGCTTTCGACCCCGTTTTGTACCGGCACTAGGGTTAATCCGGTCCCGGCAGGGTTCGAATCCGACCGCAGGCCCTGCTTTTTCCCAAAACAACCCTCTTGACCGTGCCTTGCCCTCAACCGCGCCCTCAAACGCGCCCTCAAACGTGTCCTCAACCGTGCCCTCAACCGTGCCCTCGCGGCTGAAGCTATTCACAATGCATCGATCCCGGTCTCGAAGCTCTACAACAAGCGTTGCTGCTACTACTCGGTCTCGATCGCCCGGCTCGAGCCGTCAACCGTCGATCTTCGCCCAGCTTCGGTCACGGCCTATATCCATCGCAGATCAGGTTACTGCCGACCTCAACGCGGCCCCCGTCATCGAGGGCTCCATCCAAGACCTCCCTCGCATCGTCTGGGCCAATAAGCGTTACATACTAGACTCTCAGGTCCATAAGAAAAGCTCCCGCGGCCGTACAAGCTAGGTCAAGGATTACGGATGGTTTCTAGCCGGCATCACGGCGAACGGCGCCTTGCTACCTGGTGGGGAGGTCTGGTGCTGCAAGTATTGCGATGGCCGGAGCAAACACTCTATATACGATGCTTCTCTACATCGTCGGCCTCAACCCATCTAGCTAAGGAGCATTCTATCTACAAGCAGCAGGGAGATCAAACTGACAACTCTGATATGCTCGCGATATATCGAGCAACATCATCACAAATCCCTCAGGCCAAGGACGTAGCCTTGAAACAACTCGCCGTTGCTTTCCTCATCAACTCCGACAATCCCTTTACTGCCTTCGAAGACCCCTATCTCAAGAGCTTCCTGAAGCTGTTCGACCGAAATCTTGCCACTACCGTTGCCTTGGGGAGGAATACACTCACATTGACGATGCTGAAGACCTTCGAGGAACAAAAGGCTGTTGTTCTACAAGAACTTCACAGATCCCTGACCTCGATCCATATCAGTTTTGACCTTTGGACTTCTCCAAACCGCCTAGCCTTTATTGCGGTATTAGCCCACTTCCTCAACAGCAAGCAACAGTATACAAGCCGTCTCATCGCGTTCCGACGGCATCCCGGGATACACAGTGGTGAAGGCGTCGCCAACACTCTTCAAGACATCCTCGAAGCTTGGGACATCCCGTCAAGGCTTGGAGTGATGATCTATGACAACGCTTCGAATAACGATACATGCCTCAAGGCTCTATGCCCTCAGCTCATCCCTGGGATGACCGGGAAGGATATTCTACATCGCCGGATGCGGTGCTTTGGTCACGTCTTGAACCTGGTAGCGAAGGCTTTTCTATTTGGCGATGACGCCAATACCTTTGAGCTGGAGTCCGATTCCTTGGAGGTCTTGGAACAACATGACGATGTTTTCATCCACTAGCGCCGCAAGGGCCCGATCGGCAAGCTCCACAACATCGTCAAGTTCATCCGGGCCTTACCGCAACGCTCAGAGGCTTTCCGTCAAGTAGCTGAGGCCCAAGAGCTTGATGATATCCACGATTCCTTCACACTATATGCCGAATCTACAACCGAACTCGAGCTACGGCAGAACAACGCGACAAGATAGAACTCGACTTTCCTTATAATCGACCGTGCCTAGAAGAAGCAACGAGATATTCAGGCCTATATCCTTCAGCTTCAACTTGATCCGGCGGCTATACCTAGGATCGATCCTCAAGATGTCCTTAATGCCGATGACTGGCGTTTGCTAGCAGAGATCCGGTTGATCCTCGAGCCGATCTACATGATGATAATGAGGGCTCAAGGCCATACCAAAGGCAACGGGTACGGGCAGCTGTGGGAGGCCATGACTGGTATGGAATATATCCTGGAATAGCTCGAAGATTGGAAGGCCCTTTACCTACCAGAATCCGAAGATTTGGCTGTAGAAACGTTCGATCTGCAAGCTAGCTTGACCGAGGAGCTCGATCCCGATCCATTCGATCTGCCTCGCCCGTCAAACCGGCCAACCCGCCGATGTACCCGTCGCCTACCTACCTCACGGCCAGCATCGCGGCATAACGGCCGGGCATCGAGGTATTACGAAGATGCTTTGCCTCGGTATGCCGCAGCCGAATATCTTTCCAATAGTGGCATTACGAATATGAAGCCCGATGAGACGGCATACATCCGGGCATCGATCAACAACGCCTGTCTGAAGCTCGACGAATACTACGACCTCCTCGGCAATTCGCCCTTATTTGCAGCGTCCGTGATCCTACATCCTGGGCTTGGACTACCTTTTCTTAAAAAGGCATGGAGCTCCCAGGAACATTCGCCGTGGCTTGGGCCTACAAGGCTGGCAGTGAAAGCCTACTTCGAATATTGGTATCCAGATCCTCAAGATCCCTTCGATTCGCCGCTACCGTCCCCATCACCGGTGCCATCGTCACTATCTTCAACGTCATCAGGAACATCACAACATCCCATGCGGGAAACAACCCGGTTCATGCAATGGATCAATAATAAACGGCCAAGACCTTCAGACAACCAAGACGAGCTCGAGAGATATTATCAGCTTGCCTCTCAGGAATGTACCGATCCGATCCAATGGTGGCTGATCACCAAACAACGTTTCCCCGGTTGAGCCGATTTGCCTTGGACCTCCTAGTCATCCCGGCGATGGCAGATGACCCTGAACAGGCTTTCAGCCAAGGGAAGCTGGCGTTGACGTCCCAACGGCACAGCCTGGGTGAAGAACGCATCGAGGCTCTACAGATCCTGAAGAACTGGCTCAGGGACAAGGTCATCCAGTCTGGGGGCATCTTGACAGGCTAGCTAGGGCCGGGAATGCCCTCATTTCGGTTGGCCGATCAGATATCTGTCAGATCGATCAAATCAAACAGATATAGGCGATTCGAGGATCAAACAAATCAGATATGGGCCCATATCTGCTCTATCTGATCTGAGTGAAGCGCTGGTGCCGACTTCCAGCACCAAACCGGCTATGTGCAGCAGCAGGGTAAGTTCTTTCCTTCTAGTCCTTTCTCACACCCAACCCGAGCCCCTTGAACCCTTTGACTGCCCAACCTTGTTTTGTTCGCAATCTAGCTCTTCCGTGCAGATCTACATCTTGACAAATCCACGGTACGCGAGAGTCTCTGGTTTAGCGTCATGCTGCGCCGGCCACAATCGGCCAGCAGGGAGGAAAAGTACGCATTTGTCGAAGAGTTGATCAAGATGCTGGGTATGGAGGAATACGCCGATGCCGTCGTAGGCATCCCTGGAGAGGGGTTGAACGTCGAGCAGCGCAAACTTCTCACCATCGGCGTCGAACTCGTAGCCAAGCCGAAGCTGTTACTATTCCTCGACGAGCCCACAAGCGGCCTCAACTCGCAGAGTGCATGGGCGATTCGCGTGTTCCTGCGTAAACTTGTGGATGCAGGCTAGGCAGCGCTCTGCACCATCCACCAGCCCAACGCCATCCTCTTTCAGCAGTTCGACCACCTGCTCTTCCTGGCCAAGAGCGGCAAAACAGTCTACTTTGGCGACATCGAACAGAACTCTCGCATCCTCATTGACTACTTTGAGCCCAACGGGTCGCGGCAGTGCGGCGATGAGGAGAACCCTGCCGAATGGATACTGGAGCTGGTTGCCGAAGAGACAAACAGCAGCAGTGAAGAATAGCATTCCGTTTGGAAGTTGAGTAGCGGATACCGCGAAGTTCGGACGGAAATTGGCAGGATTTGCGCGGGTGCCAGCGGAAAGCACACTGCCGCAGTCGGCGACACTGCCGCAGTCGGCGACACTGGCGCCGACAGCCAGGGCGAGTTCGCCATGCCACTGGGAGCGCAGTCCGCACCGCATATTTGGGAAGTACTGGCGCATACCGCAGTACGTCCTCGCCAAGCTGGCCTGGGCCTCGCGACGGGCCTGTTCATCGACTTCATCTTCTACCAGCCAAAGGGCACGCAAGCCGGCATGCGCGACGTCTTGTTCGCCGTCTTCATGATCACGACACCCTTCACAACGCTCGTGCAGCAGATCCAGCCCCTCTTCATCACGCAGCGTCGCTGTGCGAGGTGCGTGAGCGGCCGAGCAAGACGTACTCGTGGAAAGCGTTTCTCGCGGCCAACATCGCCGTCGAGTGCTCGCCCAGGGCACGCCGCAGAACCCCGACGCTTTCGAGCAAGTCACTACTGCAGCCTCAGCGTGGCCGACTAGTGCCTGGCAGGGGACTGACATCTTCTAGGATCAGCGCTGGCGCAACTTTGGCATCATGTGAGCGTACATCTTCTTTGACGTATTTGTCGTTGTTGCCGTGTATTATCTGTTCCAGGTCAAGAAGTGGAATACGAGCAGTCTGAAGTGGAAGAAGCAGAAGGCGTAAGAATGAGCGAGCTACTAGTACCTCTTCTGCCTAGCTACGTAGCATTTTAATGGAGAGGCTGTAACGAATAGGATAAAGTATGACTTTGTTGAATTAGACATGGACCTAGACTTTTCGTTCGTAATTAGAGAGCCAAAGCAATCGATTTGTATTAGAAAATGGACTTGGTCCTGTATTTCATACCTCTAACGGCTTATCATTTGGGAATCAGTTTTGTCACCAGCTCAACGATGCTGGTTTTTCCTTTTGGTTGGGATTTTAGGCCGGGAACTTCGGGGAGGGCAGCGAAGTGAAGCTTCGAGAACCTGTCCAAGCGGAGCTTGGCTTACCTCTATAGTCACCCCCGACAACGTTTTTTTGCCAAATCCGTATTAGGCTTAAAACCTGAGCAGAAGCTGAGGCGCACTGAGCATCGCCCTGAGCCGAGCTGAGTCCCAGGGACGTCCCGGTTATACTCACCGTGTCTAAACTAATCCGAGTTTTGGGACAGCGTCTTATTTTGTTGCGCCTCCCGAATCTTGCCCTCCTCAACCCTTGCAGACCACAACACCCCTCGCCGCTTTTGCTCAGGCGACCACCCGCGAAACACTCAGGGAAGTGACTGAAATAGGTTTAGACTCGATGGGCAGTGTCCTGAGCCCAGAAGATGATAATTGGCAACTTTTCGCGAGGGAAGTGCTTGTACCATGGCTGGGCCCAAAACTGGGACCGCCGAGGAGCACATAAGTACTTGCCCTCCCACCTTGAGAATCTGCTCGTAGAGCCTAGTTTATGGCCATCTCTACTATCGGCTTCTTGACATTTTCAAGATTTTACTCTATTATTTCCGTCTATCTTGAGCAGATCGCCGCATTAGCTCTCAGCTCTCTAGTTAGCTAGATCCACTGACATCAACACGTCACCTATCACATCGGGGAAATTTCAAATCGATTTTCTATTTTTCTCACGCCGCCAAAGACAGCTGCCGAAGATGGTCAGGAAAAGGACAGCAGATGAGAGGAGAAGATGCGCAGAAGAGAACGGATTCAATGACGACGACACGGATGTTGATGACGAACCTGTCCCACGTGAGGTCTTGGACTACACCAAAGAGAGGTACAAAGACCAGATGGACCTTTGGATCGAGTAAGTAGATCATACGAACAGTGATTGATGGGAAAACTAATAGACCGTTAAGGTACAAAACAACACACCCCGAAGCTACACCTCATCAATTGAAAACCCTGAAGCATTTTGCCAAGTTTATAGCAAAGTCCGCCAAAGGTTTTCTGGACCCGGAGGGAAAGCCGACCGTTCAAACCGTTCGGAATTTGTTGGATTCACCAGGGTACCGGTACTGGACTCAACAGGGCGTGGCTGCACGCCGAAAACTGGTGGTTCAAGTGATGGATTGTAGATGTCTGTTCTTCTCTCTCTAGCTTTCTGGCAGTGCCAGAAAGCCCGTTCTTATACTACTATTGTGGTGGCGAAGTTGGTGGCGAAGTCTCTATCTAGAACCTTCGAGGCCCTTCTGCTTGACAAATTCCAACAGAATTACTTCCGGTGTTTTGTCTCTGGTTGGAATCTAGATAATCCAATTCCAACGTGTTTGATCTCGAGAGACTTTACAGACTCCATCACCAATGTAGGCCTCCGTGCTCTCCAGTATCGTTCCATCCAAACGCTAACCTCGAAATAGTATATCAAAGGTCCACTGAGGAAGGAGCTCGGTTTATCAATAGCCACACGACCAAAGAAATACCTTACACTTGAAAACTATATGTACTTGGAGAAGCAGCTCTGGCAGAACGATGGATATGACTACGTACACGAAGCGTACCGAGTTTTTATTAGCGGAAAATTGAAGTGTCACGTATTCACGCCAGCTAGACTAGGTGAGATCAGTGAGGGCTCAACTAGGAGGGGTACCGGAAAAGGATTGCGTTACAAGGTAGCTATTATCACTCATGTTCATGATTGCGGGCTAATCGCTTAGGAAACGGTGATGCTGGTCGCTTGGAAGGACGGCGAGCCTGAATTAAGGTTCAGCCTAAAGAGAGAATTTGCGAAGGCGATGCATGACAAGGAACAGCAAAGGTCAGCAAAGTCTCATGTGCATGTGGCTTCGATACTAATGATTGACTGGAATAGACCGACGCACCTACTCTATGAACATCTCCCCGGCCAGCCTCTTGTCGTCAATCCAATGCTCTTTCTGCTTGCTATCTGTCTTGCGGCGGGAGCATTCAAAAACTACAAGACTCTCAAAGAGGTTTTGGACGTTAGGCCGCCGGCAAACCAAAGGTATTGGGTCCTCGAATGGTCCTCTCACGTGCTGGACCTGCCGGTATTTCCAGAAGTATCAGTAGACGGGGCGACCAACAAGATCCAAACGGGCAACTCTTTCAACACACAGCTCAAAGCCCTCTCAATTCGAGCAGGGATAAGTCCCGTCACGGTACACAGCATGCGGAGGGAGGCTCTCATCTTGGCTACAGGTATGATATTCGCCTGCCATTTTATTCTTCGCCTAGCTAATTTAAAGTTTAGTAAATGGTTATTCGGACAGGGAATTGATGAAATTTGCCGCACATACAAACAAAATGACGCTCACAAGAGACTATTTGAGTTCTATAACTGTTGTGGATGGTCTGGCCGGTTTTCTTAAGCTACCTCTTCGAAGCGATCAAGCGGAAGACTTCCGGTCCATGACGGTTAACCGAAATCCCGAGCTTTTGCAATCACTGCCTGCGAAGACGCACGACCAATTAAGGCAGAGAGAGGATTATGTTGCCATCACAAAGAAAATCGATGACCTGACCCTTGAGATAAGCTGCGCCCAAAAAGGGGCAGCTGCTCGGGATCTGAAGTCAGAGCGGGGCCAACTATACGAACAAAGGCGCGTGCTCGAGGAGGAGGAGTTGAACAGAATCCGCGGGGACCAAGAAAGAATACATCCTTCAGAGTGCAAGGAAAAGGTTTACGTGGACCAACACCGTTCTCGATTCGATCGCCTTCGTCACATGATGCTGGAGCGCGAAAGGCTTTCAGTTACGCTCTTCTGCGTTGCTCCCATGCGAAGCCCGGAGGGAGAATCGGCTATTGAGGACCTTATATCACTCGTGAAGAATAACTGCCGAGTCGCCTACCAACCGTCGCTTCGGCCACTACGAACACAATGCGCAATGCCGTATCACGCCGCGGGGAGATGCCAAGCGCAGCACTGCGGCGTGGACACGTGCCCATACTGTGATGTAGAAGTTGAACGGTAAAGTGAATTTTAGACCTTTACACTGGTTCCTAAAGCTGACATATTTTTAGGATACCTATTGACCACCGGTGGCAACATGTCTTTGAATGCTCCTTAGCACACTACAAAGGGGAGCAGAAATTCGTTGATTTCTGCTTCATATGCCACAACCCCGTAGCGGGTAGGAAAGCATTGGAAGTCCACTACCAGGGGCATATCGACAGACGCGAACTGCCGCTGTGCTGCAATTTTGTCAAGTTTCGCCGAGCCATTGCCTACGCCGGGATGTGCAAAACATGTATGCATAACGAACAACTACCTGCAACCCGACGACTGTTCGGATTTAGGAAGCAAGTTAGCTGGGAAAGGCATGTCAATGAGTGCTTCACTATTTACGCAAAGACTTCGAGAATGACGGACGCAATACCGTGTCCTGACCCCGAATGCTCTATAGCGTACGAGTCAGACCAGCAGCTCTGGTACCATCTACAAGACGCCCATAGCTATCCTTCCAGAAATAGTAAGGAGGAGACGCAAAAGAAGAGGGAAGTCTTTGTGGATGGAGGATGTTCCCCCTCCCGAAGAAAACGGCGCCGAGTTTATACTATGGAAGAGGCTGCCAACGCCAAGCTGGCATCAGCAACAGACGCCAACCAGGCGGCGGAATCCCACGGATTGATATCAAACTTTTCTATCTCCTACGGCAGTTATTCGGAAACCAGCACGTCTCCTTACAGCACTATTGCCCTCTCTTCCGTCTTCGATGTCAATTCTCTTCAAGAAGTTTGCCCATCAGTTAATTCGAGCTTGAGGCCATCTCCCAGCTTTGTTGATGACGAGAGCCTTGGTGTCAGCGAGCATGCCGATTTCGGGGCCTGCATTTCACCATCAACTACAGACCCTGACCTGAAGGGATTGGGTGAAGGGCAAGTGTCTCGGATTAGAGAGGTAGAGCTACCTCCCGCTTACTACGACATGTCTCGAATGAACGTCGAGGAATGTAGCGATGGAATTGTGTCTAATACTCGGTCGCTCCCATCTCGGATCCTCGATCTTACCGATCAGACAGACAACCTTATGGCGCAGGGCGACCAGACGACATTTCAAGAACAATGGGCAAGCGCAAGCTCACGATCTACATCATTATCATCCATTGTTCCTGTGAACTTAATTGATCCGGAGCTGCTGACCGACACGGTCCCTATTAGGAGAACAAACAATTTAGTCTCCCAAATTGTGCAAAATTGCAAGCCACCAATGTGTGGGGAAGCATACTTTCTCGACGGGCAGGAGGCATCTCAACAGCTAGAGTTCGGGCGAGTGGACGTACCTGTTTTCACTCAAAATCAGCAGCCGTTTCAGTGGAGGGGGGTGGGCCGCCCAATCTCACAGTTCTTTCGCCGTATAGAAGACCTTGGGCTTGATCGAACCGTATCTGTTCAGATACCCTCTCGCGCTCTACAAGAAGAATCTTGCGAAAGAAAATCACTTCTAGATGTCCAGGACCGGTTTCTCATACATCGGTCGACAAACAATCCCTGGAATCTGCTCGACCTTCAAAGCCCGATACCTTCAGCGCTACCATCTTTCTTAGAAGGGGAAAATTGCCAACTCCTCCTTCGGATACGCGATGCAGCTCTAATGGGCAGCAGTGCTGAACGGATAGCAGCGCCCGCGCAAGATTGGAATACGTGGCGTAATGTTATAGACTGGGCGCTCCTGTCAGAAGGGGGGCATAATACAGCGCCTCATATAGATAGCCACGGTTTCTCGACCTGGATTACGATTCAAGAGGGACGTATCGGTTTTGGGTGGATGTCCCGACCAAGCCAGCAGGAAGAAGAAACATGGATATCCAATCCACACAACTTTACCGGAGGAAATTGGAGATACGTTGTCCTTTCACCAGGGCAGACAGTATTTTTTCCGTCCGGCACTATCCATTTCGTCTTTCGAGTACAAGGGGAACAGACGTTCGCGCTAGGTGGCCATATTCTTCAGTGGTCTAGCGTAGATCGATGGCTTGAAGTGGTCATCGCTCAGATGAAAAACCCGGAAATTACGAACGAAGATATAGAACAAAGTGCTTCAAAGTACGTCTGCATCGTCAAGGAGCTTCTGGAAAATCGGATCCGAGCGGGCAAGGAGAATGAAGCCAGTCAAGGCACAATTATCAAGTTCTTCTCCTCATTGAAGGTAAGTTGACTGTCATTGTACTGTATACATTGGGCAGACTAACAATAGTCAGGAATTTAACGCTATCGTCAAGGAACGGCTATGTATGACGAAATGAACACCATATGTATGACTCGCGACCTGGCCACCTAATTGCGGTGATATATGGGGCCTGAAGCTTAGGTGTAGGAGACGAGGAAGCCTGAATGTTGGGATGTTGCACTCAACTGGCCACAGAGCATAGAAAATTGTCTGTTTATTCTAGCTTCTGGCTTCGCTAGAAGGCCCTATTTTATAGATACATTTGTGAATTTAGGCAGGAGCCGTGGCGGTGACTCTGCTCTTGGTGGCGCCAGGCTTCCAAGCCGTAGGGCGCTAGGGGCCCCTGTATGAAGCCATCACCACTTTGCTTTTTTTAACATGGGAGGCTAGTTACAATATGGCGGATTATATAATGGCTGTAAGCACACAGGTCAATACTAAGGGCCAGAGAGTTAAACATGGAAAATACAGGCCTTTCTATTTTTGAGCTGGCATCTACCACCCCACCTGCCACATGTCCCACATGTCAAGCACTTCTGCAGAACATGCAAGGTGGGAGCGCAATGCCTCTTGGCCCTCTTCTTCTTGCCAAATAACCTAGAGAATAGGCCCCTGTATCTTCACGAGATCCGTACTATGGACTTAGAAGCATTCAGTCATGAAACGCTATTAATATTTGTGCTCAATGTCCGTTCCAGATTGCACGACTTGTTTTTCACGTCATAGTCACGATGGACGGAACTTGATGATTTGCAGCGCTTACTACAAGAAGATTAACACCAACACGCGTTCTTCTCCAAACCTCGCCCCGGGGCGGTCTTGTTCGGTTGGCTGAGCTTGCCTTGCTCCCTCGAGCCTATCTGCGCTTTCAGGCGACGTGGCCGCCTGGAGCCCAATCGACTGGTGCGAAACACAATTGTTTTGGCTCTCCAGCACAGGGCTGACACTCTGCCATATTACACAACAGAAATGCTTACTCGCCTGGCTCCCATCCATTCAGGAAATCCTGGTGCCTAGGAGGTAATGCGGGCAAGCTGTTTTGACCATGAACCGTGCAGCCAGTGTGGCTGCCACGTCATGATACCGTCCTCTTGTATTAGCTCGAGAACCTGTAGCCCAATTATATGACAATAATCTGATTAATTTTGCATGGCGATATGCATAAGGAAACACCGAGACACCTTCCATGACATGCAGGGCAGTCTGGTTAAACCCAACATTTAGCGACCATCCATCCAACAGAGTTTCAGGCAGTCGCGACAACAGGTCAGGCTCTGGACGACAACTCGACCTTTGAGACCCGGACCACGATGGCGCAGAGGCTGGACAGCCCAGACTACTACATGATTGCATGGATCGCGCCGCTCCCCGTCGAGTGCGCGGCCGTGACGGCCTTGCTGGACGAAGCACACGCCGAGCCGCATGGCTTTGAGCAGCATGAGGCCGATCCGAACTCGTACACGTGGGGTCGCATGGGGGCGCACGACCTGGTCATCGCCTCGCTACCGGCCGCCGCAACCGGGACCGTGTCGGCCGCCACCACGGCGTCGGGCGTGCTGTCGTCGCTGCCGCACATTCGCATCGGGCTACTCGTAGGCATTGGCGGCGGCATTGCCAGCCCGGACGAGGGTGGTCGCGACGTGCGGCTCGGCGACGTCGTCGTCAGCCTGCCCACCGGAGCCACGGGCGGCGTCGTGCAGTACGACTTGGTCAAGGCCAAGCCAGACGGCGAGCGCGAGCGCACCGGCTTCCTCAACATGCCCCCGCAGGTCCTCCTGCACGCGCTAGGCAAGCTGCGCGCCAAGCACCGCCGCGTTGGCTCCAGACTCGGCGCCCTGCTCCAAGACATGTGCAAGGAGAACCCCTTCATGGCCAGAGCAACCGAGCTGGGTCCGGGGTTCGTTCACCAAGGGCTAGACAACGACAGGCTGTTCAATGCCTCGTACGGACATGCCGGGGGACCCGACTGTCTCGGTTGCGACGTCCGCGAGGAGGTCCGGCGCGAGGCCAGAGACTCGACAGAGCCGAGGATCCACTATGGTATCATCGCGTCGGGAGACACGCTGGTAAAGGACGCGGCCGAGCGGGCTAAGATCGTGGAACTCGTCGGCAAGGGCTGTCTCTGTGTCGAGATGGAAGCGGCCGGACTCATGAACCACTTCCCATGCCTCGTGATCCGCGGCATCTCTGACTACGCAGACTCGCACAAGAACGACCAGTGGCAGCCCTACGCCTCTGCCACGGCCGCAGCGTTTGGGAAAGAGCTCCTCGAGCATGTTCCGTCAGGCCAGCTGCGGAAGACGCCAAGGGCCTTTGAGCTCCTCCAATCTAGTTAAGGCCCCTCGGAATCCTGCGCCTGACAAGCCAAAACCCTTTGCTAATAGAAAAAAATCCCGGATGCAGTCGAAAAAGAAATCAAGGACATTGCACCCAAGCTCAGCGCCATCTCTGCGTGGGACGACAGCCGCAGGTCAGACCGACATGCCAACAAGATCCGAAAGTGGCTCTGGCCCACTGATCCCTCCACGGTCCACTGTGCCGCTAGGCGCAAGCGGCACGAGGGCACGGGAAATTGGCTCATCACCAGCCCGCCCTTTGTCCAGTGGAAGTCGGGATTGCGCCGCCACCTGTGGTACCACGGCCTAGCGGGCTGCGGCAAGACGGTGCTCGCCTCCACCGTCGTCGACCACCTGCACGACGCTCGTCGTTCCGACTCTGATGTCTGCCTCAGCTTCTTCTTTGACTTTCGCGAGAAAGACAAGCAACGCCTCGACGACTTGCTGCGTTCGCTGATCTTCCAGCTCTCGTCACAGCACGTCAACGCACAGCAAGCCCTCGACGAGCTCTTTGCCCTGTGCAACGAGGGCACGAAGCAGCCCGCGACCGACGCCATGACGGGCACGCTTCGAAAGATGCTGCAGCATTCCCCAAGGGCCTGGGTCGTGCTGGATGCTCTTGACGAGTGCAGCACCCGAGGGGAGCTGCTCGACTGGCTCGAGACGCTCGCGAGTCCTGACCTCGCCCACATCCAACTGATCGCGACCAGCAGGCTCATTGGGGAGCTCGAGTCCGGGCTCGGCTGGTGGTTTCGCGACGACTGCATGATCCCCATAGACAACGCTTCGGTGGGCGAGGACATAGGCTCCTACGTCAAGGCGAGGCTCCGGACCGGCCAACTCCAGAAGAGATGGGCTTCGGAGCCCGCCATATTGGACGAGATTGAATCCGCGATTAGGAAAATGGCTGGCGCAATGTAAGGCCTTGTCACTCTTGTTTTGTTTGTCTCGCTTGGGCGCTTAATTACCTCTCCGATAGGTTTAGATGGGCAGCGTGCCAGCTCGATACCCTCGAACGTTGCCTGGACTACGACGAGCTCGAAACAGCGCTGCATTCCCTGCCCAAGGATCTGGGTGAAACATACTCAAGGATGCTTGACGCGATTCCCGAAAACCGGAGAGGAAAGGCGGTTCGAATCCTGCAGCTTCTTACATACTCGGAGCGACCCTTGACAATCCAAGAAGCTGTCGACGTTGTCGCAATTCGCCTCGAGAGTGCCACGAAGTTCGATCCAAAATACCGGTTAAAGTGTCCAGGCGAAATTACCATGTTTTGTCCGTGTCTCGTGTCCCTGGTCAAAAAACAATTCCAGGGCAGAGAGAGGACGGAGCTTGAGTTGGCCCATCTTTCAGTCAAGGAATACTTGATGTCTGAGCTCCCCCCCGAACCTTTCCGAAGCGGCCTTTACGAACCGGACGCGAGGCGTTGCATAACACGATGCTGCCTGGCCTATCTTTCTTGCCTCGGGTCCGAAACCCCAAGAACCAAACCGTCCCCGCTCGAGCAATATCACCTGGTTGTCGCAGTCCGGGCACGATTCCCATTCGCACGCTACTCGGTGCGGTATTGGTTGAATTATGAAAAGCCTGACGAGGCCAAGGATGAGATCACGACGACCATTGTTCATTTCTTGAACAACAGGGCTGCATTCACAATGTGGCGCCTCCTGTTTGAGTACGAACGCCCTCTGGATGACATGGCGAACCGAAACACGCTTCCTCCGATCCACTTCGCCTCGCTTCAGGACGAGAGACCAGACATGAGCTGGCGGCTGCGGAAACTGTCTGAAGTCGACGTCAATGCGCGGGGCGGCACCTTTGGCAATGCTCTGCAGGCTGCCTCGGTCATCGGCCATGCCAGCGTTGTCCGGGAACTGCTCAAGGGAGGCGCCGATGTGAACGCCCAGGGCGGCATCTTTGGCACCGCTCTGCAGGCTGCCTCGCTCATGGGCCATTCAGAAAACGTCTTGCAGCTCCTTCACAAGGGCGCCGACGTCAACGCACAGTGCGGGCCGTTTCGGAACGCGCTCCAGGCTGCCTCGACCATGGGCCACAAGGAAGTGGTCCAGTTGCTGCTGAGCCAGGGCGCGCGGCGCTCAAACCAGGTCGACGTGATCCTCAACTTCCGACGAACCCGGGAGCCCCTCGATAGGTGGTCGGACATCTTGGGCTCTTAGTCTTGTTGGATTCGGGCCAGCAAACAATTGCAGCTTCCCTTGCTCCTTGACGGCGTCTAAGATGCTTCTAACTCTGTATGTTGATCAGGTTCTCCCAAGAACGACTCTTTCCCGAGTTTTAGCGTTAGAGTTCTTGCTCATTTCGTTAAAATATGGCTAGTATGTAGGGTGGTAAAAGGGGTGTTATCCCTGAACCCCTATTCAGATTCCTGCACCTCGGGACCTACTCCGTACTTATCCGTACCCAACGGCGTACCCTGAACACATCCAGGGCAGCCAGATCCTCCAGACTGCCCTACAGTAGCTCTGTACTGCAGGGCAGGTCGGACGGTGCAGTAGTGTTGACGTTGTTGAGCGCCGCGGTGCGGGAACACTGGCCAGTACCGCCGTGCCAGGGCGACCATCTGAGGCATGTCCCGCTGCAGAACCTTGTCAGCGTCGAAAACGGCGTTGCGTTTCCTTTGAATGGCCACCGAAAAAACGGCAGCCGACCGCTCCGAGTTGAAGACGAGGCCTTCGCACTGGTGGTGGGTGATTTCAACAGCAAAATCGAAAAAGGCGTCGGTCTGCGGTGTCGCTATGCCGAGCCAGGCCACGACGCGGGTGCAGTGACGGTAGATGTCGCCCATCAGGTTGATCTGTTGGCCGTTTTCCGTCTTGGCCGCTGCGCTCCTACCCTGGTCGATGCAGATCTGGTCGACGAATATTGGCGGCAAGTTTCCAGATCGCGCGCGGATGTAGCGCAGCGCTGTGGAGAGAGCGCGGGTGATGGTGAACTGTGACACGGCGGTCCGCGTGCCGTCTGGACGCTCTTGGTGCAGCTCCATAATGTCTTTGCCTTTGGAGTCTTAGTGGGGGTTCTGCTCGATGGCGTCCTCCCAGCAGTAGGAGAGGGCGTCATATGGGACTATGGGGTCATTAGCTGTCTGATCCAGGTAGACGATACTGAGGCGGCCGCGGAGAGGCCCGTCAAGAAGATGATCGCGGCCACCACTGTCGGCTGTCGCCGCATGCTATCGCGAGGCTCTAGGTGGAAGATGCGGAAGCACTTCCTGTTCGGAGTTAGTGCCTCGTACTTGAAATGAGGGAGGGCACTCTCGGGCGCAATCGCTGGCGCTGGCGCGGCGATGCGACGCGAAAGCCGTGAGTGGACCATGGAAAGCATTGCTGGCAACGGCTTATGATTAGTTCCTCATGGCCCGTGGAGGCCACTGGCCCTCACAGGAGGCGTTTCGAGATGGGAGATTACAACGCCGCAGGTGTCACGCAGTGGGGGCCTGACTAGGGTCGTGTGCAACTATTCCAACTTCGGCTACTGCCTGCAAAGGATCCCTGCAGAGAGTTTTCCAGCCATCAGGACTGTCAACAGTCCTTTTGACAGGAACAACACTCTTCTACTCAATCCTTAATCAATCAACCTTTTGCCCTCAATTCTGACCTCTTTTAACCACTATTTTTGACCACTGCGCTGTACGTGACAGCAGGACCCTTGCTCCTGGGCGACTCACCTGAGGTAAGTTAACGGTATCGCCTTATGTTATCACGGCGTCTAAACCCCTTTAGGCTATAGCCCTATGGCGTTACATCTAAGGGCGCTGACAAGTTTTAGCTGCGGCTGATGTTGGGGAACTAAGATCAAAAAGGGTTTGGAAAAAAGAAAATAGAGGAGGACCTAGCACACGGCGGAGGGCTTAGAGTGATGCGAAAACAAAAAATTAGGGGTCACAAGCTCCACGAGAATATCCGCGCCATTGCAAGAGCAGCTAAACCGCGCCGTGAAATTAGGTCTGGGAGGCCGAGGAACAAAGGGTGGCCGACTTGAGGGGAAAGCGTAAAGCAACTAAGAGCAACGGCACATAGGTTTCGAGTATGCTGGTCTCATAGTCTATTTCGGCCAACACCTATAACTGGGGTGCTAATTTCATTCAGGGAATGACGATACAAGGAATTGTAATTAACATAGTCTACTAGCGACGTACGAGTATGACGTTACGGATGAACTTACCGACCTTTTGTTTATGAAGCTGAACTTCATCGGCGCGAGATTATGACGCAAATTTTCTGCCGGCGAAATAGATATATACCAAGCCTAGCACAGCCATTTTGGGTTCGCATCCTTTCTGCCATTCGGTACGTACCTTTTCTGCTGGCAGAAAATGTACAGCATCCTAGCGGCCCAATTCTCGTCCCTAGGCCTGGGTTTAGTGTAAGAGAAGGTAGGTACGCCTGATCAAGGTGGTCACAATGCAGGCAAGAAGGTAGGGGAGCAATGACTTGTATTGGTCTAAGACTTCAACCTGGCCCTCGCAAAGGAAGATGGGCGAGGGCCATTGTTTATATACCTGCTCAGGGGTTCGGCCCGGGCATCAGTCTGCGGTCGTGGCGCCACGGCGTAGCGTATGCCAGCTGGCAGTGTTCTAGCCAGTTGGTGACAAGTGGTGGGCGCGCACCCTGTGCGCGCAGTTGGTGTTTGGGGTGTCCTTTTCCTTACACCGCCAAGGCCCGACTGACCACCACTTGCAGGACGGCCAACCAGTCAGGAAGCGGTCAGTGCGATCAGTGCGATCAGTGTGGACTGACCGCAGTGATCGCCCTGACCTTTGGAGAAAGACTCTGATTGGTCCGCCTTAGATAGATATATACGACGACCGTAGCCACGGTCTTAGATAGTTCTTGCTTGGTTCTTCAAGCAAGCAATACACATTCACTGCACTCATACACTTTGAGTGGCATTCCGATTTGACTGTATTACCCGCGCGATAGGAGCTTGCCCTTTGTTCTATCTTCATAATTACCAACCCCAGCATTCTGTGGAGCCCGTGTTCCCTTACAGACAGACGACCCTAACAGTCGAGTGGTTTGTAATACCTGGGAATTAGTCAAAGCTATGATTGAGAACGATTCTTATTTAAATGCTTAAAGAATCTAGGAGAATATATTCTATCGAACTCCCGAGTACTTGACGCGCTATTATAACGTCAGCCTACCGTCATTATCCCGCTTTCCAGATTATGCCCCATTGCTCGTTAAATCTCACCGTTTATAACGTAGCGCGTGACTTTGCTTACCGTTCTTAGCAAGTTCCCGTTTTCTGCTGGAAGTACGTAGCTTTTCTGCCGGCATAATCGATTAGGTACGTACCTTTTCTGCCAGCAGAATCCGATCCCGATACGTATCTTTTCTGCCAGCGTACGGCGTGTCCTTTCTATGGTTCCTAGTTACTGCCTAAAAGTTGGATAATCCAATTTAGGGTCACGGCAGGCGACCCAATTTAGTCCCCTCGAACCTAGCTGTTGTTCTCGTAGTAACAAGTGAGTTTTCTACTAGGCTACCTTTCGCCGACCACTAGCTCTTATTTAGGCCCGATTTCGGTCCATTTCTTATACGCCGCAAAACTGGTCACAGAGGACAAAAATTTAGCGCCAACAAGCAAGTTTTCTGCTGACATAAACGGTCGTACCTAGCGAGACTAATGTAAGGAAAAGGACACCCCAAACACCAACTGCGCGCACAGGGTGCGCGCCCACCACTTGTCACCAACTGGCTAGAACACTGCCAGCTGGCATACGCTACGCCGTGGCGCCACGACCGCAGACTGATGCCCGGGCCGAACCCCTGAGCAGGTATATAAACAATGGCCCTCGCCCATCTTCCTTTGCGAGGGCCAGGTTGAAGTCTTAGACCAATACAAGTCATTGCTCCCCTACCTTCTTGCCTGCATTGTGACCACCTTGATCAGGCGTACCTACCTTCTCTTACAGCGGCTCGTCGCGACTGACCACCTCCTGGTTGGCTGCACTAGCCCCTAGGTGGGTCTACCCCGCCTGGCTGCCCCAGCCAATCTGCAGGGGGGCAGAAGGCGCCTCCTGCACGCCTGTGCCAGGATCGTAACAGGATTATAACACTTAGATATTGTGAGGGCCTGGTCCTCCAGGCCTCCCAGACGCTCTGACTAATCAGACGCCAGTTGGGTGGATCCACCCGACCAGCCAGAGCCCCACCTTGAGACGCCCTGGAAGAATCTCGCGAGGGGAGGCTTTTGAGCTTCTTTTCCCTTTTCCCTTTAGTTTAGAATCTTCGTCTATAGCGCCCAATAGAGGAGTTCCGCCCTCATTCCAAGCCGGCCGTGACAGATATTGTTCTTATAGTAGCAAATGAAATTTTCTGCTGAAGCTAGATATACATCCTTTTTATAGGCTACTAGCTCTACCTAGGCCCGATTTCTATTCCTTTTTAATACGCTACAAAAATAGCTATAGGGAATAATGCCTAGCAACAAGCAAGTTTCTACTGTGAGGACCCGTCCACCAAACTGGCCCTCAAGCAGCCAGAGCCGCCCAGAACCCCGGGCCTATCAGAAGCCGCCTCGAGGCCCCACCTACCCCACTGATAGATGAAAACTTATTCGCGAGCACGCGACGCGTTGTTGGACTTTTCCTTCTTTCCTTCCTCAGTTTAGAATCTTCGTCGATAGCACCCAATGGACTGAGTTCACCTCAATGCCTTGCCCTGGTCGTGACATCTACTAGCAAAAATAGTACGTACCTAGCAAGACCAAACTGTTAGGAATCCTTGGTGAAATGCGCAATAGTGGGGCACGCTCAGTTTGGTGTGGACCAATCAGGAGCGTCCCATGGAAGGAACCAATTAGGAGTGTCCCTGGGTCCCGAGGTTCGGGACCACTTAAAGTCGGGGACGCGGGACAGTGTCCCGAGCGCCCGGCGTCCCGAGACCGCAAGGTCTCGGGACCACGGGCCAGTGGGACCATTGTTATTGGTTATACAGTTAGATATATATGTTACAATCCTGGCTCAAGTCTGCAGGAGGCGCTGGAGGACCATCTGTTAATTGGGCAGCACAAGCGGGCGGGCCGGGCCCCGCAGGGGCTCGGTGCGGCCAATCAGGAAGCGCCCTGTCCGATTAGCTGCCAAGACCAACGGAGCGGACAGAGCGGGCGCTCTGTGGGGCTCCCGCAACAAAGGTCTTCCCTACATACCTTGGGCTTGGGATCTTCTGGCTGGGCTGATGTTTCAGGCGTTGCTCATACAACAGATAATAGGGACGATGGGAATGATCAACCCTGCGAGCCCGAAGTTTTTAGGCGGCTGAGCACGCATCGTCGTCAAAGTTCTTTGGCCTTGGGCATCTCAGACATGTGCAACCAAGCGCAGGTGCTTATTATTAAAAGTATCGCCAAGATATTTTCCATTCGTGCCCGTTTTAAAAAACCTCCAACTTCCCCCAGACCCCATCACATTGTCCTCGCACAACACACTCCACCATCAACCGCAATCCATCATCATCGACTACAATCCAAAGCCCGCACCATGACTTCTACATAGCAAGATCATATTGTTCTCCTCGTTGATACCCCCTTCTTTGAGAACCTGCCCGCCTGGGTCACCGACAACTTCACCGTAACTACGGGAGGCTACCACGATGGCCAGCCGTCTCGCAACAAGTTGGTGATCTTCGAGGATGGTAGCTACCTGGAGTTCTTCAACTGGTACGACACGCCACCGTCCCTCGACAAGGAGAACCTCCTCATGAGATTCTGGGGGCCTAAGCCCCCTGGACTGATTGACTTTGCCATCACACCGATACGACCCACTCTGCCGAAGAATCGGTCGGAGCGGTCAACGAACGCTTGTCCGAGGGGCCCGAGAAGGACGCCGGTCTCGGTGTTCAATTCGGCAAGCCGATTGCGGGATCCCGCAAGAAAGCTGACGGTGTGGAGATCAAGTGGAAGGTGACACGACCCGAGTTCTCCCAGGGTGCCAAGACCCCCGTCGCAGAGCTCTTCGCCAATGGCAGAATCGACGTCCCGTTCTTCTGTCATGACGTCACCCCGCGGACCGACAGGGTCCCGTACAAGGACGAGAAGAAGACGACGCATCCTTGCGGTGCCGTTGGCATCGCAGCCTGCGAGATTCTCGTGCCAAAGCATCTGCACGCCGAATATGCCCGCGTCTATTCCAAGATTCTGGGCTCCAGCATCCAGTTTGCTGCCAGGCAGAACTCGCATATCCTCAACATTGGTGTGCCCGAGGGACCTATCCGTTCCATCGTGGTAGTGCGTGCTGCCGAGACCGAGCGCGACGTGAAGCGCATGCAGGAGAGGGGGATTGGCTTCTCGGACCTTGTCATCGCCATCAAGCCCAATGGCCCCGGCGGCGAGGCGAGGCGCCAGTTGGGCTCCACGGGCATTGAGTCAACAATCTGGCTGGAGACATCCAAGGGGGAGTGAGCAGAACGCTGGCGAGGATTTGCGGATAGTCGTGTGTTATTGCATTTAGCTAGCTTGTTAATTTTTCTCATTTAGAAATAGGTAGTTACCATAAAATTGGCTCCCAGTTTTTGCGTCTTCAAACCTACCTTAGTGACTTCCCCTAGTAGCCGACGGTATTGCAGCTGAGGCTGATGTTTACAACCCGCGCAACATCATGGGATCCGGCTTCTGGCCCCTTACGCCCAAGATCCAGTCCCACGACGGGCTAAACTAGCTCAACGTGGGGAATTTTTGCTTGCAGAGTGGCTTGACTTTGGTCCCACCCTCGGGTCGCCGGATGTGAGGCCCACAGGCCTGGAGGCAACAGGGCTGACGTTCTAAAAAGCTCGGACGTCTTCAGGCCGTCTGGCAAACACTTGAGGGAATAACGGAAGAAACTCCGTTCCAAAAAAAAAATCCGGCAAACACAAACCCCCCTTAACGGCTTCACAGTCCCAAACTACATCGACCGGAGGAGGGGCGGAAAACACGCTACCGGTAAAAGAGTGTGAGGGAGGCATAGCGGTATACTACTTTTTACTGCGTAAGAAATGAGTGCGAACTGGCCGAGTCCAGACAAGTCATCCCCTAGGCCAAGTCCTAATTACACATCCGAGCTCGTATCAATCCTCTCGGCAATACTGCTAATGTCTGCTTTCAGTTCCTCTGCTGCTTCGATCTAGCCGTTCTCTCAAAGTCAAGTCTGCAGCAGAACCATGAGCTCGACCCGCCAGGGATCGTCGTTCCCCCACCGCTCCGCAACCGACGGCATGGCCTGCCTCAGACATTTTGTCGCCGGCATGATCAATTTCATCTCGTTGAAAGCCCGCGCCTGGATCTCCATGCCCCCAATCTGGTAGACGAGTAGATCTTCACCAGTTTCCTCCTCGGCGACTCGAGCACGCTCCTCGAGTTAATGTCCAATGTTGATGGCTTGCACCCAATCGTTGCAATTCATGAGGTTGTACCTGAGCGCATTCAGCACCGTCATACGGCTCAGCTCCGGAGTTTGTGGGGTATTATCTTCGCAGTCCTTTAGCAGCTGGCGGAGGCGTTGCTCGGCAGCAGCGGCATCCCTCGTGCCGTAGACGCGGAAGATGAGCTGGAGCAGGATTCTGGCCATGTTGTAGATCTGCCTAATCAGAAGCTCAATGATGGCGGCGTGGTCCGATTGGACGAGAAGTATGAGGGAGGTCCAGAAGAAGTTGAGGGCGCGAACATTGCCGCTCTTGAGGATAGGCTTGACTAAATCGAATGCTTTGGACAAGACGTGCCACCCTTCCACCATGGACCCTTGCTTGAAAAGCAAGACGGCAGAGCGCATCAGGTCGTAGTAAGTCTCGGGCAGGTCCGTCTCGTCCTTGGTGCATAACAGGCTCGTGCATGCATTGCTATCCGCCTTCCAAATGCCGTAGATGAAACATGTCTCGATGTGCTGTTGAGCCAACGAAAAGACTCGTTCCCCAACTGACAGTGGCGGAGTAGCCGACCGACCGGATCGTATCCCGACAGCGCAGGATAAAGCGAGGGAACGTCTGATGAGGGGAAGGGAAAGCTGGCGATTCTCGTCGATTTCGGCTGAAGCCTGGCGGATATTATTAGCGTTTGGGATATCGCCCGCATCGGCGGCTTTGGAATGCCCGTTGGCGGCGTTTTCGTCGTCGGCGTCTAGGGTATTGGGAGCTTGGAAAAAGTATTCGACGGCGCAGCCATGATCAGCAAACTAGGAATGATGCTGCTGCTGGTCCTCGTCTTGAGCATTGAGCGCTTGGAAAAGATCTTGGATGGTGCGGTTAGCATCAGCAGGTTGGATTTCCGAGTCGATGGCACCGTAAGCTTCGGGGGCTTCGAAAAGGGAAGCGTCGGCGCTTCCAGTATCAGCAGCTGGAAAAAGACTGTCGAGATGATTGGCGTTAACGCTTCGGGCGTCCTGGGCTTGGGGATGATAGACACTAGCGGTAGAAGCCAGCGACCGGTCTGCCAATCCAGACTGACGTCGGGGACGAGAGGCTTGATGTCTCTTGTACTTTATATCAAATCTCCATTCCCAAAGTTTGGTCTTGTACTGTTTGACACTTTGTGCGATTAAAGTTAGAGACCAGCGCCTGATTCAAGAGCCCGTTCGTTTCCTGGGCCGGGACATACCTGCCGTAGTGTCTGTGGTCTCTCTCCATAATCTCTATCACTTCCTTCAAAGGCCTCTTCTCATCCAGGTAGAGGGGCGAATCGTCTCCTTGTGTTGCTCCCAATGCGTCGGCAAGGCATATCTTTTCGGTGCCGAGGGCGCGCTCAGCTGCGCTACTGCATCTTTTGTTGCATCTCCGCTTGTCAGGCCTATCATCTGGTCGTCGCCGTCAGGAAGCTCCACAAGCCTGGAGCCGGCATCATTGGCGATATGCCTAGGGTTGAGCATGGCGACCGTTTCATTTGGTATTGGGTGTAGCCGTCAACAAGCATGTATCCGCTCCAGATTGCTCCAGATTGAGTAACTGTGGGGTGCGATGGATGCGCGCAGGCGAGAGATAAATACTCGGGCGTTTGGTGCGCTCTTTACGATAGCATCTCCTACTTTTCCGTTTCTCGGGAGCGGGGGATGCTAGGTGCAAACGGGCACTGGCATAGCATAGCGCGTTGGTTTGAAAAGTAGCAGCGCGATCAATTTGCGCTAGCAGTAAGCGAACGCTAGAATGTCACGATTGCGGGGGGTTTACGGTCGCACAAGCTGCCTTGCCTTGTGGTTGGTGGTTGCCTTGCGCGGGGATGAAGGGAACTTCTGGGTGTCACAACGCCCGGCTAGGCAGATGGCTATTGTACTATGCTCGCCAACTGTCTACTGCTCTGTACTTTGTATGCCGGCAATTCTTCCTGTAACACCACTGCTACCTACCGTTGTGCAGGGTTGCATGCCTAGGTATGAGGTGTGCAACATTATGCTGGTTAGTATGTAGCTTTCAGGGGCCAACGACTGTGCGTGCCAACGTCAATTTTGTTAGAATCTAGCCGTTATCCCATTATGATTTGAGAGCAGCAGTAATTGCTAAGTAGCTTCATTTACTCAAACGAATGTCGTGACAGTGTGCACATCTCTCCTCCGATCAGTCCACCACCACAAGCTGTGAATACGACCAAGATGGATCAAATTCTCGATGTCGGTGGGGGTGAGATACAAGCATATAATAAAGCCCTCCTGGAGAAGAAACTTTTCTGGGGCCAAGGACCTTTCACTACCCTCAAAGGACATGCCCAAAAAGTCCTACCCACTTCTGTCATCTACGGCGATACAGGCCTCGAGCTCTGGGCAAGCATCACGCACTTGACGAGCTACTACCAGACCAGAGAGAAAGCAGCTTTGCTTGTCGAGAATTCCCCAGACCTGGCAAGATGGATCCAGAAGGATAGTGTTTTGATCGATCTCGGATGCGGGTATGTGTCTTTTTGGTGTGCTGAGCAGAGAGCTGCTGTCTGTCTAGTCTGTGAGCATAGGTAGTTAATCCATAGAGTTGGTAGGGATATTCGTAAGCTCACACCGCTGTTGGAAGAGCTTAACCAATCGCAAAAGTCGGTCCTGTACTGCCCACTCGACCTCTCGCGTAAGTCGATCGATCGAGCCATCCAACAGACCAAAGGCTCTCTTCTCCCCCATATCAGCGTCACTGGTCTGTGGGGCTCGTTTGAAGATGGCGTGGACTGGGCGAATCGCAACTGCGGTAACCGACCCAGGATGTTCCTCTCCCTGGGCTCCATACTTGGTAATAATCATTTTGAGGATGCGGTGGCGCGTCTCATTTGGCTGCGCTCGACAGGTTTGCGCAGTAAACATGACAGGATCCTTCTGACCATGGATAAGACCAAAGATCGGGACAAGATCTGTACATCGTATGACGATGCACAAGGTCTGTTCACGCGGCTCATTCGTCAAGGGTTCCAAGATTCAAACGATATCCTTGGCGACAACTGGTATCGCGAGGAAGATTGGGCTCTTCTGCGCAGGTTTACACGAGACCCAACAATGCATCGATTCGTCTTTCAAGCCAAGCACACCATCGAATGTCCGACGAGAAATGTGACATTTCGCCAGGGCGACGAGATCGACTGCTACGAAGGTTTCAAGTACGGGCCTGAAGAGATGGCAGAGCAATTCAAAGCGGCAGGGATTCACGAGTACGCGCGTTGGAAGGGTCCACACAATGATATTTGTAAGCTGTTGATTGCCCATGATTGATCTAGACGAAAGCTAACCTCCCTTTCATATCAATATCTCTTGGGGAACGCAGATTTCTGGGGAAGACTTGGTATTGTACCAAGAGCAGTAAGTTGGAGGTCTAGAGGGCTCCTAAGGATCTACGAGGGGGGGGGGGGGGTTGTATCGCGATTGTTGTGTGTCTCTTGCTTACTAGCAGAGCTAGCAAGCCCTCTTATTAGAGCTGCTCCATCAACAAACTTGCAATTGTATCGTGGCTCAACGGTTGGATTCCTGGCACGCAAGCTGACCGCAGCTAAGAACTACTTGGCTACGGCGATTGCCAGGTCCTGGCGACGGCAACTGCCTGGCGACGCAACCGCCGCTGTCTACTAGCCCGGAAACAGCCATGGCGGTTCCAACCGCCCTGTGACGGACCTGTTGACTGAATGTTTCCAGCCTCCGCGACAGACACAGCCTAGTTCCAGCCCCAGTACCGCCGGCCGGTGTAGTTGTTCCAGCCGATGCAACCATTCCAGGATGCAATCGTTCCAGCCGGTGCAGCCCCGGCTTGTGTGGCGGTTCCAGCTAGCTGTCGACATAAGGTGCTGGGGTTTTTGTTGTCCGTTGTTCAACCGTTGTCTTTGGCCGTCTCTCTTTAGTGACGGGGAAGATTTTGACATCAATGGCGTAGACTTGAACAAAATGCAAGGGTAAATTACAGAGAAGGCCAAAACATACGATCCATTGTCCTGACTAGGTAGGCAAACAAGGCTATTGATACTATATCCACAGATTCAAGTGCACCGCGCTACAGCGGTTACAGTTGCTGAAGCAAATCACAATGCTGCCGCGGATATCGAGAAGTGATCGGAGCTCTGTGCTATATTCTAGGGATAGGCCCCAGGGCCCCTACAAATTCGTTGACCTAATTAGTTACGTATCACGAAGTCGGAAAACCAGGGAAGTTGAATTGTGCTCCCAACCGGATCCAGAGCGTCCCCAGGAAGTTGGCATAGACTCTTCCACCAGTATATTCCCAGGGAATTCCGTTTCCAGCTCCTCCTTCAAATACTCAGTCTGATGGCCGGGCACGCTAAGACGCACAACCTTGAGCAAGGGCAACTTCTTTGAGTTCTACGGGCCTGTGGCAGTCAGTCTGCTTCCCTCGGTGCAGTACAAAGGGCACTGTTGTACTGGACCGTAGGGCACAGTTCCCTACCACCTACCCTGCACTTGGTCGCTCTAGAACTGCGCGTCGGCCACCCGCTCCAACAGGCGTACTTTCAGCCCCTCGCTGAAGCCTGCATCTTCGACAGCGCGTTTGTACGAAAAAGTGCGTGTTTAAATAACCGTCCTCGTGCGCCAAGAAAATTCTTTTTAGAGACCGACTACCTAGGTAGGTAAGGTACGCAGGTGTGGGCATTCGATGGGTGTAGCTCGTAATCCAATTTAGGCATGCTCCACCATCCCAGTACGGTTGTCAAGGGCGCAATCTAAATATGTCAAACGACGCAGCATCGAAACTAGTCAAAACATTCAAACGGGTTTCTCGCTTGTGGAGTCGAGATGGTTTAGCGCAGCGGCTTCCCTGTATAGGTTGCGGCACTGCATGGCGGTGCATGACTAACTGCATGGATGCGTTCGCCTCGAGCCAAGCCAAGGTACGGAACGGAACGAAAAACTGCGAAACGATAGGCTGGCTCGGGGCCAGGCACAGCTGGCGCTTGTGGCAGCTTCCCAAACGGGATTGGAACACGCACCAAGTCGCTAGTGCGAAGAGGTTACACAAGAGAGAAAGCGCAGCCAACCGGGGGACGAGAGCTGAGCAGCTGCAAAATTGCAAATTTGGGGCAAAACACCAAACATCTGCCTCGACTCCTCGAGTGGTCAAAAATGAGATGGCAGTGGAGTCGGAAATGTTTGCATGAAGGTCAATTCCCAGCAGTCGCCTCCGTGCACTTGACGGTAATTTATGGCGCAAGCGTTTCTAGCAACATCCCGACCTCGGCTCGTGCGGTGAGTGCGCCTTCCCATCCGTCGCACCCTCGATCCTACACTAGTATACACGCTGTCTCAAGATTGGTCAGGACTGGGGGAGGACGCGCATAGGGATCCACCCATAGCGTCCGTCCTTGGCCCGCTTGCGACCCCCAATGTGGAGTCCGTCTTTTGTTGCGCGAGCGAAGTGCCAATCCCTCGGGCCGTCTTTTGTACATACATTACAGCTGAACCTCTTCCCCTCAGCATTCGCGGTTCGTCAGTCGTCACCCCCTCCGCCACGAGAGAGCACCCCGAGTCCAGCCGAAGAAGATGAGAGGAACCGCCACCGCACTAGCCGTGGCCGCCATGGCCGCCGTGGTCCAGGCCGTGTCCAACACAACGTCGCTGAACACGACATGCGTCACAGGCGTCTACATGCTCGTCGCGCGCGGCAGTAGCGAGCTGCCGGGGCTCGGCCTGATGGGCGGTGTCGCGCAAAAGGTGTCGCAGGCCATACCCGGGTCCGCCATTGTGCCCATCGACTACCCGGCCACCTTTGCCGACTACGTCAAGTCAGAGGTCTCGGGCGCCCTCGCCATAAGCTCCGCCGTTGAATCCTACACCCACCTGTGCCCAAAGGCCAAGATCGCGCTGCTAGGCTACTCGCAGGGCGGCCAGGCCGTCATGGACTCGCTGTGCGGCAATAGCGAGGTCGGCTTTGTCGTCACTCCCGACCTTGCAGACGTTTACGATTCGGTTGGTGCGTTCCCCCAATTCCGATTCCGCCATCTTGTGGCACGCAGCGCACGAGTCGCGACATGATAGCTGACGGTGGAACATCTGCAGTCATTGCGGCAGTGACTTTCGGCGACCCGAGCCACATCATCAACGTCCCATGGGACCGCGGAACTAGCAACAAGACGGGCGTACGTGTTGGCCGCTTCCGCCCCCGCTCCAGTCTCTTTGGGTGAACTGACCCCCGAGCAGCTCTTCCCCCGCAAGAACATAACCGCCTGCGAGCCCTTCTCGGACCAGATCCGCGGGTGGTGCGATTCAGGGGACACGTATTGCGACTCGGGAACCAACAGAGCTGTCCACGGCAGCTACTTTGCCAACTACACCACTGATGTAGTCGACTTCGTCGTCAGTAAATTCAACGCGTCCGCCGCATCGACGTCGACGTCAACGACAACAACGGCAGCTCCGTCCACCAGCACGGCTCCCACCAGCACCAGCACCAGCGGCAGCACCAGCACCAGCACGACCATCACTTCCACAGGCGCGCCGTCTCCCACTAGTGCAGCAGCCAGTCTCACCCCGTCACTAGCTACGTTTGCGTCGCTTGTTCTCTCTGTTCTGTATATGGCGATGTTGTGATAGCCGACTCGACCGACAATTTCCGAGTCATGAATGGATTGGCCGTGTTAATACGGAGGTTCTTACCCCGGCAAACGCCACATGAGTTGGAATGTAATCACGTCAGGAAAGTTCGGTTTTGGGTAGTCTGATAGGCAGAGCATTTCAGACATTATGGTGTTGGCCAAAAAGTACATACGCTCTCTCCCTGCAATTGATGGATAATTATTAGTCGCGCATTTCACTCCCACGACAATAGCCAAAGCACTGTTCTCGCCCAAGAGGTAATCAAAAGAAGAGAAATATGCACTTGATATGCACTTGAATTTACGAAAGTAAGCACCTAAGTCTCGATACTTTTTTGATGCAGATCCCCAGCTCATCGACCTCTTTTATAATCTAATTATTGCAGCAACCGAAGCGAGCCAGTGGCGTTGTCCAACGTGTGGAGATCTAATTACCACCGAGAACCCCAATCTATGGAAGATGCAAGAAGCGCGCGTTATGTACGTGGTCGTGTCAAGTCGAGGTACAAGAAATTGCTCGGGAAAAGTATCGCATGGCCAACTATTCTTTGGTGAAGGTGGACAGGCAGTCGTCCTTGTTCTCGGGGCACGCGCGCGCCTCAAGCGACACGGGGCTGGCGATGACTGCGGCAGCAGCGAGGAGAATGATGGCGAAGATCTGGCCAATCCCAGTCAGTCTTTCATTCTCAAGATTGTTGATACACCGTGTCATGGGAGGAAGTTGGGCGCTTACCTTCATGTTGGGCAAAAAAGTCGATGCAAAAAGAAGCTGAGTGTTGTCTGGTGGATATTTGAAGTATAATTATATGGTCCAGCGTGTTCGGAAAAGTCGGGAACTGGGTGGATCTGGTGGGCGGCTCTGGCCCAAGGTTAAATACTGCCGTCGACGTCGGCCTGGTGCACCCATGACGTTGACCGTGACAACACCCAGGCCGGAAAGGCCACAGGAGCACTTGGCATTTCTTACAGCAGGTTTCAGCGGGAAACCCACTCAATCTTGGCCCCCGCCGGCCTCTGACCCGGCCTCTGACCCGACCCGGCACCCTTAATGTCACGTTCGGCGCGGGGGGGGCCGGCCGGTCACTGCCAAACTGGGCCGGGCAACACGGCCGCCCGGAGACGCGGCCACGCCGTGCAAAAGCCGCTGCGCCAAAATCCGAAGCACTGGCCGAGACGCGTGTCGACGCCAGGCGTGTCAGAGGCCGCGTTGTGCGGCCATGCTCTGCTCTTTTACCCCTTGGTCTCAAAACGGCCGCTGCACCGCGCTGACGCGGCGCACCTGACTGGCGAATCAAGAGCGTATTTAATTGCGTGATTGTCAGTTGCAGCCTTCAGCTCGTATCCGAACGGCCGGACAGAGTCAAGATTTGCACGGCACAAATTGGGAACTGCAGTGATAATCAATCCTTCTTTTTGTATTTTGGTTTCCCGTTTCTCTCGCCCAGTCACCTCGCTATCCCCCAATAATGCGTTTCCGGGCTCTCGGCCAAGAATGAAGTGGCGCCGTGTCCGGCCAAGGATTCCTCTGGAATGTGTGACCGAGACACATTGCCATCCAGCGACGAGGGCGACGAAGCTGGCGGTGGCCACCCCGTGGCCCCGAGACCGTGGCGCGATTCCCGACTGCTGGCATGCACCAGGCGGTCGCGACTGTCGTTGCTGGTTTCCCATATCCAGCTGAACGATTGCATCTCCTCTGCATCGGGCGGCGTGTCGTGCGATAGCGCGGGTGCGGCTGATCCCGCCCACCTGATCCCGAGACTGGACAGCCAGGCCAACGGCGTCCCGCTGGAATCGAGCTGCGCGGCCAGCCGGGCGTCGCCTTTGTAGACGATTTCGTCACCGCCACTCCGCTCCACGTCGCCGCCGCCGCCGCCGCCGCCGCCGCCGCGCTTCTTCACAACGGTGCAGTGCGTGAAGAGGTCGACGGCGCCAAACGAAGTCAGCTGCGGCGCGGCCGCAAACCGCTCGTACCCCTCCCGCCGCCGCCTCGCAGCTGCCGCCACGGCGAGGCCGGCGTGTGAGGCGACACAGAGCAGCAGGGCCACGCCGCTAATGGCCGCGTAGGCGACGAGCGTCGCCGTGTCTGCCACAGTCTCGAAGCGCTGGTATGCGAAGCTCACGTCAGTGGCGCGCGGAGGAAGCGGGCTCAGGAACCCATCCACGGCCTCATCTAGCGAGAGCTTCGTGTATTGAATACTGGGGATCAGGCGTCGCAGCATTCCGTTCTGGCAGTAGTACAGCGGTAGAACGAGCATCGACTGCATTGCCGAGAACCAGTTACCGGCGACCTCGGGGTTCCTGGCGTTTTCGGGCGTGAAGTCTGGCACCGAGAGCCAGAGCATGGTCGGGAACGAGGTTCCCGAGAAAAGTGGCAGCTGCGTCCCGTTCTTGTGCAGCAATGTCGTAGTGTCGAGTAACAGGCTATCGTAGGCCTCGAGGATGCCCGTTGCCGACACCTCCGATGGCGTCTCGGGCTGTGACTTGTTGAATGAGTGCCACAAGATCGTCGAGTTGGCCCGGCTGTACGCGACTGACGCCTCTCTGTAGGCGGTCGACATCTTGATGAGCCACCCTGGGTTGCTGTGCCACGACGAGTTGGCCATGCATGCTTGCTGTGTAACCAGTTCCCCCGTACATTTGACAAGACCTATTGTCACAGAGGGGTTAGGATAAGAGTGCCAGTAGGGCTTGCAACCGGGATGTTTGTAGACGGGTGTTACACACGAGAATGCACCTCATTTGGGGCGGTATTGGTGACACACAGCTGGATTGCGCCAATCTGAAATCCCCAATACCGGCCCGAGTAGACCCTGCAGTTGGTTGTCTCGTTGAACTCGACGTTTGGGTCCCCAGCACCGTACCGCACAAGCAGGCCGCGGTGGTTCTCAACGAGGAACACGCCTGCATCTGGGTACCGCAGATCGTTGCGGGTCTCGGGCATGATGAATATGGCCTCGCCAGCGACAAAGTACTCGCGGTGGCAGCCCGAGTTGTCGCTAAGCCCGACCGCGTTCAGGCCACAGCGCTGCGAGCGGAGATCCTCGGGTGTCAAATCGATGGAGCGAGAAGGCCCTTCAACAAATGAGGAGAACTTGGATCCGAAAAGCATGTCTGTGAACCCTAGATACTCGCTGGCCGTGGTGGAATTCATTGGGTGTATTCCAAAGCCCTTGTACGGCGTGTCGATAGATATGGACGTGAAGACGGGCCGGACGTCCACTCTGCCTAGGATATTGAGCCGTGGTTAGAATCTCTAGAGAGAAAGCACAAACGGAGCCGTGGCTTCTTACTCATAATCAAGATGCCCGTGACAGGCACCACGGCCAGGATTACCAGTCTGCAGAGGCTCAACAATCTCGCCCGCGACGACGAAACCGACGGAGCAAACAGGAGAAGCAGTAGCCCGAGGGCCGTTGTTGACTCGTCAAGCGCCAGAAAATCGACCAATCTCGCTGGCTTGCGGGCAGTCTTGGTATCGAGGGAATCGTTGCGGCCCATGGCAGCGGCCATCATGACCATGGCCCATTTCAGCCGCTCAAGGGTCGCGGCCAGCGTGGCAGCCAGCGACAGACCGGCCAGCTCGGAGACGACGCGCAGGAAGAAGATGGAGTAGCTGCGCGACTGGTTGACGAGCACAAAGTTGCGCGTCAACATGGACCCGCTGGCCTGCAGTGTGGTCAGAAGTATCAGGCACGCCGTCAGCAGCATCAGCAGCCATTCGTGCTTGACGCGCCATGTTGGTGTTTTGGAATTTTCCTGTGCCGTCATTTGCGCCAGGCCAGGCACTGAAGATGCGCATCCATCGCCCAGCGACGCCAGCGGGCAGCGGCGGAGCTAGATTTTAAGTACCTATTTTTCACCGGCACAAACGGGTTTGGCGTTTTTGCGACTAGGGCAATTGTTAGTTGCAGACCCGAGCTAAGTTGCTGGCCGCCCCAGGTGGCGGACCAACCAGAAGTCGTGCTGTTGCTTCCAAGTTTAGGGCTGAGTCCAGCTCGAGGCTCACTGCGTTTGCCAGCCAACCAGGCGCCCTCAACCCATTCCCACCATGCAGGGCCCAAACACGGGAAGGCCAACCATCAATCCGACAGCAAAGGGGGCCAGACCAAAAGTAGTCCAGCGAGGAGGCAAAGCCCCCAGTGGCCAGTGGCTGGTTGCTTGGCTTGCAGCAGACACCTTGCTCTGTCACTTGACTCCTCCAACGCCCCCTCGCCGTTCAGATATGGCCTCTTGGCGACATCCGCTCGTTCGCTGAGCGGAAAACAGCTGTCGCAGCGGCGTGCATCACACAGCGGTCGCAGCGGCGTGCATCAATCTACAGCGCTTGGCACTTGGCATTTCCGGTTTTCCTCTTTCTCGAAACAAATCACCAAGTTGGTTTTCGTGGAAGGGTTAGGGTTAGGGTAAAAAAGACTCAAGACAGGGACTCAATATTTCGTTGGCTTTATCTGTAAATGGAAGAATAATCAAGATTTGGTACCTCTCATTGCGCTCATTAGGTAACTAGTTTGGCAAGATTTATAAGATTTATAATGGAACTCCTGATCAGGTGGTATCCTGAGGATGATGTGTCGACTGAATGAAAGTCTACGTTTTACTTGTCCAATTATCAGGCGATTGTTCACGGAATTACACGCGCTCAGCTTTCAGGCTAGAATTCCTCCCTGGCTAACAGAACGGGAACAATGAAAATAATGGTGTGAGTGAACGTCTGCCCCGGTTTCGGGATCTCACAAGAGAGAGCCTCTCTGGACGGGTTCAATTTTCTCAGTCGCCGGCTCACCTGAGCGAGCCCACCCTCAGCATTCCGGTCGACTTCCGGCATCCGGATGCGGGAGACTGCCAAACTTCAGACCGCCATGGCGACTAAAGCCATTTCAAGAGCTTCTTTATTCGATATGCAGGCGAAAATGCGCAACTCCGCCGGCTGTTTCGCCATGTCTCTTCCTACCTTGAACCTCCAATGTCTTGCATCAGTTTCACTGCCCTCCGCCGACCTCTATCTATCCCTATCGTCGCAGAAACAAGCAGAACCGCAGAAATCCTCATGTCTTCCTACAGGGCAAACTCAGCCAAGTCCAAGGGCACGGCGTCTCGCGGCCTGTCTGTCTTCCTCCGCCTCGGCGAGCTGACATGTGCCGCCATCGTTGTCGGTGTTGTTGGCCGGCTCTTCTACCTGATTGACCAGGGCGGCTCTATCGATCCCAATCCGAGACTAGTCTATACGATGGCTGTTGCCGGGCTGACCATTCTGTTCTCGCTTTTCTTCATGCCACCGCTGGCCTATGCCTTTTGGGCTTTCCCCGTCGACTTCTTTTTCTTCGTGGCCTGGCTGGCTGCCTTTATTGCTCTCGAGATAGTGAGTCTTGTTTTACTCTACCAACTACCAACCTTGAGCCCGGCAAACTAACATTGTGGACAGCTGAGTGGGTATGGCGCCTGCGATGGGTGGTGGTTCAACAATTACTGGGGGTATTATTGGGGAAGATGGTACACGGTGGGCCCTGCCGGCATCAATGTGAACTGGACAGGCTGCGGATCTTGGCGAACGGTCCTGGCCTTTTCGTTTGTTGCTTGTTTTCTTCACCTCCTCAGTTTCTTCCTGGCGAGTCTCCCATTTCCCTCTGGCCTTTTGTCCTTTTCTAACGAGGGAGTCAGGGACTTTACTGGACGTTTGAGTACGGGATGATCAGAACGCGAACCCAAAGCATGTTCAGGTAAGTGCACTCTACGTATCCAAGGACTGCACGTCAACTAACCGTCATTTGCTACAGACGTCGTTGGGGCCGGGGAGGGAAACAAAACGATGTCGGACCCTCCGCTGCAACAGCAACGCAACCCGCCACCATGTCAGCTGCCAACTCTGGCGTTGCTCCAGCACCACCAGCTCCAGTAGGGGCTCCAGCGGTGCCGCCGCCCACAACTACTGTAGCCCAGGTCTGAGTCTTGGGGCGTGCTAATCAGAAGTCGGCAACAACGGGGTGCTTCATTGCCTGCAGCTTCACGCACGGAAATAATTATTACATAGTTCTGTCCTCACGCCCACCCGACACATTCGAAGAAGTTCAAGATGCTGTGACAATGAATGGAAATGTGGGCTAGAGATGTGATGGACATAATCTAATGTTTAATGGCGTGTTGAGACTCATGTCTAGAAAGTTCAGTTGCTTGTTTCTACGTAGATATCTATTCAATTCTGACGTAAGATGGCCCTTTCCCGCCAATAGTGAGAACAAAGGCAGCCGCAGGCAGTCAGCTTCTGTGAGTCGATCGAGACGGTATGACATCAACCACGACGGAAGCGGCAGCGAATGTGGACGAAGCGGTTTCTTTGAAGTTTGAACCCCCCGCTTAGACTGCTAGAATGCATTGCGCACTGCACATGCATCCATGGAAAGACGTCTTGCCCTCACCTGATTACTCGTGGGAGTGTGTATGAGAACAAGCCAATGGGCACAAAATACCTACACTAACCCACTACTCCATACCCTCGACTACTAAAACAGACCAAAATTTATGTGCGGCGAAGACGTCCGGTCTTGGGCGCTGCGGTTCTTGTCGGCGCATCTAGAGCAGCGGCCCGTCGCGAGATGGGCCGGCAGACTGCCCTCCAAGCGCAGTACGAGCAAGACGTGGAGCACGAGGCCGAGCGACGGCAGCGCCCAGCAGGCTCAACCTCGACTTACGCAGCCTCCCCAGACCTACGTCCCGGAGCAGCCACGCCAAACCTATTTCAGTCCCTCACGGGATCCAACGAGCAATATGGTGCCCCCTCCGACTCCCTCTGACTTTGCTTCCGGCACGCCGCAGAATAGTCCCATGTCGGCCGTGTTCTCGCAGGCGGACAGCAACACGCGGCACATGTCCCTCTCGCCGAGGTCTCTCTTCTCACCCCCGGGGACGGCAACAGCTTCCACGTCGACTTCGGTAAGCACACCGCTATCGCCAATGCAGCAAGACAATCTAGCAATTCAATTCTGTCCGGGATGCGGGAACTCGTGCCAGTGAACGACGTATTTTGCAGAAAATGCGGACGCAAGCAAGCAGTCGAGTAGATCGGCTGGTCTGAGGAAGCCACGTGATTGTGGGCAGCAGGTGGTTGGTGTCAAAAACAAGCGCAATCGGTGCTAGAATTGGAGCCGCTCCGGTAGAAGGCTTGGGAATTAATGACGGCAAAAAATCGGTTTCGCTCCACAGTCTTTCTAATTCATCAGCTGGACTTGGTTGGAAAGCATTCCGTAATGCGTGCTAGTGGAAATGTGGCTTTGTTATTTGAGTGTGTTTTTGGACTATGCTTAAGTTATGTACAGAATGAAGATATGGACCCCGAAAGTCGGGTAACTGAGCTTACGTACATTTTCGACAGGGAAATAGGAAGTCGACTGGGGAGCGAAGACATGCTATCTATGCGGCGTCCAAGAGCTTCTTGATAAATGTCAGCGCCTGCGAGCCATATTTGTTGACATACTGCTGATGGGAGTTGGCGTCGTTGCCGTTGCAGCAGTACGGGTCGGTCGAGTCACAGTAAGACTGGATGATGGCCGGGTTGGCGGGAGAGCACTTGTAGCCGCTCGGGCGGGCAGCGAACTGGGAGCACGAGTCAGTGTTTTTCTCTCTTGCGGCAGAAGGATGGTAGATATCCTATCCCAACTTACGCCACCGTTCTTGCAGGTGCCAACGTTGTAGGGCAAGCCATTCACGTTGTGCGGGTCGCCCATGAAGATGGCGGCCTTGACCGCGTCGAGGGCGGTGCCCGTCAGAGTAGCGCCAGCACCACCGCAGAGGGCGTTGTCCATGATTTGTCCGCCCTGCGCATGCATAGTTAGAATCCACGTCTTCTTCTCACTTTCTGTTCCACTGTGGTGGTCTTACCTGGGAGTAACCAATGAGCACAATCTTGGTGTCGGGGCATCTCTTGTTTAGGTCCGTCACGGCCTTGACGACAGCTGCGGTACCCTGCTTGGCCGAATTCTCGTAGCTGACCCCTCCGCAGTTGCTCTGGCCGCCACACGCCGGGTAGACGATGGCCTCCTTGCCCGCTCCCGCATATGCCTGTGTCACCATGTTGACAAGACCCTGTGAGGTGCCATAGCCCTGTGGGACCGTCGTCTCGCGGGCCCCGAATACGTACACCTTAGGGCAAGACTGGCGTTGCTCGAGCTCTACAGGCCCCGCGCTAGCTAGACTTGCGAGAAGGGGAACTGCAACGGTTGAGACCTTCATGGTGGTGGTTGAGCGGATTTCTGGCCTTGAGGTTAATCGTATGAGGTTAATCGTATGAGGTTGGGGAAGTAGAACTACGATGTCGGATGAGGGAGGGCAAGTATATAAAGTTTATCCCCAGCAGGCCCACTACAGTGAATCTGGGCAGACGGCAAACTGGACCTCATTCGGAAAACCCAGGGTCTCATTCCGAGCCTCGAACCCAGAAACCGCACGGCGCCCTTTCCCCGATGGGGTCTTCATTTCTGAGAAATATATATGCAAATATTGGTGCAACAACGAACGACGGAGCGCGGATGAACTGCCTGTCCATTTATGAGGTCTCCCGTCATCCAGCCGCCAAGCAAGCCCTCCCCGGGATGTGGGATAGAAGAGAGTCAGAGCAACGTTTCCTTTCCCAGCGGTAAGATTTGCAGCGGTATGGGCAATTTAGGTTAGACTCACCGGTGCCATAGACTGAAATGCAAGCGTCTAGACTTGCAGGGGGCTCAAATTCCGGTTTCCAGTCTTTCACGATCACGAAGGCATCATATCGGCCGGGACTGGGCCAGGTTCTCGACGAAGACGCTCGGAAGAGCAAATCGGAACCTTGTTTCGCATTGATTCTTGGCGTGTTGTCGGCGATATTGCCATACTCTCGAAGCGTGCAAGGCATGACCCCTCGCTATATGTGGCGGATGAATGCCGAATACACAAGCCACTGTCCGGCAGTCCAGGGTGCCATTCTGTGGGGAAGCGATTGTGCCTAAAGCAACGCTGCCGCCCCGTGGAGATCAGGTTTTATCCTAAAGGCCATGTGGACATTGTCCCCGAAATTTAATCTGCGTACATACTCACTTCCTCGCTTGGTATTGGAGTACGTGATCATTTAAATTGATGGAAGGTGGCAAAGGATTCTGGAGCGGGTCGGGGGGAGAAACTAGAATTTGCCATCAACCTGTCCAGCGCTATCTAGTGTTGGAGCTCTCCAGAATAACCAATCAGTGAGAACAAAAAACTCTCGCTCTTTCGCTCAGTGGATAGATAATACGCATAATATTCGTTACTCACAAGAAATCTTGGCTTTACGTCTTCAGACCTGCTGGGGATGGGTACTGATGGGTACTGATGGGGACTGATGGGGGTCAAAAGTTGTTAATTATTCAACCCGGATGTGCCCTTGATCGCCACCATCATTCGCTCTCCGCGATTGAAGAAATGTTCTTAAACTCTTCTGGTGTCCAAAATAAGAAGGGAAAAGGAAAAGAAAGCCTAGGATACCCAGCTTTCCCATGTGTATTTAGTAGCTACGAGACGTGCGTGTCGTGCCAGCCTCCAACTCAAACCAAAACAAACGTCTTGCCGATTGCACTGGTAAATTTGGAATTGTCGCACTTGAACCAACCAACACGACGCCATTTGGAAGCCCCATGGGCAAATTGGTCAGTTGGTGGCACAGCCTGCACTAAAAGACCCGACGCGGTTTGCGGGCCCTCTCCTAGCTGAGCCGTGCCAACTCGTAAGGCCAGGACGTCGTCTGCAGTCGACCACCCGAATTTGATGGAATCGTGCCTGACTTGCGCTCGAGGGCCTGACTTCCGACCACCCTCCTCCGCCAAATATGCCGTGTAGACCAAAGGGCCATCAAACATGTTGCGCCAGGGCAGTGTCTTGGCCACAACATCGAGGTAGCCGCTCTGGAGTCGGCCGTGGGGATCCGCTCCGGCCGGACTCACTACCACGTCCAGAAGCTCCATTTCCTGTCGAAAGCCAGTAGGGCCTTGGGACGCCCAAGTCACCCCACCATTATGTGCCGCCCAAGACCAGCTCGGCGCCACATATGTGCTATACTCAGCAGCTCTGATATTGTTCATTGGCCACCACATTAGGCCCCGGCAAAGGTCCCCTTTCCACAGGCCAGCCAGATATGTATCATTATGTGTCTGTAACATCTTGTGTGCGAGACCGGACACGGCGGGCAGCTTGTCCTCGGGAAAAGACAGTTGCTTTCCCGAGTAAAAGGTCATGAGGGCGTACCAGTCGAGATAGTCGTCTCCCCTCGTGCGGACATGGCTGGTTCCCGTCTTTGGTAGGATCTTGGGGGTCCACGGGTTCCTCTGCGTGCGCGGTTTGTGGTCTAGTGGGACCTCGGTTCTCAGCTGTGAGCTGAGGCAGTCCATGGCCAGGAGCTCGTCGAGAAAGTACAGAATGCGGCTACAGAGAATCTGCTCTTGGAATATCCAAGCTCTCTCATTCCACCGAGAATTGACAAGTGAGTCCGAGTTGGACGAGTTGTGTGGGAACTGGAGGGCGAGCTCGCCGCGCGAGACCTGGCCGTCTTCCTCCTCACCCTCTCCATCGGCAGCACGTCTCTCGCAGGCAACCTTCACAGACTGATGCCAAGGCCTTTCCAGAAACCCCTCAAAAACATTCCGTGCGGAAACGGCAGCGATGGTCAGGTCGGAGTTCTCGAAGATTTGCCACATTTGGGCTGCCTGGTCGGCCCAGTCGGCGAGGTCGTCTTGCACGATGCAGAGTGCGTCGATCCAGATGTAAGGTGCCCCCAGCGTTCTCGCCACCACGATGGCATCCTGCAGGGATCTTGGAAGCTCGTCTTGGAGGAAGCCCACCTTTCTGGTCGCGAGGTTCTCCTTTGTCGTGTGGTACAATTGAGTTCCGGCCTGTTGTTTGCCCCAGCAGTAGCTGAGGGTGTGATAACAGGGGAAATCTCCCTCAATATCGCCGCCATCAACAAGCGACAGCTGCCCATCGTCGGGGCCGAGATCAACGAGTCTCTTGGGGCAAAAGCCCTTGCGGTTGAGCTTACAGGCGTCGTGGGTTTTGTCGCAATCCCGGCACCATGCCCTGATCAGCTCCAAGTTCTCGTGTCCCAGAGTGTCCCTGGCCGTGGGGGGCAGCTCGCTGTTGAAAGCAAAGGCAATTTGCACGACCTTGGGAATGGCCGGAACATCCGAACGGCGGAGCCGGACGGAAACCTCCAGCATACCCGAGAACTGGGACCCATCGTCCGACTCGTCGAAGCCATGGGTTTCAATCTCGACGTAGACATTGCTCTCGGGATTTGTATTTGGCGACTTGGACGTGATGTCCACCAGCGGGCGGACGCCGAACTGAGCGATGAGACATGCTCGCACGAAGCGGCAAATCCCTACCCCGCATGGCGAGGCCGCAAGGGATGGGAAGTTGAGGGAGGCGTCGTCAGCCTCGACGGCAAAGCTGTCGCGGTCGTCTTCCGTGTTTTGTCGCGAAATCGATTGAGCAAATCCACTGCAGATCTCGCAGGCTGGCCCTGCGCCCAATTCAGTGACGAACCGTGGCTCCGGCTCGGGATCATAGTCGTCTTCAACGAACCAGACACCCATGACGAGGGCTTGTCAGATTATTATCGGTCGGGTTGGGCGTCGGTGCTGAAATGACTATAAATCCAACATGACCTGGAGGAAGCTGAAGTCAAAGTGGGGGGGAAGGGTAATCAATCATGGCAGCCAGGCTTTGGGAATTGCCAGGCCCTGGGAATTGCCAGGCTTTGGAATTGCTAGGCTTTGGGAATTGCCAGGCCATGCAGCAATGCGAGAGCTCATGCAGCTAAGCCACCATAGAGATGCCTAACTGGTCGGATTTGGGCCGTGGCAGTGCAACGAATCAAACCTCGGAGTTAAGAATTAATTAGAGTAGGCTCTTACCCAACTTGAGTTCCGATGAGGTTCCGAAGAGGTAAATGTCGGAAGAAGCCGCGTCACATAATCCGGCTGACCATTTCCGGCCACTCAACGAACAAAGACTTCTTCTTCCTTATATAGAAGGGCACCTGCCCATTCTTCCTTCATTCACGTCTCCCGAATGCAAGCACTCTTTTGCCTTCAATCAATGCAGTGTTGTATGTGACAGTAAATGGCAAGATACGGTAACCTATGCAACCATGCGACTCGTAAGTACCTGGGTAGGTAGGTATGCTGCGATTGTAGAGTGAGATGATAAAAGGTTCAGACGATTTTCCTTCTCCCAGGTGCTGTCATGTACCTGTGGAAAACACTGGACGGAAGAAACGATGTGGAATTTCTTCTCTACGAGCACTTCCCAGCTTACCACCATTGGCGCCTCTTAGCACTGCGCTATTTTCGCGAAGGCCTTCCATGATAGACAGCTATGGCGAGTTGGTCTGTTTGGCTATCGATGAACACAAAGCGACTTGAACTTCCAAGTATCAGTGGAGAGTCTGATCTTTTGACCAAGGCGGTTCGCCCTAGGTCCCGAGGTCTTGACTAGCGCTGAAGCTGACTGACTGTTCGACTTGCCATCTTGTGAAGTTTACGTCACTGTCCGGTGTGGGGTGGGGCATTTCATCTCAACTTACCCAGCAGCACATACCCAGGCAGCACATACCCAGGCAGCACTTACCTAGGCAGCACATACCTAGGTAGCACTTACCTAGGCAGCACATACCTAGGTAGCACTTATCTTGGGTCCCTGACCCGGTAGGCACTTGACAGTGTCTGCCGATTTACAGTTCATCGTGTGACGTGCGAAGGCCACGCTGTCATCTCGGGGGGTGCTTCCAGGCTCAACCTTCCTTCCCCCTCCACCTACCAACCTTCATTAGCATTGTGTGGGTAGTAGGCCTGCATTCTCGCCCGACCTACCCTGCCATTGCCTGAAGAGGCTGTCGCCCACTCGCATTCACCCACGCCTGGCACCTCGCTTCCGCCTCTCGCTTCCGCTTTGGCGCGCCTTCCGTTTTCACCCTCTAGGTACTTTGGTCTTCCGTTTTCACCCTCTAGGTCTTCCTACACTTCCGCCTTTCGCTACTGCAGCAGACGACTACCCACCAATTCCACCTTCCTGGCGTGAATAAATCTCGCCACCACCGCGACATCAATTCGTTTCGCTCCTTGTCGCTCACCCCCAGAATTCTCCCCACAACCCTCACATTCTCTCCTCGTCGCCCTTTCTTCTGATACGTCCTATCCGAGACAAAATGGACCCGGGCATCGACGTTGAGACCTTGTTGAAGGAGGTCGAGGAACCAGTTTCGAACCTGTCGCTGCTTTCCGAGAACCAACAAAAGCGAGCCACGCAGAAACGTGCAGCCAGTGAAAAGCAGCAGGAGGAGGGAATTCGTGCTGAAATCGCCCTGCTGCCCCCGACACTCACCCCCGCGGTCCCCACACAGTCGCAGAAGCGAAATAAATGCAGAAGGCGTCAGAAGAAGAGACAACGTGCAGCACTCGAGGCTGGCTTACCACTTCCCGAGCGAGGACAAACCTTTACTCAGAAGTGCCGTGAGTCGGAAAAGCAGCAGCAAGCCCGCATGCGTGATGCTACTGCCGCGCAGGGGGCAGAAGGGGAGGCACAGCCCAAAGATGAGTTCTTGGAAACCGAAACCGGCATGCAGCAGGAGCTTCGCAACCAGATGACCGCCAAGCTACAGGTCAGCAACGATACAATAATAAAGCAAGAACAGGTCGAGCATTTCGAGGACGAGCCCACGGCGAACATACTCGGGAAGCCCGAGCCGACCAACCAAAATCCAGACGACCGGCTCACGATACTTCAAAACCCAGCTGACCGCCACACCAGCAGCCATACTTCGCCCAAGAAACGCCGGAAGCCAAGCCGAGAGAAGGCACGGCGTGGAAGAGCAGCGCAGAGACACCGCAAGGCATGGAACAAGAAGATGACGGTAAGCAATAATTACTTATCTGCGATATTGCCTTTTCGGTGTCATCTTGTTCACTTTCCTGATGACTTTTTTCTTTCAGTACTTGACCCTTGCCCTTGAGCTATTGACCATCTCGGCCCACGACACTTGTTCTTTAGCACACGGATTGGCCGAGCACCTCCAAGTCGCCTTGCCACAGCGCCAACCGGAGATTAGCGAGCCACAAGGCCAAGAAGAGCTAGTCTAGTTTGCTCACCATCCATCTCCATATTCATCTCGTAGGCGCGTCACAAGATTCCGCCTCAAAGTCTCTCGACACAATTCGTTCACTCGGGCAGGCATGTTTTCAAGAGAACGGCGAGCTCGGCAAGGTCATTTCTTTCGCGACTTCCGAGTTCGCTTCTCACCAGCATCTCAAAAGCTGGTGTAGAGCCTACAGAGCCGGTGGTTCGGAGCAGCAGCTTGTGCGCCAGGCATGTCTATATGGTCGCCTCTACGATTCTAAGAATGACATGCAGTATCTCGACCAAAGATGCTCGACTTCGCTTCGGCAACGCATATTCAGAGCAGTTTTTGATATTTCCTTTCCTCTTCCAGTCCCCTTTTTTGCACAGTTAATCATCGCACGAGCAGATTCGCACATACCCAATTCCCAAGGAAGCTTCATACGAGCGAACTCTATGGCTCCGAGGTGAGGATTGCTCCCTCATCCACATGTATGCCAGAATCTTTGAGTACATCGTTTCCGCCGTTTTATGACCCCTTCCGATCTCACTCAACTTCCATCCCCACATTCGCCCTGTTTCCATCCCCGCATTCGCCTTAATTTCCATCCCTATGTAGTCTAATAACTAGGCAGAACGACCGAAACGTAATCGGCTACTGAGCACGGAGTTTGAGGAGAGGATGTTAGGTTTCGATGTTCTCAGGCTATTTCAGGCGATTGAAAGCCTAACATACCCATCTTACTAGATACACACCCGCAGCAAATGAACTCAGTGCCCGCACGAACAGCCATTGCTTCCCCTAATCAAATTGATTAACGAAGTCGACGCAGTATCAGTGTTATGGCAATAATGTCAATCATGGCATCTAATTGACTATTGCAGCTTCTTCCACAGTATCAAAATCCATCCATATCATGAAAATAACAAGTCACCGCCCAAACCACGTCTGCGGCCTTTCCTCACGAATAATCTCCCTGATCTCGCTACCATGATTTGATATCCCGGGCCCCGGCCGTCAAGTAAAAGCTCAATAGACCTATTTGCACGTCTTCCAGTTGGTCTTGAAGATGACATGGACGTTTCCATCAAACGAGTCAATCTATTTTTTTGGGGCACGGGCGGATTTGCCCGCCGCTCTCAATCAGCCCACATTCCTTTTCGCTTTTCGTTTCCCCCAAATAACGCCTGGGGGCCGAGGAGAGAAAAAGATACAAAGAAAGAAGGATCAAAAAAAAAAAAAGGAAAGACTAGGCCGACGCATCGCTACAACGGCGCCACATCAGCTGAACAGTCTGGGGGATGCTCACCGTCATGGCGCCCTTACTAGGGCTTGTAATAGGCGTGATGCGGACCTCGGAGTTCACGTTGAGGATGGCTGTGGTGCCGCACTTGGAGAAAGACTCGATGCCGACGCCCGCGAGCAGGTTGTAGTTGTCGTCGTACGGCGCCACCAGGTTCTTCTGGAATACCACCTCCTGGCTACTGTCGCCCGAGAAGGTGTAGCCGGCGCGGCACACGCCCGTCTGGCCGTCCGCCAGGCTGGCATAGCCCTGGAAGCGGGTCTCGATGATGGAGAACCTTTGTGTGTGCGAGGTAAGCATCCACTCACTCGCTTGGGGGGAGGCCATCGGCGGTAAACTCACTGGTAGCCAGCAGGGAACGAGAGGTTGATGCTGACGCGGCAGTTCTTGCGGCTGTCCGAGGCAGAGCTGCCAGGACCAACGGTGACGACGTATTGATCAAAGGCCACGTCGAAGATGGTTCCAGTAGCGTCAACGTTCACAAAGGCGTGACCAACAGGGCAGCCGCTTCCAATGGCGGTGACATTGAGAATCTTGATGGTTGACGGGGGCGGGGCAGGCTGAACGCTAAGGACCGGGGACGGAGCGGCAGCCGCAACACCGGCAAGAAGGAGAGGCAGAAAATGCATCTTGGAGGCGGGTATGTTGAGTTGACGTGGTTTGGTGAAGATTGAAGCCTTGGGATATTGTGAGGATGGACCTGTCGGTGGTGTGGGTGATAATCAAGAACTTGGTTGTCTTGGGACGATGCGTCCTTCTTATACAGGCCGAAGACAGACAGGTTAGGAAAGTAGTTGAGGTATCCTATCTGCTCACTCAGAGGTCAGACGTCTGTCCCGGGCGTGATAGCCACGCTGGAGTGGATCTGGGGATAAAGAGGTGTCCATGTCCGTTCCCGGATGGTGAGACGGAGGGAAGCGGGATCACGGGCAGAAGAGAGAGTATCGGAGCATTGGTCTAGATCACGCCCTTCATGTTGCAATTGTTGATGCTACCAGCACTCTCTAAGTCTTGGCATGCGCCTTGGCCACCTCGCCGTTGCGCTATGGCTGCTATTCTCTTGCTATTTACAGAGATAGCTTTGCAGTGTGGTCTGATATCAAACCCAAACCAGGAGCATGATAAAGCCTCCAGCCCGGTTAACCAAGGCCAAGTGGCAAGGGAGACCATGCGTAATCTCAGAGGCAATATCCGCACTGGAGCAGCGCAAGAACACTTGGTGAGCTACACGCCTTTAGGCCAGGCCCTAGCTCTTCCCTCGTGATTTCCACAAGTATGTTCAGGCCAACGTGCCTGAGACATATGGACATATGGTAACATTCTTGGCGGAACGATTGGCCTCCTTCCGTCAGACCCTCAACGACGTAGCGTTCGTTGCTCCAAGAGAAGCCAATCCAAGCTGTAAGCTGTATTAAACAGGCCGTGACGTTGAGGCAAAAGGGCCGATCTATTTTGATATTTACAAAGTCTAAATCGGGATGTTCCACTGCAACGACGAGTGTTGCTCCCCAAATTCCCACGTACTCAATCATAGCTATTGAATCTGTTCCCCAGTTTGCCATTTCCGCAATGACCCTTTGAGAGCTGAACGGACCGCACCATCCGCGGCTCACCTGTCGAACATCAGAGAATCCAGGTAGCGGGTGTTGGCAATGTAAGGGGAAGCTTAGAACCCAGCGCTAGCAGACGGCTGCAAATTGACCTGCCGTATACTGTCGAGCGACTCGCTTGGGGCCAAGTCCGGAAGGTTCCAGTTGCCAAGCGGGCAGGGGTCTTGGCTAGACGCTTCTGCAACCAAAGGGTGACGTTTAATATGACCACGGGTTGCATCTGCATCAGACTCAGTGACGGTGATTGGCCACGGCCTCGTTGTAGCGAGGCTGCCACATCCTGGAGGCTGGTAACATATGAGCAACGGAAACCCATTCCAGCCCAGGCAGGCGGGACTTGAGCCCGGACAGGCCAGAGTGCGCAGTGTTCCAAACGGGCAGGTTGACCTTGCCCAGAGATGTCACACAAAGTACAAAGCGACCTCACCCACCCATCACCTGATCGGCCGATGGCCTGGTGTTCGTTTAGCAGTCAGTGGTGGGCATGTTTATATGCTGTCGACATGGAGCCAACAGGTCCAGGCCAGTTGTGTATCTGGGTAGCATCGCTTCACCGTCTGTCGCTTCAGGGCATGCAGGGACCAAGCTGAGGGATTTCATATGGATAAAGTGTTTTGGAGCCTTGGCACTCGACTCTTTTCCATCGACCCCGCGCTTTCTTTCATTGCAATGCAATACACTTGCCTCTTCAATTTTTTTAGTAAAAATTTTGCTAACGAAACGACCTTTGGTCGTTAGCTTGGGTGCATCTTGCGCTTTTCTTGGCCCCTCCGCGGCGAGCGCCGAGAACGGCATATCCATGAGCGAGCAACCGATGAGGCACTCCGGCTCGCTTCATGTCCGTCCCACCATTGGGTAGCCCAGGAACATGCACGTCCAAATTACGCGGTACATTGGGTTCCGGGTCCTGGTCAACTTCAGGGGTGAGATTAGATTGGAGCTTAAATTACGTGAAAGTCATTGGGTAAGGCGGAGAGCGTATTGAGCATCTCAAGAGTTCAAGCCTGGTCTGGTAAACATCTGGTCTAGTAACCATCTGGTCTAGTAAACATCTGGTCTAGTAAACATATATGAACTCGTCGTTCTCGCGATCTGTCAAATCTGCAAAGGCCTGATTACCAGTCCCGTTGCGAGTGCTATCCTCGTCTTCCGAAGCAGCCACGTACTCATGGTCCATCGAGCGGTCATGCAGACGGGCAGGCTTACCGTGGGCAACGCGCAGGCGTGCCTGTCGGCGATTCAGCAGCCGGAGATTGGCGGCCTGGAGAAGAATGGCAACCCCCATGGCGATAAACACGACTAGCGTGCTGCGGAGGCCAGGGAGGTAGGAGGGAGCGTCGGCAGCGGTGAACAGCAACGGGCCAATGATGTTTCCAGCGGATGAAGCGGCGTTGTAGAGGGACATCATGGCCGCCTTCTTGGTCTGGCCCGCCGTGTTGGCGAGGATCCACGCCACAATGAGTGTGTTGCAGCCAAAGATGAAAGCAAGGAGGTAGTACCCCGCCAGAAGCGCTGGAGTGTTCTGCGCCTGGCCCCCTTCGCCCCGCGGCATCGCGTAGAGTAGCACAAGTCCTGCGAGGATGGGCACCAGAATGGCCAACAGCGTGATGGATTTCCACCGCAGCTTGGCCGCCGCCCAGGCAACGGCTAAGATGATCACGTACTGGATGGCCCCAAAAGGGATGTTGAGCAGCGTGGTTTTGTACTTGTCGAAGCCGAGACCGCTCAGGATCAACGGTCCGAAAGTGTTGGTAACCTGCGCGCCGAGATTGTTGGCGAGAGACATGGCGATGAAGAGGTACGTCTTAACGTCGAGGAATGCCTCAAGAACCTGGCTCCATTTCAGGTTTTGAGATCCCACGCCCGTCTGGTTGGCTCGGAGTCGTTCAAGTGCCTGGGCACGCTCCGTCTTGGTCAGGAACCGGGCGGAGGGGATATCACTGTCCAGTTTCCAGTAGATAAACGGAGCGGTAGCTATGGTGACGAGGCCGGTACACAAAAAGATGCTGGTGTGGTTACGTCAGTGGCGAACAAAAGGTGGAACAGACATGAAAGTTATGTGATTCCGACACTCACATCTGCCAGGGAGCAAGAATCGGCGACTTTATGCTGCCTAGCCCGTACGAGAGAAGGGCGGCAACAATGGTGGCCAGACCGTTGGTCCCATACCAGGCGGCGACTCGCACTGGCTGCTCCGATCTCCGGTACCACTGACTGGTGATGATAGAAAACAGGGGGAGGCAGCCGGCCTCGAACAGGCCCAGGAAGAAGCGGTCGACGAGCAGGCTCCTGAAGCTGCGGCAGGCCGGCGTGCAGGCCTGCGCAATGCCCCAGCCCAGAACGAGCACCGGCATGAGGATCCGGTGTGGTACTTTGACGATCAAGATGGACGAGAAGGGCTGCCAAGCCAGCTGGGCAATGGGGGCAATGGAGCCGACCACCGAGTACTGGTTGCCCTCCAGATTCGCGTCTTCTCGCAGCCCAAATATGGCGCTGTATCCAAGTATCGTCTTGTCCAGAATCTGTTCACAAGCGCGTCAGTTTAAATGATACATAATTAATTACGCGCACTCGACGGGGCAAGTGAGAATTACCTGAAGAAAGTAAACCCAAACTAGAATGGTCAGGATGACGCGGTCAGTTTTGCGGCGAATTCTCTTGTTCTATTATGACATAACATGGACGGTTAGTACGCCGTGGCTCTCTGGATGAGCGGGGGGCAAGGAACAGAAAAAGGGGGGCCCACGTCCTCCTCTGTCAAGGTGACTCTCTGATCATCGTGGCCATCACCGCCGACACCAGCATCCCCATGCTCTATCTCAGTAGCCGAGATTTCCGCATTCTCCTCGTCACCGTTTGGCGCCGCCTGTCCGTCGATTTTGTGATCATCGGCCATGCCACTCTCTAATGGTTGATAGCCAGCTCGAGGTGGCCGGGAAAATGAGGAAAACATGGCAAACAACGGCCAGCCCGCTGAGGGCGACGAGCTCACTCCGGGCTCACTCTTCAAGTCCAGGCCACACACATGACGTAGTGGCCGCACTCACACTAATTACGGCAATCTCTGCAGTGCAAAGGCCGTCGGCAGAGGCAATCTTGGAACAGGTGGTTGTAGGGGTGGCGACCTGAGACGGGCCCTAGATTCGCATCGGACCGGCGGGATGGCGGAATGCGGGGTTGGTGGGGGTCCCTAGACACTCACGAGGTCAGGTCTGAAGATCTGCAGAGCCCGAGTCATAAACGGACTAGTCGGGAGTGTGGTGCTATTGTGCTACGTGGGGGTCCGAGATCAAGAGAGGTCGTCTTTTAGTGTAGTTGTTCATCCTAATGAATATATCTGTTTTATATTACGGCGCGCACATCAAATTTTGGCTTGTGAGATATGACCATGTCACGGATATGACCATGTCACGGATATGACCATATCACGACATGGATGGTTACGAGTTTGAGTCACAGTTACGCGCTCGTCTCGCTCCGGAACGGTGCAGGTGGGCCGTTCCCTGCTGGTACTGTTTTTGTCTCATTGACCTCTTGCGTGATGACTTCGTTGGTGTCTCCCTTATATTCGTTAGTACGCGGAAAAGGGGTAGCTCTTGAGGGAAACCCAACACCGAGCAATTGGGTTCAACTCTCATCTCTCATCTTTAACAGCGGTTTCTCTCGGCTTCGCTTCACATTCAAGCTGTCCCAAGCTGTCCTTCTCCCTTGGCGCAACCCCACTCCATGCAGCAATGTCAATGGCGCCAAACTCCACCCTTCTGCCGTAGTTTCGCAATCCCGGCTAAATAGCAGTTGCAACCCCCGCGTCCCGGGTCTCTGGTCGACAACTCGATGTCTGTTTGTTGCCCTTTCCGCCTCGACAACTTCAGTCTGAACGCAAGAGGAGAAGACAATAAAAACAAAACGCGTCTGGATATACCAGACCCACCCAAGATTCAAAACACGTCGATAAGGACGACTAACACCAACCAACTCGGCCATGCCGCTAGTTCGCAACCCCATCCTCCCCGGGTTCAACCCGGACCCGTCGGTGCTCCGGGTCGGGGAGGACTACTACATTGCCACGTCGACCTTTGAGTGGTACCCGGGAGTGCAGATCCATCACTCGCGCGACCTGGCCAACTGGGAGCTGCTGACGCGGCCGCTGAACCGCAAGAGCCAGCTGGACATGCGCGGCGACCCGGACAGCTGCGGCGTGTGGGCGCCGTGCCTGACGCACGACGGCGCGCGCTTCTGGCTCGTCTACACCGACGTCAAGCGCAAGGACGGGTCCTTCAAGGACACGCACAACTACGTTGTGCACGCCGAGGCCATCACAGGCCCGTGGTCCGACCCCATCTACGTCAACTCGTCGGGCTTCGACCCCTCGCTGTTCCACGACGACGACGACGGCGGCGGCCGCAAGTACTTTGTCAACATGCTGTGGGACCACCGCCGCCGCCCGCACACGTTTGCCGGCATCGCCGTGCAGGAGTTTGACGCCGGCTCGGGGAAGCTGGTCGGCCCGCGCCGCAACGTCTACGCCGGCACGGACCTGGCCCTCGTGGAGGGCCCCCACCTGTACCGGCGCAACGGGTGGTACTACCTGCTGACGGCCGAGGGCGGCACGGGCTACGACCACGCGTGCACGCTGGCGCGGGCGCGCGACATCTGGGGCCCCTACGAGACGCACCCCGCCAAGCACATCCTGACGTCCAAGGACAGCCCCCACGCGGCCCTGCAGCGCGCCGGCCACGGAGACCTCGTCGACACGCCCGACGGCCGCACGTATCTAGTGCACCTAGCGGGGCGCCCGACGACACAGCGTCGGCGGTGCGTGCTGGGCCGCGAGACGGCCATCCAGGAGGTCGCGTGGGACGAGGACGGGTGGCTGCACGTCAAGGACGGCCCTGTGCCAAGCCTGCACGTCGACCTGCCCGGCGCGCGCGACGAGGACAAGTACTGGGCCGAGAGCCTGTACACGTTCGGGGCGGGGAGCGGGGAGAATGCGCGGCTGCCGGCCGACTTCCAGTGGCTGCGCACGCCCGATACGGAGCGCATCTTCGAGACGACGGCGGACGGGAAGCTGGTACTGATTGGGCGCGAGAGCATTGGCAGCTGGTTCGAGCAGTCGCTGGTGGCGCGGCGGCAGACGCACTTTTCCTACGACGCCAAGACAGTGGTCGACTTCTCGCCGGCCGACGAGCGCCAGTTTGCCGGGCTGACGGCCTACTACTGCCGCTTCAACTTCTTCTACCTGACGGTGACGGCGCACTCGGACGGGCAGCGCGAGCTGCTGATCATGGCAAGCGAGGCGTCGTGGCCGCTGGGCGGTTTGGCGGCGTCGACGCTCGGCGACGCCGTGTCCATCCCCAACGACGGCCGCGTGGAGCTGGCGCTGAGCATCCGCGGCAAGGCGCTGCAGTTCTCGTACGCGCTGCCCGACGCTGCCGACTGGGCCGACCGGGAGCTGAAGAAGATCGGGCCCGTCTTTGACGCCTCCATCGTGTCGGACGAGTGCGGCGGCCACCAGGCCCACGGCAGCTTCACGGGCGCCTTTGTCGGCGTGGCCGCCTCTGACCTGAACGGCACGGCTGCCCGGGCCACGTTTGACTCCTTCCTGTACCGCCCCGTGCGCGACGAGAGCGACCGCTACGAGATTTAAGCACTTACCTTGGGCACCTTACGTAATTAGTTTCTAGAATACTCTGTAATTCTAGGCCCAACCTAACTGGAAGAATAGGGGCGGGAGCCTAAGCTGAGTGCTGACAGTGTCATCATGTTGTGTGTTATTATGTTGTGTGCCTTAACCGCGAGCCGACAGGCGCAGGCAGCAGTACGTACGTACAGTGCGTGGCCCACCGGCAGGCTGCCTGGACACCCGATCTATTGTGATGCGGTGGCGCTGGCAGTGGCGCTGGCGCTGGCGCAGACGCAGGCACAGGCCGCCGCTCAACGCTCGTAAAGATTGCTTGGCGGGCATGGCCGCGGGTGGGGTGCCGGTGTGGCTTGCACGTTGCAGCTCAAACTTATTTATGGATTTATTTAGCGGGAACTGGGCTGGAGTGAATGTGCGCTCAGCAGCGGGTGGTAGTGGCGAAAGGGGCCGGTGGACATCCACTGTAGTGGGTCCATTGGCCGGGCTGTTCCCCACTGACTGGATGACATCCATCCCCCTGCCCAGAAATATGTAAGGTACCAACCTTCAAACGGTGACTTGACAAATGGGTCCATAACTTTACCGACCCCAAGGCACTGGATGACACTGTCTTGAATACGGCCTATGCACCGGGCGCTCGCCGATCCGAAAATGGATGCCGTCGGTGCATCGACACCATGATCTGACACGCCCGTTTTCTGGGGCTCTGCCGCCACCCCGCAGACCCAAGCAGTGAGTGCTCTGAAACAACGTTTCCCCCAATGTTTCCGCCCCTCGTGCGGCGGTGGCGGCGCTAAAAACCGCCCTATCCCCCAAATCTCACGGCTAAAATCCTCCCAGGGCTTGTTCCAGCCCGCTAGCTCCCTTTTGGGGTTAAACGGACGCCCGAAGAGGCCAGAGCTTTCTTGGCTGGGCTGGAAATATCCCTCCGAGCACGCAATGACCGCGGCACTCGTGCTCGCAATGGGTGCGAAGGAGCATCTCGAGTCCGAGGCAGCCGCTCAGACAGCTTTCCTGGGCCTCTGACGAAATTTTCAAGTAGAGATCTTGTCCCGAGTGCGATAGCCACGGGTCGCCGTATTTAGTGCGAATCCATCCCATTTTTACCTTTGCGGGAGGCCAGGCAGAGAGCTATGCCCCTCGCTGTTCTGCACCGTCGTCCCATTCCTGCGCGACCTCAGAGTCCGAGATTCGTCTGAAGCCTACCGTGCCGAGTAGCTGCGAAATAGGTCAAAAGACTAGATGCGGTCGGGACTGATCGCCGCTCAGGCGCTGTCGCTGCTCTTCTTCACAGGCGTCGCCACAGCCCAGGATATAAATGAGACACGGACAAAGTTTGACTCCCCCGCACCGGCCGACTTGCTTCGGAGATGGAACTGTCGAGGTAAGTCCAAACTCAAACTCCCGTCCAAGCTCAAACTCCCAGCCAAAAAACCCCAACCCCAACCCCCCCTCCCCCGCCCCAAACCAAGACGCGGGATTGACCAATGGCGCGATTCAATAGCAACGGTCCTGGGCAACTATCTCTACATTGACGGCGGCGAGCTGGGGGAGCTGGTGGACGGCAAGGCCACAAGCTTTCCCAACAACTCGACTCTCTCCATCGACCTCTCCAAGTCTTGGCTCACTTCCAGCGTCGAGATCAGGGCCAATGGCAAGCCCGTGAAAGATGGACCGCTCTCTATGGGTTACGAAGCCATCTGGAACGACCCAACCGGCAGCGCCTTTTACACGTGGGGGGGTTACACCACCAGAGGCGTCAGACCCGCCGCAATCACGAAAGAGGGCATCTGGAAGTTTACCGTCGACGGCAAAGGCGGCGGCGCCTGGTTGTTGGAAGAGCCGTCAAACCCGCAGGTGCTCAAGACTCTGAAATACGCCGAAGATGGAGCCTACACCGCCACCAACACGACGGGCTTCTGGTACGGCGGCTTCTCGGGGTCTACTACCGACCCCAGCCAGACGGTCGATCAGGCCGTGCCAGGTCTCGTCTCGTATGACATGACAAGGCAGACCTGGCGGAATGACTCTGCCTTGGCGCTCTCTCCGCCGAACGGAACGGCGCGGGGCGCGAAAGCCGAATACGTGCCTCGCTTCGGACCCAACGGCATTGTCATGATTCTCGGCGGCCTATCATATTCGCCGTTCGGGAATCCAGGGCGCGACTCTGGAGGCTTGGATTTCGGCAACCTCACCTTCTTCGACCCCGTCACCAGGAATATCTACTGGCAGACGACCACCGGAACGGTGCCTGCAGCCCGTTGGCGCTACTGCTCGGTTGGCATCGACGGCGGGAATGGAACTTACGAGATGTCAGTAACACACGGCCGTGTCTAGGCGTAGACGAGCCTCTGATGCTGACCAGGTTTTCTCTCGCTAGATTCATTTTTGGCGGTCAAACTGCCGACAAGAATCTGGCTCTCGACGATGTGTACGTGCTCAGTCTGCCCGGGTTTGTATGGACCAAGGCTGCAGCCACCTCTCCGGGCCAACCGCGATCGCAGCACACCTGTGTTGTTGTTGGTAAGCGCCAGCTGCTGGTTGTGGGCGGAGCCAATTACAACATTCCGTCGGGCAGGTGGCAGGACCCGGACCCCTTCCCGCAGGGGCTGGGCCTCTTCGACATGACCGACCTCACGTGGTCCAAGGAGGGCCAATACAAAGCAGATGCGGAGCCATACCAGTCGCCCAACGCCGTCAAGGACTGGTATTCAAAGACGTGAGTAGCCCCTGGTATGCCCATTCTCGGACTCGCGGCATACATCAGCCCGCGAGACAAAGTCTAACTTGCGCGTTCTTTCCTGCAGAGACCTCTCAACGTTGTCTTGGTCGTCAAGCGAGGTGAAGGAGTTGTTCGTGACCGCATCCGGGGCCGTTGTTCCAGCGAGTAGGTGGCCTGTTGATCTCCAGAGCCGGGTTTCACTGCATTCCTGACATTCGTTGGCTGCATCTCCAGACCAGACGGCATCTAATACCGGCTCTTCCGGCGCAAACGGCAGCTCTAACTCAAACAGCGGCTCTGATTCAAACAGCGGTTCAGGTGACGCCCCAAACCCGTCCCAATCTCCTCTCTCGTCGACCGCCCCGGCCAGTTCTTCGGGACTGCCGGACAGCGCACGCATTGCCGTGGCCACTGTGGCGTCGGTAGTTGGCGTCGCTGTTATGGTTGCAGTCACGGCATTTTTGGTGAGGCGACGATACAAGAGGCGCCTAGAGTCAAGGATAGACAACCCGGATTTCCGTCCTCACGGGGAAGGGAAACCGGCGATTGGCTTGTCCGAAGTATATGGGGACACCGAGAACCGGGACCCGTACGCCGGCAGAGACGCCAGCACGGCCCAGTGCGGGCCTTTTCCGGCTCCCGTGCTTCCAGCCCATCTCAAGTACGCCGACCTGCCCCCAGTCAACTCCCCTACTGAGCTTCCGATTCAGCGAGCCTACGTGGAGCTCGACGGTCTCGCGAACTCAGCGATGGTGCATCACCCGCCCCAAGACGAGCATAGTCAGGTGGCAGAACAGAGTCCGGAAACGTCGTCGCAAGCGTCGTTTGCCTCGCACCCCCGGAATTCACTTACGAGGGCCTGATACGCGCTGCTGCTATACTCTCAACCGGCTAGAGTTGGTGCACCATACCGTGTCTCTACAATGTGCCATACTTGATATAATCTTGTAATAATTTTTGACATGATGAATCAAATCGTGCAACTCTTGTCCATCAGCGGTCAAAGCACCCCCACTAGCACACCAGCACACCATTCAAGCTATCCAAACCTCGGCCATAATTACATCCAGCAAGGCGCGGACAACCTATTGCAGACAAGCAGGTAAAAGACAGGTATGTTACCTTGATGTTTACCTAGGGTTGCACTCCGTTGGGGCCCAGCACGTCAAAGTCGATCCTCAGCGAGTTGACCATGGTGGCAGCGTGGCTGTATCCAAAAATGTCCTGGCCCGCGAGTCTGCCCAGCCACTTGGCACTCGTCATGTTGTTGCAAAGGTCGGCGACCGTGTCGAGGTAGGCGGCGAACTGGGCCCATGCGTTGTTGGGGTTGTTGCCCAGGACGTCAGCGGAGAGAGCCGCAATGCCCACGGCCGGGTCGTTGGTGCCCGACTTGATGAGAGCTGCCGCGCAGTTGTTGAAGACGTCGTTGACATACTCGCGCTGCACCTCGACGGCGGTGCGGTTGGCCGGCCCGCCGAGGTGCCCGCCCAGATAGACGTCGAAGTCGTACGACAGGATCTGGTCGTGACCCCTGATCCATCCCGGTACGTATACGGACGCTGCCAGGCTCTCAAAAGGCACCCACCCGGCATAGACCTGGTCGACCATCATAAGCACCTTTTGCTTGGGCGCGTAGACGATGATGTTGCCCAGGTCGTGGCCGATCCCGGGGAAGAAGAGCTCCAGTGTCTGGTTTCCGGCCACGAGCTCGTAGCGGTCCTTGAAGGTGATTTGGGGCACCGGCCGGTTGGGATCGGGTCGTTCGGCGAGCTGAGAGGCCGTGTTTGCGTGGGCAACGGTCTTGACCTTGGGATTCGACTGGTTCGCGAACAGGTACGCCCCTCCCACGTGGTCGGCATGCGAATGCGAGTAGACGAACCAGCGCACCGGCGTGGAGGTGATGTTCCCAATGGCCCACTGCAGCTTGTGGCCCGTTGTGGGGGGCGCGTCGACGACCACAACCCCGGCCGTCGAGACCAACACGAAGCTCTGGTAGACGCCATCCGTGATCATGTAGGCTCCGCGGCCCAGATTACTTACGGCATAGCCTGCCGCATTGAGCGGGAGCTGGTTCTCGACTGCAAGAGTGCCGTTCAGGGGCAGGAAGATGTCATGGCGCGTGGCAAACCCTGTGCAGGCTATCGCGGCGTTGGCCCAGAAAAGGAGGCTCGCAACCGTCGAGGAGAGGCACTTCATGGTGACTTTCTGGCGTGAGAGTGGCAGCTGAATTGCACCTTTGTTTCGTGGCAAAGCCTGAGTGAGCGGAGAAGAGAGAAAGAGACACTGGACATGATGGCGAAGAGCCTATGTCGTCCCAATATTTATATTTATTTACACATCTCAACGTTGCCCGCCAGGGCCGTTACTAAGTGAGTAAGCGGTGGCTGCTCTACCATCCCGCAATTCGCTGCCCGTGTGCTTGTTCGCTACTGGTTTAGGTAGCCATCACGATTTGTCGTGTCAGATTCTTCGTCCGTTTAGCCCCGCCGATGTTTGTGCGCGGCCGGGCCCCGGGCGGAGCACGGATTACTATTCAGCACCCCCCAATTCACACCTTTGCTCGAACACGCAGTCCGTGGACGGCCGGAAGGCATTGTACCTTTGTATCCCTGACGGCAAAACCCGCGTCAAAACCCGCATAGCATCCCCCAAAAAGCTGCTTTCATTCAGGGATTTGTCCATGTTATGACCCAGTTTTAATTTCGCCTTCGATGATCTCCCGGCGGGGCTTTTGGGTAGAGTAACAGAAGCGAGCACGCCTCCTCATGCCAGAGCCTTGTGCGCAATTATTAATCCCCACCGGCACGGTCACAATGCAGACGGTCAGACGGCAGAGATGGAAATTATTTGCGAAAGCTGCATGCACATTGCACACACATTCACCGGCCCGAAAGATTTTCAGCCCCGTCGATCATCAGAGTGTGCACATACCAAAGGTACCTACCTTAGCTGGACCATGCACAAATGATTAAGGACCATCTCATGATCTCCAGCCCACCTGTTTCCTTCCTTACCTTAAGTAGCAAGCGAATTCAGGTGACCATATCATTATGTGGATCCGACATGCTGGGCCACTTGCTTGGTAACGTACGGTAATTTCTTATTTGGCTTCACTGCGTGTTCAAGCAATGATGGTGACGATACTTTAGCAGTTCTGTCGCCTTTGAGACATGTTACAGACCAAACCTCCGAGTTGAATGGAAGAGAATGAACCCTTTTCCGACCTCCCACTTCCCACCTTCCACCAAGAGGGCCCCGACCTAGCGTGATTCCGTGACTCAAGACGTCTTGTACGGGCAGGTAACCTTGTATGCGGCAATGCCTCCATCGGGGGTCCAACAGTTTGGGCCCGTAACGACACCCGGGTCGGTGCAGTTGTTTGTCTCGAACAGGGTGAGAAGGCATTGCGGGTCCCAAAAGAAGACGTCGATGGCCCGGTAGACGTTGTTGTTGAGGAAGGTTCGGCATGCATCGCTCTGTTCGCCCTCGGCAAACTCGAACACGTCTAGCGGCGTCTGGAGCGGGCAGGCTCTGGTGAGGGACACGCCGAATTGCCCCAGACGCGGGAGGCGCTTTTCAACCGCAACGGCAGCCACGCCCATGGCCACTGTCGAGAGGACCGTGGCAAATGTGCTGAAGTGCATCTTGATAAATGGTTGGAGGGACTAAGAGCAATGGGTGGCGTTTTGGTAGGTCTTGGTAGAGAAGAGAAAGCAAGTGAGGGTCTTGGGAGAGAGGAGAAAGTAAGTGAGGGTCTTGGGAGAGAGGAGAAAGCAAGTGAGGCTCGTCGCAGTGGATAGATAATTGGTTGATGGAGGATCTGGATGAGAAACTAGGTACGTGACAAAGAATTAAGTTGGGAGAAGGAGTCTGCGCTTTTATCTTCCCATCTCATGTAAGGCATCGGACTGAATGATAGCCCGCCAAGCAAATGCTGACGGGTATAGCTCTGGCAACCCAAATCGCACTCCAGTCCTGTTTTGCTCGCCGTCTATTATCCTCGAGTGACTAGGTGGTATTCTGTGACCGAAAAGGAAGATTGGGCGCAGCACTGCTGCGGAGTGGACGCTCCCCAACAAATAGAATTCGAGAACGAGTGCACCCCGGCAAAGAAAAGCTCGTGTTTGCCATTATAGCCCATTCAGCTCAGCGCCACCCACGCAAGAACTCCCAACAACTGGCACGCAGCTATCGTACTCCGGTATCACGTTCCCAATTAAGCGTCAACTTTCAGCCAGCTGACAGTCCGCCCGGGTAGTCCGGCAGAGAAACGGGCTGTGCAAGTATCACTAGGAACTCCGATCACGGCTATCCCTGCTCGTGAGCCTGGATGAATAGACCAGTTTCATGAAGAGCTTTGATCAGGGCATCCCATCTACAAATCAGGGCACCCTACTTTTTATTCCTGGCACCTGTTGGCGGTTGAGATACTCAGGGCCTCATTTGGGCCCGTAAAATCCCGAATTACCATCTCACCGCCCATGCGCTTACCATGCAGCCCGGGCGCCCAGGTCAACAACGTGAAGCCGTCAAAATAGTCAAAAGTCACAAAAGCCCCAAGGTGTTTTCCATTTTGACGATTTCTTCGTTGCTAGTTATGCCTTTGAGCAACCTTTAGGCTCAGATTTGTACGCAATTGGCCAAAAGTCATGGCATACGGCCAGTGGGTCATGAAGTCTGAATCATGATTTGTTAACATAGTGATGTCCTATTAACTTACCTACCTAGCTACGTTGAACCCTAATTAGGAACCATGTGTTATTTCCGGCCTCGGAACACTAACTGCACGTGCCAAGGACTGCATTTAAAAGTGTAAATTGTGTCATTTTAACTCTGCCGGGCTTCCTTAGTGCCCGGTTACCCATTGGGTGGCTGCCATGCAATACGGCATTTACCATACAAACATCGGCCCCTGCATTGGCAGGTGCCAAGGACCCCCAGTAGGGTGCCCTGATTTTTAGAACCCTCAGGGTTAGGGTTTACCCCACACCTGGCATCGCGCTTCATAGCTGGCGGCCTTCGGCCTGTAGTTTTATTAGAGAGGACAACCCATTCCATACCGTTCTATTCAGCGCCCTGATCAAAACTCTTTATGAATGCAGAATGCACCCAAACGCCAAAGATACAATATCATTAATACTGATTACATCCGTCTCCGTTCATCAATCTCGAACATCTTAGCAAGTGATTAGACCTGCTACGCCAGCTGCATTCGACACATGCCTGAATATCATATGCGAAACCAACCTGAATACCAGAAAGATTCACATCTTTCAACCAACAATACAGGAAACAAATAGTACCTTATCTACTAACCCCCCTGCACGAGGTGTCTCTGCGAGCTCGGTCGCCGAACCGACACCCTCTCCCCGAGCTCAACATCGACCTCGGACATGCTGACGCCGAGGCCCTTGCCATGCTGCGGCACGAATGGACTGCCGACGGGCGTGCTGACACTGTACGGACTGAACGGCGTCGTCCTCCCGCTGGTCGATGCGGCGTCGTGTTCGTTTGGCTGGTACGCCGTCTTTGAACGCGTCAGGCCGCGCACATGGCCGGCAGCGCGCATCTTTTCTAAGTTTTTCTCGTTGCGCAGAACCTCGGCCTTCATAGAGCCCGTGATAGTCGCCTCGCGATCGCGCAGTCGATGCGCCTGCACCAGCATACCGCGGCCGGCCACGTACAGTCCTGTCTTGACCAGCACCCACGTCAGCGCCGTATTGTAGGCAAAGCTGAGCGTGCTGCGGCCGAGCGTGACGACACTGTTTCTATGCACGGCCTGCGAGAAGGCGAGCAGGAACGAAACGAGGATGATTCCGGCCGAAATGGGGAACATGTACTTGAACTCGGTCGACAGCGGGAGCAGGCCGCCGTTGATTTCGACCGCGTTCATGCCGAAGAAGCCCACGCAAAATGAAAGCGGCAGGAAGATGATGGTGACGATGGTGAAGATCATGATCGACTGCCCCTGCTTGAGCGTCAACTGCGCTTGCTTGACGGCCTCTCGCGCTTCAATCACGCCGGCTTGCTGTTGCTTGAGGGTCAGGAGGTCTTTGAGCTATTGACAAGGGAAACGTCAGCAACACGCTCTCTCGGATGGCGTCGAGCCGATAGTTGACTTACAGCGGCCGACGTGTTCTGTGCGTTCTGCAACAGAGCCTGAAGCTCCGAGATGCGCTCTGCCAGGTCCAGGAGGAGATGGTCAGCCCGGGCCAGCGTCCGCCTCGCCTGCTCCCGCGTCTCCTCCTCGCGGACTCGAGACGCCTCGTCCCGGTATGGGTAATCTTCAGCCGAGGCGCTGAGTACTATATCCCACGAGGTTGCCGCTTGGGACGCGCCCGCCCTGCGAGGGCGGGCGAGCGGCGCCATGGTGCGGCGGACGTGCTTCACAAAGTTCTCCATGACAGACTGCTGCTGTTCCTTGATGCGCATCATGATGTAGATCTCATCCATGATGTCCTTGACCTCCTTCAGCAGATTGCCCTCGGGGTTGATGTTGAGGAGCGTGTTCTGCGTCGAGTTGTCAGAGGTGGCGTATCGCTCGCGCTTGTAGTCGCGAGACGCGAGGTGGGTGTAGATGAGGAACTGGTCAAACGCGGCCGTCTGCTTGTAGGTGAGGTCGCGGATGGCGCCCGTGAAGAGCTCGACCAGGTTTGGCTGTCGGCTGTTGGTCTTGGTCCTGTCGAAGAAGACGCGCGACACCTCGTCGACGATCATGAGGGCCAAATCATACGCCGACGATATCTCGCCCTGGCGCGCGTACTTGAAACGCATGCGCAGGCTCTTGTGGATTGCCGAAGGGTCGGGTTTGTTTTTGCCCCATCGCCGTGGGAAACAGGTGATTACGGTTCCTTGACCGGGTTAGCGCGCCCTGGAAGGGATAGAAGGTAGAGATGAGCACCCACTCTCGTCGAGAATCCACAGCCAAAGCTGGTCAACCATGATTATCCTAGGAACCTTTCGAACGTCCTCTTTGCATTGCGGACAAGTGTCCATACCAGCACATGCATGTGCCTCAAAAGTCGTGCCTCGATACACGACCTGGTCTCGGTCTCGAGTGCCGGTGCTTTTGAGCGCGCCGTAGTAAGACTGGTCCAGGGTCCTCCGCGGGTGTAGCGGGGGTTGGGCATATAGATACTTGACCATGAGCTGCTCCTCGTTGTGCAGGTCCATAGCCTCGAGGAGTATCGCGGCCGTCCGCAGAAGGTCGCCGAGAGCTCTCCTCCGGTCAACCTTCTCCGTCCAGACGGGAGCGGCCGTGTCCTCTGTTTGCGGGCGTGATGTTTGATGCTGGGCTTGATGGACGAGCTCAGAGATGGACATCAGGTTCTGCTTGCTAACCTCCTTGACAATCTCGGCCGATTTGGCCCTCCCCCGGTCGGTCTCCCAGTGCAAATAGGGCATGAAAAGCGCGAGGTTCTTGGGGGCCAGTTCCGCCGAGACCGGGTCGGTCGATATGCCGTCACAGAATGGCCTCATGTGCCTCGCGTGAACCTCGGACTGGGGGTCGAAATTCTGCTGTCCCTGCCAGTATTCGGGCCGAAGCAGCATTTCCGTCCTAGTCCTTTCCCGCGGTGAATTTGACCTCGAGAACAAGCCGTCGGGCTCGGGCGGCTTCTCGTGGTAGTAGCGGGCCACGATTTCCTCAACCCACGCCATGTTGTTGGCCGGGAGGTGGAAATAGCGGATGGCCCCATCGTCAGAGCCCTGCATCAGCGGGTTTCTCTTCTCGTCCTCGGAAAGCAAGTCGCTCATGGTAGCCTTTTGGTTCGGAAAGCTGCCCGGAAGACCCGGTACGTCGTACGGACGGCCATGCTTGAAGCAGACAACAGTGGCTTTGATGTACTCGTTGACCAAGTCCTCCGGCCCGACATAGGTCGGCACCCCCGACGGGCGCCGAGAGACGGGATCAAAAGGTGGACGGGGCGTGTCAGATGTGTGGGGGCAGCCAGTCGCAACACGCCAACGACTCATGGCAACCTTGAAGGCCCGGAGGCGCGCTGCGGCCGCCGAATCGCATTGTGCCGTCTCGAGCCGGGTGCGTAGGTCGGCAATCTTTTCGCCATGACGCAGAATACGTTGCTGCGACTCTGGTGGGAGGCTGTCGAAGAATTTCTTTTGTTTCGATACACGCAGGCAAGCGTTAAAGTGGATAGTGACATCTGAGACGCGGTGGTCGTGAGGCCTTTGGCTGAGACACGTGGAGGGCGGCTGGCGCCGAGACATGGCGGGGAGGACGACGGTGAGAGCGTGACGCCGGGGTCCAGATATTATTACACAAAGATTATGGACACAAAGAACTGCCGACGAGCGGATATCGGCAATTTCGATGGACCAAAAGGGGCAAAACGGAATGATAACAACGGCAACAGAAAGACGAAAAGGAAGGGCCAAGACCAAGAGAGACAAACTGGGAGACACGTCGTCGAGAGCCAAGACGCGAGAAATTTAAGCTTTCAAGACTGCTCGGCGGGGTCCCTGCAGCCTGGGGGGACAGCAAGGACGATGGATGCCCTCCATGCCATCGGAGCATGGGCAACATGGGCCATTGGTCATCCATTGCCCAGCGGCTGGTCTGCACTGTCTCTGCAGTGAACCTTCCTAGCCGCGGGGCAGGGCTCCTTCAGGAACAGAACACCCACCCGTGGAAGGTAGAACAAAGCCAGGAGCAGCTTTTTATTGCACAGGTTGGTTTCTTTGCCGCAATGGACAATTCATGTGGTCGAGGTCTCGTCCGTGGCTTGTGGGCGTCTTCGGGGCTTTCCCCTGAGTTCCTAGATGGCTTTCCGGCATGACCTATAACGGCTTGGAGAAGCGCTGCAAGGCCGTTTCAACGCACGCCATCTGGACTTTGGTTCGCGCTGTGGCGGCGGCGGGCGGCCATCAGGCTGCGAACCAGGAACTCGAGGGCTCGGGACCCTTGAGGGGTCATGCAGGTTGTCGGGATCGATGCCAGCCCCCAATGTGCCCCTTCGGCCAAACCCGGCGACTGATTGGCCAACCCCCAGCGAAGGAAGCAGAAGGGCCCACAAAGCTGAAAAGCTGTCAAACCGCGCCCGTCTTGGCGAGCCGTCCTCGCCGTTCCATGAACTGATAATTCTTTTTGAATCTGAACATGTTGATTCTGGCGTTGAAGAGCAGAGCAGTCAGAATTGTATGCAATAACTACCGTGCGTATATTTTTTCGAGATATTTGCCAGCTCTGGTTAACTTCCGTAGGGCCACGAGCTCCGTAGCCTTGGTACTTGCAAGCCAGGCATCAACGAGCTTACAAGCGGACTTGCTTTCGTCCGTCTTACGGCCCATCCGACCCCTGAAATGGCCGTGTGCACGGACCATTTCGCGAGTGGTGGACAGCTCAAACCAGGTACGTATGCAAAATCGTAATCCATACCTCGAGTTGATAGACCTCCTGACATCTTCGGCTTATTAGAGCAAGACAAAAGCAAAAGGGACAAAATCATTCTTGCCCTTCTAGTCGCAAGCCTCAGCCTGCGATTATGTCGTACAGGATATTGTCTCCGACTTGATATCCCGCGACTTGACTAACCCATCAAACCGCGAATATTAAACTAGCACACAAGTCGTCGATTAGACTCTAGAGAGTATGTAAATAAGCCTACTAATCTTATACTAAGAATATCATGGACTTTGAATTTCTCAATTCTTCGCCTTTATCATTTATAGCAGGTTGCCGTACTCGCTTCGGAAGGTAATTACGACGCATTGATTTTGGTGGATGACAAGTTAGACATGTGGGATAGTTCCGTGTAAGCCAGGAGAAGAAAGGTAGATTTTCAAGCGTAGCTAAGAACTCACTTTCTCCATATTATTCGGCGGAAGTCTTTTGTTTGATAAAGCCACGCGCTAGCTGTTGGCCAGGTCCATAGGACAAATCATAACAACGCCACCAGGTAACCCATAATCCCCTAGTGTTCATTCAAAGTCGAGGCATATTTTCGGTAGCTTCGTTATCGAAACGAATACCGAGCGCACTAGTTGTATTAACACTGGTTTGACGTAATAGATATGGCATTTTCAGAACGTAGAGCGTAATGATTTGCTAATTAGACAGGCGTTGTGAAGCTTTAGAGGCTAGTAATGGGCAATTAAAGCAGAAAATGGGAATGACTATGCAGTATGCCGATACAGCCACTCGTGAAGAACATCTTGGACAAGGTGAAGAAGTTTTCATCATACGGATCTTCAAAAACGAGACCCGGCTCCTCGTCCAGGTGCCCTTGACGAGGTGTATAAAAGTGATTGGGCGGCGACAAGTTTGTTTACACGATTGATCGAGGGTACAACTCCTGACCAACTTCCACAGCCCGGACAAGGCGAGAGTCTCCTGGCTTGATGTTCGGATTTTGGCCCCCTGTCTCTAACCGCAGATGGGTGATGTCGTTGAGGCTGTACTGGGGCGGACTGGGAGTATCCCACTTCGGATCCGACCATTGCGTCGAGTTGTTGTTGTGCCTCGGCCATGCCACTGATCCTGGGGATGAACCCAACGGCCACTTCTTCCACTTTCGCTCGGGGTGCGGGCCATACGAGTCGCTTTTCGAACTGCTGCCACTTCTCCCCTTTAAGCCCAACGCTTTGACAAGAGCGGACTCGGGTGCATGAACCGCTATGAAGTTTCCAAGGGCAGGCATGGAGCCGACGATGATAGCCAAGCTGTTCTCGACAATGCTGTCGGTGATGTATGTTAGCCCCACAATTCACGGTAAGCTAAGGAGAAAGTGGCTTCAGACTGTGCTTACATGCAGATGAAGAGCTGGCCCTGCTTCCAACTGACGTCGTTCGTCGTCTGGAGCTGGGTGCGAAACGAAAGACCCACTATGCTGGTTACAATACCCCTGGTACAGATTTTCGTTAGCTCTCAACGCGATAATGTGTCAACACAGGTAGGTGGAGCGTACATGAAAGCCGTAGCAAACGCCAGTAACAAGCCCATTTGCCTCTGGGTTGATAGCCGGAGTTTGAACAGGGTAGGAAGGGGAAGGATAAAGAGGTATATGTCGAGGAAGAGCGACATGACCCCCTGTACTATGGTCCAAGGAATTGCGCGGGCAGGTTGGCCATTGGTTATCAGGGCTGTCCAAGGTTGGCCAGCGTGAGGAGCAGAAAAGTAGGCCGAGAGTGGTATTCCAGCCCAGCATGTGCAGAATGTGAGAAATAAGCCAGCGTAGATGGCGACACGCAGTCCCTGGGGGATGCCGGTAGGGAACAGTTGCAGATAGAGCAGGAAAATGGCCGATTTCGAGAAGAAGATGACGGGACCTAGGATCGTGGCTTGCGCAAAGAGAATCTAATCGCAACTGGTGAGCAAGGTATCCGTGAGGATCAAGTGGAGGACCTGGGACTTACTTGCATGTACACTCCTGTATACCAACATGCCGGAATATCCCACAGGTGTCGGGCGTATTTGGAAACTAACCACATCCCCGTCGGACATTTGTTAGCCGGTCTCAAGAAGGATTGAAGGAGTGAAGAATCTGAAGGCCCCAGAGGGTACTCACCTGAGAGCACAAGGCCTGTGTAGACCAGACCGAGAACAAAAGCAACCACAGTGAAGTCTAGAACCACGATGGCACTTGGTTAGTTCTGTTTGGGATGAGTCGGCCCGGTTGAGAAACGAGGAGAAGGACCTACAATCAGCCCACCGCAACTTGCTCTTGTTGACGTATAAGCGCGCCACAGTGAAGAGCAAAGACCATACGATCATCAGGATCGACAAAGCAATCAGAGTCGGGCCCAGGCTTTCGGGGTTGTCCAGATTTGAGGCTTGGCCATTGGGTGGAACCCCCCCGGGGATGGCGCAGAGATCGAGTTGCAGTGTCGGCTGAGAGGCCATCCTTGTTCTAGAACGAGGAATGTCGCCGTCCGGAATTGACAGTTGCAGAAAGGTAAAAAGCAGCAATTTGACCGACATAACCCGGTCCTTCTGGACTCCATGACGTTTCTTATGTACAGTATCACCCTTTATTCCTTTTTGGCCAATTTCTGGTAGGGGCTCAGCCTGAAAATGATAAGCCAAGTTCGCGGCGTAGGGTCTCATCTTCAGCTCTTCGCCGCCATGGTGCCGACATCGAGAGGCGTCGTTCCTCGGTCAAGAGTGTGAGCACACTCGCTTGTGTGCTCTACGTAAGCGTTAATGCAGATGCAGAGACAGATAGGTGAGGTGGTTTAATTACCTTGTATCTTGTGTGCATCTGTGTGTCGTAATCTCACGTCATTTCGTAGACTTCATCACCCCTTCCCCGTGCTAAGACGTTAACCCGCCGACAGGAACTGTCATGAACCTGAGCGATGCCAAGCCACAAGAGCAGCGAACAAAAACGTCGCGTGCATTCGACTCGGATTGTGGAAATTTCAGTATAGTTAATCATCAACCTAGCTTCCAAACCTAGGCCTCTTCATTCTCCCGATTTCCGTGTCAAATCCATGTCATCGGAAGATATGATTAAGGTTTTATCCCGTCGTCCCACCTCCAAAACCCCCGTATGAAGGTTAGTACCTTACATATTTCTGGGCAGGGGGATGGATGTCATCCAGTCAGTTGGGACTGTGGCAGGGGATCGGGGGACGGGCTGGGTTTGTCAGTTTACTCATCAGCCCCTGGCAGGTAATTAAAACAGCTGCATGTGCCGCCGTTCAACAGCCGCTGCACTAGAACTCATCCATTCCGTGTCCCGAGTTTAGACATATCCGAAATTCGGGCACTTGAGTTGTAAATTACGGGGATCACAAGGGCGGGGTCATTACATACATGCCCCAGGTACCTGCACTGTGGGATGAACAGGGCTACGTCATAGTACTCACAGCACGGATACGGAGCAACTCGTTCGGTAATCTGCGTAATCGGTAAGATGTATTCTGTAATTACATCCATACTGCATTATGTACATCACATCGCAATCCTCGGGAGGCGACGGAACAAGGATATAAGTCGACGCGCTACGTCTTTGGGAGTATAATGCGTCCCCGTGATAAGTACAGTAGGTACCAGGTAGTTGGTAAGACAGTTGAATTTATGTTGGCACGAAAATTGCCAGCTCGCGAAAGCGGTATTAGCTTGCATATTACCGTACCCGTACCGTAACACGGCTAATAGTATTAGGCCAACGAAACTTGTGATAGGTAGGTAGGTGCTGTTCCTTGAGCAACCTCGGGTCGTCCGTCATCATGGCTCTCTACGGGAAGCATACTGAGCTACCCGCGCTTAACTAACTTGTCTCCTATCTCTAGGTCTTCAATACGGGGATGCACTTTGTGCTGCCGGCAACAAGGTAAAGGAATTTTCAGGGCTTGAAGTTTCTCGAGACGCAAAAGCCTAACCTAGACTTCCGAGTGTATTTGAGCTGAAGGCTCCGATATTCCTAACCTAATCCTTGTCTTCAGCCCAACACCATAGGTAGTTCCACTTGCAAAATCTACGCAACCACTCTGGATCATCATCCAAATTCTAGACATGGACAAAAAAAGGGCCATTACAAAATATATGATCGAATATGTTAGTGAAGTTCATGCCAATACGTCTTGATAACGCCTTGCACGTATCCAATGGCAAGGGCAAGTTGTCCAAATAAAACAACAAAGTCCAAGAACCACCCAACTCTCCCATGAAATGGTTGAGGTGGAGATTGCGCAGGTCGAACGCCGAGGCTTGCCGAGCATGAGGGGCTGGAAAGCATCTTGGAATCCCGGTTTACCAATGCTGCCTGACTTCGTCTAAAAGTTCAGCAGGGAAACTGTGGCAAAAATGGCACCAAGGGCGACAGTTGCTTGCGGGGCGACGATTTGCAGGGCAAGGGATGTGGGCTTCGGGCTGACGCCGGTCGCTGGTCGACCAAGATACCAAGCACCAATGTCGGTCAGGTTGCCCTCAGCAGTCAGCATTGCGCCATTGGGGCCGACGTTGGACACGTCACTTCGAAAGGCACCAAACAGAGAATACCGGCCGACTGAGTCGAGGCGATCCATGTACTCGGTTGACATGTTGTAAAATGCCTGTGTCGTCTCCAAGTCCTGGTTGTCAAAATTGAACTCGGTGACCCACATGGTTTTGTTCGGGAACCTAGAATGGAGATGGTGTCAGTCGTGGCAGGGTCGCAGATGCAGGAGAGGAGAGAATAAAGGAAGGAAGGCGACTCACTCGGCAGAATATTCGCCCAAATGGCTGGCCAGCCCATCAAAATTGCCGTACCAATGTATTGGGACAAAGTCAAAGGTGCAGTTCGTCGTCTTGCCGTCGGTACTGACGAGCTTGGAGCAGCTGTCCAGAAAGGCCTTCAGCCACTGCAGCCCGGAGGGGGCGCCCGTACACGCCGGCAAGCCCACGCGCAGATTCATCTCCTGTAGAGGGATGATGTTCTTCACCCACACCTGGGCCGCTTTGTCGGGGTCAATATTGCTCCCTCCGTGAGCGCCCATAGAGCCATCAGGTTCGTTGAAAGCCATGACATGGCTGATGTTTATCCCCTTGTCTTTGACCAGGCTCCTCACTGTCTTCAGGAAGGTGGTATCGCTCAGGTTGTCGGGGGCACCCCATAGCATGGGCACAAATTCGAAAGAAGACTGCGAAATTTTGCTATATACCGGTGACGGGCTTGCCTCGTAGTTGTAGTACCACGTCAAGTCGCTTGGTTGCTGGGTCCATATGTAATCGTCCTGGCGTGTTGAGTTGTTCGGAACGTAGACAAGACCGCGCTTGGGCGATGCAAGAGGACCTGCTACGGCAGAGCCGACGAGGAGATGGAGCACGGTTAAAAGAGCAGCGCCAATGGCCGCTGGAGAGGATAGCATCGTCAGCGGGAGTAGTTATGCCTAATCCGTGTTTCGAAGCCTGGAGTTGAAGGCTAGGGCGCCCCGCGTTCGGAACTTGGGAGGTCGGACGGATAGTCGAGAGACCAGACCAGACGAAGCCAAACCGCTGTAGAGTTCCCTCAATTGACTTTGACAAGTCGTCGTTATCGCTTTCATCCGCGTCGCTGTCCGTCCGTCGTGAAGCCTTCAGATCGAGCGACTGTTTGACAGCCACCGCGTAGGGTCGAGAACACGAACGAGCGGATGGCATCGGCCAAAATTAACGAAAGCAGACTAAAAGCAGCAAAGAAAGTCGTGTCAAGGCGAATAAAAAGAGGGAAGAAGCCTCGGAAGCTTCGGGCGAAGCATATTGCTGTACGCGATAAAAATGATTGGGAGGCGGCAAGTCTAACGAGCTGAATCCGTAGATCACAAGAGCAGCCTTCGATGCGCGACTCTTCAGCAAGCTCGCCCCCCCTCGCGACATGTTGCTGCAGGTGAGGCTTGGGCGCCTGTCTGTTCAAGGTTAGACCCAGGGAAAATGGCAAAGTCTCTGGTTCAGCCGCAGCGCCAAACCGAATGCGGTTTGCGTTGAGGACGCCCGTCGCTGCAGGGCGTCCAATACATCAGAATGAAAGCTTCGTATTCGAAGCGCATACCCGAAACCCTCTCCCGCAAGGGGTAGTGTAGATGTTGTTACCTTCTCGTTCGCAGTGTAGAAAGCTAACCTCTCAGGTTCCCTTCCTCGGCCTGGACAGCGAATTGGAGGCAACTTCGACAAAACACGGATTACCGTACCCGAGCCTTCCTTAAACTTACCCAGCACGAACCCACCGACTCCGTAGGCGTCTCAGTACCGAACGTAAGCGCAGATTTGACATCGGAAACGATAAAAATGAAATTAGGGTTCACCTGGGCGTAATACTTCCTACAGCAGGCGAGAAAGACTGCGCCTCCACAAAGGTAGGTAAAGGTAATTGGATGCTGAGTGATAAAACGGAGCGTAATCCGTATTGCGAACGGAAATGGCTGTGCATGGCCAATCTTGACCAAGTTCATTGTTTTTACTTTTCCACGATTGCTTCAGCTTTCCTTTGAACTTCTCGTTGAGCATCTATCATATTTTCCCAATAACATAACCGCCAATAACACAACCGCCTACGTAGCATGGCTAGTGATTTGCAGCAGTCACGCAAGCCTGCTGGTGTTTCCGGACTTCTCGTCCAAGAAAGCGGCTGGTGTGGCCCTGTACTACCTTCGGTGTGGCCCATCCGCGAACATGAAGGGCGCGCCCGCACCAAATATCCAAAATCACAACGACTTCAATCCGAAGTCACACGGACGGCAATTCTAACGCTCGGCGAGTATGGAGAGCACTCGGTGTCCCGTTTGCTCACTGTCGTGCCCGGCCGAGTTGGCAGTGTCGTCTTCTACCGCCCGACGCCTGGACGGACGACAGGGCGGTGCGTGGGCTGACAACTGCCGACAGTGGAGCCCGCTCCAGTGCTAAAGCTTGCAAGACCCGCTAAACGAGCCCGCCTACCTGATTTCCCCGCGGGGTCGCTCAGTGGGTGGTGTATCCGTCCGGCGTCTCGGCTTTCGTTTCCCCAGGACTCTCCGATCTCATGAAGCACGGATGGAAATCTTGACGAATCACAATGCGCCAAACCCTCGTGCACCTCTTGCCCTCAAGTGCCTCGGCAATATTATTGACCCCACAGCAGTGCCCCGGGGATAGTCCCCGATACCCTATTCCGAGTCGCCTCGTTGTCCGGTTGCCGACGATTCATCCCGTATCTTGATGCAAACAAATGTTAACTATCTGAGCGATTGCCCGTTGTCGCTTCAATCTGTGTCAGCCTTCGTCACGCGCACCTAGCCCGCAACCTCGAGGCCCGAAGTAATCACAACACGATGGCGGTTGAACGGCTCGGCTCCATTCTCAAGCACCTGTCGCCCGGCAGTGCGCTATCGCAGATGTAAGCTGGCCTACTTGGGGGTGCCCCAAATCGCCCGTCATTTTGGTACCGCCTCCCAATGAATGCTGACGCCCATCCCGGCAGCACATCCAAAAATGCCGACGACATCGTCATAACTCTCGCGATCCGAACCCCTCTCGCAAAAGCCCGTAAAGGCAGCTTCAAGGATACGAGCCTTGAGTACCTCGTCTATGCGCTGCTAAAGGAGGTTAAAGATCGCAGCAGCCTCGACCCGGCCGTTGTCGAAGACATCTGCCTGGGCAATGTGTGTTGCGTCCCCTGCCCCTTCCTTTCCCTTCCCCTTTGTCCCGAGTTCCGAGCCACGGCGACTCAAGTCCGGAGCTGACGCCGCACTCTCCACGCCCAGGTCTCGGATGGCAAGGCTGCCTACAAGCTTCGCGCGGCCGCGCTGGCCGCTGGCTTCCCCAACACGACAAGCTGCTCGAGCTTGAACCGCTTCTGCTCGTCCGGCCTCAAGGCCACCGCCGACATCGCGCACGCCATCAGCAGCGGATCCATTGGCGTTGGCATCGCCATCGGCGCCGAGCAAATGACCATTGGCGGCGACGCGCTCGAGGCGCCCTTCGACGACCAAGTTACCAAGCACTCCCAGGAGTCCGTCGACTGCATGGAGCCCATGGGGTGGACCAGTGAGAACGTCAGCCGTGACTTTGGCATCACGCGCGAGGAAATGGACAAATATGCCGCCGAGAGTTTCCAGCGAGCCGAGCGCGCCCAAAAGGCTGGTCTGTTTGACGACGAGATCGCCCCCATCAAGACCCGGATCAAGGATGCCAACGGCGAGTGGAAGGAGGTCACCGTCACCAGAGACGAGGGTATCCGGCCGGGCACCACGGCCGAGGGGCTGGGCAAGATCAGAGCCGCTTTCCCGCAATGGGGCCCTACAACCACCGGTGGAAATGCCAGCCAGGTCACTGATGGGGGTAGGCTGCACCAATCTCCTCTCCCACATCCCCTTTCAGCGCGGCCTGTTGGAATGCTAACACCTGAACCGTACAGCTGCCGCCGTCATCCTGATGAAGCGCTCCACCGCCGTCAAACTCGGTCAGCCAATCCTTGCCAAGTATGTTGGGTCGACTGTCGCCGGCCTAGCGCCCCGTATCATGGGCATTGGCCCGACCGTTGCCATCCCCAAGCTCCTCTCCCAGCACAACTTGACCCTCAACGACATCGATGTCGTCGAGATCAACGAAGCCTTTGCTAGCATGGCCGTGTATTGCCGCAACACGCTCGGCCTCGATTGGGCCAAGCTAAATCCCCGTGGCGGCGCCATCGCGCTGGGCCACCCCCTTGGTGCTACCGGCACCAGACAGATCGTCACTGGCCTGAGCGAGTGCAGAAGAACAGGCAAGAAGATCCTTCTCACGAGCATGTGCATTGGCACTGGCATGGGTATGGCAGGGCTTTTCGTGAATGAGCAATAGCGTGATTGGCATATACTGCTTGGAATATCATAACCTTTTGTGTAGAGCTTTGTATATAGGTTGACAAAATGCAAGAAAGCCTTCGAATGTGCTAGAAACTTGGATAGGTCCAATCTTTAATTGCGTCACTGCAGAAGAAAAAGATGTGAAATGGGCCGACGTACCCCCAACTACCTATCCCAGTAGATCTAGGAATGCGGCACCCAACTCCTGTTATATGGACTGGCGATTTATCTTCTAGGCGGCTTCAGCTAGGTAGGTACCTATCCATGACCATTGTACAGCACCTACTAACCCTAGAAGCCGATGGAATCTCTATCTGTATTAAGACGCCTCTATCATGTTCATTGGGACTTGGTTGTGAGGCTAGAGAACGGAGCTGAACTTAACAGAGCGAGCAAAACTATAACTCAATAGTTTTGTCCTTAATCGTTGTGCGTACTAGCTGAAATAAACAAAGCGATGAGCATATTGGCTCAAAGGCGCAATAGAAAGCCTATCAGGCCACGTCAACCACGACTACCTAGTCGATAGTTTTGTTTAATCTCTTTGTTGATTTCATGATGTTGAATCTCTCCTACCTATTCCTGGCAATATCCAACGGCGCATTCATGATGTGGAGATGATAACTAACGAGCCCCCTCAAAATACAGAGGTCCGCGTTGGGTTATTTTTAGTCACACGAGGGCCACGTTGGACTCGGCACCGGAACTGGCGGCACTGGTTAAACTGACATTGAGTAAGCTTAGAAGAGAGAATGGGGAAGAGACACAGGGACAGGAATGCAACGTAACAATGGAATCATGATGGCCATCTGCATTGTTTTTCGCCGCCACACCAGAGGTCGAAGCCACGACTGGGCTGCCCCCTGAATAGTTATTCAAGATTGCAAGACTGTGTAGGAAGTACGTGGCCCCGATGCCCCGATGGTAACTGCCTATCAGCGACTTGCTGAGGCATTTAGCAATATCTCGCAGCTTGAGAATTGATTAACAGAAGTACAACACATGTACATGGAACTGGAAGAGACATACGACAGAAAGGGCTTACTTCTCAAGGCGGACTTTTGCACCGCCCAAGGGCGTTAAAGGCCTCCGCCGCCGATATTAGTAAAGGCATATCTAGACTGAACGGCAGCTGCACGTAATTAGCTGCTAGTCAAAATCTTACTCATCTGCTCAAAATCAGCAATATACTTGGCTGGCGCCTCCGGAGTCCCATTGTGCGGACTCTGCTCAAAACCAGGTCCCGAGAGCATCTCGTGCAGTGGAGTTTAATATCCGGCAGAATATGGTAAATATATGTCCGCCACGTCAGGATTCAACCCACCGGGTGTCGCTTACTTCTCAGCGCTTCGTAAACAATGTAATCTAATTAAACTACGTAGCTAGACGTCTGAGCCACAGGATAAGTATAGTACCGGTCTGTGAGTTGAGCATGCAGTCAGCCTGCGTCAACTGCCCAGGCGCCTAGTGAGGCTGAATACCATTCCAGGATACTTTGAACGGGGCTTGCTTGCACGAACATTTCGCGACGTGATTATGTACACTGGCGGTCAAATTCCAATTCGCCTCTCTAAAATATGGTGATGGCTCGGAGGGTGGGCTTAAGTATAAAAGAGGGATATTCGCCGATTCTAAACTCGAGAGTCATCTCCCATCTCTACCATCAAAGCCCTCACTTCATCCAGTCCGAAAATATCCAAAAAAAAAAAAAAAAAAAAAAAAAAACGCACCCAGTTATTCATCAGAATTCATCAGCCATTTCATCTCAAGCAATCGCCAACAATATGCTGTTCAAATTTGCCACCATTGCCATGGCACTTGCCGCCACCCAGGTCCTGGCAATTCCGGCCCCGGCGGCTGATGCCCTGGATGCTGGCGACGACAGCCTCATCATCATTGAAACCCTGGAGTTGGTTGACGGTACCATCACAATCTATGGCTCCAACCCAGCCTTCTCAAACGTGACCGAGCTGTCGTCCACCTCGCGTTTGGCTCGGCGGTGCGGCAGCAACGCCGTCAGCTGCGACGGAGGACACGCCCCCGCGCTCAACACGTGCACTGAACTCGTCAACCGCGTCAGGACCAGCACCCTCACCCTCAACAGCTCGCCTCGCTCCGTCTGCCTCAGCCGCAGTGGCAAGAACTGCTGCATTAGTTGGTCAAAGGACATTGGTTCTGTCCGCGAGGCGGACCTGTTCAACGCCGGAAAGAATGTTCTCGATCGATGCGTCGGAGAAAATAACTCAGGTCTCGCTCGAGATGTGTCGATTAATGGCAACTGCCTTACCGAGTGCCTGTCTGACCGGGCAACGGGATGCAAGTAGGCTGGTTCGGAGTCCTGAGTGAATCGAACTTGACCTTGGGCCAATTTTCTGTTTAAATGGGGTGCCAAAATTGGATGGGAACAGGATCGGAATGAAGGATATGGAGAGGTACCTGGTTAAGTAGATGTGTTGATTTTGAGAAACGCCGAGTTTGGAAGATATTTTGTGTAGCAATGGCGGCATTGTCACCGAGATATTGAACTGTGAATAATAGTTCTAATAAATCCCATGTAAAAACAGAATCCCAGCCAAATGACCCAAATCTCCGTGCTAGAATCATCATACCTTGATTAGAGGTACATTAGATTTTAGTTGAAAACTAGAGCAATGGAAGTTACTGTGCTGCATGGTCTAACATACCCCCTTTTGCTTGTACGGTTCCGGAATCACAATACATGCTGGGCTCAGATACTCATATTTTTTGGGTTGTTTTGGATAATTAAGGTAGCTGTTTACAGCCCTGCTCTTGACAACCTCGTAAAGACATGCCCTATCTTGTAATTGGTTACAGAGCAATCTGGCCTCACCCTAGCAAAGTATTGTGATTGCAAATTACAAAGGATATATTGATTGTGGTGAGAGAGTCAGTAATGATATAATATCACTCCGTTGCAAAATTACAGGTAATTATTGTCTTCGAGATGCCTAACAACTTGAACAAACTCATTGACTAGAGTAATATCTCATAGGTGTATTAGCAACCCAACCTAGGGGAGGAAAGAACAAGTAATATTAGTTCTTCAAGCATTCGCAACTTACAGTCCATCTCGCGGCCAGTATCAATACCACAACTCTGGCAAGCCGACTCGATAGACGACTCGCTGACCGACTGGCCGCTGAGCTTCTCCACGGCCGAGACAGCCTCAGAGACGCTGAGAGTGTCGTCGCCGTCATCATCGCCGCCAAGGAAGGCCCTCTTAATGTCGTCTTCAGATGCCTATTATTAAATAGCGCAAATAATTGGTAACCGGCCAGAACAATCATATTGACGGCTTCATTGGATGAAAAATTCTGCACTCGTCTATGATGCAACTCACCATGATGGCCAAAGAGTAAATGTCGATCTCTGCTGATAAAGCTGCGAGGCGATGTGGCGAGTGTGCTCCGGTGTGGAGATGTGCCCGCTTCTTGGGTTGACGGAGGAGCAGACTGTTGGGGAGGGGTAAGACGGGTTGGTTTGCGACGAGGACGTGGCCAAATATATACGGAGGCTTGATACGCCCGCTGCAACATCACGCTATTGGGTTATTCTCGGGGCGGGGGAACTCGATATGCGAGTCGCACACTTCAGGAAGCCCAGTCACCCACAACTCGTAGAGAAGGGTGACGGACGTAACTCTTGCCACGCAAGCGCACCAAACTAGAGACTACGAATAGTCAAGACCAGGACAGCTTCCCTGAACGAGAAGCTTCCTTGACCCATTCGATTTGAACCGAGTGGAATATACTAAAAACGCTTTCTTAGTACGCTCCAATACAACCCACAAAGTGGGCATGGCATTCCGCCACAGTAAAACCCTCAAAGTGTATCAATAAAGCTGCTTGCAGTAATGGTGAAGTTGAACCATTCCTTGTACCCATCTAATTTGACCCGGACTCTTTCGCTTCTTGGTAGGGAGGACATCATGAAGCTATTCCTTTACGCCTGCGGAAGCTTCAAATGTTCCGCATTTTGATAATATTGAATGCAATTTCGAATGAGTTGGCCTTGTTTTAAAGCGGCATCCTCAAAGACAGATGACCTTGTCCACAGAATTCGTCTGGGCCGCAAGTTCGTCCTATCTCCTTGACGGCAGGTGGTCCAGACATGAGATGAACTAAGAAGTGTTAGTGAATTGGCGCATGGAGCGAAAGACAGGGAATGGTAACACCTACATCAGTCCCGACGACACCCTGGTTAGACAAGTATCTTGCCATCCCCCTGATCAGCTCAATCTGGTCATCCACTGTCAGGCCTGTGATGGCAGTTTCCATCACCCCTCCCAGCGAGGCCGTATAGGTGGCGATGAACGTGTGGTAGTAAATGAAGGAAAAGAGACCCATGGTGAACTGGCAGTCCATACGGTCCGTCATGCCGCCGTGGCCAGGGATCGAATCGCCAAAGTCCTTTATCTTAAAAGTGCGCTTTAGCCCCGAGGCGAAGAAACCGCCAAATGGCGCGATCAACGAGGCAAATGTCGCCAGGCACAGGGTGTGAATCTGCATGGGTGCCATTGTGATGCTAAATGCCCTGCCGGGGAAGAGCTGCGGGGTGGTGTATGTGCGCGGGATGAAGACTGGGTTGGGCACGCAGTCTAGACCCGTGAATATGTTGGCCCCAAGGTCCGTAGCTGGGCAGATGAAGTACTTGGATCGCAGTAACAGGTTCGTGAGCACCACGCCAAAGAGAACGGTCATGATCCATGCGCCAACGAAACCCTCGACCGTTTTCTTAGGCGACAACTTGATGAGCTGTGTACGGCCGAATGTTATGCCACAGATGTAGGCAAAAATATCGTTGGTGATGACCAGGGCAGCGGGTAGGAAGAACCATATCATGCCTTCGAGCACGTTGTTCATGATAAAGTGCGCCTGGACCACAATGAGGAACAGTGCCATATGTGTCCACCCAAATTGGGAAAACTGGAATTTGAGATGACCGGCCTTGAGCGAGCTCACGAAGAACACAAATCCTGCAGCTCAAATCAGCCGGTAAAGTCATGATAAGGATGAAAGGAGCGAGGCATTAATCTCCAGGAAAGCAGCGCGGCGGGCACGGAGGCGAGTCTGAGGGAGAAGGGGCCATAATAGTCGAACAACGATGTAGGGACGTACCAAACACGTATAGAATGAAGCTGATGAACCGATGGTGCGTAGCCAGGGGTAACAAGACCTTGTTAACCAGGACAATGTGCTTGAAGTAGTACACGACGCTCTCTCCGTAGAGGAAGTACATGGTAGTTGCAAGCCAGTACCAGTTGAGGCTCTTGGAAGACTGCAGATCGCGGGCACGGCTCGGCACGCTCGCGATGGCGATGACCTCCTTGAACGAGACAACCTGTATTGTAGTTATTATTAACAAGATATAGATGTGGCCCATGAAAAGCGCTGCGAAGAAGCCCCCAATCATGACGAAGGTCCAGAAGGTCCGCTGTATGAAGTTGGCCTTCTTCTTCTCGTATTCGGCAGCCCTTTGTTCTTCGGCGGTGGGAGGCTTCTGCAAAGAACCATCAAGTCAGCACCGGTGTAAATCTTTCCTCGCTTCTTGGAAATATTAGGGGCCGGATGGATCGCGCACCTCTTGGATACCATCAAGGGTTGTAGGCGACTTTGGCTTGACTGGTGATCCTTCCTCGCTGACATCGCTAAAGCTGGACCGACGGCCGTCGCCGCCAGTCGCAGGACCGCTCGTGTGTTTGTGGGGGAATTTAACCCCGCGGCGAGACCTTCCCGTCATGGTTGTCGTCAACTGACAGCGCCAAAGGCAGAGACTGCTTGTATATGTGGAATATCTATTGTCTGGCGTCCGAGGCCGGTGCTGTTGTCTGCTGGCGCCGGGTAGTCCGGAGCACAGGCGGCGATCGGGTTTGGAGGATGCGCAGGTGTCGAGCTTTGCGGCAGGCTACCAGTAAATTTTCCGGCGGCAGCTGCAGCGGCTGCGGCGACGTCGTTAGCAACGAGATGGAGTTGTATCGCTGGGGAGTGAGCGGAGTGTCCTGTCGACGTCGGATGGTTGCGAGTTGTGGCCGGCCAAGAGTCAACGGGACAAAAAGCTTCCGGAAAGTGGACGACGCGCGTGGACCGGACAGTGGTTGATTGAAATTTAGGTGTGCTACGTCAATGGTGGCTCGGTCGGGGAAGAATACCCAGTCAAAAGGTGGAGCAGGCCAAGCTTGGGTCTGCGCCTCGAAAGCCGCTTCTTCTTGTATTGTAGGGATTACGTACCGTACTTGACTGGACTTGCCGAGTACGTAATACGCCAATTCAGTTGTAATCTATGAAATGTTACGACGACCGGACGAGGGGTTCTCAGTTTGGGAAGACAAATACGGCACGAAAACTCAAGGTAATTTCCCAAGTAATTGACCGCTCCTGCCCAAGGAAATCACGTTTCCTCAAGAGCAGCAACGGCGAGCTATATGTATTTGCTGTTTCGTTCGTCCTTGCTCTGCAGGCGGTCATGCAACTCTGCAATTCGCAGCTTCAGAAGATCCGGATCAGTACGAGCCTTGGCGCGCGCCTGGCTACTGAGAGGAGCCGCCGCAAGGCAACGGCGGGTGATTCTACGACCGAGACCCCGAACCGGAACCTGGCTGAACTGTTGATCCGAATGTCCTGTGCCCCACCTTTGTCTCTCGCGTGGAGTCCAGACCCCTGCTCGGCACCCACCACGCCTAGGCGCGTCACTGAATCGCACCGTGGGGCTAATAAGGTTCTCGACAAACCCCACGCACGCCTGAAAAAGACTGTCCTCGATTGGGCAGTTGTCGCGCTACATTTTGCTTTTGTACCCCCTCGTTTTGCTTTCGCATGTTTGCTTGGTGCTTGAGCTCGACCTAGAAGGGCGTGGAAAGCTCGAGGGTCCTTTCCAATGGCATGGTCGTTACACGCGCTGGACGCAAAAAGCGGCCATGGACGAGTACTCGGATGATGGGTTCGACGACTTGAACGACAACACTCTGCAGGAACTCGAAAACAACGCTATCCAGTTTACGCAGGCCCAGAAACCCGCTCAATCGCAATTTGCACCTCATGCCCAAGCTGAGGCCTACGGATTTGCCTTGGACGACGACGATTTGGACGACACTGTTGTCATTGACGAGCTTGCCGGGCCCTTACCTCGTCCTCACCCCGGCCACACTCTACCGCTCCAGCAACCCCGGGTTCTCGCCAGTCTCGCCGGCCAGCAGTCGCGACCCTCATACCCCCCTCGCCCGAACTACCCGTCTCCGTCGAGGCCCGCCCCGCGTCCTCTTTTGTCTCAGCGATACCCCGCCCGCCCCGCGCCTCAGCCGTCGCAGTTTGCGCGTCCTCCCGTCCCCATCCCTCGGCCATACCAGATCCAGCCATCGCAGGCGCTACAGGGTACAGCGACAGGCAATCAGAACGACGTGATAACTGCTCTTCAAGCCCGTCTATCTGTCCTCGAGGCCGAGGCGACTGCGGCCAGGGGTGAGGCGGCCATCTTACGCTCCAAGTTCGATAAGGTTCAAACTACCCACGATGCCGAGGTAGCGCGCCTGAAGAAACAAAGTGCCGAGCAAGCTGTAGAACAGAAGCGGCAGGTAGAAGCCGCGAAGGTCGCGGAGCGCACCCTAGCAACAGAACTGCATTTCGTACGCCAGGATAGAGAAGAGCTGGGGCGGGTTAAAACAAGGAAGAGGGATGGCCCTACGACCCCCAAGAAGAACAAGGTTTGGGGACTGGCCGATGGTTTTGATGGCATTGAGATCATGTCGAGCCCAACACGGGGCGAGGCGCAAAAGAGGAAGGACTCTTCCTTCACCATCCCCCCCGTTGAGCGCACGCCGACCAAGGGAAAGAGGAAACGGCCTGCCGTCGATAGTCCAACTTTTGCTCTCGAAACTCATTCGGAAGAATTAGGACTTGACGACATGCGGAATGGCGCGGAGCCTGCTGCACATAGCGACACGTCGAGCGTCTTGCCTTATGATGTAGGTCCTCCGGCCATCCTACCCTACATAATATGTTTGCTGACCATCTCATCCTAGTTTCTCAAACTGGTCCTAGACCACAGCGCCCTCCACGGCCAGTCTCTGACTTTCGATCTCTTGTCGCGCTTTGCGTTCCCCTCGACTCCCTTGGAAACCATTGCTTCTGTCATCTTCCAGAAGTTGCCCCAGATGGGTAGCTCTCGAGAACCCCTCCGCCTGCTCGCCGACTTTTCAGAATTCATGATCGATTTGTGGCAACAGTGCTTGTCGGAAAAATACCACGCGCCAATATATTATCTCGCTGCGTTGGTTTCGTACACGTTGCAGCTCAACACAATTGCCGTGGCCCCTCATGTCATATCGTCCTTGATTCCGCTCTGCACAACAACGTGCCGCCTGGTGGCGCTCCCTCGGTTTAATAGCGTGGATGGGGATATCTCTAATCATCCGGATCAGATCGTTCGGCAACTATATTCTGACATTGACGTCACTCAGTGCCTATCACTCTTGTATCTAGCTGCGTTGGGCTGTTTCCCATCACCTTCCGAGGGTTCGGATATGGATCCCCCTTTGGAGTACTTCCATCAAGTTCAGTTTTGGAAGTCCGTCGAGCTCGAATTCATTTTGATGATGCTCTCGCCGAAGCATCCCGAGCCAGATTGGTTCGGGGCGCTCTCCCTTTTGTGGACTTCGGTGCTTCCCCATAGCATTGGGCCCATACCAAATTCGCTCTCAACGACTCACTATGCAAACGGCCGGGCCGAGGCCGAGACACCCGAGTCCATCGCCAACATGATCATTGATCGTGTCTCGTCCTTTCTCGCCGAGTCACCTCGGTGGGCGACACCGGGTTCGGCACAGCAAGTCAACGTCCGATCGGCTGCGCTGAGAACTATGATGGTGTTCGCTACGAGCCCCTTTGGAGCCATGCATATTGCCAACAGCGAGGTTGCAATCCCTCGCCTGGTCACTGTCTTGTGCTGGGCTATTGATAGGCTATACGACATGGATGTACAACTTTCTCTGCGAAGAATTCCCGATATTCGCGCCGGCAATGATAGACCTGGGGTCAAACTGGGGGATAGCATGGAATGCAGAGTCCAGGACCGGGAAGAAACACAGGAAATGCAGATGGATCTAGACGATGCTGCGCAGCCGGTACCGAGGGACCCTGACGTCATGGAGGCCGAGACCTGCCGCGACGATGTTGCCGAGTACGACATGCATAGGCTTCTTTGTCGTTTCATTGCACAGGCAATGCTACTCCTCCACACACTCGTCACAGACTCGCGCACCGCGAATATCGTCAACATGACGGCAAAGCTGGCAGCATCTCATGGCGGTGCGCAGCGGTATCTTCTTACATTAGCGCGGCTCAATTTTGCAGAAGAAGACCTCATTCTAGAGGCTGGCATTGACGCCGACACCGTGGAATTAGCCCATGAGCTGCTAGAGCTTGCCGTAACCCCCGACGAGGGGGAGGGTGTTGGCGAGCTGTTTGTATGAGACAGGCTCTAATCATCTTGACGTGATATTAGAGAGCCGTGAATATATGCTTATACTTTAATACTGGTTTCTTATATGACGTACAGATAAATACACACTTCAGCATTGGCCGGTGTATTGACTACGCCTATCATAGACTCCGTAAATGGAGCATATATATTTGAGCATTTATATTGAAACGATAACAGATTACCATTAATATCCCCAATTCTTATAACCCCAAAAATTTGTTAAAAACCAGAACCATCCCCAATATCGCTACTATATATCACTCATACCGCAACCCCTGTGGAAGTCCCTCCTTGAGGCAAGCCTTATTGAAGCCGACGAAATATAACATACCGCAACCCACTTCAATCAGCTACAAAACCTGGGTGAGGACTTGGTCACATAATGAAGGCAGCTAATCGGCTCCCCATCAGCTCGCTCTTGGGGAGCTGAACGTCTTTCTTGTCAAAATCATGCAGCAGCAGCCAGCAGATCATGCGAAAGACGAGAGCACACCAGATAGTGTGGCGCCGGATCTCGGTCGAGGTGGGCGGTATCTTCCGCCACGACTCGGCGCGGCTTCTCATGGTGAAGCCGGTCTGGCGGCGACTGTGGGCAGGGAACTGACTTCCCGAATCGGGTGACGACTGGCTACGGGGCAAGGATGGCGTTGGTGTAGCAGCGGCATTTGTTGGCTCCGGAGCCCTGCCATCGTCCTCTTCGCGCTCTTCTGCCAGGGCCTGTTGTTGGACCCCGAGCGGGTTGGGGTTGGTCCCCTCCTGGCTGTGGATGAGACGCGATGCCTCGGCTGCCTGTGGGTCGTGGTGCTGTGCTGACGTGCTCACGGTACGCAGACGCACCTCGTCAAAGTACTTGTCCATCAGAGAAGATTCGCGCTTCTCGTGGGGCACCTTGAGCAAGTCATCAAACGAGATATCTCCCTTGATGATCTCCTGGTCACCGTGCAGATTAGGACGCTGTCTCACAGACGCCACCGAGCTAGCATCGCCTGGTTCAATGTCTCTCAACGACGTGTTGATGGCAAGCAAGACCTCTTGGACGTGCCGGCGAAGGACATCGAGAACAACGTCCTTGGCGTTGCGCTCTTCGCTCAAAACCGACTTATCGACGTCGTTGATGACCTTGTGCAGGCCGTTCAATAGGGTCGGAGAAAAGTCGCCGTCTTGTTGGGGAAGCTCGCGGTTGAGCTTGCTGGCGCGGTTGGAGATTTCCACGAGGGCGTCCGGGGGCGCGTAGCTGGCAAGCTCTATTTCGTCGATCAGTCGAATGCTGAACTCCTTCAGGAGTCTCCGCAGCGAGAAAGCCTGCTTGCTGAACGGGAACACGGCTGGGTTGGGCAGATACGTGAATGCCCTGTCTTCCAGATGGAGCGGTCGAGCCAGCATGCCCATGACTTCGAAGATGACTGACATTTCGGGCAGCGAGGGATTGGGGTTAGCGGCATGAAGCACAACCCCCGAGAGGCTCGCTGGGCGTTACGGGGTATACAAGAAAGGTGACTAACCTGGGAAAAGGTGGACATGTTTCTTGGTGTCTTCGGAATAACACTGGGTCGTGTATTCGTTGCAACGCAGGAGACTCAGGGTCTCGGCAATCTCGACGCGGCTCCCCAGCTGAAGCGTCTTGAGGTCGGTCTGTTCGTTCACCGGTTGCTTCCAGTGCTCGTCTTCGATTTCGGGGCGGTAGAAGGTGGGCACGTTGCCAAAGCAGAGCTCCTTTACCTCGGCGGTGGGAATGACGCGGTTCTTGTCGAACCGTGGCCATCCCGGCTTCTCAAAGGTAAAGGCCAGGCCCAGGTCGGGCATGCGAAGGCCCAGCAGACTGTAGCCGTTGCCCTCCGCGCGGTACTTGTTGTTGTCGCGGTCAAACTCCTTCCAGTAGATGCCCAGGACGGCGCACAGCTCGACGAGGTGGCAGATGGTGGTAGTGGCAAATGGTTTCTTGATGGTGGGGTGCTTCTCGAAGCTGCGCCTCATGGCCTGGATGTTAATGGACAGCGTGACGACACGGTCATCGAAGGCCGGGAGTTGCATTCCGGTCTGGTGCCACTTCTCCCTCTCCCATTTCTTGGAGTCGCCTTCCATCTTCTGGGCGGCTTCGAGGACGCGTATCCAGGTGGCCAGCTCGTTCTTGACGGTGTGCACGGGCTCGCGGGTGAGGCCGGAGCGGCTCCGCGATGTCTTCCTGAGCGCGGCCGTCTCGGGGTCGCTTGGCAGCCTCTTGACCCTCGTCTCGTCACGGCTTTCGTTTGTGCCCTTGACGAACCAGATGGGGGCGCCCTCGACGGGGCCCTTTGTGTTGTTACTTGGGGCGAGGAAGATGATGGGGGCCTCGAACTCGACGTCGATACGGAAAAAGCCGCGCCACTTGAGCTTTGTGTGGTTGGCCCACAAGCCGGCAACCTCTCGGTCACGGCTCGCGAGCCCAGTCACGCGCGACATGACAGCCTGGACATATTGCAGCACGACGCCCAGCAAGGCCAGGGTCGAGATGACCAGGGCGGCGATAGCGACCTCGTCTGAGAGCGAGCCTGAATTGCCGCTGTTGCTCGACATGGCCGACTGCCGCCGTGCATATCCGTACTTTTAGCACGGATAGAGTACCTAAGCACTCAACCCAAGGCTTGGCTTGGTCTGGCGACTGGACGCCTAACCCTCGACAGTCATCAATGGCGCTGTGGGATTGAATTGAGCATGAATGTCCTTGGCGTCGCGGAGAGGTAAACAATAACAAACAGCACTACCACAATATAACCGGGCTAGTCACTCGACAACAAAATGCAGGCTCAAGACAGCGAAAAGAACGGAAGAGCGCTGGGAATTGGACTAGGTTCCGTGGAAGGACGGAATACATGGGGCGCACGATGCAGATTTGGGGCCCTCAAAAGCAATAATTAGTAACCAACTTGCCTGACGCGGTGCGACTGCACTGCGGGAGCGCCACGCGCCCACCACCCGACGACCTCAATGGAAGAAGCGGCAACAGAATAGCCCGCGGGAACTGGGCGCGTCCCACAGCTAGGCCCGGCCTGGCCATGCGCCTGAGGCTCATCAGAGCCTCGTGTTAATTAGCGATGGACTCCGGGCCTGCTTGTCACTTCCGCTTCCACTGCAGGCTGCAGCAAGCTCCCAGGGTGGGGGGGGGGGGGCGGGGGGGAGGGGGGTAGGGGGCCAAGGGGGCCACAGGTCAGCATCAGCTCGACAGGGGGCCATTTCGAGGCGCTGGCCATTATCTGCCTAAGGGTTAGGGTTACCAACCAAATCACCTCAGAAGTGACACCTCCAACCTTTGGTCTGGGGGCTGAGATATAGTGAAGGTACCTAGCAACCTGAGTAAGAATCTCCAGTAACGTCGGGCTTGCTCACAAATGTCCAACGATTTGCCTTATCATGCAAATTCAATGACCGCAAGAGCGTCAATACGAGGAAATGCCGACCCACACCATGAGTAGGTATGGATGAGTATGACTATGTCGACTCACGAGTCGGCGCCACAAGCTCAAGCGGCATTTCCACCCCATCAAGCTCCTCAACCATTCTGCCGTCTCCCTCGTACATCTTGCCACCGCAAGGACCGACTTCCAGCTCAGCAAGAATTCTATCCTCTGGTTGCAGCTCATGACGCCCCCCCACGGGCACGGATCTTGGGCGGAAAGGGGACTGCGATACGATGGCTTCCGAAGACTGTGCTCTAATCCGATGGCGACGTTGCAAGCAAAGACTGGCTAGCGAGGCAATCACCAACGCGCAGGCTGCGCACACTCCGACTGCGACCCCGGCAATCGTCTCACCACTCAGACGGCTCGAGCTAGACGACTCCCAGGTTACGGCACTGCCGCTAGGAGACTCCGAGTTCCAGGGTAGTCGGACCGATAATTCCCGGCGCTGTGGCTCTGGCCGACATGCTTGTTGCAGTCGAGGCTGTGAAGCAGGCAGACCCGGAGCGGCACGCGGGTATCGACTCCGACCCGCCACAGCCGAACCCGGCTTCGCAACAGAAAACTCCCCGGCAACATAGCTGATCTAAACCGCAACATCCTCCCCAAGAGGATATTCCTAGACATGAAGGTTTCGTTAGACCGGGAATCACTTTCGCACAAGGTGACACCAGGATAAGGAAGCCAAACGTGCCAGTGCCAGGGTGATTCAGCCCAAGAACGGAAAACCCCGTGCTAGGGGGGCAACTTGCAGGCGTCTGGCCTTCTATGGCTGTAACGTCGCGAGCGATGTTGGCGTGGGATGACCGCGAAGGCTTCATCGAAGACGTTGGTAGCGGTGAACAACTGCGGCTGATCTTTCGTTTAATTCGATAAACAGGATGGGTTGCTTAGCGCACCTTAGCTCTCAGTGTGCAGTTTACAGTGTGCAGTTTACAGTGTGCAGTTCGGGACGTAGCAGTGTAGTCCGGTAAAAGCTGCAGGCACGGCAGAGCGGCCAAACCTTGTCTGCGAAACTTGAAAACTTGGCGGTAAAATGAAGTTTGCTTGCCAAAAGACTTGGGCGGACTACCGATATACCAGTGCAAATGAAATACCCAGATCTAGTTTTCTAGGTTCTCGGTCCGAGGCCTGATGCAAGGCCGGTTAATGCGCAAACCTTGACACAGCCTTGTCTAGCTCAGCAACAGCTCTTCTCACCGCATCCATCGGATCACCATCCTGTGCTTGTTGCGGATCCGCATCAAGAAACCAAGCCTTCTCAAAGAGATGGTGCTGACCTTTGGCCATACAAAGGACCGCCGCTTCATCCCCCAGCCACTCGGCTACATCCGCGCAAACATCTGGGCTTACGTCTGTGTCCTTGTCTCCTTGGATGAATACTGTCAATGGCCAATCGTTTAGCTTAGATTTCTGCAACTCCTCCCTAGCCCATTCGAACCCAGGATCAACGCTGCTGACCAAGGCTGGATACATATTCTCGTAGAGATAGTAATCATAGAGTAAGCCGCGGTTGATATCTTGAGACTCGCTAGCGGGGGACGGAGGCCGGAGGGGAGGCTGAAAATCCGGGTTCCTCGCCCCACCGGGAAGTAGCTTGTCGGTGAAAAAGATTGCTGCGGCATCATATGGGCTCATGCCAACCGAAATTGGCTCAGAGACCAGGTGCTCTACGTCCTCTTCTCTGATAGGTTCAGGCGGTATCAGGGTCGAAGAGTTGAAGAAGGCGTGCTGGAACGTGGGGATCCCGGTGATCGAGAGCAACGCAATGGGCTTGGGATTTAGATGGTGGGCTATGATGGCAGCCAAGAAGAACCCTGATGGGAATTAGTTATTGGAATGATCCAAAGGCCAAGAGTCCATGGATTAGATGCCAGGATGAGAAGGGTCAATGGTTACGAACCAGCACTGGCGCCGCCCACAACGACGTTTCGCGTATTTCCTTTGGAGCTGGCCCCGTACACGCGGGCAAACTCGTAGGCATCTCTTGCATCGTCAACCAGCCCATCGCCGTCGACTTGAGGGAGCAGACGGTAGCTAGCGCTCACAAGAGGCCATTTTCGTTGATAGCAGGTCTGGGACGAAGGGCATTGGATTAGAATGCCGCCATTAGTTATCTTGGGCCCTTGGTCGTGTGATACTAGAGGTGATGAAAAATTATCCGTACATACCTGGACAAGCCAGGGAGGTACCATGCTCCTCGACCCGCACACGAGGCCGCCCGAGTGGAAGAAGAGGAAAACCGGGTTGTTGACGGGGTAGTCGCCGGCTTCGTAAACGTCGCATTTGAGCGGAACTTGGTGAACAGCATATAAGTGCGTTGACTTTTGAAGTGGCGCCGTAGGAGGGGTTGTGAGAGACGGGAGAGAAGACATGACAGACACAACAACGAGTGTATGTCTGGATGATAAACTTGAGCTAGGGTGCAAAGCACAGCGGACTAGAGGATTCTAAGTGTAGAAATTCGTACTGATTAATCGGCGGGGAGTGTTGGCGATGGCTGAGTGATCTTGGATATAGGCTTTGTGGTATGCCTAGGTAAGGTAGGTAAGTCAACGGAGATATCCGGACTCTTTGGTTCAGCCTGTGCTCCGTCGTAAGTCGGCGGGGCCGACATGACAGCTGCGACAAACCCCACCTTTTTTGCCTTCCCAAGACCACTTTCCAACAGCCCCACATGTCATGTGGGGAAAGTCTCTCCAAGACACCAAGCCTCGAATCCGGCTTAGCGTCTGCCGGTCCCCAGATCCGATCGCTAGCTTCGCTTTGCCAAGAGCACCCGCCCGCCGCTCTCCCGTCTGAAATGTGCGCCAGATTGCCAAACTTCGAAATATTCGCCCCTAGTCTAGTCGGTTGCACAACACGGAAAGGACGCACCGGCACGGACAAAACCGACCTTGCGAGGCATAGCGACACCAAGAACCGCCAGGCGAGAAAGAGCGCACGAATAGGACATACACGGGACGATAAAGACAAGGTCTCAATTTTGGCGGATGGGCTGGGGGATTGAAGCAAAACGGGCAACGGCACTCTCACCTTGGCACTCGAAAGCCCAGTGCCGGCTAACGGTTCTGCACGCCGGGTAGCCGCGGCTGTCGTCTGCCGCAACTTGCAAGCCCGAAGGGAGTGAAGGAAGTTTTCCTGCCTGCCTTAACTTACTAGTACCTAGGCTTTTCGGTCGTCGCGACGGAATACGGAGCGTGGCCGGCCCATGCCTTGAAGCTTGAAGCCACCCGAGCCGCACCAAACTCTGTCCCACCATGTCTTCCCGACAAAACCCTCCCCCATCCCGCGCGAGCCAAGGCCATGAACACGCTCCGACAAACCCAAGCGGCCTTCGGCAAAGTTACAACGCGTCGTCGTATGCCTCTCTCGGCGAAGCTGCCAGCCGCCGTGACAGTCCGCCCCTGTCTCCGACCTCACCGCCCCTAAACGTCCACGATGATGCCGTGCCGAGCCTCGCCCTGGCTGGCCCCAGCACCCCGCGTCGTGGCGCCCCGGCACATGCCACAGAATCTACAGCCTTGTTGAGCGGCGAGCTGGACTTTCGGGAGCACGTCCACGATGGCCCATGCAACCACGGCACCTTCTCCCCGCGCCCTGCAAGCCCGACTGCTAGTCTACACGCCGACTCGCACGCCCAGTCCGATTCCGAGTCCGACTCCTTTATACCATCCATGGACGGCATGCTCTCGGGCTTGTCGTCGAATAGCCACAAGGGCTGGAAGAAGCAGTGGGCCTCGAGGATGAAGAGCAAGAAGATGAGCACATCTAGTGTCCTGGCAGAACGCCATGGCATCAAGGACTCTGGGCTGATGTGAGTCTGCCTGCCTCGCCCCCCTCCCCATGGCTACGGACTGCATGATCCGCTGACGCCTCTTGCTATCGCCAAGGTATCTGTCATACTATCTTCCCGTGCTGGTGTGGGCACGCGAGTACAGCTGGTCCTACTTCAAGGGTGACTTTGTAGCAGCCCTGACGGTCGCCGGCATGTACGTGCCCATGGCGCTGTCCCTCGCTGACAGCCTGGCCCACGTACCGCCTATCAACGGCCTCTACTCTTTCGTCTTGAACCCGTTGGTTTACGCCCTGCTGGGTAGCTGCCCGGCCATGATTGTGGGCCCCGAGGCTGCCGGATCCCTGCTTGTCGGCACTGTCATCAAGTCGACTGTCGACCGCGGCAACGGCGACGACGATGACGCCGTCCTGCACGCTCAGCTATGTGGCATCGTTGCGGGAATGGCCGGCGCCATGGTCTTTGTTGCCGGCGTGGCCCGCCTCGGGTTCATGGACAGCGTGCTCTCTCGTCCGTTCCTGAGGGGCTTCATCAGCGCCATTGGCGTCGTGATTGCCGTTGACCAGCTCATCCCCGAGCTAGGCCTAAGCCGATTGGCCGAGGACAATGGTGTAGGCCACGGCAGTAGCGTTGAGAAGCTGCGGTTCATCTTTGGCAATCTGGACCATGTCCATGCCTTGACATTTGGAGTGGCTTGTACCAGCTTCGTTGTCATCATGGTCTGCCGCGAGATCAAACGTCGCCTGCAGCCGAGATATCCTGGCGTCGCCTACGTCCCGGACCGCTTTATTGTCGTTGTGCTATCGGTCGTTATGGCGTACTGGTTTGAGTGGGAGAAGGCGGGCGTCGCTGTTCTCGGCAAAGTGGAAGCCGCAAGCGGGCACCTATTTACCTTTCAGTGGCCGTTCAAACTGTCAAACATGACGCACATCCGGGACGCCACAAGCACGTCGTTTTTGATCGCCCTGCTTGGCTTCTTCGAGTCATCTGTCGCGGCCAAAAGCTTAAACGGAAACACCGCCTTTGCCGGCATTCAGTTGAGTCCAAACCGCGAGTTGGTAGCCCTGGGAGCAGCAAATCTCGTCGGAGCTTGCTTCATGAGTCTTCCTGCCTTCGGGGGTTATGGCCGGAGCAAAGTTAACAGGTCAACGGGTGGGAAGACCCCTATGAGTTCGATCATACTCAGCATCCTGACTCTCATCTGCATCCTGTTCCTTCTCCCTTATCTTTACTACCTTCCGGTAAGTCCAGCCCCGCTAGCCTTTCATGCCCCTCGTAGTTGCCGAGACAGTATTTTTTAACACGAGTAGAAACCCGTCTTATCGTCCCTGATAAGCGTTGTCGCCTGGTCCCTCATCGAAGAATGTCCGCACGACATATCCTTCTTCCTCCGGATTAGAGCTTGGCAGGAACTGGGACTCATGATGGTCATCCTGCTGTCGACTATCTTCTTCTCGCTTTCCTTTGGTATGGCTATTGGCGTCGGTCTATCCTTCCTCCAGGTCATTCGGCACTCGACGCGGCCTCGGATCCAAATTCTTGGCCGCATTCCTGGCACAAATCGGTTTGAGAACGCAGAGTCTAATCCAGACCGGCTGGAGTTCATCGAAGGGTGCCTAATCGTCAAGATTCCTGAGCCGCTGACGTTTGCAAACACTGGAGAGCTGAAGACAAGGCTACGAAGACTCGAGCTATATGGCACAAGCCTGGCACACCCCGCATTGCCCAGGCTAAGGAGGGAGGACTCAAACCACAACATAATATTTGACATTCATGGCGTGACTTCACTGGACGGCAGCGGAACCCAAGTTCTGGAAGAGATTGTCAGAGACTACCGCGAACGCGGGGTTCGCATATTTTTCAGCCGTATCCCTGCTCCAGATTCCGATGTATGGAGACTTATGGAGCGGAGCGGCATCATTGAGCTTGCTGGAGGAATGGACCACTTTGTCGACGACGTTCACGAGGCGCTGAAGATGACCGAGGTCCAGGAGATCGGCGAGCCAGGCCGTGCTTGACATCGGTCGCGAGGCGAGACTGACCGACTGACACCAAAGATATAGCCGATTGGAATCTGTGGTCATCATGGAAGCGAATTACGGGCTCTGAGCTACGCCGCGATGCCGTATACGGCGAGTTCCTCTGTGCTAGACTAGGGCCGCTTGGACATGGTCGAATGAACCCACGATGTCAAATCGGGTCCAGCTTTTAGATGTCTTGAATAGAGATGTTAGCATATGGTCACATTTCACATGTCATAACTCGCAAGAGACACCAAGATTGAAGAATGCAGGTTTGTATATATCATTTGTCAACTCTGAGCAGCGTGGGTACTGTTGGAGTGGGAAATGTGTGCATTGGCTAGCTAATTCTAGGAGGAAATCTCCCTACAAAACGTGTGGGCGAAATCTCCAAGGCGGGGCTAATGCCATGTGATTCATCACGTGTGATACAACCCCGCCATAGGCACTGGGATTGCGTGTCTAGGCTGGGTAATTTTCGCCCCGGTCTTATTCCCGGCGGCCCAACGTGCACGATACGAAGTACTTCGGTCAATCATGAAAAGAGCGGGACGGAAAACGAGGCAACCAGACAGGGGTCTTGCACAGGGCGCGCGCGTGATTTAGTCATGTTTCTTAGGTAATTCCATCTGTACGACCTCATAACGCCGTCGTAACCGATGTTGTCCCATCGCGGCTTCTGGAAGCTCGCTGGTTGGGGATTGGCCGCAGTACGGTACGTAGGGTAGTAACGTCCGGCGGGTCGCTGTTTCTTGATGTTGGTCATTGAACATTCATGCATCACACAAAACTGGGTACGTAGAAAAGGGGGCTGGGGCCATTTTACGGCATTCTGCACACTGCGAGTTTTCTTCCGGGTTCGGACTACGAACCCAGCAGAAAATCTTCGGAGGTAATGGTTCATGCATGGGGTGGATGGGAGCTTGTCGGGACCGCCAGCAACCATGCCGCAGAGCCGCATACCGACCACGGGTCACGTATTAATATGAACATGGGCATTTCCTGACTTCTTTTTAGGGTGGGATTCTGGTGGAACCCACGTAACCGTGTCTAGAACTTTTGAGTCAGCTGTAGGCAAGGGCAGGGAGTTCCATTCAAGAAACAAGACGATAACTGGGCTGTGCCGGCTCCTTCCCAAGTATCTAATTAAAACCAATGTCGCCGAACTTCCCTATTCAGTTCCCATACCACTTTCCTTAGCGGAATTGGTACCTCCCTACAAAGCCAAGACGAGCGGCACCACGTGTTGATGTCCGGACTCGACTCGGAGATTGCATGGATTTGAAGACCTTTGCTGTGCCCGAAGGATTGTCATAAAGAGATTCGAAAAGCTTCCAACGAAGATCGTTGTAAATAATTATTACACTAATAAGGCTAATAACGAGTACGTGGCCGACTGATATTTACGGAATGAGTGGACCCCGAATGCCATTATTGCAGATCCTCGCCGTCTTCCAGCATAACTACGCCACTCAAAATACGATAAACCATGTCAGGCATTGTATCGGCAACGACAGGGAACGAAGACTGGCCCCATTATAGCAGTGGAATTGAAATCAACTTGGAATCTGAAGCGCTCTCGTCTTGCTAGATGTATAAATAAGGGCAACACCTCGCCGTCTGTCTCTCATCAATGTCAACTCGGCCAGCCCTATCGCGCACTGCCTATCATCAATCAGCTTTGGATTTCTTTTCTCAACCCGACACGCTCCATTCCGACACGGCCACGCCATCCAGACCTCGGACAAAATGCAGTTCTCAATGTCATCCATCGTTTTTGCCGCCACTGTGCTCTCGGGGCTTGCTACAGCAGCCATACCCGCAGTGTGCTTCGATATCTGCAACAATGCCCTGCTGGAAGGCAACGCCGTAGGTTGGAGCAATGCCCTTTGCAGGGCCGGCAGCGCGTTTATGCAGTATAAGATCGGATGCAATCAATGGTAAGCGTCTCTAGCCAGCCGCCCATAACCCTTCACAACCCAGAGCTAACTCCTGATAGCATCGCGGCTAACGGCGGAGGCAATCTCGCCGGTACACAATTCGCAAAAGTTGGTCAGTGGTGCAACTGAATGGCTACACGCTACCTTGGCGCTTGATGTCATGAGAGGTTGGCCTGGGCCTCTAGGGGGGTGTGTCGTGCTAGATCGCAGTATGACTGGTTGGGATTTAGGAGGGACCAGGAACTGGGCAGAAGAATAAAAGCTTCATGCATATCTACCTAGGTGTTCATTAAAAATCTATCCTCTGGTTATCTGATAAGCCAGGGCCCAGGGGCATCCGAAGTCGTAGGCACCTTGAAGCTGGCCATCATGCCCTGCTGCCACCAGCTGTAGATCTGGCCCTGGCTAGTCTTTTGCGTTGGGGCGGTTGAGGCCAAAGAAGGGGCTAGTTGGGACGTCGAGGAAGAATTGAGAGCAGTCACCGAGCATGGCAAGGCGAAAACTGTCAAAGACCGACAGCGGGGTGCCCCGGGTTTGGCTCGCTCTGAACCGTGATGGGAGGAACGGCGCCGATGAGTACTGCTTTCTTGACCCTGTCGGTGCCGAAGAGGCCGATGAAGCGGGCCACTTCGCCGACGCCAGTTGAGTGGCCGACCATGACAGCATCACGCAAATCCAGGGCTTCGAACAGTTGGTGCAAATCATCAGCATGTGTCCATGTCATTTCCCTCCCACGGTTGGCTTGACCGTCCATGGCCACGTCGGTCGCGAGGAACGATGCGGTAGCCTTTGCTGGCGAAGAAAACATCTGGCTGTCCCAGTTGTCGCTGCTGAGTGGCCACCCGTGGGAAAATGTCACGACGGGGCCCGACTTGTTGCCCCAGTCTTTGTAGTAAATCTCGGTACCATCCTTGAGACTTAGAGATGGCATAGTGGTGGCGGATGGGTTGCGGATTTCTTCAAAAGTAGGATAGATATCTGAGGCGTAGTATGTTCATAATCAAGAGAGAGCGATTGTATTGCGAAAAGTCCGTCTTGCATCGGGAGCGCTGTCTACTTACCTAGGGTCCTCCCTTGGACACTTATCTAGGAACAGATCCACGACACCCCCGCTATCATGTACTTATCATTACCTAGAAGCACACTATTAAAGTAGGCTAAATGAGGTTCAATGTAACATTTGTAGTGCGTTATGTACAAAGTCAAAGCCCAGGGACCTACACACCAACCTAACTTTGTCCTCAATCAGGCTTTCTCCCAGCCAGGACGGCAACGAGTTGTTCGGCGTTGGGTGGAGTTCCGCCACTCAAATTCCCCCATCGGCGCCCTTTGACCCTACCATCTAGGATGCCTATTGGTTCCCCGCACCACGTTCCCTGCTTTGGCCATCATGTCCAACGTTGTGCCCTTGGGTTGGGCGCTCTGGTTTTACTAATGCACGGGCAGTGGGGAATATTGTGGCTACGAAGTTCCTTCTGGACTCAAGTAGGAACAAAAAGTTCTAGGGCCGCCTTCCATAATCAGCTGGCGCGATAATTGGATAAACCAACGGCTAATGGCAATACTAGCCCTGTGGCTGTTGTGCTGTCCATACCGGAGTGTCGGCCCAAATGGTCAAACTGCCAATAAGGTAAAATTTATCTAATTATGTGTGAGGACGTGTGTGCATATAATACTACCTACCTTAGTCTGGTGCTCCCCAGTTAGGATCTACTTGCATTTCTGCCTTATCTTATCGAACACAATGATGCACCAAAGCTTGAAACAAACAAAAGCAAAAGATGGTTAACTCTGGACCCTGTACTCCGTAGTCCGTATGTATGTAGGTATGTACTGTACTTCACTGAATTATTAATAGTTATATTCTTGCCTTAGGTATGTATCCCTTATATGCACTGCCCATGTCAGGTGTCAATTCGCGAGACATTCTATAAACTGTAAAGAGGTGTAACAGACTACCTGACTGTAAAGAGGTGCAACAGACTACCTGGACCCTTTTCAAAAGAAAGCATCATGCGCTTGGCGAAACAAGAACAACATGATAGGTGAGCTGTAAACCGTCCAATGTTTGGCCGGGTTGGGCTTAGCGCTTCAGCCGTTTCTCTTGGGCGGCCAAGTCTCTGAGGCAGCCAGTGGTGTTATGGCAAACGCGCTACCTATCAGCAGGCAACTGCGGCTGATGGAAATTGGGGGCCAACCTAGCTCAACCCAGACAAAACACAAATATTTTTCATCGCAATCGGATACCTATCTCAGTTACAGAGTACCTTCCCCAACCACGCAGTGATTAATCAATGGCTGCCTTTGAAGAGACACGGTCCATTACAAGCCCAAGTCGCCAGCAGCGCATCCTTGGCGCCCTGCTTGGCGTGCATGCGGGCGATGCGCTAGGCGCGACGGTCGAGTTTGAGGCGTGGGAGGAGATCCGCAACAGTCATCCAAAAGGCGTGCGGGACGTGGTCGGCGGCGGACCGTTTGACTGGCCGGCTGGTCACGCGACTGACGACACGGACCTGACTAGGGCGGTCCTGCTGGCATACCGCGACGTCGAGGCGCGACGCCGTTCCCAACCTGCTGATGCTCCATCTGGGCTGTCATCCGAGAACCGCCATGTTGCCACCATCGCCGCTCAGTACATGGTCGACTGGTACGACGGGAAGTGGCCGGGCCGCACTCGCGGCCAGCCTCCTCGCGATATCGGCGGCGCCACGGCTAGGGGCATCTACAAGTTCAAGAAGACAGCCGACGTGCGGAACGCTGGCGCCGGCATGGGCAGCGCCGGCAACGGGTCCCTTATGCGCTGCATACCTACCGCCCTGCTTAGTGGCAGCAGCAACAGCAACCCCCATGCTCGTGGCTCCCAGGGCTCAGCGTCAGAACCATGTCCGCTCGAGTCGGAATCCATCCTCATCTCGGCAGTCACCCACAATGACCCCCACTGCACCATTGCCTGCGCAGCCTACAACGCCATGGTGAGTGCCCTGCTCGACGCCAAAGCTCCGGCCGATGCCTGGCAGATCGGCCGAGACACGGCCTCGCGCATCGGCGCCGCCACCCACAACATGGTCACCGGCGATGCCACTGCCGCGTTCGAGCAGCGTGCCGCAGGCAAGGTCGAGGCGGCTCTGGATGCCGGAAAGTTCCTCGTCAGCCTCCGTGACCTCGCCGACAAGGGACCCGTGGCCGCCGAAAACGGCCCTCGAGCGCTACCCTTCAAGGGCGCTGGCTACGTACTCGAGTCCTTGATCATTGCTGTCGCCGCCCTCTTCGACCCGCGCCCTCTCGAGGAGGCCCTTGTCGACGTGGTTCGAATTGGACGGGACACTGACACCAATGCCGCCATTGCTGGTGGCATATTGGGAGCACGCGATGGCGTTGATGCGATACCCCTACGCTGGCGCGAGAAGCTGCAGTTTGTCGTCGAATTTACCGAGGTGGTTGACTTTATGCTCGTCTCCCCGGGGCCTCAAGCACTTGACCCTCATCAGCATCAGAACTAATTTAACCAGCCACGTCGATACTTGAAAGATATAATTGGCCGAGCTGAGTCTACCTAGTCGAGTCATAGATAACAAACAAGGAGAGCAAGATTGAACATGCCAAAAAAGAAGGAAAAAGACTCCCAGTCTTCCGAGCGAGAACAGGGTGAGCACCCAGTCTTCCGAGTGAGAACAGGGTGAACAATATGAACAAATCAAGCGGAAATCACCGAAACTGTCCTGGCCTGCCCTCGGTTCCCGCAAGCACCACGACTGTCTGGTTCCGTTTCTTGTATACAATAGTGCCCTCCTTGCCGAGGCCCGGCCTAGGGTCGCACATGAAGAAATCGTTGTTCCAAGTGAAGGCCTGATTGTTCTGGGCAAAGCTTCGCACCCTGTTCTCCATATTGGCGTTGTTGAGATAGACTCCGCCATAGACCACGGCGTAAATAGTGATGTCGGGGCCAGCGCTGAGCTCGTTGAACCGGTTTTGCAGCGCGTCGTACTCTTGCTTGGCCTTGACGAGAGATTGGCTCAGCTCCGATATCCTCCTTTGCGCATCACCATCTCGGCTCCCAACATCTCGCACCTGCTGCTGTGCATTTGCGAGAGACTGGGTTAGCTCGGAAATTTTCTTCTCGGCCTCGGAGAGCTGGCTCTTGAGCTCCGTCTCCCTGGCGCTCAGGGCCTGAGCCTCCTGCTGAGCTTGGTCAGAGCTTTGCGTGTGCTGCATCTTGGCGTCGTCAATCTGCTTCTGCTTCTCGGCACACTCTTGGATTTTGGCCTCGAGGTCTGCCTTCATCTTGGCGATCTCCTCAGGCGATGGCATCGTTACTTTGTCACTCTGCGAGCATAGACCAGTCAGTACGCGTCATGAGAGGGAACGGGGATCGGGATGGGGCGCCGCGGCCGGGTAGCTTCGGTGGCAACATACCGGCAAGAGCATGCGGAAGACGTTGGGGCTGAGATAGCGCCAGCTCCGGTAGGGGTCCGTTGCCACTTTGGGATCGGCCGTGACATCATTCACCTCGCGCACGATCTTGATCATCTCGAAACGGCAGTCCCGGGAAGCCTTGTCCAGCCCGAAGGTGTCGGCCAGGTATGGCTGTATTTCATTAGGAGGCAGAGGCTCCTCGAGCGAAATTTGGTTGTTGTACTGTGGCGACTTGGCGATTGCCGTCTTGAAGTCGTTGTACTTGGCAATGCGCTTGTCGTAGTCCTCCTTGACCGACTTTCCGTATTCGATGAGCTTGTCGTCAATCTCGCGGCGCCGGAGTCTCGCAGTGCCGCGGTCAACCTCCTTAATGGCTAATTCACAGTGAGCAATCAGTCAAAGTGCCCCCCCAATCATGGGCAATTCGCCGCTATTAATATGATACTTACTTTGGGCCAAGTCGGACCACATCGCTTTGTACTCCTGTAAGAATGGTAATTGCCCGTCAGTACCGGGTGGCTGAGTCCGAGCCTCAGACTCCAGAGCAAGTTGACTTACCATGTACGAGTCCAGGAGAGAGCCTGTGTAGATGCCGGCAATCTCATAGTCCAGCGGGGACCCCTTGACCGTCTGCTCGTGAAAGCTGCGCAGGGACGAGTACTTGGTCAGAATCGCACTGATATAGCAAGACACTCGTTAGTTCAATCCTATCGTGGCACGTATGATATATGGAAAGACACGCGAGTGAGTGGAACGGACAAGGTTCTTTGCGGGCCTAGGATCCAAAGGTCAGTCCCTATCTTCACTAGACGATTGGGTTGGGTGGGAAGGACACTCACACACTGCTACCCGGTCAGGGAACTCCATTGCGACCTGGGTAAGGTTTTCGATCGACCATTGCTGGATGCTGTTCGGCTTGATGTCGCCGCCTCCCGACCACGAGATACTGGACGAAGTTGTCAGAGAACGCGGGCAGCGGCTATGTGGGAATTTGGGATGCGGTCGACTTACGTGATCGTCGTCGACTCGGTCTTCGCCTTTTTGTTGTCGACGTAATCTCCATCGGCCTTGCCCTTCGCACTGATGAAGGAATTTCCGACTTCAAAGTTGAGACCGCCACCGATGTTCTTCTTGTCGTCCTTGTCCTCGAGAGTTTTCAGCACGAGTGCACTCAGCACGCCCCCTTCGATGAACCCCGAGATGAAGCAATCGCCGTAGACCTCGTTGAACTTGGATCCCGGCACGTTCGGGATAGGGGTAAACTCGGTCACGTCCTCGGCCACGAGTTTCTGGTTGGTCACCTTAACCTGGATGTTGTACTTGGCATCACTTTTCAAGAACTTTGTGGAGTCAACGTAATGAGCGTTTGCTCCACCACCGCCACCAAGGGCAGCACATGTAATGGTCAAGGCGCCTATTGTGCAGCAGCGTCAGCGGGTGGTTTTGGTAACGGCATGGATATTTCCCAACCGAACGCGCTGAGAGAACTGACCGCTGATGTTGAGAGACTTGGTCACGTCGCTTAAGCTATCGACGAAGCCAGCATCCCAGCTCACCACCTGGCTGACCTCGGTCTGGCCATCGTCACCCCTATGCTTGACGATGGTCCCACTCGGCTGGCACAAGATAGCGGCATCTTTGTCAGACGCGGCAGCCGGCAAGCCCTGAGTGGTGTCCACAGATCGCAGGTCTTTCTCCGAAGCCGCAACGCCGCCTCGTTTCCGCACCACGTCGTTGACGCAAAGCTGTTGCGTATAACTGTTGAAGCTGTGGCCGAGAGTCAGCAACAAGGAAGACCTAGAAGACACAAATATTCGGTTCCACTTACCCCATGCCAATGCGCATGGCCTCATTGTAAGGCGCCAGCATCAGAGCCATGGTTGCGGCAGCTGCGGCAGGAGGCGGTTTACTCTAGTGTCTGGTGAATTCGTGTGAAAGAAGGAGCGATGTCCTTTCTTCTGTGCGAGTGCTGAACTTTGGCTGGGCGCCGAATTGCAGATGAGTAGACAAAGGCGTGCCCGATTACCAGAAGAAGTCGACCCGTCGTGAGTAGGGGGGGAAGAGATATATGCCAAAGCGTGGCGGGACCATAGCTAGACCGTGGCCATCTGACAGGTTCTGCTTACAAGCTAGGAGTCCTGTGTGGCTCCCAAGGTACGAAGTATGGACATTCCCCAGGTACGTACCTGTCTGTCGATAGTCGGTGCTCACCGGACATCATGGCGACGAGTCACGTTAGGTTAGGGGATACTATCAGAGTCAACGGCAGTGTGTAGGCCTTGATGTGACGATTTAGCGGCGATTCCGTGCAGGATTCCACTTTGGGATTTCAGCAAGCTCTGGGCCAGCCAAGACGGGGCCAGCCAAGACGGGCCAGCCAAGATGGGCCAGCCAAGACGGGGCCAGCCAAGAAGGGGCCAGCCAAAACAGGGGCATGCAATTCAGCTCCCAATCTCCCACACTAGCGGCTTGGCTCAGCTCTTCCCCGCAAGCCACAACGGACACTTGAAAAGCGGGCGTGCGAGATAAGGCCGCAGATGGTAGGTAATACGACGAGGCGGGAACTGGGAGAGCTGACGACGAGGATAAATATCAACTTCGTTTTGTTGCAGTCATGCATTGTGGTTCACTGCCTAGGTAGACTATCTAGACCATACCTACTTCGTGCGATACTGTGAGCGTGTCGTTAACATAGTAATTACCTACCTACCTACCTCCCCACTCAACCCAAACCAGCAACGCCGAAATGGGCCTGGTCGACGACTTCCCGCATGACCCGCTCATGCCGAGTCTGCGATATGCAGCAACGTGCCAGATTCCCGTCAACCTGCCCTGGGCGCGAGAGCCCGTCTTGCTTGGCACCTCTCTCTCAGTCTCGCGCCAGCAAGGGGTCAAGAGCGAGTTCCTCGACAAATCCCGGTCGGCCTTCTCCCAGCAGTCTTTGGATGAAAGCCCCTTGGTCTTCACAAGTGCATCGGGGGGCAAGGTGACCATGGCCGAGTCTATGGGAGCCGCATCGGCCTACGAGCACACCGACTTCTCTCTCTCGGGCTCCATTGGCGGCTCGTTTTTGGGCGCCGAGGGGGAGGCCAAGTACGAAAAGACGGTTGCCAGTGACAACAGCGTACGCCCCTCTCCCCAGCCGCCAGCGCTTTTCCTCCAGACACCTGCTCACGATCTTAATGCAGCAATCACAGTGCAGCTTCCGGACAAATTACCGGAGCGGCATGGTCAGCTTCATGCGCGAACCCCGCCTTTCGGCCGAAGCCGTTGCGCTCCTCCGCCGTGCCAAGGACGCGGCGGCGGCCCAGGCAGCTTTTCGGGCGGCGTATGGCGAGTACTACGTGGCGGCATATGTCCTCGGCGGCACCAACTCAACCATGCTCGGCGGGTCGACGGCCACGTCGTCCTACTCCAAAGACCTGCGCGGATCCTTCACCATCAAGATCCTATGGGTAAGGATCCGAAAGTCGTTTGAGGAGCATGAGCGGTCGGCAAGCGCTTTTGGAGCGGGGACGTTGGCCGTCTACGACTCGCTCGACAACTGTCAGCTGAATTCCGGTGCCGCCGACGTTGCTTCAGTAACGCGTCTCGTGGTCTCGGCAGCCGAGAACAGCGATAGGGGTTGGGGCTTGGCTCGCAGGGTGGGCGATAGGGCTGGACGGATGGGGATGGGCCTGGATGCTCTTGGCCGCGTGTCCATCTCGAGAGAGCAGTGTGCCGCCCTGTGTAGGGCTGGCTTGGTTGTCGAGCTGCTGCTCCTGCCCTATGCGGGCCTGCGCCATTATGTTGAGGCGCTCCATAGCGCATGAGCTAACCCTGTTACCTCCACTGGTGCCAAGGGCCTAGTTACCTAGTTTCGCTAGCTACCCTAGTTTCGCTCGTTTTATCCATCTCCGTACCTACCTAGGTGCCGTAATTATCATTGGATGCACCTGCACTCATTGGGCATATCTCCGGTCAGCATCGAGTTCAGCTCGTGCCGGGCTTTGCGGCTGTTGGGTTCTGCACACCTGGGCGTTGATAGTGGTGGCACCGCCGAGACTTTGTGCTCTTTCGGGACCCCGAGGCGCTGCTGAACTCTGCAGCATGCTGCGAAAACGTCTTTACCCCGCACACTCAATGGGCCAATGGCGGCTTCGACTCATCTCCACACCGCAATCCGTGTCGCCACAGCGCAATCCGTGTCCCCACACCGCAATCCGTGTCCCCTCATCTGGCAAAAAAGCTCAGAGGGCTGTCAGCCCTATGACGGAACGGTAAAGAGTGGTTCTCTGGCTTAGGTACCCTGAGGTACCTGAGTGTGTTGAGTAACCAAAAGCCTAGCTCCAACCATGCCCCCCCTCCATGCGGCGGTTGGAAACGCCAATATGCTTCATGGCAGCTGGCATTCCTCTTTGGATATTCAGCTGTCAGCGGTGCCGCCATCCTGGCTAACCTGTGCACTAGCTATCGGTAGTTACACGATATAGGGCGAATCGGCAATCCCGGTTCGTCAACAGGCAGTCGATGGTCACGCACGCTCTAATTTGGAGCTCAGATGGCTCCCGAGACCCTGCAACTCGGCTGGCTCTGGCCAAGTACTGTAATTACCACCGACCAACCGGCATGGGGGCCTGGAATACAATGAGCTTGATGTGGATTTGTCCTCGCTGTTGTGTGTGGTGTTATAAAGCCCGGTCGATCCACGGTTGCTCTTGTGCACCGCCGATGGTAATCTCACCGCTGGTAATCTGCACGAATCAAGGCACAATCTTTCACTTCGAACCATCAACTGACCCCCAGTTTACTCGACTTTCTATTCTCTTCTTGCAGTGTTCGAAATGGCGACCCTCCTTGCTCCATACAATACTGCAATGCAGTTGGGCTCCGGTAAGTGATTTGCAGTTGGCTTGACGATCCCCTCGCCGTCCAGTCTACTAACTGGGTACGCAGGCTTCAACTCCTTTACCCAACAGCTCTGCATCAATGATGCCGTTGTCAGAGACAGTCAACTTGATGACGCTCTGGATAAGAAGCCGAGGGTTCCTATGGCCCAGGAAGTCATATACAAGACTGCTGTCATTGACAAGGTCACTGACGTGACGAACGCCATGAATGTGAGTGCCCAGGGAGCAATGTCAAGCCAAGGCAAGACAAGGCAAGCACATTACTGGGGGAACTCGGCTGATTTGCGTTGTTACTAGATCAATGCCGCCTTTGCCATCAAATACGATGCCTTTGACGCAAAGGGAAAAGGAGACTTCATCAACACTTCAAAGGTCAAGGAAAGCGACGCCAGCTTTATGATCTCGGTAAAGGTGGTCAACCAAGTCATATATGATCATTCTCTGAACAAGTTCGACCCTATCCCCGATGTGAAGCCGGAGCACTTCGCTTCTGTCTACGGCGACAGCTTCATCTCAGGCAAGTTTCGAAGTATCGACAGTGCCTTGCCAGGATGCTAACGGACAGCAGGATTCCAGGAGGGCGGCGAATTCATTGCCGTCATCTCCGTCAAGGCCAAGGACCGCAAGAAGGCTGTCAGTATGAAGGCTGAGTATGTTCCCAGTCTCTCCCAGTCTCCAACCACACCCCATCAATGCTTGACTAACGATGGGGCAGTGCGGCAATCAACTTCACCAAGGAGAGCTTCTCCTTGGATATTAACGGGGAGCTCGTCAAGACCGACAACACTTTCCTGGAGGAGAACGAGACAACCGTGTCCGTCTCGTGGTCTGGTGGTGGCCAGGATCTGAAACCCTGTGAGTTTTCTCGATAAAGATCCCCCAACTTGACGTTATGATGGTACAGGCATGGCAAGGAGCTAACACCGGAGCCCTGAATTTCTAGCTGATTCGGATTGGACTCTGGATACCATGCGAGCCGCGGCTCTGAAGTTCCCCGACCTGGTCGCTCAGACTCCCATGCGAACACACGCCATCCTCACCAAGTACACGTCGCTGCGCAGCTTCCAGACTGCTCTGAGCAAGCTCACGAGCGGCAACGACCCACGCGCTATCATACCCAACTATGAAAAGGCGGGAGTCTACACAACGGTCCTCCAAGAGGCCTACCTTGATTTTAAGACCGTCAACAAAAATCTGCAAGTCATGGCCTTCAACGTGAGCGCAGGGACCGAGATCCTCGTCGAGTCTCTCGCTGCACGGCGGAGCCGGGAATCGAAGCAGGGCTCCCCAACCAGCCCCAGGCAGACTACCGAGGCAGCTGAGTCGGACGACGACGAGTCGATACGCTCCTCCCTGGTAGCCGTCGGCAATAACCCAGAACGGGCAACGAAGCCTTACCCTCCCACAATTGCTGGTCTCGAGGCCGCTCGTCAGGACGTTCGTATCATGCTGAACCGGATTGTTGCCGAGGTGGACATGATCACTCAGAAGCCAGAGCTGGCCGTGAACGAGACGAGGGCCATGTCTTACATGTCTCCATTCCTTTTCAAGGAGCTTCTCCCCGAGAGCAAGCCCGCTAAAGAGAAGACCGAGACTACCACTGAGACCAAACCGCAAACGACTGACTCGACAGATTCTAGCAACCAGCTCGGTGACTTGTCAGAAAAGATGGGAACCACCATGCGCTTCTAAATTTATGTCCCACTCCCTTGCCTGAATTTCGTGGGTTGGTGCTGAACTGTTGCAGTTTCCCGTGTTTTGGTCTAGACAACGTTCATGGACTCTGTTATTTCTGGTCCAGTATCTACAGCAACTTTGTTCTTTTTGGGGATTTGGGGATTTGGGGATTTGCTACTGAGCTGTTAACTAGCAGTGTGGTAATTTTCATGTTGGCCAAGGTCGTAAATTGGCAAAATCTTTGAGAAAATTTAACCTTCCCGCTAATATCACCAAAGGTGAGACTATTGCGACTTTGACCCAACTATAAGCACGTGACGATGGTATGTATAAAATGTATCCTGCTATGCCTTCAACTGCTTCACGGCAGCTTCATACTCTTTTTGAACGACCTCCGCATGCCTCGACGACCGTGGCGTGATCGAACAGGGAAAAGGAAGTGGCGTCGAATTAAAACCGTCTGAATATGCAAATCTGGAGAGGGTTAAGTAATTGTCAGCTTCTTGGCCTATGGAGGAAATTCGCAGATTTCACTCACATATCGACCTCGATATTACGCCCTTCTCCATCCCGGGCCGGGGCGACGTCGAAAGCCCACAATATGCGTGCAATGTTAATTGCCACGGAAGCTGAGCCCAAATGCATTCCGGGACAGATACGACGACCCCATCCAAAAGCGCTGTGTCCAAAGGTGCCGGGATACGCGCGATTTTCCAAAAAGCGCTCTGGCTTGAAGTGATGCGGGTCGGGAAAATCGGCCTCGTTTAGGTGGACTGGAAAGCGAGGATTTTAGTATTGGGTCAAGCTTGGGTCAAGCTCAAATCTAACACCAACTTAGAACTTGGACTTACTAGACCACAGAGGGGCGATTACAGTGCTTCCCTTGGGGATAAACATGCCATTATAGACGTCGTCTGCCGTGCTAGCGTGTGGAGTACCTCCCAAGACGGCCACGGGTCGCCAGCGTAGCGTCTCAGAGGCAATGGCCGCCACGTATTCGAGTGCCGGTAGGTCTTCAAACGTGGGAAGTCGTTCGTTTCCTACCACCCTGTCGAGCTCTCTTTGTGCTTGGGGAATGAACTCCTTGCCAAACTTGACACACGCGAGGATGAAGCTCGCAAGTGAGCCCGCAGACTGTAAGCAAGACCGGTAAGTCAAAACTGCATCAACATTATCACTCGGCCATTGGGGAAAACCGGGAACCTACTGTCTCAACACCAGCCCCAAATGGGGTTCCCGCCGTGTACGCAATCTCCAAGTCGCTCATCCCGAGGCTAGATTGCTCCTGCAGAAGGTGCTTTGCGAAGCAGTCGTTCAAAGCACCTCTCGACAACTTATCCCGGACTTCATCCATCAATTCTGTGTAAAACTGAATGTCCCGACCTCGTTGCTCCAGGACTTTAGCTTTCCATGGGGCGAATATGCTTGGGACATATTTGAGCGCCGGGAAGCGCTCGACTGCAAACTTTCCCGGGATACTGCGTACCAAGCATTAGAGTCATGTCCGCCGCCTAGCAACCGACTGGGATGAGCTGCTTACTTGACTGAAGTAAGACGGTCCATCGACTCTGCGTTGCGCTGGACAACAGCATCAGTACGGACATCCTCAACACGACGCCCATACGTGACAGTGACGATGACAGAGGCAGCATATCGTTCTAGATGGGTCCGAAAGCCGCTCGCGTCTCTCATCAAGTCGTGCATGAGGACCGTGGACTCGAGGCTCTGGATTGGACGGTAGGATTCACTCTGGCGTTGCATGAAGCCGCTGTGCAACAGCTTTCGCCAGCGCCTCCAGTAAGGTGAGTACGGAGCCATAAGGCCTCTCATCCCCCCCGACAGGAGCTCTCCGCCCATGATGAAGCGCGGCCTTGAAGAATACGTCGATCCCCGCTTTTCCAGGAGATCCCACGCGGCCTGTGCAGAGCCGAGGACGATCGTAGGCGTTGGTCCGAGTTGCAGGTAAACGACGTCTCCGAACTCTTGGTTCAGCTCACGGAACCACAACCACGGCTTCCGGATGCCCGTCTTTATTACCCTCGGCCCAGGTGGGAGCTGCGATCGGTGGGCATAGAGTCTCCATTTTTGCTCCAGCTTGATTTGGGGCGCGTCAGCTAACTAGGACATTAATCTGAAGGCGTCGCATTCGGCGTCTCGGATTTTCAAGATCCCATCCGACAATCTCGGAGTTGACAAGTGTGTGGACAGGTGTGTTGCCGGGACTTACCGTCGGAAACACGAGGCCCAAGTATAACACAATTAGACCAATACCAATGGTAAAAACGAAAGTGGTGAACATTATGATGCCAGAATTAATGCGAGCCTTCAAGGCTGGCAAGCTGGAAGGAGCTCTTTTCTTGTCCTTGGCGTGTGGTAAATTTGCAGTGACTATCTGGCATCTGTGCCGAAGAAGTGTAGCTGGCTGGAGCGCTCGTTCTTCTCGTTTGTCTCCTTTCTCTTCTGTTCCTTTTCTTTTTCCCTTACCTATGTATTGTTTTGTGTCTGGGTGGCATAATTGCCAGTTCAGCTAGTCTAGATGGACCCCTCAACTGCCGATTCTTGCGGAGAAGCTCGCTCCAGAAACCAAGACCCCGCAAATCCTCTCGTTCGGCATATTCAGCCCCCAGTTCTCCGCACGCTAACTATCAAGCCGTGTGTGTCTGGATCACGTGTGTGGATGAGGTCTATGGGGAGTTTCCCGATTTTTGCATCGGTTAATTTACAATTGAACTGACTGAGTTTAAAGATAACCACTAGCTTAACGGATCAATAATCACTTGTAAAAGGGGAGGACGAGATTCGCCGCAATAAACAAGAGCTTTGATGTACGCACCCACCACTTTTTTCGTCGCACCTACCTGGGCATATTGGCAGCTGGCAACGCAGGGGCCGCTTTTTGTATGGTAAAATGCCGTATTGCATGGCAGCCACCCAACGCCCTACCGGGCACTAAGGAAGCTCGGTAAAGTAAAAATGACACTACTTACGCCTTCACATGCCGGGCTTTTTGCGCGCACTTGGTGTTTTAAGGTCTGTAGCGGCCAGGTGGCCTTTGCAGGCCTTTGTATGCATAGTTCGAGGTAGCCGAGCCGAGCCTAGAAGAGCGGGACGAACAGGATGAACAGGATGAACAGGATGAACAGGATGAAGAAGACATGGAGATTGACTCAGACTGCATCGTCGTCAGCGCAGGGCCAAAGAGAAAGGTAACAACACAACAGAGAAAGAAAGGGAAGAAAAGAAAGACCACGAAGAAGACGCCTTCTTCGTTTCCGGGGATGAAGATGACCCTTTTCCTAGTAAGGCGGACTTCGGTAACTAAGTTGCTAGATTGACGGGCTCAACACCAAGGAATTATATCACCATATCAACAAACTAGGTTGTCATTAGACTAGATTGCTAGACTCAACACCAAGGAATTACATCACCATGTCAACAAATCAGGATTCAACGCATTGCTCGGGTAGCTGGGCGCATGCCATGACATTTGGCTAATTTACGTACAAATCCGGGCCTCAAAGTTGCCATTTGCAAGTTGCCTTTATTTCGAGGCTCACTCAACAACGAAGAAATCGTCAAAATGGAAACACCACGGTAAACGCGTTTTCAGGGCTTTTGAAGGTTTTGACGGCTTCAACGCCGTTGACCCGGGCTGCCGGGTTGCATGGTAGGCATATGGGCGGCTAGATGGTATTTCGCGATTTTACCGGCCTAAAATAGGCTCTGAGTATCTCAACTGCCAACAGCTGCCAATATGCCCAGGTAGGTGCGACGAAAAAAACGGTGGGTGCGTACATCAAAGCTCATAAACAAACCCCTGTCCGGCCGCAGTAGTGTGGCTTCCTGAGCCTGCAGCCACACGCAGGCATTCTCGCACATACAGTGCCGTGCTCACATTTACGCTACGTAGGGTAGCTCCCATGCGCATTCTCTTATGCATGAACAATTAGACTTTTTTTCGGAAATTTTTCGCTTTGTAAAATAGCTTCTAATCTACATGCCTGTCTTAATGCACTTCCCCAACTCTATTTTACCTGTGACAGGATTTTATCACAGTGACACCATAGTACCTATCATACACCCATACCTCCCATGGCACTTTTGTCAGCAAGGTGGGTAGGTAGGTGACTAGGTGAGCTGACCCATGCACATGACCCATACACAGCCCGAGCCGGATTGCGAATGCGATGGCTCCGCCTTCCCCGCTCCTTCGGCGCTAAGAGTAAAGAGTAATGGAAGCTGTTGACTGTTGCTGTCCGACTTAATGGTGCTTCATGGAAAGACGGGTTTGGCGCCTAGTCTACTCCGTAATCTATCTGGTTACTTATTTTTGCCATCATTGTGTCCACAGCTGGCACGCCACCAAAGGTCCAATGCGCCTTCTCAACACGTCTAACGAGCAAGCTAAAGAGTTTCTCGGCGATATTCCCCGTTACTCGATACTGTCGCACACCTGGGGCCAAGAGGAAGTTAGCTTGTCTGATCTACTCCGCGGCCCTGACCATTTTCGCGGACTAAGTGGTTATGCTAAGATAGCGGGGGCTTGCGCGGTAGCACGCCGGGAGGGTTTCGACTGGATCTGGATCGACACGTGCTGCATCGATAAATCTTCGAGCGCCGAGCTGTCCGAGGCCATCAACTCAATGTTCAACTGGTATAAGGATGCCGACGTATGCTATGCGTACCTGAGTGACGTCCTTGACCTGGATCTGGACGTGTTTGCTGCGAGTCGCTGGTTCAAGAGGGGATGGACGCTGCAAGAGCTGATTGCCCCAGCCGTAGTCGTCTTCTTGGGCTCGACATGGCGTGAGCTAGGCACAAAGGCCAGCCTGGCTGTCGAGATTGCATCAATCACTGGCATTGATACTCAAGTGCTCTCACCGCAGCCGGCCGCAATGGATCGCTCATGGACTGCGCGATACTACGGACGATGGACGGCACGATACTATCCCACATCAATCCGGGCCGTGCTTGACGAATGCAGTGTTGCCCAGCGGATGTCGTGGGCGGCGAGGCGCGTCACCAGCCGCCCCGAGGACCAGGCCTATGCCCTCATGGGTCTTTTTGGCGTCAACATGCCCCTTCTATATGGCGAAGGAAGCAAGGCCTTCATCCGCCTGCAGCGCGAGATCATGAACCAGTCAGATGACATGTCTATTTTTGTGTGGAAATACAAATCTCGAGCTGCATTTCTGCGGCGGTCTGGTCTCCTTGCTCCCGCGCCAGAATGTTTTGAACCATATGGGGATGTGCGCCCCTCTCCGTGGCCGAGTCCAGAAGGCAGCAGCAGCTCGTCAATTCCAGATGGCCCCTCTCCTCAGGCAAACTCTGCAACATACGAGGTCTCCAAGTCTCGCGTTCGACTGCATGTATCAACCCTGAAGTCCTCCAGCCAGAGCGAGTTGGCACCTGGGGCCATGGAAACATCGCGTCTCGCCTTAGAGCGACAAGACTTAGACCCGGAGACGTCTGCATATCTTGACCTTGCACAATTCCACCGCACCACGCTTGCCTCGCCATGGTCGGGCCCGCTCCTAGTCGCCATGCTGGAGTGCTGGACGCCATCTGGGCAAGTCGGTCTTGTGCTTTTCGACAACAAGGATGGGTTCTGGAGCCGAGCCCACCTCCACGAAAACCGTGCACCGCTGCTGCTAAGCGAAAGAAACAGCGCTGTGAACATGCAGTCGCGACAGCACATTGATTGTGCGCTGGTCTTGGGCGACGGCCTGGCTGGGCCACGTCTCCCCATTGACAGACCATGGATCAGGTTCTCCTTGCAGGTGACCCGGCTCGGTTATACTTCAACGAGGGTCCAGCGCTCGCGTTATAGAGGGGTTGATAAATTCGAGGCGCCAAATGACGAGCTCGCTTTCTTGTACCCGTGTAACGACGCAGAATCTGAAATCCTGCTGCTATTCGTGAACAAGGAGACGCCGGGCACCTACCCGCCCTTCTTGCTTTTATGTTCCAGAAACCTCGACGATATCGAGGTAAACGTTTCTGCTCTACGCCTCGAAACTGGTTCTGCAGCTGAAGTGGAATCTCCGATCGTCTTAACTTGGCGCGAGGGGCAACGAGGAACACCAGTGTTGGCAGGCTGGAATGAATCGAGGGCGAACGAGACGAGGATTGCTCTTTCAGAGACTATGGATCTTGCGATTAAGAATAGGCCTGCTCCGGATTATATACATATTGTTGTTCTTATCGAAAATCGGTAGTTTTAAATTTTAAACTAAGTTACAGCAGCCTCAAATCTCAGCTACACTAACCTTTTCGCGTTTCCTTTTTGCCCGTACAGAGACTACTCTATCATAGCTCTCTCACTGCACTTGCAAGCACACCCGCCTCGTCCTGCGTTGGTACCCCGTGCCCCGCGCTATGCTTGACCTCGACGCGGCATTCCTCGCGGCACATCGACATGACCTGCCTGGCCATGCCCGGATAGTGCACATCCTTAGAACTCTAGGCATGGATGGTGGGTATGTCGATGAAGGTATTCTCGGCCGCCACCCTAGCGGCGCGAAGAATCGTCACCTGCCCGCCGCCGTTCTTCTCTAGCTCGTCCCAGGCCGACGGCATAATGGAGTTTATGAAGACGACGGTGCGTATATGGCGCTTGGCTTGTTGAAGCCTCTCGTTGCCCGTCTCGGGCCGGAGCAGAAAGATGGATACTAAGGCGCCGCCGAGAGAGAAGGCGAGCACGGTGTCAAAGGGCCCGTGAGCGGCTACGTAATCGCCGAACCTATTCACGGCGTCCATACCGCCCGCCGCGGTCCCGTCGAAATACGAGTAGCATTGCTGGTTGGCTCGCATCAGGTCCCTAACACCTGGCGCCGAAGCGGCGGGAAAGTGCCCTTTCGAGCGGCGCTAGCACCAATAACACTGGCCCAGGAGAGATTTATCTTGATTAGCAAATAGCTGGCTTGAATAAGAAGAAGACAAGATATTAAAGCTTGAACAGAGCGAACGGACTAGATACCGAGGGAAAACAAGAGGCAGCTCATGGTCTTCTTCATGCATAGCTTAAGCTGCGCAATATACGGCAGCGGTAGCGAGATGATAATGGGGTCCACAATAATGTCCTTAATGGCAATGCCGAAAGCCTCGCCGAAGAAGTCTATGCACGTGCCCTCGTGCTCGTTGTCCAAGTTGTTCCAGAAATAGCTAACGGGTCGGCACGGGAAAAGAATGAGCAGGATAAAGGCCGTGCACTGAGCAAGTCGAGAGCCAGCACGGCAATGCGAAGCGGCGGCCAGGCGTGTTGGCGAAGACGCGGAAGTAAAATAGCATGATTGACACGCGGCTCGCAGTGCGCGCTATGGCGTACAGGAACACGGATATAGGTACTGAGTGATGTTGAAATTAAATACCGAGACTAGACTGGATGAGAGAGGGCACCGTAGAATCCCACAATCCTTACTAGGAACATGTTAGTGATGTTCTCGGGCGGAAGCGCCCATATGTCGGTTAGGGTTATAGCAACTGATTCAACAGCGCTGGCGGCGGTATCTATGCTACTTAGGTTACGTCGACGACGCTCAAAATCTGGTTCCTCCCCCGCTCGCCCATCCCTGCGGATATCACGGCTGGGAATCCGGGCCCGAGCAATTGGCTGACGTCGTTCTTGACGGCTGACAAGTCCAAGGGTAGATGCGACGTGGGCAAGTACTTTAAGAAGCAGACTATTTTGAGTCGTATAATCTTTTCTCCGGAATATCTTTCTATCGTCTTTCCTCGTCCCTACACCAGATGCAGCAACAGGCGATTTTATTTCCCATTTGCTACTGGCATTCTGTCCTAGCAAGTGAATCTTAATATATTATCAACACCACCTTTTGCGGTTCCATTGTCGACTAGGACTCGTAAGACGAAGAGTCACCTATCACAATAAGGCGTCTACGTGCAAGAGCTTTGTCGCGGCTAATCCGTCAGCCTTTCAAGAGGCTTACTAGCTCTTTAACTCAATCAAGCTATACTAGTAGGTATGACCAAGGTCGCTAATAGACGCGCGCGTGGAGGAGATGTGTCATAGGCTACACATAACGCATTGGGTATTCCATTCTTGTAACTAGTCTGACACATTGTGCCCTTTGCTCTGAGGCCATTTTGGAACATGTGATGATAAGCCAGCCCCCTCGCTAGTTAGTTACGAGCATCTATGGTGCGTCCTCTCTTTGGAAATTGAGTGTTGGGGGCGATGCGAGTTTATTAACCTTGCGAATTACCTTGCATTCTACCCGGGCTCGTTATTGGGGTAGCCGCAATAAAGGCATGGGAGATAGTCGCGATCCTATGGCAATTAAATAAATTGACTTTATCCAACTGGTCGTGCAATTCCTATTCTCGGTGAGGTAAGACTGGTGCTAACGTCGGGTAAGCCAGCCTTGTCGCGAGTCTGGCCGCGCTGGCCTTGTTTCTAGTTAATGTCTACAGTACGGTTACTCAAGGTTCTACGTGTATATAGCCGGGAGATGAATTTATAGCAATTTGCTGACATTGCTCGGCCCGATTGAGGTTCTCTAATAGTCGTTAAATAACCCGTAGGGGAGTCCAGAGAGATACCAAAGAGGCAGTCTAGCTCAATATTTTTGAAGCGGAACGCCACCTAAAAGCCGAGAGGAAGCTATCATTGACGCAAAGGAAGAGGAACTACTCAAATAACCGAGGATATGGAAATTTTTGCTGCCGTGGTTGGAATTGTTGATGTCTCAGTGCGGACGGGTTCGAAATTGTTCGCTCTCTGCGACGCTTGGCGCAATGCCCCGGCCGACTTGCAGCAGCTGCGCGATGAGCTCGGCCGAGTCGAGCACTTCTTCAGCGAGATACAGAATGGTTTGCGCAATTCCAGCCCAGCGGCCCCTGCAAGCAATGTCTCGCCTTCAACATCTGACGACCAGCTACGAGCGCTACTCGACAAAGGGGCCGAGGTCATTCGACAAATCGAGGAGATAGTAGACAAATTACAACACGAGGATGCCACCCGCCTAGGGCAGTTCCACGACATTGGAATGAGGAGGGGGGCGCTCTGGCTTAGAAACAGGGCCAAGATAGCTAGATTGAGGCGAGAAGCTAAGAGCTTAACGTTCGATACATGCCGCCTCCTCATTGTCCAGAACATGTAGGTGTTGGGGCCATGATTACCAACTGTCAAAGAGATAATCGGGCTAGCTGACTTTTTTTTGTATCAAGTGTCGTTTCGGCAGAGTTACAAACTGGCGTCAAGGGATTCCGAGACGCCATCCAGGCCGTTTCGGACTCTACCAATCGGAGTATTCGTGCAGCCCGGGACGACACAGTTTCGATCTTCGGCGATGCTCTGGATAACTCACATCGCTCACTCATCGCCCATATGGATAGCCGACTAGATACCATGGAATTAAGGGTGACGCAACATATAGGGAGTCGCATAGGACAAGAGATCCTGTCACTCCGACGACAACTTGTGGGCCAAACTCGAGCCCAGAGCGACGCAGCCATTAGACCGGCGCCGTCACCTCAAATCCCGCCTTTTTTATCCTACTACGCAGCATCAGCACTGAGGCGGTTTCCGGGGTGCAGTGAGGCTTGCCGCTGTCTGTGTCACACCACAGCTAGTCACTCAGTGAGGCAACTGGGCGTGTCAAACCGGGTTCTAGGCTCGATCTTTCTCGCTTATACCGTCACGTCGAGCAGTTTATGTACGGCCCCGACATGCCACAGGTTCCCAAGTGGCACCGGCACACGGAAAGTAACAGCCTTTTGTCAGTTTCCTGATTGGCTTATGAGGGCGGCCATCTCGATCCACATCTCGCACAATTTGTACGGAAATCCCGAGATGCTAATCAGGATTGTCAGCAGGGCCAAGTTCTACGACCCTGACCATTTATTTATGCATGTCAGTGAGAAGAGGGTTGAAGTGGTGCGCCGAATCCTGCAAAATCGGCGCGTCTCCATTTATGATATTGACGAATTTGACAACACACCGTTGGATGTGGCATTGGGATTCCCACATCCCGCCATAGTTTCACTCCTTCTGCAGGCAGGTGCTGATCCCTTCCAGTTGACAACGAAAAATGGCAAGTTGGCAACCCCAATGGATGTCGCCTTCCAGCTGAGTCTCCTGGACGATATCGATTCCAGGGAGGTGGCCGGACTTCTGCCCATATCACGCTACCTGGAAGAAGATGCACCCACGTTACACAAGGTGGTGATTGGTACTATACAGGCCAACCTCGCTGGCTTGGTGCGCGATCCCAACAATAGAGACGACATAAATAGTATGAGCCTCGCCGGACTTAGCCCCTTGCACATAGTAGTCATCAAGGGCGACATGGAGGCCTTGCGAATCCTTCTCAACGCCGGAGCCAATGTTCACCAACAAACAGCCTTGAAGAGCGCGAGCGCCCTCAACCTAGCATGCCGTTATGAGAGGTTTGAAGCGGCGAAGCTTCTCATCCAGGCAGGAGCGCGAGGAAATGACCGGAACAGAGCTGGTAGTATACCCCTCGAGCTTGTCATGCGTGCTCGGGACGCAATACGCTTTATCTAGCTCCTGCTTCAACACGGCGCGGATATCAACCTACTAACCAACACCGGATGGTCTATCCTGCTCCATGCCGCTGGCTACAGCGAGCCAGCCGCGATCCGCCATTTGGTAGTACACGTTGGCATGGACAGCGAATGCGCTGACGGCGAGGGCGACACCCCCTTGTTTAATGCAATCTGCCACTACCGGCATGAGAATGTCATCGAGCTGATCAGTCTAGGAGCCAATGTGCGACACGTCAACAAAAACAGAGATACTATGCTCCATTACCTAGCATGGTTCCCGGACATTGAGTTGATCCGTTAATTAACGAGGATGAGGGAGATGAGGGCGATATATACCATGGCTAGAGACGAGCAAGGAGAAACGCCATTTCAGATTTTGCACGCAAAGAAGGTGACGGGCGAGGTGCAGGCGGCATTTATTTCGTTGCTTAATGATATTGAACAGGTGGATGAGGATACGGGGTCGGATGATGATTTTCACGATGCTATGGAGAGCCTAGAGTGGCTAAATAGCGTTTAGGCGTACTTGGGTAGTGCTGCTGAGGAATTTAATCGGGGACCGAGTTAATTTTCTTACGGGGGCGTGAATATTAGTTCTAAGTGTTACGTGGTAAAAGATAAAGAGAGCGATTTTATACACTATTGTGACGAACCCCCGGTTCATACTAGGTAGACTGCAGTAGGGGAGCGCCCCGAGCCTGTGGAGGGCTCGGAGGGCGCCCAGAAATTCTCACTGGGGGTTTCGGGTTACGATTCGAAAATTTATAAGAAACAATTTCCTTTATTTTTAAAATTCCTGCTCGAGTTTTCACGGATATCACGGTCGGCACTGTAGACACTTGCATGAAGCCTGCCGGCCCTGCCCCGCGCTAGTCTTAATTGGGAATTTGGCCCCGGCTAGACTCGCCATTTATCAACGCAAAAAGGGCACTTTACGCCGCCTCGGTGGAAACTCCTACACTCCTGCATCGGTGTTTCCTCAAAGAATTCCTCAAAGAACCTTGCTACAGTTAGGCAGACACTTCCCCTGTTCACTAATAAGCGAATCGGCCTCGTCTACAGACTTACGTTATGGCAAAGACTTACGTTATGGCAAAGACTTAGGTTATGGCAACCGGGAGACCACTCTTGCGGGCAGCTTACAACTTCCCTGTCCTTCCTTCGACACTTGGCTTCCTAGGCCGTCGCAATCATAGCTACAGTAACCCGTGCAGTTGCAATGGTTCCAACCTCATGTAATCGATTGCCCCTAACCTCCTTAACTGGCGAGATTGAGAATTAGGAAAGCTAGATTCCGTATACGTAAACCATGCCCCTTTGATCGAAATAGCCGGTCGGATTTCAATTTAACCCTACACATGATAGACAAAACTAGGTTATAGATATAGACAGCCACGGTGAATCGATGACAACGGTCACCTTTCTCCATCTCGTTTGGTAGCACGTACTTCCATATCGTTTACGGGTTCCGTTTCATCGTTAATGATATTTTCTTATCGGTGCGGGTACGTTTCTTTTTTGCCACTGTGCGTATGTTTCTTTTTTATTATTATAGATATATATCCTTCTCTTCTATCAATACAGCACGCCTCTTTTTCTGTCGATAGGAATGTACCTTTACGCTGAGCTCAAAAGAACTGCAAACTCTCCAGGCAAACGGTATCGAAGTGGTTTAAAGGATACGTGCCAAGCTGCGCGGCGGTTGCCTTGCCTGCTGAGTTGGTCGTGGCTATTTTGCTGTTGGCGTGCGACCATGGTGGCCGGCTTGGAAGGAGGTAATGCAGTGAGTTCATTGAGATGACTGAGGAGAGGTGCGGCGTCGTGGATTGTGTGCTAGAGACGCAGTACCCGTAGTAACCACTCCGCGGGACTAGCTGACCAATGACCGCGTCATCGAAGCGCTTGCACGACAGATGGATATCGGACGTAAGATGCTACGACCAATTTAGGGTAAGGGCACATACTGCAACCGGCTGATGGCACGTCTTCAAATGAGCGCCGTAGCCGCCAGTGGGTCCATCTCGGGTCATCAGCGGCGCCAGCCCCAGCTGAGACTAAATCCCCCGACTCGGGACCAGATCTTCAAGCGACGACAGCCAAGGAAAGCATGCAGCAAATGAAGATCACTTCATCACTCAGCATGGCGTCGTCCAGATATACGCGGTGATACTCTGGTTTTATCTGTACTTTGAATTCCTAAAAGCCTAGACCTAACAGTCCTCAGAGTGGCTGTACTGAACTGAACAAATCTAGCCCTCCCAGAACTGGTCCCACGCGCCCTTGATTAGTTCGTCGCGGACGTTCGTCAAGAAATCATTAACGCTGATGCTCATGCTTTCGCTTCCCTCGATATTGATGATCCCATCCTTGACGCCTCGCCATCCCTCGATGGGAGCCTTGATGTGATCGTGTCGCCGGCCACAGAACCGCCGGCTCTGGAACGGCTGCTCGCCCGTCTTGTCAGCCAGCAGCACCGCGTAGCACTGCTCGCAGAAGAGACAGTCGTTGCAGTCGAGGCACAGCTGACCCGAACGCCCTCCCCACCACTTGAACGTGGCCGTCGGCCTGCAAATGGTGCCATCGCAGACTCCGGGGATGTGCGTCAGGTCTCCTTCGTCCTCCGGGGGAGCCTCCCCGTCCTTGTCGAGGAACGGGTTGTCCGGGTCGGCGTCCTCATCCTCGTCCTCGTCCTCGTCCTCGTTGTCCGCGTGCAGGACGATGCTGACGTCGGGATCGAGCCTTGAGAATATCGCCGAGAGGAGCACGCGCCCCGCGTGCCAGAGCTTCTCGCCGCTGCGCACCGCCCTGCTCAGGTGCGCCAGCGCCTGCGACAGCAGCATCAGGCTCCACCCATCGTTCCACCCGACGTTGTCCTCGAGCGCCTCGAAGCACGCGTCGAAGACCTTCTGCATGCGCTTCTGGAACTCGAGCCGCGGCCCGACCTTCAGCGTCATGCGCGCCACGGTGATGTCGTGGTGCAGCATCGCCGTCGCGTGAGAGGACGACACGGACGTCGCCAGCGGCCGCTTCATAAAGCCGTTCACCTCGTCTAGGAGCTTACTCTTGACGGCCGGGTCGCGCGACGCGGCGAAGAGCTCGAACAGCACGCGCGACTGCAGGCTGATGGTCCGCTGTAGCACCGAGCGCGGGTCCTCGCTCGTGAACTTGTAGGCGTGGCCCGTCGAACGGCTGTCGAGCACCTCGTCGAGCACGCGCTTGGCGCCCTCGGCGTCGCCGCACACGAGCATGTACGCGTCGGCAAGGTCGCAGCGCAGCGGCGCCGCGGCGTCGAAGTTGTCGAGGTGCGCGATCACCTCCTCGTAGACGGCGACCATGTACGCCTGCTCGCCGGCGCGCGCCGCCGCGTCCTGGAAGTTTATGTGCCGCACGCGGTCCTTGTCGGGGCTGGCGTAGTCCCAGGTCAGCCAGGTGAGACGCTCGATGGGCGTCCACTTCTTGAGGACGCCGAGCAGGCCGGCGTAGTCGTCGGCGTCCTTGTAGATGGCAATCTCCTCGTCCAGGATGTTGCCCCAGATGAGGGTGGTCGAGTCGTACGTCTTGGCCTTGCTGTACGACTCGGCGGCGACGGCGCTGTTGCCGAGCTTGGCCTCGATCCTGCCTTTTGTAATGTAAGCCCAACGCTTGAAGAGTTCCGTCACGCCGTCCGTGTCGATGCCGGTCAGGCAGTCGGCGATGCTGTGGCTGGCCTCCTGGAGCAGATCCAGCTTCCACTCGGACATGGCCCTCAGGTAGAAGATCTTAAAAGTCTCCACCGGGCTGGGGCTGCACTCCAAGGCTCTCTGGCAGGTTGACCGCGCCTCTTCGTGATGGTCGTATAACAGTAGGAGTGACCCAATCGCGCGGTACGCCCCTGCGTCCAACTCCATGTCGCCGAAGAGACCCCCCAGCCCGAGAACACCTTCTGCCTCGTCGGGCACATGATCGGCGTCGGGCGCTTCGCCGTCGCCGTCGGTAGATGGGAAGTTCTCGGCCGCTTGGAGAGCCAGTTTGTTGCCGTAGCCGCTCTATGTGGATGTTAGCTCCATTAACTCGGTCGGTAGTAGTCAGCTGAGGGCATGCACAAACCTGAACTAGAGCTGCTCGCGCCAATTTGTACGATTCCGCTGCCGACGGTGCGTTTGGCGCTTGGTACACCAACTGGAAGTGCCCCTTGGCGAGCTCGAGCAGGCCGGTGGCGGGCTTCTGGGCAACGCGCTTCCACCACTCGGCGGCGCTGGAGCTCAGCTGCAGCTGAGTGCCTTCTGTCGCCAGATTCGCCCACAAGCCCATCCTCTTGAGAACATCGTCGTTGAAATCTCTCTTGTAGTCAACCTTGGCGATCTCCGCCATCTTGGCGTAGCCGTGCTCGTTCGACATGACCAAAGCGAGCGCCTCCATCACTTCGGTGCGTTCCTCGACCGAGTGGTCCCCTGGATCGATTCCAATCCAATGGTCCATCAAATACAGCGTCGCGTAGGTAGCCAGACCCGAATCCAACTTGTCAACCGCTTCCTCTGGCGCCGGGCGAGCCATGTTTGCCGCAGTGAGGAAGATCAGGCGATGGGCTTCCGATGGCGTCGCGAGAAGACTCTTGGTGGTGTCGGACTCTGACTCGGATGCGGCATCGCGGAAGAACGACCTCATAGAGCGCTGGCGAAACTTTAGCGGCAGCTGTCCGTCATTGTAAACGGGCTCGTTGATGCCGCCGGTCTGGAGATACTCTATCTCGGTCGTCTCTCCGACCTCCGAGCCCTTACCGGGGTCGCCGATCCGGATGAACCGCGTCATAAGCTCCGGAATCTCGTCAAGGTCAAACGTACTATCGCCAGACGTATAGCGAAGCAAAGAGACGGCCTCGTCGAGTACGAGTGGGCGGAAAGAAAATGAGATCCATCGGAGGAGCGTAGCGACGACAGGCTGACGGCTGGCGACGGTGCGGCGCTGGCATTCCGCGAGCATAACCTCGTAGAGGCTGTGGAGTGTTGGCGGCATGGGCTGGTCAAGCTGGCGGAGAACGGCGCCTTCGCGGCCGATGGCATCGAATCGGCGGAGCATGTGCTGTGCGTACAGCAAGTCTAGCGGCTAGTTAGTCCGGAGCATAGTCGACAAGGTCATGTCGGGAAACGACTCGGATCAAATATGGGAGGACCTACTAGGTGCCGTGGTTTCAATCTTCTCCGAGATCTTCTGCTTCACGTACGGACCGAACCGCTTCAAAGCGCCGAGATTGCCGAGCCGGCTCCGAACGAGCGCCGCAAGGTCCGACATCTGGTTCTCCTTCGTCGCGTTGATCGTCAGTGGCGCCGCCTTCTCCGGGTCGGCGAGCCTACCCAGCCCGCCAGGCCGAGAAGTGACGACGAGCGAGATGCGCATGTTCGCCGACACGACGTGCTGCCAGAACTCGCTGAGCAGTTCCTTCTCCGGGTCGCTCAGCTCGTCGACGCCGTCGAGCACGAGGAACAACCGGTGCTTGGCGCGCGCCTCGAAGCACGGCTCGAGGATGTTGTGCAGGAGGCTTTTCTGCTGCGTCACGTCGATCAGGATGTCGACGCGCAGCAGCTGGCTGTAGATCTTCTCGCACAGGATGGGGCTCTGCTCCGCGATCTGGTTGGCGGTCGTGATGAGAGCGTTGAGAAGGGTCGACAGGCCGGGGTGCTGCTCGCGGAAGTAGAAGTGCGCAGCGCAGATGTGCCGCTCGGCGTCCTCGGTCGCCTTGCGGTGGAGCTGGTCGTAGACGGTTGCGGCGATGTGGCTCTTGCCCGTGCCCGGCTCGCCCGTGATAGCGAGCAGCCTCGGCGGCGCACCATGCTCGCCGTCGAGGCTCTCGATCCAGGCTTGCCACGCCGGCTGAGCGAAGACCCATGTGCATGTGCCGTCGACTATGGTCTCCTTGAGGATCTGGTACTCGGCGCCCTCGCCTTCCACGTCAGGGAGCAGGCTGCGGATGCGATGGGCTGAAGCGCCCTTGCTCTGCCCCATGGCCTGCGCCTTCGCCTGTCCCTTGGTCTCGGAGTCCTTCTTCTCGAACGCCTCGAGCAGCTTCGCGATGTCGCTGCGCATGCCCTGGCTCTCGTCGAGCAGGTTGTGCAGCATAGAGGTCTGGGCCTCGAGCATCTGGGTGTGCGCCTGCTGGTTTTCGAGCAGCTCACGGTCCATCTTCTTGAGCTCTTCCGTGTTACCGAGGATGGCGAAGTGGGTTGCGTCGCGAAGGCGGTCGAGCTTGAGGTCCATGTCCTTCCGAGCGCCACCGAGCTCGCCGTCCTCGCCTTTCATGAGGTTCATGATCCATTTCTCTGCGAGATGTGGTCAGCGAACTTCCCTGCGGCTTCGACAATGATGTTGTGCATTGCCGCCGAGATCCAACATGGAGACCAAATACCCGTCTATATGTCCTCGAGGATTTAGAGAACACTTACTGAAGCGTCCAAGTTTGGTATACTCGGTGGCAAAGCCACACATCTTCAGGAAGGCCGTAAAAACCTCCATCAGGCAGTTCCGGTAGGCTCGGTGCTGCGGCATCCTCTTCTCCAGGATGACGACGCGATTCAGGAAGCTGTTCATGTCGTTGAAGAACACCTCGACGACGTCGTAGTCAGCGGAGACCTGCCGGCACGCGCTCAGCATCCAGGTGACGGCAGTGCCGATGGCGGCGGCCGGCGGGAAAGCAGGCGTGGCGGCCGAGATGAGCTGCTGCGCGCTCTGCTCGATTAAGCCAAGGTTCTGGGAGAGCAGGCTGCGGAGCGTATCGACCTTCTTGTCGTCGTGGCGGAACTTGTGGAATTTCTTCATCTCGTCGGTTCCGAGGTCGACGAGCGCCTGCACGTTGGCGGCGGGCGTTCGTACGGTGAGGTCGAAACCGACGATGCCCCTGTACGCCTTGAGGGCTTCGGTCCAGAGGTCGGCGACATCGCGCTCGTCGTCCTCGATGTTTTTGGGCAGCTTCAGCGTTTGCTGCTGCTGCTGCTGTTGCGGCTTCGTTGCGGCGGCCATCACGGAGGGATGCTCGGTAGCAGCGAACGATGATTCTGCGTAGTACGCGAAGAACGGCCGCAGTCGCTCGGCCGAGAGCAAGCCTTATGCGGCCAGAGGTCGGGTTGCGGCTATTAAGCGGGTACTACACTGAGGCCCATTTCGACGCTTAGGCCCTGATCTTCTCAAACTCGGCGAGTTGTCAGCTTTTCGGTACTTTAGGTCCCAGGCGCCAAGACCAAGATTGATCGAATTTCCGGAGGGAGCTTGACCCTTTCTGGCACCAATTTTGAGTGGAAAAAGTGGGTTTTGTACCTCATAAAATTTTGCCAGCCAAACTCATGCCAACACCCCTGGAATCGCATGTACCACGCTACTGCAAGGCCGCCCGGGCCACAGCCATACCGAATATGGTAAAATAGACGAGGATTCTGCCGGTTTTTGGCCATAACTTGGCGAGTTGCAAGATGGCTGGAAAAGCTGGAATATGTGACTTTTTCGGTGGAAAGTAGATCCAAAGCTGGCGCCACAGGCAAAGCCACACTGGAAGTGGGCTGAGAACCGGTTGGAAAAGTCTGTACAGGGTTAGAAATGAGCCTCAACATTGACTTTGTATGTAATTCGTACCAACCAAGAATGCTTGAAGCATAACGACGATGTGGGATACTTTCCAAGCCAGCCGTGACTTCAGCATTGCCGCCGTTTTGGCGATTCTGCACCCTCGGCTCAGGCTCAACCACCAACCAAGCCAGCAAGGCACTCAACTTGGCCTACGCGAAGTTATACACCCCGGTGGCCCTCGATTTGCGCGCCGGTTGGCCAATTGCCTTCTCAATGGCGCAGACACTCGGTTCAAGGACCTCTTTCGCATGAATAAGCCTACTTTCCATGCCCTCGTACGATGGCTGCGGACCAACGAAGGACTCAAAGGCAGCCGGTATCAACTGGCTGAGCAGAAGGTTATGGTGGTCCTATATATCCTGGCACACGCAGCCACACAGCGAAACGCGGCCCATTTCTTCCAAATTACCCAAAGCTCCGTGGCGAGGACGATAGATACAGTCTTGCCAATGCTGGTGTCTTTACATAAACACGTTGTACGCCTTCCAGAGGACGATTGGCTTGATCCGACGGTCGAGCTGAACCCGAAGTTGAACGCCTTCAACGGTTGTATCGGTGCTATCGACGGCACTCACATTGCCGCCCACATTCCTACTCGTGATCAAGCCCGCTGGCGTGATAGAAAGGGAGGAGTCTCTCAGAACGTATTTGCCGCAGTCAGAAGCGATTATTCGTTCAGTTACGTACTCGCTGGTGCCGAAGGCTCGATTAACGACGCGATGTTGTGTGCCCAGGCCTTTGGAAGGAGGTTTCGTGTACCAGAGAACCGGTTTTATGTGGCAGACGCTGGCTTCGGGGCTCGCCAAGGCATCGTAATTCCTTTTCCGAATATTAGATACCACCTACAAGACTGGAGAGATGCTCAAAACCCGCCAGAGACACAGAAAGAGCTCTATAACTTAAGGCACGCCCGTATCCGAGTCGTCGTCGAGCAGGCTTTCGGTATCATAAAGAGGATGTGGAGAATTATTCGGAACGCCCCAATCGAGTACAGCTTTGAGAAGCAAGTATTTATCGTATACGCTGTGACTGCGTTACATAACTTCCTTCTTCAGTATAATCACGAGGACGTACTTGGACCAGAACAGCGGCAATTGATATCGCTTGCGGCAGCCAGAGCTGGGCGGACGGTCGGAACGCGGCATCCAGATTGGGTTCGCCATACCGCTGCAGACGCAATGTGGGCTCAGTATAGTAGATACCGTCAATCAAGAGGATAGAAATGGTGATATTTAACGGCCAAAACCTTGGTGTTGAGGGGTTATAAGGTGGGGCGAAAGGGTGGCTTTAGCCGAGGTTGGATTTTGGATTTCTATGGTAATTGGCTGGCGAAGCTGAATATTGAATACAATCTTGACTCCCATCAAATCCACCACTTCAACTTCATACTTTCCACTCGTCAACCATCTCTCTCTTTGACTCTGGATTCAACGCGTTCCACACTATTACGGCCAGAGGGTTGTTTTGAAGGTATTTCCGGCAATTTATCCTCTCCTGACGGCTGAGATCCTGCGAAAACAGAGCCTCCAAGCTTACAATAGCCTCGGTGAGATCGGTGGCGCCTTGGGTCCTCGGAGCGGCCATAATCGAGGCCGCTTTACAAAGAGTGCTATACAAGGCTGTATCAAAAGCATCAGGAGTCTTGCTTTGCTGGGAGGCTTGCGAAACGGCAATTGTATCCTCAGAGACCGACAAACCGCTAGTACGGCGGTGGTTGGAGTCAGGGTCAGTATCACGACGGTGTTGCTGTGCCGGTGTCAACTTCCTTGCAGGCGTAACTGGTAGTATTCGTAATGCTTTTGCTCTGCCAGCCTCTTCGCTACCGCTAGGTTCAGCCTCATCGTTCTCGGACTCTTCGCCGTCATCGAGAATCTGGTCAAAGGACTGGGAAGGTATATCTTCAGCTTCCATTATATGGTTGCCTGTCGCTTTTTCCCGCCAAAAGACTGCTGAGTAGACCTCTGGATCCCCCAGAGGTGTGTGCTGAAGCCAGGTATGGTTCCTGGTGGGAGTGTTATGCCGTAAGAAGAAAGCCTCCCATACTGACTCGGCCGCTTCGGGTAGTTGGCTTTCCTCGTTGAAAGAGACCCCAGAATACTCCAACAGAGCCTTCCATACGCGATATCGAGAGCGCTCGGTATTATATTTCGTCGAGATAACAGCAGGGGTCCATGGGGACTGCGGCCAGGCCTCTTTGCAGCGAGTACAGACGTCCTGCCAGACTTGCGCGTAATCCTTCTTCTTGCTGCTATTGAACAGGCCCTCGGACTTGCACTCTTGGAACCAGAGCATCAATTGCTCCGTCATATGCGGCTTGAATACCACCTTCTTCAGCTGCAATGCCCTTCTTGATGAGCTTGACTGGTCGTCGGTTGTATCGGTTAAATCAACCAACTGCTTGCCGCGCCGCTTATTGGTAGACTCCTTCTTCGGGGCCGGGCGCTTTCGTGATGCACCGGCATTAGGGGGCGCCGTGGACGCAAGGGGGGACTCGCTGGACGACTCTGCCGCCAAAATACTATTGGAAGCCGTCGACCGTCGGCCTGGGTCGTCGACTATGGCTACTATAGTGCCTGGGCTTGGAAACCGCAGCGGCGACTCTGCTGGCAAGTCGGAAAGGCGGGGCTCTGGAAGGGGGTTGTCAAGCCAGTCGCTGGCCGACTCAGGGGCTTCGGGGGCTCCCGGTGCGCCAGTAAGATCAATCACTGGCTCGAGGTCCAATTGGCTGTCGCTCGAAGATGCCATTGTACGTCGTTTTGGCTGCAAAAAAGGACTTCTCGGGCATCGCACTCGGACATGGCCAGGATCAACTTCAGTGGCCAAAGGCGGTGAGAATACCGCTCTGACCGCCTTACTGTTACGGTATAGTGTGGCTGACTGGCACTAATGCACTACTTCTTGGTAGATCCACTTTGACGAAGCCACTGGAAGTCCTTTTTTCGAAGAGTTGGCAACTTGCCGAGTTTGAGAAGATCAGGCCCTTAGGGTTAGTGCCGCCGAAGCCCGAGCTAGCCGGGGACGAGCCGTAAGCGCATAGCGGTGAGCCTGGAGGTGGGGCTGGTGCTACCCTAAGCCCTCCACTGTGGATCTCAGGCCCAGTGTGTTCGCAGGCCGTACGTATTCAATACTTCCCTATATCGGCGCAATACTAGCCGAAGGCTGGGGTGGTTCACCGGCTGCCAACCTGGGAAATATCTCTATATAAGAGAATATTAAGAACAAGCACTTCAAAGCTTCCTTTTCATTATTGTACGTCTATATGTGATTAGCGAATAAGTTCTCGAGTTTCTCTTTTACCTACCTAAAATGAGGCGGTGAGCAACTAGGAAAAGAATCGCTAATATAGCTATAAGTCAGGTGACCAGCTTTTAGACCAACCCCCTTTTAGACCACAAGGTTCTAGAAGGATGACTAACCCTTGCCACACAACTCTTCTATTTCAATCGCCCACAACTTCACAAATTTGATTCCAATCCGTTTCCTTTTTCTTTCAATAGCTTGAGAATTTTCAAATAAAGCCATATACCGAGTTTGATTGCAGAACGCCCTTGCCGAGTATGCTAAAACTGGCAAACTCCGCGATGCGGCCAAAAACCACGGCATCCCCCACAACACTTTATATTATCGATCCAAAGGCAGCAATCCAGCTACCTACTCCCAAATAATCAATCAGAAGCTTTCTCCGGCACTGGAAGAACGTCTCGCAGAATGGGTTCTCTTCCAGGGGGTCATTGGCAACCCCTCAACCCACAGGCAAATCCGGAAATTGGGTACCAGAATACTCGCCGCCTCTGGAGAGCCAACCCACCTTGGAAAACACTGGTACCGCCGCTTTTTGAACCGAAATCCTTCAATTTCTACCAAGAGACCACGGTGAATCCACGCAAACCGTGCTGACCGAGCCTGCGAGGCCGTTATTCGGCCCTGGTTTGACTACCTGGAGTCTCTAGGGGTTAAGGCCATTCTGCCGGAGAACAGTGTAAGGATAGGACACCCCAAACACCAGCCGCGCGCACAGGGTGCGCGCTCACCACCCGTTACCAACTGGCCGGAACACTGCCAGTTGGCACAAGCCACTACGCCACGCCATGGCGCCCCGGGCCTGAGCCCCTGAGCACGTATATAAACAGTGGCCCTCGCCCACCTTCCTTTGCGACGGCCAGGTTGAAGTCTCACACCAATACTACTCATTGCTCGCCCACCTTCTTACCTGCATTGTGACCACCTTGATCCGGCGTACCTGCCTTCTCTTACAAACAGGTACAATATGGACGAAACTGGCATAGCTAATGGCATTGGAGATAACGGTCTGGTTGTAGGCTCCAAATCTAGAAAGCTTTTACAAAAGAGGAAGTCTGGAGACTGAAATTGGACGACTATTCTAGAGTGTATTTCGGCCG